CCCCGATGCCCATTGTCCCCCCTCGCAGCGTCCACATCTCGGTCCTCGAGCGCTATCTCCCCCCAACCTCCGCCCAAGAGTACCGTGATTTGTTTTGTAGTACCCGTCCATCTTTCCTCGTTGACCGTATGAGCGAGCTATCTCCGAATGGCGGGTCTCTCCTCTTCGTGTACCCGACCAAGAAAGGTGCATCAACCTTCAAGTCCCAGTACCTGGGCCCCATCCTCGACCCCCTCCTCCGCCAACTCGTTGTGGTGAATGAGTTGTCCGCAGACGTGGGCCGCTATCTGGGCAAGCTCTCCTCCGTCTCTCAAATGGATGACTTCGCCACCATGAAGGCGAACATCGTGGCACTCTGCGAATCATTGAGCGATAATGATTCCTCCTCCCGGTTCCACGTGACCGATGCAGGCCGTGGAAACACCCACCTCGACCGCAATCTCTGGGCTGAGTGGTTCATCCACCAGGAGAAGGCCCGCATGAAGGAGGTCCTCAATCTGTACTGGCAAAACGGCCGCCGCTCATCTAAGAGCACAAGCTCCGGAGGCTCCGGCATGCTGGGCAACAAGGAAATCACATCTTCCGGGCTCCTGAGTGAGATCTTCGATGGAATCCGCAAGCGGCGCTATTGCGAGGACAATGAGCCTCGTGATGGTATCGAGCTTGGTGTCTTTGTGATTCGTCGAACGAATTAGATCATTGCAGCATTGCTAGATCGCTCCTCCTCCTTCTTCCTCGAATCCTCACCCCCCTTCCATTCTTCCACCCCTTCTTCCGCAATAGCATATTTTAACAAACGGCCTTCACAAAAGATGACATGGGACACCATGGAGGTGTCCCCGGTGTTGGATATCGATTTTCCGGTGCGAAATATTTCCTTTCGCACCTTGCATGACTTGTTCGGGGATTCAATTCCATGCGCGAACATTTTGAATGAACTATGAATACCCCGGTTGTTGTTGGCGATTCGGGTTTTATGAACTTTTTGGACTTTTTTTTTTCTGTCTTGATGATGGATATAGATATACACGATTTTAGTGGGAATATATCTGCTGTTAACAACATGTTTTCTTTTTTTGTAATCTAGGATATCACTGGAGTAAGTATATGTAGTGGGCGTGCTTATGCTCTCGTCAGGCTCCCGTTAGGCATCACCAGGACGTACTCCTTCTTTAGGAATGTCGTCCTCCTCTTAGGCTCAAGCCTAGGCGCTACGCTGTTATCACAAGTTCCTCATCTCTGCGAAATCTATATGCTCGGTCTAATCGTGCTTAAGGGGAACGTAAAACAGGTTGCTAATGATTTCGAAAAGCTTATTGAAAATCTGCTTACACATATCGAGGTTAAAATAACAGACGCATACTAAACTAACAAATAATCCTACTACATATATATGTATACGATAATTCTATGTAGCTAGCTGTGATCAAATTTGCACAAGTGAAGGCCATCCGTGCCGTAGTATATAGCTTACGATAGCTGTGGTCCGAATGGTAATGAACACCAATAGAAGACGGGAAAACCGATAAATGTCAATTCATTGTGCTTATCTTTCTACTTCTTCCAAACAGATTCTCTCAAATCAGAATTAAGACGTCCATTTCCTCCTCACCCGTCTCCACCTCATTGTCGACTCTCCTCGGGGCGGCCAAACATTCTGCCGTCCATATTCGGCCGTGACCCACCCTCCCATCTCATCTTCCTTCGATCACCAACTTGATGCAATCTACTACCCTTTCTCGCCCACCCTCGCCACATACAATGTCCTACCCAAACCCTCCGCCCCTCAGCCCCGGCGGCGGGGCTGGCGGCGCACCCTCGAAACGCGACAAGCGACGCACCGCGCTCCAGGAACGGCTCCAGGAACTGACGGGTCAGTTCAGCAATAATCGGGACATCCAGTTTCGTCAGCAGTTGCACGCACTCCAGTGTGATATGACTCTGATTAACAATGCGGATCCCTACGTGACTGGACCGCTCCCGGACTCTGCGGAGAGCATTGCTTCGCTGATTGAGGAGACTGTTGGTGGCGGCAGCAAGTTTGCGAAAGAGATGGCTGACCTCGCTGGATCGTGGTATTCCAAATTTGTGCATCAGGTTAATGAAATCAAGGAGAAGCGGGATGCCGAATTGGTCATGGCCATGGTGAGTTTCCTGTTCTTTTTCAATTATATGGAGTTTTCCCTAATTTGTGCCCTTGTTTTTCTTATACAGAACAACTACAACAATGTTATGGAAAGACAACAGCGGGACCGTGATTTCCGCACTTACTTCGCACAAGAAGAATTTCGTCATCTGTCTTCCACCCTTCGAGAGCGATTGGTGCAGAATATCTCCGGCAAGCGCGCCCGTCTGATGCGTGAAAAGGAGCAGCTCGACATCGCCGACACCAATGCCCTTCTCCTCCACCCCAACCAGTTCAGCATCACAAACCCTGCCAGCCCTGGCGGCATCCACAGCCGCAAGACTACTCGGCACACCCGTCACCGCGTTGACCTCGACGAGCTTGGCAACGGTTTCATGTCGGAGTTGAACAAGCGCAAGCGGAAGGGTCCAGAGGAGGAAACTGGGTCACCTGCGCGGGACGCGGGCGATGCCACTCCCGCGAAGCGCAACAAGCCCGAGGTCACAAAGGAGCAGGTGGCACCTACATACTCGATCCACTCCCTCTTCACCGACAAGGAACTCAACGCACACGCAAATCAGGCACACCTGGCGGCTGTGCACTTCTTCGCTACCTCCCGGCGACCAGACCACGGATCCGGCGCGGTGACGAACGGCAATAATACCGATGTCGAGGATACCCCGGAGGGCACAGGCCACGAAGATAACGGCACCCCAAGCGCAGCCGACATGATGCGCACTGCCAGCCACAACTTCCACGCCACCCGATCTACCCGCACCACCGCCGCGCACAGTGCTCTGAGCGCCCTAGCAGATCTGGCCGATAAGCCCGCCACCCGCCCGATCCTCCCCTACCACGTTCTCTCCAACCACCACGCGCGACCAAACGGCAACGCGCCCCCATTGACCTCTCTGATGAACGAGGAAGTCGACGACGACTGCGCGCGCATCAGCCGTCTCGCAAGCAAACCACCCAATTGGATCGACGCATCTCTAGTCGAACTCGTCGCTGCACCTCTTCCTACTTCCGTAGAGCCGGTCGATGGCCACCCAGCCGATCCCGCTGTCTTCAGCCAGCTACACCCGGATTTCTCACCCGCTATGGGCATCGACTGGACCCCTTCCGTCCACAACCCCGGCTTCGAGATGTTCCAGCCTGCAGCTATGGAGCGCGAGCGCAGTCGAAAGCGCACCCGCAATCACTGAGGGATTTGCACATGAAGTTTCGGATGTACGTTAAGATGGGATGGGATGGTGTTTACCGCTGGACGCGGTTACGGATTACCCTTTTATCATTGATCATATTAGCTATGTTGTGAGGGATGGACCTCAGGTGTTTGGGATTTCGATTTCTTTATTTTTTTCTGTGTTTATTTTCTTTTTTCTTCTTAGGACTCATGTTCGCACCGACCTGTTAGGCGTTGTTGGGAACAGACACATATAGTACTTCGCTCGACTTCTCAGGTTCATGCTTGCCCCTATGTTGGGTAGTACAATTTACATGGATACCTTCTTTTTCAATCTTTTGTCGTTTGGTTTTAGGTGGTTATCAATCTATATCATAGCCTCGGCCCGGGCATCTCTCGCCATCCGGTCAGCACGATATATGGTCCACATTACAGGCCAATGCCATTCGAGAGAAGGATATATACAGCTTACCCCGAGTGTTTCTTCCCCAGATGGCAACTGTGTCGATGACGAGCTTAGAGAAGTCCTTTAATTTGAGGAGGGTTCATTGGTCCAGTATAATGCTGATGTTCTCGAATTTGTAAATTTTGATGTAGTTCGATTGATATCAACTTAGGGCTAGGATCCATATCATCATTATGACAAAAACGGAACTCACTACCGACTATTCCATCAAGCAGCTTCTCAATATAATTCCAAAACCACAGCAAACACAATATCCCAAGCATCAAACCACCCCTCCATCCTCATGCTCCGGCGCGCCCTCGCCGTCCACCCTCCCATCCCCAAACCACCACTGATGACCTCACCACCACGACCAAAAGCCGAATCCCCCAAACCCCTATTCAGCGGCAACATACAGCCAACCCTCCAAACCTTCGTCGAATACGCCACAACCCCAACCGTCCACAGCCGCATCCTCCCCGCCATAAAACACGACCACCTAGAACTCGAAGCCCACAGCCACAAAATCCTCTCCTCAACAGACCCAGACGAACAGACTCGCTTCCAAAACCAATTCACCTGGGAACTAGCCCGTCATCTCATCGGCGAAGAACTCGTCGTCTATCCCGCGCTGATCGAGTCTCTCCCGGACGGACAGGGAATTGCAGATAAAAACAGACTCGAGCATCGCGGTGTGAAGCATCAGTTGAAATCGTTTCAGGGGATTTCGTCTACGGATCCCAGGTTCTTGCCTACGCTCGAGGGGCTCATGCGGGATTTGGGCATTCATGCGAGACATGAGGAGGATGTGGACTTGCCCAGGCTTGAGGAGTTGTTGTCTAAAGAGGAGAGTGTTGAGTTGACCAAGTCCCTGGATCGGGTTAAGATCTTTGTTCCCTCGAGATCGCATCCGCTTGCGCCGACAGAGCCGTTCTTTGAGACTGCTGTTGGGCTTTTGACGGCGCCGATTGATTTCTTGGCGGATTTGTTTCGGAAGTGGCCTGATGGGAAGGAGAAGAAGTGGTAGGGAGGGGCTTGTAGGGGGCAGTATGGTTAGGGGATTCTGATATATTGAATAGTGGTTATATGATATGAAGTTAGATATGAATTCAAAAGACCCTGATGTACCAAGTCCATTCTATCCATTCAGCTACTAATTAGAATACTCTAAACTGAATGAACAATACAAATTAACATCTACTATCTTTTCAACCCTACACTTGGCAGCCACTCTCGTCACCATCTCATCCCTCCACAGCCAAAACCGCCGATCCCGTCGCGCCCAACCGCTGCCCTGAATAGCCATAGCGCTGCAAGCGACGCAACCTCCCCAATCGATTCGCAGTCTCGATCGCAGACTGCTGCACCTCATCATCACCAGACGAAGATCGCCGCCTCTTCCACGCCTTACGGAACTGGTGCTGCTCCTCGTCCTGCTGTCTGTGTCGCATAGACAGGAACTCAGCATGTGCTTCCTTTTCTTCGCTGAGGGCCTGGACCTGAACCACCCGACAAATTAGTCCATGATTCGTTATTACTTCCGCTCGGGATCAACTCGGAACTGTGATAACAAACTCGACTGATGGAACGATACAACCGTAATGCAAACAAAACAGCAAGAAAAATGAAAAAAACACAGTCGCCACATACATAGGATAACCACACTTCCTGCTCGGAACTCCACGCCTTCTGACACCTCCCCAGCTGTCTCTGCGCATGCACAAGTTCCCTCTCCTGCTCGGCTGTCCACCGGTCTCGACTGCGGATAATACTCGCCCAACTAACAGCGCGAGCGAGCTGGGCCCGCGTCGGACGCGTCCGGCTCTCGGAAGTCGAATCCGACACTCGCCCCGGGATATTTTCCGGCGCGGATGATGTTGATTGGGAGGTGGATGTGGTCTGGTGTGCGTGGGTCTTCACCGCTACCTGCACGGGACCGAGGACGTCACGGTGCATGAAGATGGTTTCATTGTTCTGGGCGTGGGGGCTGATGCTGGAGTCTGACAAGATAGGACCCTTTTCGCTGATATGGATTTCCAGCTCAGGGGATTTGCCTTTTAGACTGGTTCGTCGCTTCCAGGGGAGGGACAGTGGTGGTAGGGCTCGATGGACGATTGTGAATACGGACATGGCTGGGATCATCGATACATAAACCCTATGTATGGAAAAGAAATAGAAGAGATACTCGAAGTATAGAGTTGTATACTTGTTATCCTGGTCTCTGGGAATGAGCTTCTCCATATCGATACAAACCCTTGCTTTTATAAATGTCCCGGTTCGCCTCCCAAGTGGTATTTCACGATCTAGCCAGATCGACACCCGAGGACGAAAACGCGTGCAGGGATACCTCGCAGGCACCTCGCACGGAGGTGGGGAATGCGAGGCTCTCCGGCTTCTGCTTGGCTGCCCACGCGACAGTATACAATCGTGCAGGAGGCGCGGGTTGGCATGGTTGGTCTAGATGGCGGAAGACTGCAGTTTTGGTCGGGACTTCAATGTAGATTTTGTTTGCTTCTGGGATGGTTTGACAGTTTGAGGGCTTGGTTGTACAGTCGTTTCATTATGATGAGACAAAAGCGGATTTGGAGTTGACGTTGACGTTGACGTTGACTTGGCTGGTATAATGAGCTGGACTGGTTTGTGTTCTGGGTTCCATTCATGCGATTGATGTTTCTTTCCCTACTCCGTCAGATACTCGGAATAATAAGGGATCTTGATGCAGGAGGCCTCTGCGATTGGCCGGACACATACGTTCGAGATGCAATATACACATGGTGTTCGCAGTTGAAGTCAAGGATTCCCTTCCGGGATTTGGTACTTTGGTCACTTCGGTCGAAAACTTGGAAGTTATAGTATACAGTATCTCATTCATGTCCAACTGATGAGGCTAGAGACTAGAGATGCCTAAACTAATGAGCACAATAAATCCCCCAAAACAGCCCAATGCTGCACACAAGCCAAACCAATAACCGTGAGGGAATCATAACCAGAACAAGAACAGACGCGTTCAAAACAAAACCATGACGCCAGGTGCTCGTCGGATATCCAAAAAAGTACATAATATAAAAAGAAGTGGGTGAAAAAAAATAGACGTTCATCGCCATGTATCCACTGAAGTACCCCGGTTGGCCTTGGCCTTTCTTTCCTCTCGGATCTGCTCGCCAATAATGATGCTAATGAGTCTCCGATGCAGATCGGCTTCCGTCCAATCGATCTGGCCGCTGCCACCATATTGGATATCAGCCCGAGCAAGTTCCTGGGCAAAGCGATCGATGATGGCAAATTGAATCTCGGTGATGGGCACCCCGTGATGACCATCGGAGGTCCATATCCAATCACCGATAATGGCAGCCCGCCCCGGGGCATCGTAGTATTCGAAGTGCTCGGGGTATCGCTTGGCAACTCGGTAGATACGACGAAGCACGGCGTAATGCTCATCGGAAAAGTATCCGAAAATAGCAAGTGGTCGTGGCCCTGGAGATGCCCCATCCTGGTGGTTCACTGGCTCTGCATCTTCATTCTCCAAGAGATCTTGCGAGACACTCCGCTCAGAAATCGGTACCTCCTCTTCTTCCAAGAGGTCTCGAGAAACACTTCTCTCATGTATCGGGTCATCCTCTTCTTCCATTGTGGGAAGAGGATCTTGCCGTATCTGGGGGGACTGAGGTGGTGATGGCTGTCTCCAATGACCCGCGGGTGATTGGCTCGCTTGCTTTGAGAGCGGTTCATCCTGGAGATGTCCGTCAAGCTCCTTCGCAGATTCAATGCTGGCCATTTCCTCTTCATCCTCAAAGTCAGAGGCTTCCTCCGGAATAGTACTTACACTTGAGCTTCGGCCACGAGCGGGGGCTTTCAGCCATTGCGGGGTGAAACTGGTGATTTTACTGAACCAGGATGAACCTGGTTCCTCCCTATTGCGCTGACGAGGTTGTGGGGTGAAGGCAGAATCCACGTTGGCAGGTTCCGATTGACTGGGAGCAGCATTGAAAACGCTGCTAATGTCATAGTCTTCTTCCAATGGCTCTTGCGTAGGCGGGCTTCTTTGTACAGCCTCCGGAGATTTCTTCTCATCGAGGAACGCGATTTGCGGACTGGGAACCCTTGGGTTGGGATTATCGGGGCTGGACTGGGAGAGAGGTTGTAAACGAATACGCGCTGGGGTGCGCGATACCGGGTCCTTCATGACAGAGTTCTTGATTGGTGAATTCTGTGTTCCTGATGGGCGGACGAGTAAACTACGAGGCGTACTCGTTCCATTGTAATACCGTGCGCGGTTTGGTGTATCCTCTTCTGCAAGCAAAGCAGACAAATCGACCTTTTGTTCACGGAGCTCGCGAACTTTGGACGGCCCGAAGCGCGCTACATAATCATGCTCTGAAGTAGCGTAAGGAGATGAGCTGAGGTAGTCTTGACCTTGACCGGCGGAAATTGGAGCAAGGTTGCCCAAAGGATGTGCAAGCGGCTGCGGATGAGACTGAACATCATCATCATCCTCGGAATGTTGTGAAATATGGCTGTGGTCGTTGGCTTCGAGTTGCCAAATGTCATCATAACCATCATCCTCATCTTCTAAGGGCTCGGGCTCGGGTTCAACATCTCGGGGCACATATGGCGCTCGTTCTGGTACGGGTCCAGGCGCAGAATGATTGGGCTCTTCATCAAACCCATTTCCGGTCTCAGATTCAAATCTTTGTTCATATTCAAGTCCGATATCCCCGTCATCTTCCGCCGCGTTTTCATCGCTATCAATATAAACGACCGACCGTGAGTTCGAAGCCATTTGAGCCTGGCGGCTGACTGCTTCTCGTTCAAGCTGCCATTGTGCCTCCCGCTGTGCCTTCTGGTGGGACATTGGGCTTTGTTGCAAGGAGGTATTGTGCTTGGAATGTGACGGTTGGGTGTATCCTTCCCGCGTCTCGATTTCGTCTTCAAAGGGTTGATCATGCTCCTGCTCTTCTGATTCTTCCTCATTGAAATCGTTATAGTGGCGTTCTTCCTCTTCCTCTTCGAGACGTTCCTCCTCGAGACGAGACGCCGCATGATCTGCTGCTATAGCCGCAGCATCATCTTCCTCGGCGAGCATTCGACGCAGAGCAAGCTCCTGCCCTAGCCCCATAGCAGCTCGGAGTTCTCGCTGCGTTTCAGCGTTGAATGTGCTGAAAACATCCTCCAACCGACGTCTTTTGTGACGAGCATTACTCTTACCTGACCACTCATCGCCTTGGGGCCTAAAGGGACCTTGCAGGGCTAAGCTAAGACGAACAAGCTTAGCTAAGCTGGTCAATGTCCTCTTCTTCGGAGCGATTGTTGGTTTAGCAGGAGACGATGCGGCAGGGAGTTCAGGGTAGGCAATCTCATCCACATAGTTAACAGACTGCCGCTCAGTCGCATGTACAGTGTGGCTTTCTGGAATATGCGTGCTAGGATCTTCGTATAACCCAGGACCTAGGGCCGTAGTGACTGGACTGGATGACTTTTGAGCACGAGAATCACCTCGGAGGTCTTCAATCGTCCCGGGAAGTTTGCGTCTCAGCCGTTCTCCGACTTCCTTTGGTTTGGGACCGCCGTTCGTCATAGCGCTGGAGCCGAATCCATGCTGCTTGGCTGATGGGAGCGTATCAAGGGAAATCATAGTGAATCCTTCACTTTCCATGATAGTGTCGAATTCGTCGTACTCGTCCGCGGGATCTTCAACGGGATCAGTTTCAGCATGATGGGTCTCTGTCCTTGGGGGATGATCCACGTCGGCTTGTCGGGTTTGATTTTCTTCATCGGCCAGGGAAGACGTGGGGGTCGGAGTCGGATATGTGCGCGATTGTGGGCTAGCGGTATGGTGAGAAGAAGCTCTCGATGACAAGATTGCTCGCTCGCGTGTAGGTGATGGCATTTTAGAAGGGGTAGAGTGGATGTTTTCATCATCCAAAAAGTGATGTTCCGTAGCTCCGATAACAGGCGTCTCCAAGTTCGTTCGGCCGTACTCACGGCGAATATTGCCCAGATCTTCTGTGATGGGCTCTGTTGGGTCAGGAAGCTCTGCAATTGACATGTCTGAGTTCCCCCAAGACTCATCTTCGGAGTCCGCATCCCCTACGAGGTTCAAGGGACTGGCGTGTGCATTACTCCCAGCGAAAGAATCTGTCGGACTGGATCGCTGGTGGCCCGGACTAGCTTCACTAGCTATAGTATCCATCGGACTGTATTCATGTTGGCCTAGACCAGCTTCATTGGCCATGGTGTCCATTGGACTGAATAGCTGGGCTTGACGGGTTTCACTATTGGGAATGATATCCATCGGACTAAAGGGATGGTCATATTCAACAGTCGGCGTTGGTTGCTCATCCAGCAGTTCGAGATCCTGTGGTTTGGGTTTGGGCGTGCCCCGTGGTCGGCCTCTTTTGCGTGGTTGAGAGTCACCAACTCGTAGCCCAGGAGTATGGCCCGGCCCAGGAGTGTGCCCCGGCCCAGGAGTATGCCCCGGCCCGGGAGTATGCCCTGGCCCAGGCGTATGACCCGGTCCAGGTGTATGTCCAGGGCGAGGGGTCTGCCCAGCGCCCGCGAGAAACGGGGACAGATTTATGTCAGACTTTCGTGGACGCCCTCGCCGCTTTAAGGGCGTCTTCTCCTTCAATGGACTCCTCTCATCCTTCAATGGTATCATGGTTGTCGTGGTTGAGGGTTTTAATCGTTTGCGCGACGGGCTACCCCAGTTCTCGTCATCTTCATCTTGTGTCGCTTCGAGCGTGAGTCGGATGCGCCATGGGCTGACATTTCCCTCCTGAAGCTTCTCCGGAGAGAGCGACCTCTGTCGACCACCATTGAACTTCATTGTCGGCGACCCGGGGAGTATGACATCGTTGAATTGAATCGAATGCGCGCTTTTCGCGGGACTGAGGCTGACACGCGGTCGCGGTCGCTTGGCCGGAGTTCGTGATTTCGCTATCATAGGAGACATCCAGCTTTGGCGCCCCGCGAAGGGTTTAATCGGCGATGAGATCAAGTATTGGGCATCGCCTGGAGGACCCAGGATATCGGGGGAGGAGCTCTGGCTGCGCGACGAGGCCGACATGACGGACTCATGTGATGGAATTTCGGGAGGCACGCGTGCCACCAAAGGGGTAGAATAGCGCACGCTGAGAAATGCGATAACAACGAAAAAAGTGCGGTGAGTCTCGTAACTATTCACAGGCTGACTTTATGATACAGAAATAAGAGAGAAAACGCGGGGCAGCCATAAACAAGTCTCCCGATGCGGTACGAAAGAGCGGTCCTAGAAGTGGTTAGGTAAGCAGCCCCCCAAACAAACAGTCTATTATTGGACACGACCTTCTCTTTCTTCCCCTTTATGTCTTGAAATTTATCTGGAGAAGTGACAATGCAATATTTCCTCGACTTGACATCGGCTCAATTCTTCACAAATCTACATCGACGTCATCCACACTGGGGACTTGCTTCAATGTCACACCGCAAGCTTCAACGACCAGATGCACACACTCCATGACCATTTGCACATCTTTCTTGGAGATCCCCAACCGCCTTGTTCCTCGGATATGCCAGTAGATCATCCGCGGCATGTCTTGACCCATGACAGCCGGCAAGACTATCATCTGTGTATCCACGTCATCCAAAACCTGGCGGTCGGACAAGACTAACCCATAGATGATATCAGAAAGCCAAAAGGCAAAGTCTCGTGTGCTGCTTGAATAACCCAAACAGCGTACTGGTATTGTGCGCATATATTGATTTTAACCAACCCATGCCGCGCGCATGATTTGCGTCGTCGCACTGCCAGCCTTCTCGGGTGAAGGAGCATTCCCTATCTTCCTCGGACATGACTTTGGTGATGTTGATGAGTCCCTCTGTGGGTCTTGGGAATCCGAGAAGAGCAATGTCTTTGAATAGCGCCTCGCGCATGCATCGAATCAGCTCCCAGCGTGCAGTGGTAGTCGAATACGCATGTTGGCTTATCAGGTACAAGTATAGTTGGCCACAAAGGTGTGATTGTGATGTCGTCGTAATCGCGCTCAAAGCTGTGAGAAACCACTTTTCACTGGCGATATTGGAGGCTTCGAACTTGGCCTCAATCGTGGCAAAGATCTCAAACCAACGCGGTTCTATAGTTGGTTTGTCGACATCGGATGTGCTCATAGTTCGAGTCCAACTGAGTCCACCGCGTATCTTCTTCTAAAATGAACAAGTGTGTGAGATCTGAAATCATAGAAAGGACTCTAAACACGGCCCATGACGCAGGGCTGAGATTGTACGGTGGCAATCCACGGATTTGAGGTCCTTAAAATGCCGTGCAATCCGTGGGTCACGCAAGTAACCTCGGGTTTAGTTTGCACTTGATCTTGTTGTCTTATATACAAGAGACTGCTTTGACGAGTCCTCTGACTCTCGTCTTGGGAAGTTGGCTTACTACCCACCCCACGCTGTCCTCCGTATTTGTCTCGATGGAGTGCACTTGGTTGACCCGTCTTCAAATTATAGAATGAATCGGAAGTTTGGATGGTCATCTCCCGAGTTGATCACAGCATCATCCTTCTTGGCATCTACAGGGCCGTGAAGAGCATCTCGGCGTTTGTTCTCCCATCTCATCAGTAACCTAAGCATCTGGGCAAGAATTGCCGCAAAGAACAGCAATCCAGCACTGACACCCATGCCCTTGACATAGTAAGGGCCTTCCTCTTTGGGAAAGAATCGGGACCCGGCAATGGATCCGACTTGACCTAGCATGCCGAAAATCACTAGGCCAGCACCTCGTTTGGACGCAGAGCCCCCGTTGTCCGTGAGCCATGTAAAAGCCAATGCCACAGAAGGGAACACCCCTCCGCAGATGAGATAGCATGCAAAGTACCGTATTCCATTTGTTTTAACGAGGGCCTGGATAAGATATCCGACAGCCCCGAGTATACTCAGTCCACTTAATAGAAATGAGCGGTTGCCAACTCGATCGGACGTGTAGGAAGCCAATAGACAGATGCAGTATGCAAGTAGGTAGGGGGGTGCCGACAGCCCCTGTGCTTCGGCTGATGTATATCCAATGTCCTCAATAATTGTTGGCAGGAACGCAGGAAGAGCTCCAAAGGCAGACTGTAAATTGTTAGCCTACCTATGGTTCTCTAATGTCAATGGTATATTGAGAGCTTACATTCAAGCAAAAGACAATAACTGCTTGGAAGTAATTTTTATAATCAAACAACGCAGCGAACACATCTTTCTGGTCCAATCTTCCCTTTTCTTCATGGCCACGCCCCGAAAGCGCTCGAAGGCGCACAATATCATTTTCCTTCGCTGTGAGGAAGCGACACTCACCAAGCCCTCTGGGCAGAAACACATAAACAAGGGGCACTGCCACAATAGTGGGAATGCCCTCTAGACAAGGTGTTAGACTGTCAAGTAGTCGAGATTGAATGAAACGTCCTATGCACTTACCAATAATGAACAGCAACTTCCAATCGGCAATCGATGTATTTGCGTGAACAATGCCGTAGGCTAGCGCGGATGCGAAGCAGTTTGCAATGGCCGAAAATGAAATGAAAAGTCCAAATCTGAACCCCATCTCCGACCGGCGATAGAAGAAAGATAGATATAAAGCCACACCTGGTCCAAAGCCAGCTTCGAATGCTCCTATTAGACAACGAAGAATTATCAAGCCCGCGAAATTGCTGGCTGCGGCTTGGAGCATACTAGAAGCGCCCCAGCCGAGTGCCATCAAAGAGACCCATACCTGATAATCTTTAGCTTTGATACTACGGTGATATCTGGGGATGGTCACTTACTGGGAGTGAGACCAGCTTCCAGAGGAGAATGAACCATTGGAAGGTAATATAAGCGATATAATATGCGGTTATCACCCAAGAGTATTGGTTTGAGGTGATACCCCATTCCTTGCCCATACCTGCGGTGTAGGCATTTCCTACATTACCGCGGTCAATATATGACAGTAGATAGAGAATGCCGAGCCTGCAATTATCAGCTATGCGCTTATGCGAACTTAAATGGGAGGGTCTGGGTCGAACAGAATAATCAAACTCCAATCTAGTTTCTGAAACGCCTTGGCCTTTTCTGCGTCTGAATATTGGGAGAGCAGATCATCAATTGGAGAGTGCTCCTTCTGCCGGTCATTTTTGCCACGGGCAATGCCTGCCTGCTCACAGTCCTTCACGTCCTCTTTCATGATAACAAGTGGCGTGACCAGTATTGTGAGCTCGATTCAATTGAAAGTGAGCAGAAATACTGCAGCAGAAAGAGAATCGCTGGTTATTTTTTAAATGTAGTATAGATTCAGCACTAGCAAGCGTGTCAAGTTTTGTCAAGCACCAAGTGTTACCTCTTGAAGATCGGAAAAGATGTTGTACGTATTAGGACTCAACAAAGCAAATTTTATCAAAGCTCAGCATTTCTTCTTTTTGACTACAGCATAGGGGAATCTTTATCCCTTGCCCGGTTCCTGGATATAATCTCACGGGTATGCCTTGCGAAGATCGTACACGTCGATCTATTGAAAAAATATCAGATATATCTGTAGCACCCTAGCCTGATGAAACATGCTCTTACAATATAAGAGACCTAGGATCTAGGTTCATCAGTAAGTAATGGTAGCTTGACAGAATCTGTAATTATGAGGGTCCCGTTAAGCCACAGCGCACGATAATGAAATTTCATTTGAAAATAATATTTTATTCTATTGCCGTCTGGGATTGTCAATAGGCTATAGACTATTGAAAAAGAAAAAAAAGTGCCCCGTAAGCACATTTGATCTGAAGTACCTATTGTAGAAAAAGCAAAGAACAATAATAAGAAGTGTAGAACATGACAGGACCAAACTCCAACCCCTTGCATAGGGTGACGAGGCAGATGAGATCAACAATAAAGCAGCTGGACCAAGAATGCTCCGAGTCATAAGGGGTTGCGACAGTAAAATTATATGCTAGGATCATGAAGGGCAAGATCGGCTTTCTCTTTCTTATAACTAAATACAAAGTCCTTATGATTAGAGGAGGACCTGGATGGATTCCAGCCCAAAATCATGTCAGCCACAATGAAGTCTGAGGAACCAAGACTCGACACGAAGGCTAATCCAAATATCTGCACGCCAGATGATGTTGAATATGTGAAAGGGCGGGAAGAGGAAAGTCTGACCGAAAAGGCCGAGCCATTGTACTGTATCCTATCCGAGAAGGCAAAGATTCTTACAATATGTACATGCGCATTAGTGACCTTCCTGAGTCCTATAGCTGTTAGTATGTATCTTCCCGCCCTTGGGTCCATGGCGAGAGACATACATGTGTCAACTACCAAAATTAATTTGACAATAACTGCCTACAAGGTAAATTCCATGCCTGAGAGATATTAAGCAGTAGCTAACACTAGTAGGTTTTCCAAGCCGTGTCTCCTCTGTTGACTGCCAGTTTATCCGATCTCAATGGCCGTCGGCCAGTTATTATAGCCTCTTTACTCGTCTTCTTTGGGAGTAGCATCGGACTGGCCCTTCAAACCGAGTTCCCGGCCCTACTCGTTCTGCGCTGTATCCAAGGTTTTGCCAGCGCTAGCGCTATGGTGATTTCTGGCGCCTCTATCGTTGATCTCATTACCCGAGGAGAGCGAGGCAAATACATGTTCTACTCCTCGCTAGGAACGACAATTGGTCCAGCAATTGGGCCAACTCTAGGAGGTATCCTGACACAGTACCTGGGATGGAGAAGTATCTTCTGGTTTCTTGCCATCACAGCAGGAGTGATCATCATCACTATGCTTTTATTCCTGCGTGAGACCTGCCGCGCAGTAGTAGGCAACGGCAGTCTGGCTCCTCAGACATGGAACAAATGCGCACTTCAATTAGTCCGACCAATTACGCAACAACCAGCCCCCGACACACGAACTACATTCAGACGACGCCCAGGGATTATCCAAACTCTCAAAATGCTCCGGGATAGACATATCGCTCTTCTTGTCATCTGCGACTCCACGACCACTTGCGCGTCCTCAGCCATTGTGAATAGTCTGACAACCCTGTTGGCGAAGAACTATAAGCTTAGCCCGCTGTATATCGGGTTGTGCTATCTCCCTTTTACACTCGGAGGACTGACCACCCGCTGGACTGCGGGATTATTAGCGGATCGGTTGTTTAGGCACCAGGCGCGCCGAGTAGGTGAGGAAATCCAACCTAACCGACAGTCTCCGAAGCAGCTCCGGCGCATACCCCTCGAAAAGGCCCGGCTAGGTCTTGGATTGCCATTTATCTATCTATACTGCCTCTGCGTTGTTGCGTTTGGTTGGGTTATGGATTACAATGTCCACTTAGCGGCCCCTTTGATCATCTTGTTCTTTTGCGGAAACGCGAGTGGAGGTGTGAACAACACCATCAACATGCTCGCTGTGGATTTGAACGCCGATAGGCCTGCTTCAACGCGTGCTGCTATGTCTTTAGTAAACCGATTGGTTTCAGCTGGCGCTGTTGCCGCTGTGGCACCGTTGATCGAAGTTATCGGTATTGGCTGGGTTGGAGTGCTCCTTGCGGTCCTGATGATCATTTCTACGCCGGCTTTATGGACTCTGTATTTTTGGGGACAAAGCTGGAGAGAGGCAAAGACATCCGAAGAGGATTAAGCGTGTTGTTAGAAATGGAAAGTGAGGACACATTGCATTCCAAATACCTAGGTAGGATATTGGAAATTTGTCCTCAATTGAGATAATGCTACCATGACTAGAAGGATATAGGTCTTTCATCTGAACACATCAAAAGAAAATAAACAATAATGCCCAATGCGTCGGGCTCCCTCACTTAATCATAGGTTGATTATGCCTAGATTGACTGAATTCTCACGCCAACCCAGCCCCGTCCCACGCTTTTCGAGGACCATCAATGTCTTTGGAATTTCCATTCCAGGACTCCACCTCCGATGGTAGTGTACCCTCCTCAGACACATAAAAATACTTCTCTGCAATCGCTTTTCGCATCACCTTTCCGGCGGCTGATGGCAATATCTGTTCACCGTTTTGCAATATCCGCAGGAGTGACGGATGCTTATACTTCTGAAGCCTGTCTTGCAGATCTCCTCGAATTTTCGAGAGATTTGGCCGGTGTTTTAAAGTTGTCAATCGAACTAGAGCAGCAATCTTTCGGGTGTAGTCGAACTCTACTGGAACGACATATACTTCCGAAATATATGGAAGCTCAGCCAGTCGCGCCTCTACCTCTTGAATAGGAATCAGAAGCCCACGACACCGTATGACTAGTGAAAGCTGTGTTAGATGCGGTATAATTTCCAGTGCCTAAGAGAGGAAATATCTTACCATCAGTTGATGATCGACCTTCAAGAATGTACTGGTCCCCGACTCGATGTCCAATATCGCCAGTTCGGAAGTATCCCTCCTCATCAAAGGCAGCCCGTGTTGCAGCTTCATTTCCAAGATATCTGTACATATCAGGGAATAAGCTTGTAATACGGTAAAAAAATTAACATATTACGCACCTTGTGAACATCATCGGGCCTTTGATCAAGATATCTCCATGATCCCCTTCAGACAGTTTCACCTGCACTTGGTCCCGTGGCTTCCCAATGCACCGCTACCAATCATCAGCCAAGATAAATTTGATACCAAAGGAAGACTGACCTCCAAATTCGAATTACAGTCATCCGTAGTGGCAATCACAACACCCATCTCCGTTGCGCCGTAGATATTAATGAGCGGACGCCCAAGAAGCTCCCGGAAGAACTCCATGATCTTCGGCCCCAGGAAGTCACCTGTGACAACGGGCTTCTTTAACGCCCGTGCTCCATCGACGTATTGCTTTCTCTGCTCGGCTGGCAACACATCTATATGCTCATTGAAGTATTGCATAAAACTTCTCCACTTAGGTGGCGAGATCTTCAAATCAGTAACATCGCCTGTCCTCAATCGTTCCCATACTTCGCACATATTGTCCCTGATAATCTCATTCCGGGTTCCATTAATGGACCGCCATATTAGAGGCAGGGCAATACCACCCCAAACTACAGGCCGGAAGCACAATGCGACCCCGCCGCTTGGGAAGGATCTCGGGACAGCGTAAAAAATACTCCGGGGGCGGATAATCCCCTTTGGGGGCCCAGTCGTGCCAGATGTGAAAACAAGCACACCGGCACTCTGTGGATCCATTGACATCTCGGGGTCAATTTTGATCTGGGGGCTCGGGGTTGGCGATTTGTTGTACGCGTCGATCTGGATGGTGATTAACGGGCGACCTCCATGCTTCTGGATAGCAGCGCGCTGCTGGATTGCCAATGCTAGATGTTGGAATTCCGAAGCGAAGAGGAGGCAGGACGCATTTGAGAGTTCCACAATGTAGACGGCTTCCTCTGGACTCAAGTTACTCGCTGTGTCACACCCGTCAGTTACGGCACCGTGTTTGGGAAATTCGGAGCTTCTCTAACACATTGGCGAGAAGGCTGCACCGCAGCAGAGAGCACCCAAGGATGCAACAACAAAGTCGTAGTTTCCTGGCGCCAGGACCAGAATGAATGGTCTTTGTGGGATGATCATGTTTCGGGAGTCAAACATCGAGGTCGGCAATGTTTGGACGATTTGACGACGCATGTAGAGCATATCCGTCAGCAACTGCATACAGCTTGCCTCGGTGCCTTTTATCCTGTCATTGAACAGAAGATAATCAGGGTTAGCCGTGAAAGCCCCCAGCATATGATGGAACAACGGCTCATCTGGCAGACTTTCGACGATTAAGGTCATTGTGGGGGATGATGTCAAATGTGTTTGGATAAAAGAACTTTGAAACTATAGATAGTAGGGTTTTATATTGCCCCAAAAGCGAATGCGACAGGTATTGTAACGATGGTCACCGCCATTTTCCCTGTACATTGTTAGGACGCCCATTAAAGTCATCTAGCAGAGCTGCAACGTACGAGGTCTGCATAAGTGTAGTTCTTGTCATGCATATAAGCCATCTGCCTATGATGGTATTGATGTACACTAAAAATACTACATGCGTGCGATCCCCGATCCGCAGGATCATATCTTTGTCGGAAAGATGAACCTCATTACGTGAATACAGAGCTTCTTTTAAGCGGGTCTCTTAGGTACATAACTATATGTATGTATTAACTACAAGACGATGTATATGCTTTATATGTATTTACACCTTGATACCACTGGCAGTTTAAAAATGTATCGTTCTACCTGTTTGAAATTTTGAGTATAGGTAATGTTTGGATCATAGAAAGATTAGAACTATTGGAAGTGAATATGTAGAATGAAAGGAGCACACGGTTGAGTTCATAAATTCAATTCTGACTTTAGGAGATCAATTGACCTGATGAATATACTAACATGAAGCCTTCGTGTTGGGCGCGACTGAATCGACCAAAGCAGTAAATACATTGGGACAGCCACCGAGGCATTAAACTTGTAGGACCGGGCTCGCTCGCTTTTGCTTGAACTCTTCAAGCTTAGATTCCACCAAAGACATGATTTTGGGGATGGTGTCTCGATTATCCTCGGCAGGAATACCCAAGGTTTCTTCCACATACGCCTCAAAACTCTTACTGTTCACAACAGGTCCTGTGAAAACGGTGATAGCAATTCCCCACTGGTCCATGAGTTGTTTTGCCCCCCATGCGGCAACAGGGTCACTCGCCGAAACAATAACGGAAGCAATATGCTTCTTAAACTCGGGCGAGCACAGAACACTTTCTGCATTGTAAGGCCCTAGGAAACTTGCGCCAAATTCCACCACAATGATATCTGGCTGGATCTGGTTCAAGTGATGCAATGTCCCCAATGCGACTTCAACAATCTCCGTTACATTCTCGCCACAGGTGCTCGGCAAGCCCGCATCCATAAAGCCCAAAACAAGGTCCGCATCAGTCGATGAGAGCTTTTTCAGTTCCTCGAGGTATGCCATCCCGGTCAGCTTCGCACACGCAACCTTCAGCCCTTTCGATTTGAAGTGCTGAATGACTTTTGCCGACGTGGAAGTCTTGCCAGTGTTGGTAGCTGTGCCCACCACGCAAATTACAGGTGCGATTGTATCCAAGTGTCGCAGTCGGCGGACAAATTGCGCCTGTTTGATGTTGAGGTGTTGGCCGGCAACTTGGGCACTGCCCAGGACGCGCACCGCCAGTTGTTTGCCCCAAGCCTTGTCAGAGCCTCGAATTTCGCCGACCACGCCGCTCGCACTGCTCCAGTACAAGAGGTCCCCCACTGCCAGTGTCTTGGGGATGTCGCAACTAAACCCGTTGAACATCCGACGTTTACCTAGGACTGCTGGTATGATATCTCCCTCTGCCAGATCATCGCTTTCTCCGGTTGTGGATTCCATATAGGTTCGTTTGCCTTCTGTAGACAGCACTTGAACCAAAATAACAGCGCCCTCCGCAACTGACGGGACTTCAGGTGTTATTTGGACGACATTGGGAAGATTCATCCGCCGGAAGAGTGATGGGACTTTGGTGAGGCAAACATCGCCTATCGTCTCGCTTAGGGTTCTGCCAAAAGAGAATGAGAAATGTTAGTGAGTAACGAATAATGAGTTTGCAGCATGATATCATCAAGCCTTATCCGACTAACCTGGTCATAGTGTATAGAGCCGGTCAGTGTAATAGTGTGAGGTGGTTGCGACATCGGCAATATTGAAGATTACCCAGGAAGTAGGAATGCGGCGACTACTTACATGATTCATTTCCCTATCCCATTTTTTGCTTTGACGAAATTTTGCATTACCTGGATCGTTGCACTACGCGCACAGATTAATCAAGGGGACCCTAGTTGCATTGGCGCGCAGTGGACGCCCACGTCTTTCAACTGCACGGATACATATGCAAGGTGCAGCTTACCTGTCAACCAGTAAAACTTTAATATCAACAGTCATGCCGTTGAGATTCGAAGAAGCGGTGTATAACTCTTTGATGCTATCATCGTGCCGCTGGGTCCATGCGACTTTAAGCTCCATCTCTGCATCACTTACATGGAGAAATCAATTAACGACTTTCTATGCATGATTGCGTAGAGAACTAAGTATAGGGAATATGCAAAAAAGTGACATATCATCCCATGACTCTGAGATCTTGTCAGGCTGCGTCGTCCCAGTTTGATTGCTTTGACAAGTTTCTCGCTCATCATGAAATCAAACGACAGTCGCGGCAGGCATCAACGGTCGATCCTTGCAACATGGATGAGATCTGGGACATCGAAGGGTCTTTATGTGCTCAGAGATCAACTTCCAAAATCACAGAGTGACTGGGAGCCGATTCTTCTGTCTCTTATGGGCACTGGCAGTCAAACTGATGGCATCGGCGGAGGCACACCAACCACTTCCAAAGTGGCAGTTGTCTCGCGCTCAACGATGCCCGGGTACGATATCGATTATACATTCGCCCAGGTGGACTTTGCTGGTGCAAAAATAGACATGTCTGGGACTTGTGGGAATCTAGCTGCTGGAGTCGGACTCTTTGCTCTGGATCAAAATCTAGTGGTGTTTCCAGAGGAACAAGAATGCGTGAGTTTTTTCTTTTATGACGAACAACAACAGCAACGCTTTATTTGCGCCAAGTGAAACCGGTTATTAAGTGAGTGAACAGGTTGATATCAGAGTTTTCGTCACAAATACTGGCCAAGCATTGCTGGTCACCATTCCGCAAAACAATACCACATGTGATATTAGAATCACGTTTCTGGCGCCAAACGGCAATATGACAGGGAAACTGTTTCCCAGCGGAGCCAGGAAAGACTACCTTGCCTTTCAATGCCCCAGCACCGGGACTGGGTTCGTTGTCCACACCACCTTGATTGACTGCACAAATCCATTTGTCTTGGTGGATGCTGCCTCAATGCCGACATCTTACGCCCTAGACGGACCACAAGCTACGAAGTCTGAAGCCGTCATCGAAGCAATCCGCCGCGCAGGTGCAGTTCGAATGGGGTTGGCGCGAGATATAGCAGATGCTGCGCAGTGCCGAGGGACGCCGAAGATTGCTGTGGTCGCCCGCCCGAGCACCTCGAATTCCTCGGTGGATGTTGAGGTGACAGCATTCAGCGCGGGAGTCTTACATCCTACTTTCCAAGTCACGGGTGCTATTTGTTTGTCGGCAGCTTTGAGTATACCTGGTACGGTAGCATCGGACGTATTGCCCTCATCGACCGTCTGTTGGGAACATTCCCATAGCAGGCTACAGCCGCACATCTGGCGCATCGCGCATCGCGCAGGACAGATTGATGTTCAACTCAGTGTGTCTTGCGACACAAAAGGGGAATATTTGGTTGAAAAAGGAAGTATTATTCGAACAGCCCGGAAGTTATTTGAGGGACTGACATTCTATTCATTGCGATAGAGGGATTTGTGGAATCGGAATATTCGCTCCAATTAGTGAACTTTGAAGCGTTCAATGGAATTTCGTTTTTCATTTTTACAAATAACAGATTGGATAGTACCTGACAGCTCAAAACCACATAAAAAAGTCTCAGTTGTTCGGTATACGTACATGCAACTATATTCTGTACTCCATGCAGCAATGATTTAATTTCAGCCAGCCCCAACAAACTCTCACTGTCACCCGAGAAGAAGCGGTGAATAGTGAATGATTGGAGCTAAGGCAGCTCTGCCTTTTTACTTTACGCCTTTCTACTCAGTTTATGACCTGTACAAGCTTGTGAGAACAATTCTCGAGAATACGAAGTGCACTTGTTCGGATATGATCGGTCTTCCATAACTACTAAATTAAGTTCAGAAGCGATGTGGATACGACAAAGCCTCTCTACAATATTTTAGCAGATGATAAATCACAAACCGGCTAGATCGAGGAGTTTCTTTTTTGTAGAAACAGCATAAAAGGCGAAGATCGGCGGCGATAAGCTGCGGGCCGGCAATTGTGCTGCACAATGAGATATGCCAAGAGAAGATAATTCTGATAAGATTCGAACATTGCGTAGAAATGCTGGTGGAATCTAAGGCATTGAACTACATATGTAGCAATGAATTGTACATGCATACGATGCGCAAGCCATGGCTGGAATGTATACAGATGTGTATGTTGTATTGCGTCTGTCAGTGGAGGAAGCTTGGAAGCGGGTCTACAAAATGTTCAGCTCCACGAGATGTGTGGAGAGGCCCAGGATATGATTTTCATCTTTGACATGCGATTATTATCGTAATTAAATTTTGCTGCGGGATAGTACCGTTGAATGTACGGAGTACTAAGCATTTTCATTACTAGGACCTGACAACCGAATCCCCTAACGATCTGACCAAGTGACTTCTGTTGGCAAAAATTACAAAATCTCAGGACTATATCACGAGCTTCAAGAAAGACGCATTATGGAAGCATTTCAGCCGACTCAAATTTCTAGCCTCATTGGTCTCAATGTCTCAGATCTCGAGGACTATGAAGCTTTGTATAAAAAACTCCATTCTCATCCAGAACTTTCCCATCAGGAGTTTACCACCGCCAACATAGTCGCTGAAAAATTGCGCACAGTTCCTAATTTAGAGGTTTACGATAACATCGGCGGCACTGGAATTGCGGCAGTCCTGCGAAATGGACCCGGAAAGACAGTCCTCCTACGCTCCGAATTGGACGCCTTGCCCATACTTGAGGAAACTCATCTTCCCTTCGCCAGCAAAAAGACTATGCTTGATGAGTCCGACGGTGTTGTAAAGCCCGTCATGCACGCCTGTGGTCATGACATGCACATGGTCTGTCTTCTCGCCGCACTTGATACTCTTGTGACAACCAAACACATCTGGACAGGCACACTAGTTATTGTGTTTCAGCCTGCCGAGGAGCTCGGGGAAGGCGCACAGCGGATGATTGACGGTGGTCTATACGACTTAGTCCCCATTCCCGATGTTTTGATGGCACAGCATGTGGTAGCAAAACCAGTTGGGCGCATTGGAATGCGCCCTGGAGTGATGTTGGCGGGGTCAGATTCACTTAAGTTGACATTTCGTGGTAGGGGCGGGCATGCGTCCATGCCTGACCGAGCGATTGATCCTGTGGTTATGGCTGCGAGCACGGTTATGCGACTTCAAACCATTGTGAGCAGGCAGATCAGCCCGAGCCAGGAATTTGCTATTGTGACTGTTGGTAGCCTGAACACTGGGCAGGCTGCCAATATCATTCCGCAGAAAGCGGAAATGCAAGTCAACATAAGGACTGCCCATTCGTATACCCGAAAAAAGGTTCTCGCGTCAATTGAGCGCATTGCCAAAGCGGAAAGCAGTGCTAGTGGTGCGGACGAGGAGCCACTGATTGAGGCAATCACGAACTTCCCAATCACGGAAAATGACAAAATCACCACCGAGAGACTGTCGGATACTTTCGAAGCCGTTTTTTCGAATGGATTTGATCCGGACTGGCCCCGAAGCAACGCCAGTGAAGACTTCACAAAACTTGGCTTAGCAGTTGGAAAGCCCTGCTGCTTCTGGTTCCTTGGATGCATTGATAGCAACACCTGGGATGAGGCTGAGAAGAAAGGAAGAGTCTCACAAGATATTCCGGTCAATCACTCCTCCTCCTTCGCTCCAGCAATTCAACCTACCCTCACGATTGGTAGGAATGCCATGATTGCAGGTGCATTGACATTTTTATCGAAGAGAAACACCGCATAGCGCCATAGCGCTTTCCAGGATTGCACTCCGCTGGCGGTAGGAACAGTTTGTCTTCCTCGGAGTTAAAAACCATGGTGGTAAGAATTCTTTGTTCATTTGATTTTGGTCCCGAATGAGTACATTAAAACTAGATGCGTTGGTGAGGCTCCCAGAGATTGCATCGAATTGGAATTCACTCCAACGACGACGTAGAATTACTAGTATACAATATAATGCAGCATGACGTGTACTATATGATAGATCTATCCCAGGACTCACCGACCATCTAGCTGCATGTACAACATAGTTTGAAGTTTTTTTATATAGCCAATTACTTAATACCATGCATTACCTAACTAGTGAAATACTCCGTATGGAGTACATACAACATAGGTATGCACATGCACGAGCAAGGGGGTCCCTAACCAACCTTGGAAGTATTCAGCTTCCACATGTGTAGATCAGCTGAGATCTTCATTGAACTTTATATAACGTAGTTCTGTCATCACGGATTAGTTGCCTTTTAGGTTACCAAAATCGGAAAGCAAATGAAAATACAGCTTAATCTACGGAGTACTGTTGTAGTCCCTTCGCGATGACGACGACGACAGAGCCAAGCGTGCCCCATATAAACCCTACTAGTCCGGTCCCTCACCGCTGGATTCTTCAAAGATCCTACAATACTCGTATAAAATATTTCCAGATCTTGATCCACTTTATTGTATTTTACATAGATTCGAGTACACGATTCAAATTAGACTTATATCATTCGTGCACATCTTCTAAAATACTAATATATCAGTATCTTCCGTAAGCTGAATTCTAAATACACAGCCCGGAATGAATGATTAACTGGAATTTTTATTTCAAAGGGAGATATAGCGCGTAGAGTTTTCTCTAGTCCACCCGTCGTTGAATTATAGCTTGATACAAAGACGCGTCTCGTTGAATTTTCTGCCGATTCGCTTGAAATTTCGCCATCAACACAGTTTATTGCGCGATCTAAACAAGGTTATATCTAGACAAAGTTATGCCAATTGCCGAATTTGTACTTTATATCAGGGGTTGTCTGTCAGAAGATGCAGCGATTCTCACTGACAGGACGGACGCTCATTTCTGGACAACCCCTAAACGATGGTCAAATATAGGAGTGAAAGTACCAGGAGCTGTTGTAAGGCCCGCTTGTGAAGACGATGTTGTTAAAGTGGTGAGTCAATATCTTTCCCCTTCCCAGTATAGCGGCTTCTTATCACTAACTACTGTTGAAGGTGAAAGCTGCAGCTACCACATCAACACCATTTGTTGCGGCCACAGGTGGACACAGCCCCTGGTCGTCAATTGGAGAAGATGGTCTTGTCATTGATATGTCAAATTTCAAAGGAGTCGAGGTAGACCCTTGTTGTGGGACAGTTCGAGTACGCGGAGGTGTCTTGCATAAAGAGTTTCAGGTGGAACTAGCCCGCCAGGAACAATGCACAGGTTCGTCTTCTTCCTTTTTATTCTTTTATTTTATACGCTTATAAGATCCATAGCTATTGGAGATGCGAACACTATTGGCGTGATCCCGTTCTTCCTCGGGGGTGGTATCAGCCTTTACTCTGGACAATTCGGCTTCGGCTCTGACAACATCCTCTCTGCTCGTGTCGTCACAGCTGATGGCTCCTTGGTTGAGACAAGCGACACGATAAACCCGGATCTGTTTTGGGCGATCCGTGGGGCTGGGCAATTCTTTGGAGTTGTTACGGAACTGACTATTCGCACCTACCCTCTGTCCACCCTGGGCAGCATGGTAGGAGGACATTTTTTCCGTCAACTCATCTTCCCCATGTGTCAGGCAAGGGAGATTGCTATGATTATGAAGGAGCTCATGGTCGATCCATCAACGCCTACAGCCGGCCATTTAATGATAGTTTCTCGACCCCCAGAGTTTCAACAAGTTATTGTGATAAATGCACACTACATCGGTGACCCTGCTAAAGCTGAGTTCGCTTTCCAAAGGCTTACGGACCTCGATCCGATCGAAACAACGACACGGATGCTTTTGTTCGAGAATCACAGTGATTTTCCACTCGCGAAATCGTCACCCGGGGACTTCAGGAGCATCAACCTAATAGGCCTGGCCGAATTTACAGCCGGAAAATTCCTCGCAATGGCTAAACTGCATCAGGATCTTATAACAGATTACCCAGACGCAAAAGGCACTCAGGTAATCTTCGGATGGCGTGCGCCGGCTTGCCAGCTTCCGATCACGGATACCTCCTTTGGTAATGCAGGCCAACTATTATGGCTGTGAGTACTCCCTCCCCACAGTGATCGAAGGATACCATCTCCAATCATGCGAGACTTTCCACTAACACATCTCCTGTCGCAGAAATGTTCTTCCTTGCTATAGAGAGCCCTCTACCCAGGAACCTATAACAGAGTTTGTCGCTGCAGGGGCACATGTCGGGCGGATCGGCTCAACAGAGGATAAATTTATATCTTACACCAACTCCAATCGCGTTGATCCTCTCCACTGGCGATACAAAGGTGCAGAGAGGATCGAGAGACTCAAACAACTCAAGAAAACATGGGATCCTACAGGCACTTTCTCACGGGAGTTCCTTTGAGGGTTCAATGACCGAAAATGGGCAATCGTATGTATATAAGGCAGAATATGGATTTGGATATCTGTCAGAGTCAAATTGAGCAACAGAAGAGTGTAAAATACTCTTCTGTTCCTCGGAGTATTCATCCTGAGACTATTTCTACCCTGGACAGCAATCCATATCAAAGATTCCAGTCCAACAAATTTTCTCACAAAAATACAAAAACGTTAAATTACGTGTAAATTTTATACAACTGCCTGCAGGTACACATCAGATACACAGAAACCCACCGCTGATGTGGAGGCATCCGGTGCGGAAATGATCTTCAACGCCCTGCATGGACAAGGGACAACAACAGATTACATATGTTATAGGTAAGAAAAGCAATCAGAGACGTCATATTAATACTCCAAGTCTCCCTAAAGTGCAGGTACCGTTTTATAATTGATTATTCCATCAGCCTTTGAGCTAGTCACTCAAGATGGGGTCCATCAATACAGCCTCAAGAATTGACCATGTTACAATTTTACTCTCAGAAGAAGAATTCAAGAGCCCCCCTTCATGGCTAAGTGACAACTTCACTATAATCGAAGGCGGCAAACACACCGGTACGTACAGCGCAAGCCTTTCAACCCCTATAGAACGATGCTGATCACCGCATTTCAGGTCAGGCTAGCCAGCTAAAGCTCATTGTGTTTGCGGACGGCACGTATCTAGAGCTCTTCAACTGGTGGGACCAGCCACCGGTTGGCCACACCTGGGGAACTAAAAGCCCAGGTCTCATTGATTGGAGCATATCTTCCATGTCGACACAGACCGCCGCTGAGCATTTCCAAGGCGTCAGCCAACGCTTGAATAAAGGTCCTGGCGGAGACGGTAATCTCGGCGTGTCGTTTCCTCAGCCAACCGTACAGGGCCGGACAACGCCAGAAGGTCTGAAACTCCACTGGACAAGAGCCAATCCGGATTTCCATGGTGCATCGGAAACTCCAGACGAGAAGTTCTTCCCAACGGGCCGCTTGGACGCTCCTTTCGTGTGTTACGATGGGTCTCCTAGGCAGACGAGACTGCGCTTTGATGATCCGGCTAGAGTAACCCATCCGTGTGGGGCGATTGGAGTTCATCAGATCGAAGTGGTCGTGCCGTCTTCTCATATGAAGAATTATTCGACGCTGCTCTCTAGCATGATTGGTTCGCCACCTAGCACAGCTAGAGGCCAGGTTGGCTGCACGTTTAACCTCGGGTTGCCACTCGAAAACAAAGGAGAATGCAGTATTTGGTTGCATAGTGAGAGGGATGGGAAAGATGAACAGTGGCTCAGTACTAGGGGAATTGGTCCACTCATGCTTAGATTGCGGGTGACAGGCCGAGAGGGGCATGGAGAGGAGCTTCTTGGGAAGAATGGGTCTGCAACACACGTCGCGCTTGTCTGGTAAAAGGGGTTTGTCTGGGAATTGGCATGGATGTTTCATTGTTTCAGTCTTATTTTAAATGTCTGGTAGCCGCCCGAAAGCTGTCCAAAGTTTCAAGGGAGCTTTCGACAGTTCATTTGGATTTCTGGCTTAGGACTAACGGCTTTTGGTCTTCCGGTATGAGGTTGGTTCGCTCGAGGAAAAGGTAGTATATCCTCACGCGTCACCCTGTACCGTACCTACTACTATGGATAATGTCAATAATAGCACCCAGGTTGAAGATAATCAAAATCCCAGACAGACTAGATATGCCACTATTCTAATCCATTCACTGCAATTTCTTGGCAGCCACGATGTCTAAATAGCCGTTTGTCCTTAAGTCAGTAGCAAATCCCGGATATATCATGTTCGAAACGAAGTTGTTCATACCTGCTTGTACTGCGCGCCATGCTTCCGCAAGACGTTCATCTTTCCACTCAAATGTCAGTCCATCTGGAACTGATGCTTCGTGAATATTCCAAATTATCCGAGACGCTCGGTTGTCGGGATATGTTTCGAAGCGAATCCTATAGTATGAAGGATCTGCGATATCATATCTCCCACTCTTCTTCACTTCGTCAAAGCTCATGCTCCACTCAAAGACGTGGTCGTGGTAGTGACGAAGAGGGTAGCGCTGTGAGTCTAGACCTTGGAAGGAGATCATGAGATCGCTCTCTGACTCTGGACTCAAAGTGACTTCCAGCATGTACTTATAGTCCCCATTGTTGTACTTGCCGACGTAGCATTCAAGGGGGAGTGGTGGTGCTCCTTGGATTCGCTCTCGGGTCAATCTATCATGTAGTGCAGCAAACCGTGCGAGTGTTCGTCTTTTACCTTCTTCTGCAAGCTTCACATAATCGGTGGGTTTGGCAAAGTCAAAGAGGCCCTCAATGAGGAGTCGCGCGATCCAGTCAGCAGCATCGCTCACCGCAGTGGTGTTCATGAGAACTACAACGGCCGACTGCGTCTCAGGAAAAATAGCAAGGAATGAAGAGTATCCCGGCCCTCCGCCTTGGTGATATATCATGAGCCTAGACTGGTTTCCAGCCCCGAATATAGGCTGCTCAGACATTTCCCAAAGTCCGGTGTTTCCACCGAGAAGGCCCACAATGCCGGGAAGCTGGGCTCGAGCCCAGCCAAATCCGTACGATCTTTCCAACAATGATGGATTCTTCATTGCGATGTGGTTGCTGAGGATGTCCGGGGTTTGTTTCAATACTGTGTTGGCGGATAGCTCGGTATTCTGGCTCGCAGCCAATGTTTGCTTGGCCCATATGAGAAGATCGCTCACGGTCGAATAGGCTCCGCGTGAACCTTCGAATAATGTATTCGCAAAATTGGGCTGAAATTCCAATGGACAAGCCTCCCCGTTGCTAAGTGAAGCATGTGGTTCAGCGACATTGTGGCTCTCTTCAAATGATGGCCGGAAAGTGGTAGAAGTCATCCTAAGTGGCCGGAATACCTGATTCTGAAGATACTCGTGAAGTGGCTGCCCAGATATATGCTCGATTATGTACGCAGCGATTGTGTATCCCCAAGGACACATCAGCCAATTCTCACGGTGTGGAAGCGGGCGAGGGATGAAGTCGACAGTTTTCAAAAACGCTTCGAGAGAAGGCTGTATGATGCCATTTCCGCCATCAGCTAGTAAAGTTGCAATTTCTCCGTCCAAGCCACAGCGATGCGCGAGAATATCGGCTATTGTGGATGTGTAGGTCCAGTTGACATCAGTATGCTCAATCTCGGGTATGATTTCTCTCAATAAAGTGGTCCACTGAAGTTTTCCGTCGTCCACAAGTTTGCCAATACCAGCAGCCACCATTGGCATGGTGATATGTCCGATTCCATATTGGGTGTTTGAGTCTGGAAGCGCTGTTTTGGATTTGTCGCGGAATCCAAAGTTTTCGGTCCACAAAGTTTCTCCATAGTCAAGGACTCCAATAGAAACACCTGGGATGCCCTCTATTTTGCAAATCTGGTCAATCGAGCAGCCCAGTTGCCGCAGTCGGTCAATGGTTGATAGAGCGGGCCTACATAGTGTCAGTGAGTGTGTCATCCAAGGGAGAGAAAGCCGACAACCACCATGGGAACTCAGCAGACGGTCAACACATGCATTTTTGGTGTTTTCTATTGTTGATCTCTTGGGAGTGTGAGAATCCAGGTTTGAAGGAGGGGTTTTAGGCAGCTTTATTGTCATATGACCCCGCCCCCGGGGCCAACTACAACATACGAAGCGGCGAGATGCTTGTCAGGTGAGTTTTGCTTACTAGTTAGCTCCTAGTAAAGGTCGGGGATTACGAGTTGTATGGAGTAGCTAGTGAGAGATTAAATGTCCCATAAAATAAATGAACCCCTCGTTCAATTTCGTGAGTCTCTTTGAAACTCTCGAAACTTAGAATCCCTAAATCCCCTGAATCCGTAATCCTAACACGGCCCTAAGAAAGAAATCTTAAAATGAAGGGCGAGAATATAGTACTGTAGAGGTGATATTGATTGGAATGATGTACTCAGATCCCGGAACTTTTTTTTCCCCGAGTATCCCTGAACTGGAACCAGTGCTGGAACCCGCCTCCAGCTCATTCAGACTAGGGCTCAATGTCCATGGGAAGATGGGCTTGGCGAAATATTCTTCCTCATACGGGTAGATGTGCATACGCCGCGCTCAGTAGGGATGTTGTTCATCTCCCCACTTGACCCATGGTGGAGCTTGACCGAGGTAGTCATGGATGACCTTAGTTCTCCAGAACTGCAGTAGATACATCTCCTTTCTCTCCCTTTCTTCTTTCCCCCAATTTCTCCAGCCAATATAGTGTATTTCCCTTTCTCCCTTCCTGTCTCTCATCACAATTGATCCAGTGCCTAAACCCTTCTTGGAAGAAGAGTAGAACCCAGAACGAAGCCCGGCCTCCATCTATACAAGTCATTTTGTTGTAAGATGGGCCGCAGTCTTAGCAAATAATGCGGGTATCGGAAGCATAGACAGGACCCATCATCAGCGCCTCCACGATTTCACCCTTGATCCCAACGCCTCGCCCTGCACGGAGTATAACTAGAGAATTGGCCTTGGCAAGGCCGCCTACAGCATCAGCACCAGTGCTCGTAGCATATAGTCGGCCGTCCGAGCGAGAGCCCGTCACGACAGCACGGTGGTACTCGGTGCGCTTGGGATCGAGGGGGAAATGGTGGGTCAGGACGACAGCGACCCGAGGCAGACCCAATTGCGGCGTAATCCCCGGCTTGGTAGCCATAGCCTGGGAGGACTCGCCTAGGCCGGTGAACTTTTGGAGGGAAGATAGGACGAAGAGGTTCAGGGTGGCTAGCGCTGAGGCTGGGTCTCCGGGGAGCGAAAATATCAGTTTCGAGGTGTGTTTCTGCCGGACGTTCTCAGCAGCTGCGTCTGCCGTGGTAGCCTTGCAGGGTACTGTCGCGAAGGTAGTGGTCATGCCGGGTTTCATAGAGATGCGGTCGAAGTGAATGGTGCCACCGAGCGTACGCTCGATGATAGAATTGAGGTCTAGCTTGGCCAGGGACATGCTGCCTGTGATTACGAGCATGTCGATGCTAGAGGATGCACGGTCTACACCGTATAGGAAGTCTCGAAGGGTGTGTTCGAGCTCGCCTACTGCCGTATCACGGGCGATGCCAAGATCCACGGTCTCAAAGCCCCAGGAGGCTAGGCAAGATAAAAGGGATGGGCGGTTCGAGTCACGGATCTGGCCTCTGACCAGGGTAGAGGGATCTGAATGCTTCACGAGCTCGCCACCGATACTGAGGACGCCCACCCGGCACTTCTTGAATACCTTGATGGCTCGGGTGCCCGTGGCAGCAAGCAGACCTATTTCGCCGCCGACTGGGGAGATAAGGTCACCACGATCAAGGATCTTAGAGTTAAGGGCAATGTCGCTTCCAGGTTCGCGGACATTTTCGCCTGGGAAGATATCGTCGGCCAGGATTTCGACAGTTGCTTCGCCTTGGCCATCTAGGGCTGAGGATGCCGTGTCATCAAACATAACCACAGCGTTGGCATTAGGGGGAAGGGACGCGCCAGCGGTAATTTTAGCAATGGTTCCTGGTTGTAAGGGCTCAAAGGCTCCGCTCATGTTGGCGTGGGCGATTGAAGTTCTATGGAAAATGGCGTTGGTGGATTTGCCTTCTACGGCAACGATGGCGTAGCCATCAACAAGACTGGTGGGGTATGCCGGTACCATCTCGCTGGCGTAAACATCTTCGGCAATGACGGACCCGATGATGGAAGTGGTGACAGGCGTTTCGACCACAATGGGTGCAGGGGTTTGCTCGCGGATCACACGTAGTGCTTCCTCTACAGAAAGCATGGGATTGAAACAAGGGCGGTAGCGCTGATTGAGGCCCATGGCGGGTCTGTTGGATTTGGATTGGGGACAGTGTGGTGAAGATGTGTGTGCTTTGCGGATCAGATGGCCATGGGCATGGTGGTGATGATAGGGTTGAAGTTGAAGTTGTGTTGGATGCTGGGAAATAGTGATTCCGGCCTCATTATTTGACTTATTCAAGCCAGTAGTATGCAAGGAGCGATGGTACTGCGGGAAAACATGAGGGAGGAGTTTCATAACGGCTTCAAGATTCTCCATGGCTCCTTTGGGAGATCCTGGTAAACTGATAATCAAAGTCTTCTCACGAACACCAACAATCGATCTTTCCAACTTTGTGACTAGAAGTGAATGAGCTGGGATGTATAATCAAGTCGGTGAGCTGATATCATCTCACATTGAGTAAATTTCAGAGACTCGGCGATCATGCCTTGGCTAGACAGGTTATTACGTGGTGAGCATAAGTCCGAAACCACAGATGAAACCATGTACACTCACACTGGGGCCGGGGCATGTCGATTAATCAGGATAGTGACGGCCTAGGATGATGTCTTTAGCACACGAGAGCCGGTTGGCCAGCAAAGATCCCAAAGATCCACTCACCTCGGCAGTATTGTCTTTGCCTGCTAAGCCTGTCACAGCACTAAGCAGGACTAGATGGTGCCAATTGGGGCCAATAGTCCAGTCGCAAACTGCTTGCTGGATTTGGAGGACGTTGTTCGGAACTATACGAATTGCGGAGAGTTCCCACTTCTCCTCCTTGGCCAGAATAGGTGCAAGAGCACTAGCCGCACGGTCCAAAGTGGGATCCTTGGAGGCTTCGTCGGAGATGATCAGGATGGCAGCCCTTTTTATTTCCATTGTGTTGAGAGATGGATTTAGCTATGCGGGTAACTGAGGCCTTTTAAGCCTCAAAAAACTGGGGTATGGCAAAATGTTGAAGTTGCAATGCTATCTTGCTACATATGTAGTGGCCATTCCATGGTAGATGCATTCTAGTATCTCTGGTATGCTAAGTCGCTGTCGGATCGAATCGAATGAACTAAGGTGGTCCGTAGGCGAGCGTATGTGGCCACTAAGCGAGCTGCGAACCCAAATACAAAGTAAATACAGTATTTTACGCCTTGATATCTCAGCTACCAGGTTATTTTACAGTCTTCTTACGAGAATCCATGTTTGTTTTCAGATTCACCGCTCGCTTAATGGCCACGAGCTCGCTTAATGTCCACATGTGTAGGTCAATTACGGGCCGGTCTCTGGGGTTAGATTTGGTTTGATGCTCTTACTTGTGTATTGTTTACTGCAAACACTCGTTGGGTAAAGACTTCAAAAAGCATCCATCAATAATCCTCAGCTTTATCGTCATCTTCATTGTCCACAGAGACATAACTCAAATTGCGAAAGCGCCAGTAGTGAAGTTGTTTGTACCATAGCTGAATGGTAATGTTATCTTGACCCTCATACCTGTTATCCAATTGCGATATATATCAGGTGCAATTCCCTTCCAAAGCAATCACGCAGCCATACCGGCACCAATACGGAGATAAAGCCGGTAGTCAAGTTGACTCTGGAGAGGTATAAAGCAAAGAAGCAGTATGTGCTAAATTGGAGAAACACATGACTCATATAATAGGTGATCAGCTTGATACATACATTGTACCTGCCAGATCTATCTTACACCAGCCGGATATCAAACCTCGGAAGCATAAGTATCTTTCTCTATGGAGTTTTCCCAGATCGTTACCAGCGGGTATTTCGCGCCCAATAATATTTAAAATGACGGCCAACGCGATGGATTCATCTTCAGTTAGGATGTCATGACTATATCTATATTCCTAGAGAAAACAGACTCATGTGCAACATTAGATATCCAGGTTCGGCCCTAGCAAGTTTTGCCGTTGTTATACGAATGACTCATGTACTCATGATCCACGAGACTAGATCTCCTTTCAATATCCAGCACTAGACTATCATCACTGGGTGCGCTGGCGGCGACGGAACCAAATATGCAAGAACAAAAAGTCAATCACGCCCACCGCTAGCATCGCCGAAATGACAGAGAATCCCTTGATATACTTAGGGCCATCCTTTTCTGGGAATAGGTACTGTGCGTTCCGAGTTAGCTTCGTTGCCGAACAGAGAATATGACTTGGTGAGATACGTACCGATCCGTAGATCTGTGCCAAATTACCCAGTGCATTCACCATAGCCAAAGCAACACCTCGGGCCTGGGGGTGCATCCCACCAAAGGCAGAGGAGGCGTAGGCCAGTGTACCTCCATTGGTGGCCCAAAGGCCGGATGCCATGAGAACCAGGAGAACATACCGAGCCGTGAAATTGTACACAGCACAGACAATGATCGAACATACCAGGGAAAATGTCAGCCAACTAGCAATAATGACGCCACGCCAGTTGGGAACTTTGTCACTGAAGTAGGATGTGACACCGGTGGCGATAAATGCCACGCCGTAGATTGGCACAGTCAATAGATTAATTTTCTTGGTGGATGCATCTCCGAAAAGTCCTTGTACGAGGGTAGGATAGAAGTACGTCAGGGTACTTGAACCGACGATGACCTATAGAGAATGACCTGATTAGTGATGTTAAAGATAAGGGCCAAACAAGGGGGTCCGAACCATATATCCAATAACAAACGTCCAGGTGCGAAGGTCTCGGCAAGCCACTTTACAAGCATCCCAGTTACTTAGGTGCTCGGTATCCTCGGTCGTAGCGGTGACGTTCTGAGCGGCCAGGCGTGCCACAGCGATATGCCTCTCGCGCTCAGAGAGACGTCGCGATGTACCCGGGAAATCAGGAAGAATGAAGAGGGAAATGATAGCAAAACCGACAGTAGCGGCGCCTTCAATAATGAACAGCCACCGCCAACCACGAATACCATGAACCCCCTCAAGGCCATCAACAATACCGGCAGCGATCAGGCCACCAAAGGCGCCTGACAGGACGGCTGCAGATATGAACACACCGAATCTCTTGGATTGTTCAGTTTGTTTGTACCATGATGACAGGAGAAGAATCACACCGGGGGCAAAGCCGGCCTCGACACATCCAAGAATGACGCGGAGAACTACCAGATGGGTGAAATCGTTGATAACAGCCATCACACAAGTCAATACACCCCAGAGAATCATGATTGATGGGAGAAAAATAGAGGGTCGGGATCGACCCAGGGCAAGACTGCAGAAAAAGGGCAGTTAGCGGTCATGGTCTGAAGCTGAGTGCTAAGGATAGGATTGTCGTACTTGCTAGGCACCTCAAAAACCACGTATCCGACGAAGAAGACAACCAGGGCAATCGAATATTCGTTGGATGACAAGTCGAGATCTACTTGCATGCCAGAGATCTTTGCATTGCCGATGCTGTACACAAACGGCCATTAGCACCCTGATAAAGTATAAGACCTCTAGCTCTAACATGTTCACACTCACTTAGTTCTGTCCAGGTAGGACAGGAGGTACATGACCCAGATAGTCGGCAGGAGGGTGAGGTCAATCTTCCTCACTAACGCCTTCTCCTCTTCTGGGCTGAACGAGACAGACTCGCTGATATTCACATTCTCAATCTCATGAGAGGAGACGTCTTTCAGTTGGCTCTCAAAGTCGCGGTCCATGGTGGCTATTTGGAGGACCTGAAGGTTGGAGGAGTAGAGAATAAAATGTTAGGTTGGACATGAACCTCCTTACGGAATGTATATGTTCTTCCCCCAACCCCGGATATACGAGGCTAGGGCTTTGAGACCTGGGGAAATCCCGACATTCGCTCATCCGGCATGCTCATCTTTTCCATATCCACCCCCACAACTTCCCAAGCGCGACTTCCCGCTCTCCACAGTCGGGTAACCTTGTGCGATTGGCGTGTGTGGTCGCATCGAGGCCAAAGTGGAGCCTCTCCTTCAGCACCAATCTTGCCACTGGGAGGGTCTAATATTTTCAAAATCCGCGGAAGGGAATATACCCCATGGGGAGTCAATGCCGCATTGATCAGTATTCTCGCACACACGTTCAATAAGCACACAAGCGTAGCCCTCGCCAAAACCCATCAGTTTACTAGCTAAGGTCCCACGACTTAAAAGGTGTTGGACACTATGAATGTAGGGAACAAAGAACAAAGGCAGGAGGGAGAGACATTTGTATTGGGAAAGAGGCGCCCGAGAGGCTCGTTCTGAGTTGCTCTGCCTGAGGCACCAACTCCAAAGGCAACATCCGAAAGAAAGACAGGTCAACTTGCATTAGTTTATACTGTCTCCATAATACTCTGCTTCCTGGTGTTTTTTTCTGGTTATATTTGATTTCTGATCAATTTCCAAGGTCAAACAAGCCTTGCATGAAGCTCAACTGTTTGGGGCTTATGTCCACGTGGGTGGGGGTCGATCCCCGCGCCTCGATGCGAGGGTCGATGGTCTCGACTGTCAACTGCACGGGGATTGTCAACTGCATGGGGATTGGATAGGGCTCGCTTCGAAGGACAAAATTGATCGCTTATCTTGTTCTTGCGGAAAACGATCGTCCACGGGTGGGTCGGCCCGGGGTAGCAGTCCTCGGCAATACGTGTGTAGTGATCTTTCAACTACCCCGTTAATCAACAAAGCTACGCGACTCGAGTATACCGAGCTCTTCGGTATCAGTTTAGGCTATATCGGAGTCGCTTGGCTGAACAGAAGGTCATGGCAGACTTAAAAAGGTGCTCTCCCATTCTAAGGGCTTATCAATTCCTTCAATCGTCCCTAACTCTTACGGCAAACAAACACATCCTTAATAATGCCTCCAAGTATTCAAGACACCACCACAGGCGCCGCTGTCGCCGAATTCGCAGCACCAGCCCCTGCCTTCCTTGACACGCAACCAGGTCCAGACCACGACTGGAGAATCACCCTGAAGGACAAGGTCATTGCCATCACCGGTGCCAACCGAGGTATTGGTCTGGCTATTGCAGAGGTCTGCTTAGCCAACGAGGCGGCAGCCATCTTCAGCCTGGACGTGTTTGAACCTGGCGAGGAGTTCGTCGCCCTGCAAAACGCCAATCCAAAGCGCTTATCCTACGTCCACTGCGACGTCACCTCCGAGGAGAGCGTCAACTCCGCAATCGATGCTGTCATCTCTGCACGAGGCGCCATCCATGGCTTCATCGCAAACGCCGGCATGACAAAGCACCAGCCAGCGCTCGACTTCAGCCGCGCCCAGCTGGACCAACTGTTCAATCTCAACGTCTTTGGCGCCTACTTCTGCGCTACTACTGTGGCTCGCCGCTTCATTGAGCTAGGAATCAAGGGGTCAATTGTCTTCACTGCTTCCATGACCTCTTATCGCCCCAACCGTGCGGCGCCCTCGGCTCCTTATGGAGCTACTAAGGGGGCTGTGCGGAATATGACGCATACGCTGGCTATGGAGTGGGCCAAACATGGCATCCGTGTCAACTCAATCTCACCGGGCTTTATTAAAACTGCTATGACTTACTTTGTAAATCAGGCACCCGACTGGAACCTCAAGATGCAATACTATGGCGGCATGCCCAGATTAGCAGACCCCAAGGAGCTTGGCGGAGCCTACGTGTATCTGCTCTCTGAGAGTGCATCTTACACTACGGGTATCGATATTCCGGTTGCTGGCATTGTCGGAGCGTGGTGAGGATCGGAGTCCATGATAATGATGAAAGAGATGATCTACGGATAACGCATTTGAGAAGACTTAGGGTTCGATTGAAGCAACAATGATAGTCCTTCTTGTATTTGGTCTCGGTCCATAAAAGTGCGTGTTAGAACCAGCTCAATTAAACTCCTTTTAGTATACATAGCTTCCCATGGAATTAATTTAGTCGGGAGAAAGGTGCCTTGTCTCTGGTTCACCAACTTTGGTGCTACAATTTATTCCTGCCACGCTTTTTGCAGTTTAGCAATAAGCCCTTTACCGGGAAATTTGCTGATCCTCAGCATTTTCTCCAATATACGGAGCAACTCGCGCTGCATCTCAGGTGACCGAACAAACTGGCCAACTTGTGTTTTGTCAGTTAGGACAAGAAAAAAGAGTCAGGAGGGACATTTACCTCCAAACAAAGCCTGTACATTAACAAAGGCTATTGCAGGTTCATGTTCTTGGCTGGCATTAGCGATGCCGCAGACCACCTTGACACTTTCACTGAGCTGCTTCTCGCGGAGACAGTAGGCGTTCAGTCCCCCCATCGTGGGTTGGTTCAGCAACACAGTAGCTCTTGCGAAATGGTACATCTGAATGGCTCCTGCGTGGTTAGGTGGGTGAATCCATATGGACGGGAACACTGTATTTGAGCCAGAATCCGTGGCGACAGTAACCGGCTGGTAGGAAGCCGGGAGGATACTATGCCAATCGTCGAGAGCGCGGAGAAGTCGGTCACCCTGCTGCGTTCTGTGTCTTGGGTCCTTATTTGCCGACATCCCGTCCGAAGCGGCATATTCTACACACTTGCCGCAGATGTAGACTATCCTTGTTGCGAGCTCATCCGAGTCGAGCTCCTCGAGCTTCTTCCGAGCACGCCAGAAGGTGAGGGTTGGCCGTCCTGTCTGGAAGGCCGCCCAAATGTCCTGCCGGAGCCACGCCCACCATACGGCTCGCCTCAAACCGTCAACGGACTCGCCATCATTGTCCTGAGAACGCTGTATCCAGAAGGAGCCTCGCAAGTGTTGTTCCCAGTCACCACTGGTCGAGGCGTTGTCGGCGTCAAACATCTCATACATGCTGATCATGGTGGCTGTCGCCAAAATCTCACGGGATTCCGCATAGGATGGGTAGAGCAATGTCTGCGAGAGATATTGAAGCGTTTCGTAGTAATACTGTGTAGCTATGTGTGCTGGAGCAGGGTCCAACTCTGATGGCAGATCAGTCGCTGCTGCTAGCGAGGTTGGAGTATTCGCATTTTGAGTCGCATGATCGCCTGATACACTTTCACCCGACCCACGCATGAGACCAAGTGACAAGTGCTTAGCCCCAACTGCGAGTATGGACTTCAGAAGCCCTGTGTTTTGTAGTGCAAGATGCGGCACGACATTAGTGAAATGCCGAGCGGGATCAAACAAGTCTAGAATTGGCCCAACAACATTAATGAAGTATCGAAAGAACTTGAAGTCGAGTGCTGATAATTCTATCCTACTCGTCGTGTTCCAAGGCTGGGGAAATTGGTGATAATCTAGTAAAGGGGCTTCGATCTCGTCATCTCGATGTTCCAGGCCGAGTCGCCGCTGCTCAGAGTGCCTCTCAGCTTGCTCGGGGTGAGCCTCAGGACAATCAAGGGCCGGTGACTGTCTGCGTGAGAGGGCAATTTCGGGAAATTTCCATCTTGGGTCCACCGTTGAAGCGTCGTTGAGCCTTTGGATGTTGCTGATAGCATCCCGTGCTACCAGATCGAACCATTCACCGGGGGATATATTGAGCAGTGGTATCTGGCTAAGAGAAAGTGGAGAACCCAAGAAGCCTGAGTCAATGCTAGACAGTCTCTGATCATTAGCCAAACGGTCATTCAGTGGCGTATCACTCGAGCCGCTATGCTGGAGCGGGGCAAAGGCTTCAGTAGGGGCTGAGTAGGTAGCCTGAAGGTATGGACCAGAACTCGGCTGCTGCTCCTGGGAACTACGAAGTTCCCCTTGAGCGAGGCCTGCATTGTTGGTGCCGCTTCCTACTGCACGTGCGTCTTCAACTCTCTCCTCCCTTGAATTCAGTTGAGCCCTTGGAGACCCATAGTCGGCTCCGGCTTCAGTGGCATGTCGCTGGTCACCAACCTGGGCGTATCGACAGATACGATTTGACTTGGAGCACCGCACGCAAGTGGGTTTGCCATCGTCGCACTTCACGCGTCTCTCCCTGCAGGTGAGGCTGTCGTGCGTGTGAGCGAGGTTGATGTTCGCTTAGGGGTCATTCTGAACTGATGCGTATCCACTCACCATCCTGTTTTGGTTCTCAATCCGCGGGCCCGAGATAGTCTGACGCGGCGACGCCGAGTCCCCGTGGCGTTGCCTTCTGAAATTTTTGCGTTAGTAACCTCCATCGAGGATACTTTCGTGGGTTTCGTCTCGAAGCTGCCAAGGTCGTTAAAAAATATTCCCCGGAATTCTATACCCCGCCTTGGCCTGACCCACTTTGGGGTTGGGGAACTCGACTGTTGAATCACATTTGAATTCCCCTCCTCTCTCTTTGTATTTGCCTTCTCTTTGTATTTGCCTCAAAAATGGAAATATCCTTTTTCTCTCGTACAATCAGACCTGTGAGCTTTGGCAGAAACGAAGAGTGAACTAGGCGAGAGGTTTTCGGGGTTTCGGGATGGAACCACCCGCTCTACGATCATGTGTTTTTATGAACATGCATGCACGCACTGATACTAGTATACCATATATTTAAAATAGGAATATTGGTGTAGATAAATATTATCGTGTCAATAATGTATATCGCAAAATCCAGCTTTGCCAAAGCATGAATAAGCCTGTACTCCGACCTCAGGAAAGGACAATAAATGCAGGACAAGAAACATCACGAATTGAACCATCATCAAGCAGACACTAGCAATACATTAGCCAGAGAATGATTCTAAGGGATCACAAGAAAGTTTTGGTTTTTAATGTACTGTTAATGCAGGTGTAAACAGGCCCGCAAGAATAGCACCGGAAGCGATGCCGAGAGTATAACGGCATTGATCAGTCCGATGCAATGCAGCCGTACTTATCAGATCATCACCTGCACATCATAAGACTGCATGTTCAGCAACTGCCGTGGCGAACAGACCAATACCGAGGACCCCATCTTTCATAGTGATATTGGAGAAAAGGTTGCGGGTGGGTTCTCGAGGCGAGGGCCATTGGCCTCGAAGCGAAGGATTATCCCCGACCACCATTGACCACCCACCATTCAGCAACAGCAGGTTTGCGCAAACTCGCCACTCTGTTCAATTTCCCTTCGTTGATTCATTGATACTATCGGATCCAAGTGACCCATGACTTCGTCTCGATGCCGAACATCCACGATCCAGTATTGGCGCAATGCATTGACTGTCGGGCAGGCGATGGATATGGAATGAAGTCCTGAGTATAAGAATCGGCAGTCCACTCGACTTTGTCCGCTAGCCTTTTGAAGCTTCTCATCACGAACCGCTTTTCTCAAACACTCATTTTTAGTCTCAGTCAGCCGAACTTTACGCCATGGCACCTGCGCTGGAACTCCTCGAGAAGCCCGCACAGTATCTGCCAGTAAAGGCAGTCTCAGCGATCCGCAATGGGGATGCTGCTGGACTCAGATTGGAGAGCCCGGAGAAGCATGAGCGGGTGATGAATGTCTTCCGAGCGTTCATCGCTGATCTCTGCCAGCAGTACGGCGAAGGCCATGCTGGGTAAGTCAACACCCTCTTCGGGAATCCCCTTGTTTGCAGCGCAGCGCTAACTGGACCTCGTCACAGATCTCCTATGGGTATGGCTGCGATTGGTATTTCCCTGTATAAGTATGTCATGAAGTACTCTCCAAATAATTGCAACTACTTCAACCGGGACCGCTTCGTTCTTTCAAATGGTATGTCTTCTGTGTCCCCCAGTTATCCGCAGAAGTAAAACCACATGTAACTCAACTGACATTTTAATAGGCCACGCCTGTCTGTGGCAGTACCTCTTTATGCATCTTGTTGGTGTCAAGAGCATGACACTTGAACAGCTCAAGTCTTACCACTCATCAAAGCTCGACTCAGTCTGCCCTGGCCACCCTGAAATTGAGAATGAGGGCATAGAGGTTACAACTGGACCCCTCGGCCAGGGTCTCGCCAGTGCCGTTGGCCTTGCCATGGCCACTAAAAACCTTGCCGCGACTTACAACAAGCCCGGCCATGAGCTAGTGAATAACATGACATGGTGCATGGTGGGCGATGCTTGCCTTCAGGAAGGTGTTGGTCTCGAGGCGCTGTCCCTCGCTGGTCACTGGAAGCTAAACAATCTCTGTGTTATCTTCGATAATAACTCGGTTACGTGTGACGGAACTGCGGATGTCGCCAACACCGAGGATATCAACACCAAGATGCGGGCCACCGGTTTTAACGTAGTAGACGTGTACAACGGAAATTTAGATGTTGCCGGTAAAGTCTCAGAGCGCCTTCAACTTGGCGGTGAAAGCTCTGCTAATATACATCAGAAATCACAAACGCTCTTCTTGGTGCTAAATTGAGCGACAAGCCCACCTTCCTCAACATTCGCACCACTATTGGCTACGGGGCTGCCAAAGCCGGCACTGCCGACATACACGGGGCTGCTCTTGGAGTCGACGAAGTGGCTAACTTCAAGAGGAGGTTCAGCCTCAACCCTGACCAGCATTTCCACATCCCCCAAGACGTCTATGACTTCTTCAGTGACATCCCTGGTCGTGGTGAGGCACACGAAGCGGGCTGGCAAAACGCCCTGGTGAAGTATCAGAATAAAGACCCCATACTATCAGCTGAATTTGCGCTCCGTGTCGCGGGCAAGATGCCCGAAGACTGGACCAAATGTATTCCTCGCACGCAAGACCAGCCCACCGCGCCAACGGCCACACGAAAGTCAGCCGGTGTCGTGACCAACGCCCTTGCAGTGAATATCAATTCATTCTTGGTCGGAACAGCGGATCTTACTCCCTCGGTCAATGTCTCCTACAAAAACAAAGTCGACTTCCAATCCGTAAGTATATTATGTTCAGTCTGCTATTTGCGGCCTCAAAGCAGGATATTAATGTAAAACTAGCCCGAACTCCAAACTGCTTGTGGCCTGAACGGAAACTACAGCGGTCGATATATCCACTACGGTATCCGCGAGCACGCCATGTGCTCCATCTCCAACGGGCTTTCTGCCTTCAACAAAGGCACTTTTATCCCCATGACAAGCACCTACTTTGTCTTCCACTTGTACGCCGCTGCCGGTGTGCGCATGGCCGCGCTTCAAGGCCTCCAGCAGATTCACATCGCCACCCACGACAGTATTGGCGTTGGTGAGAACGGCCCTACCCACCAGCCCATTGCCGTTGCCGCTCTCTACCGCGCCATGCCTAATGTTCTTTACATCCGGCCATGCGACGCAGAAGAAGTGGCCGGCGCCTACATTGCCGCCATCCAAGCCACTGAGACACCTACTGTTATCTCACTCTCCCGGCAGAGCCTGACCCAGTACCCCCAACACTCTTCGCGCGAGGGCACGCTCAAGGGCGCGTACGTCTTCGCGGAGGCCGAGGGTGGTGATTTCGATGTAACCTTGATCGGAGTCGGGTCTGAGATGGGCTACGCGATGCAGACTAGGGAATTGCTTCTTAATGACCATGGTATCAGGGCACGAGTCGTTTCTTTCCCTTGCACTAGGCTATTTGAGCAGCAGTCGCGGGAGTACAAGCAATCAGTTTTGAAGTCGCGCGCTGGAAAGCCCACTGTCGTGATCGAGGCGTACCCGTCCAATGGGTGGGAACGCTATGCTGATGCTTCGGTGTCGATGAACAGCTTTGGAAAGAGCCTTCCTTCAAAGGAGACATACGAGCACTTTGGATTTGCACCGAAGAGCATCGCACCTAAGGTCAAGGCCTTAGTGGAGGAAGTCAGGCGAGACGGTATCGGAATTTTGAGGGGTGACTTTAGGGATTTCAACGGTAGCTTGCGGATTGGTGTTGAGCATTAGAAGAGTTTCGAAGATATCATTAGCAGCTTGAACACAACTGCATCTGCCGTAGGAACGTATTAAACTCCTAGTAGCCCAGTTTGCGACTGAGCTAAATATCATAATACATTCAATACGCATATTGGGCAAAGTGCAATCAGATATCGATATAACTATACAGGAATAATGCCTGCTATTAGGGCTGTTTAACTAAAGGGTTCATATATAAACTACAGCCCCACCAAAGCCGGCTACCAGGTCCAGTAAGAAGCAAACGCCACTGTACCCAAACTTCAAAACAATCGACTCAAATAAGGATGGAATTGGTTCGATGCGGGTCTCGATCCAGCCGCAAGCGGAAACGGAAACATCCGCAAGTATCCGTGCCAAAGTCTGACTGGGGTTACGGCTTAAGCACGAAGGCTGCGAATTCCGTGCAAAGCTGATGATCCCGTTCAGCGTGGAAAAACAAAGATTATCTGCTCACAAGCGCGAGTTGTTCAACCGCTCCATCGCCACAGCTGCCGAGATGCCATCCCAAGCTCTAGTGACTGAAAACGGTGTCGTGGCCCGGACGCTGCTCAATCGCAACGTGGACACGACGGTTCGCTACGATGTGATCGTCGTCGGCTCTGGTATGGGCGGCGGGGTCCTGGCGAGCGCGCTCGCGGACGCTGGAAAGCGGGTGCTGATCCTGGAGGCTGGCTCCCTGCTCTTCCCGACCCATATTGGAAACCTGCCCCGACGCTTGCTCATCGGCCAGTTCCAGAAGCACATATGGTCGCTGTGGGAAGATTTCCAGGTCATAAACTATAATAACGTACAAGGATCGGCGTACAACGGTGCCCAAGGCTTCAATCTAGGCGGCCGATCCATCTTCTGGGGAAGCTTCATTCCATCGCTGGCGGGCTGGGAGTTGGACGCATTTCCTGTGGCAGTGAGGCAGTATCTCCTCGATACTGGCCCGACGGGTGGCTATCCGGTGGCTCGTAGGGTATTCAATGCGGATACCCCGGCGCAGAGCGCCTTTCAGACGACGTCGAGAGACACTTTGGATCAGACTCTCCCCAACTGGAAGGCCGAGGACGCCTCAGTAGCTGTCGAATATACGGGGGCGACGAATTGGTCCATCCCGGCCGGTATCTTTTCCACAGCGGACCTCTTAATTGAAGACCAGTTGGTGCAGAGACCACCCAATCTGGGCTCTGAGCGAGAGCCGCTGACTGTCAATCTCAATCACGCCGCCTGGAATGTCACATTTGATGCTGGCGACAACAAACGCGCGACCGGCGTGCACTGCTTCGACCTGCTCGACCAGGTCCAGCGGACCTACACCGCCGACACCATCGTTCTCAGCGCTGGCACCCTGGAATCCGCGAAAATAGCCCTCTTGTCCGGCATCAACAACCCTAAGATCGGGCGCGGCGTCACAGACCATGCGATCCTCTACCGCCACTTTGTCATCCCCCCAAACGCCCTCGCCACCACACCACCCTCCGAAGCAGAGCCCAAGTCCGCCAAGATCCTCCTCAGGCACCCGTCTGCCTCGCGCGATGCTCACGCGTTCGACATCATTGTCGAGTTCGGGGCGGAGTTCAACCAGGGCCGCTACGTGAACCCAGAGCACCTCGCACAGGACGAGAACATCCGCGCTGGGTACATGCTCTGCGAGATTGTCTTCCAGTTCTACTCCCCCATCCTTGACGCCAACGCCATCACCCTCAACGGCGGCAACCCTGCCGACCCGGTCAACGTGTTCATGCAAGCTGCCCCCCGGCCCAGTCTCTCATCGACGAAGCCCGCGAGCTCGCCACCCGCGTCTTCAAGGCCTACAGTGCCCAGCCCGTGCTCGGCGAGCGCACGCTGCTCGCCGCCGACGACAAGGCGGACCTAGACCTGGCGAAAGTGGGCGGCGTGGCGCATGAGGTCGGGAGCTTGCGGATGGCGGGTGATGAAAGCGGGGTCGTGGACGCGGACCTAAAGTTCGTAGGATACAAGAACCTATACGCGTGCGACAACTCGGTCTTTCCCATGTCGCCGGCGGGAAATCCGAGCCTCACGCTGGTGGCGTTGGCGGAGCGGTTGGCGGACCATATCAAGGCTAACCCTGGGGCATGATGGACGATGGCGAGAGAATTCAGCGCAAATCCACTTGGTATGTCCTATCCTGATCAGCCGCGAGAGCGACGCTATAGTGAGCTGCCGCGTCCTGTCTACAACTATTCCCCACTTCCTCTTTTCTATCACCCTATTCCCTCTGAACCCCTGTTCTACGTTCTTACACACACACACACACACACAAAAAAAGGGGGTCGTCTTATTCGGACTTTCTAAAGCACTCGACGCTAAGCGTACTGCTACTACTTATTAAACCTAGCGTGTACTGATCCTGCTATTAACTCTCGACCTCCTGCCCCCTTTAGTGTTACGGACATGTGTCGAGGTAAATGCTGGTGGGTTCACTATTGTTTGCACCATATTGTCATTATTAGTCTGCTATTACACTCCATATAAATTGCCAGAAGTAGGAGCAATAAGATCGAGAGTTTCTAAGATATCTGATTGGCCAGGTCGAATTGTTCGTGGTAAATGTTTCCTACATATGTATTCCGGTAGATTTGACATATCGAACAGCTTTTCGTATCGAGTTTACAATACACAAAACTCGAATACTTATATTCAATTTGCACAATTTCGTGTTCTTACCTGACCGATAGGGTTGACAAATTGTCAGTTGGTTAGGAGTTTGCGCGGCCCTGTAGAAATTAAGAATAGCACAATGGAATTTTTCTTCTGGAATAGTATTGTCTTTGTGTCGGCGCCTGTAAATTCCCTTGGTGAACTGGGCGGTTGCTTGATTATTGTTTTGATTGAATTGGGCTGATTGCTCATAGGTAAACTGGCCGGTTACCTAATACGTAGTGAGGTTTATATCCCCCACTACAATATGTAGGTACATTATTGCCAGATATGTACTCCGTAGTTAGTATAAACTATACAAAGTAACCCGCTTACTGTGGGAAAGATGTTTATTTTTTTGCATTCTGCAAGAGTACCTGTTATTTTCACTGTGTAGTACAAAATGGCTGGAAATATTATTACTGTTTATAATTACTAGCGCTGATTATTTGCAAGTAATCCAGACGTCCACAGGCGCAACTTGATGGATCCAGGAGCTTAACACCATCGGGCTCGCGACGGTCCCACAGGCCCTTGGCCTAATTAGGGAAGTCGACCAGGGTCAGTTCACCTGATAAGAAGCCTCCAATTCCCCCAGCTTTATTCCCTGTCCCATATTTTCTCTTTCCGCTCCATTCCACTCTTTGCCCACCATGGCTGAACCCGACATCTTCACCAAGTACCCTTCCCTCAAAAAGATGCAAGGACTAGATGACAAAGACATTGTCGAATCGCACGACGGCCGCGAGGTCACCCTGCTCAAATACATTTACAACCATCCTAACCTCGACACCAAGCTGCGGGGTTCGCCACCGGATATCCTCGCCGCCATGGACGAGTTTGCCTCTCAGGAGGACTTCCTTATCAACATTGGCCCCGATAAAGCCGATAAACTGACCGACCTGATCTGCGACCACCTCCCCCGCGTGCTGGTGGAGCTGGGCGGTTATGTCGGGTACGTGGTGGATCCCGAGGTGACCAAGATCCAATGGAAACGCTAACCACATATGCATGATCTAGGTACTCGGCCATCCTTTTCGGAAGCATCCTCCAAGAAATCGACGAGCAGCTCAAAGTTGACCAGGACGAGGGCTGGGAGACCGGGCTCGGCAAGTTCAAGATCTACAGCGTGGAAATCGACCCGCTCATCGCGTCCGTCGCCATGAGTCTCATCAGCCTCGCGGGTCTCCAGGATATTGTTGAAGTGGTCGTGGGAGCATCCGCACATACCTTGCAGCGGTTCTACGACGAAGGCATCTTGGCTGAGACCGGCATTGACCTGCTGTTCATGGACCATGATGAGGCGCTTTATGAGTCGGATGTGAAGCTGGCCGAGAAATTGGGCTTTTTGGATAAGGACGGCGCGTTGGTGATTGCCGATAATGTTGTGAGGCCTGGTGCGCCGGCATATCGGAGCTACATGCGGAAGAACCCGCGCCTACGCGAGAGTTGGGGCTTGCCCGCTTTGATTGTCCCGGGAGACTACGAGGTTAGTTGCCTGACCTGCGACCAATCAGAATTGCGTCTGGAAGGCGCAATCTCTTTTTCATTTTTAGACATTCCACTAACTATTTCGATCTTAGGATGAGCTGGAGATTAGTGTGGTTGGTACCAGTGGCGCGAAATCGGTGGGCGTGAAGCCTCATGGTTTGAAGAAACCCAGCCAACCCGAGGAAGGGAAAGCATTGCATGGGAATGGAGGCGAGGATGGAGCTGGTAATGAGGAGATACCTGATCGGAAAAGGAAAAAGATTTCTACTTGAGCAGTTTACCCCTGGCATTTTAATAGACATACCCTGCCACGACAGTTCGAGAACTACGCTCATGTAGATGCATGTAGTTGCTTTTTTGCCGGTAATACCAATACTAATAATCATTATTCATCAATTATCTATGTCCACGGGTAGCTCTCAAGGTCATAGCTTCTTCTGTATTTAATTATTTGTATGCATTTGAAAGAATACCATATTTATTACCAGTGGCGTGCATGCATTAACGTAGTTCTCGGGCTGTCGTGGTAGGGTAGACGAGTAGAACACCAAACAGGTTAGTTATATGTTGAATAGTCCCCTGCACATTGTATGCCTTTTTCCCTTCCATTTTCTGCCGTCTAGCTATATAACTGAGAAGGGGGAGAAGATATATATCAAAAAAAGAGACATAAAATAACATCTAAAAAGACTACCAAAAAGACATGACTAGGTTGTAGTCCGTAAAACCAAAGAGTAAGTACAATAACAAAAACGTATAGCAAATAGAAAAACAAAAAAGCAATGTGCGAAAAAGCTCAACGACTAGCTTCTCGAAGTTTGTAGTTCCAAAGCAGACTTTGCTGGAAGATAGTCGGATAATCAATCGCTTCCGCAGGAGAAATGTCAACTCCAGACTTCCGGAACGACGATGAAAGTTGCCCAGCGCTGAGAGAATCCCCATGGAATGGAGTGTGTAGGAGGGAATGTGAATCTCCTCTATCTGCACTGAACTGAGGGCCGAAAACCTGCTCCCAGATCTTCCGGACAGAAACAATGGCCGCTCGGGGTTGTGCCTCGCTAACAGGCAGATCGCCAAGAGATACGGGAAATTTGGGCAGAGATGGAGATGGCTCGAGGGTATCCCGTAGGAGTCTTGCAGATGCACCTTCGGTGTCCTGTTGGAGAATGGCAATGGCATGACAGAATTCGTCGATGATGCTCTCTGCAATTTGAGGAGATATCGTCGCGGAACTGAAGTTGACCTTGATTTCCGTCATCCCGTCGCCGCCGCCACCATCAATTGGCGTTACCATGATCCACAAATCGGCTGCGTCCGATGATGGGACATACGCCTCGAGAGTGCCTTTGGCATCACCAATGACGATATCATCCATGTCCTGGTGCAGGTTTTGGTACTGCAGGATTGAACTGAAACGTTCCGATCTCGACCATTTGGTGCAGCGCTCAATGATTCGTTGGAAACCCATCATAGTGTGAGGCAGGGCATCGACATATTGTTGCTGAACACCAGCGAGCAAGTCACTCCCAGTCGTTTTGTCGCCAAGTTGGACCCGAATGGGAACCAAGTTGAGACAGGGACCTACTACCTCGTTTATACCAAACATATGATCCAAGCTGGGGCGGGTGTTGGTCAAATGACCAAAGACAACATCATCATGTTGAGAGAGACGGCTGAGCACGAGCGCCCAGGCTGCCTTCACAATCGTTGCTGGGGTGATTGAGGAATTATGGGGTAGCCGCGACAGTGGAACGGTACGGGTGGTACTCTGATCGAGGGGGTGTTCTTTTGGTTGAGATTGATTGGGTTGTTTCCGAACAACGATGGGCGTTACTCTAGAGACCCGCAGCAGGTTGCTCCAGAAGTGCTCGGCGTCGTTGGTTTCGGATAGTAGTCGCTCACTTTCTTCCACGTACGTCAAAAACTTGAGTGGAGGTGACATCTTGTGACCGCTGTATAATGCGTGTAGGTCCTGTTGAATGATTGGCATACAAATGCCGTCATACTGGGCATGGGAGATTCGTATCGTGAGCCGAACCCGTTCCAGTGAGGCGATATGAAGCACGAAGCGGATGAGCACATCATTCAATGCTGGCGCGCGATCATTGTGGACCAGACTGGTCAATGTGTCGGGATTGTGCGTCCCGGTAGATTCATCGTATACTTCAAACCGGACATCTGCCGCTCGATACCGGGGAATCACTTGAAGAACGGAGCCGCGTAGAACGACGAAACGTGCCCGGAGAATTTCGTGCCGCTCCACAAGGGCATGGCAGGCATACTTCAACTTCTCGGTGTCGATGGAGCCGTGAAGATCGTAGGAAAAGTAGTTCAGCCAACCGCGTGACGGGGAGACAGTCTGTGCCAAACAGTATGATTGGAAGTCGGTGGCCTTCAGAACCTTTTCGATGTCTCCCTCAGGTATTCCCAGCTCCAGCGAGATGAGACGGAGATCCGGGGATATGGGAGTGGGATCCGTTTTGGGTTCAGTCAGTGGTAGGCTTTGATGACCTTCATTAGTGACCCGCAACTTAGCCTTGGAAACTATAGCCGAGAGGGTCTGGAGTTGGTGAACATCTGCTGAAGTGATGTAAATGGACTTAGCTCGAGCACCCGAAACAAGACGCATGACCAGAATGGAATCTCCTCCGAGCTGGAAGAAATTCGCATCAGGACCAATGGAAGACATGTCGCTCTTGAAGATACCGGCCCAGATCCCCTGCAGGGTTCGGTAAATAATCGTCGACCCCTCGCCCGCGGAGTCAACCCTGGCATGTCTATTCGAAGTTGGGAGGATATCCTGCTGATGCTGTTGCTGTTGCTTTCGTTGACGGATATTCTCCACAGCAAGGCGACGCAATTCTGGCCGGTTTGTTTTATCAGACGAAGATGTTGGTAGACAATCCAGGATGATGAGATGCCCGGGGATCATGTATTCGGGAAGGTTGTTCCTGAGCTTTACTCGAATAGCATCGAGATCATACCGTTTGTCTGCGCCGGTACGACCTTTGACAACGAAGAGAACCAGGATGTCTGTGGGTAGGATATCGGGCGCCATTGAACTTGGAACAACCTCCGCCGCGAGATCCTGGATGTTGGGAAGATTGATCTGCCGCAACGCTTGCTCAACCTCTTCCAGCTCCATTCGCATACCTCGGAGCTTGACCTGAGTATCCTTGCGGCTGACGAAGATTAAGCTTCCGTCATCATCATATCGAACCAGGTCCCCAGTTTTGTAGCATTTTGTTCCGACGTCAGCGACTGACATACTTTTCAACCAAACTGGGGGATCAATGAATTCCTTTAAAGTCTTCTCCTGATCGTGAAGATAGCCCCGAGCAAGTGACGGCCCCTCGATGAGAAGCTCACCAACTGCGCTAATCGGAGACAGGCAGCTAGGGTTCTGAGGATCCACCACCCAGGTGCGACAGGCAATTCCTAGCCCGATATTTGCAGGATCAATTTTCCCTGGAATGAGTGACTGGGATGTAGAGCAACAAACGCAACATTCGGTTGGTCCGTAGATGCTGATCACGTCAACACCAGCGATTGTCCAGTCGCTGATATCGGCTGACGTGACTTTCTCGCCTCCCAGTCGGAGCCTCTTGAGGCATTGGGATACTTGACCAACATCTAGAGTCCTGGCCACTGTTGGTGTTATGCAAGCATAGTTGACCTGTGCGTCAATGCAGAATTGCGACAGACTGTCACGTCGCTCCTCTTCAGACGGCACACAAAGACAACCTCCACTCAGCAAGGAAATGAGAATATCATCAATGCTGATGTCGAATGAATTGGAACAGAATTGAAGCACACGGCTTGCATCATCTATCCCGTAACCTTGTTGCTTTTCGGCCACAGACGACGCATATGCCTGATGTGTCACAAGGACGCCCTTGGGCGAGCCGGTGGTACCCGAGGTAAAGATGCAGTAGAGAGGATCACCTGGTGCAATCTTGCTAAGCATTGAAGATTGACCATCTGTAGATTCGTCAGGAAGGCGCCCCAAAAGCTGATGTGAGATTCGTAGCACCCGGAGTTGACCCGACTCAATGATATCGCTCGCACTCGCGGTAGATGCTAGCACCACAGTTGCTTGACACTGGTCGAAAATTCCCTTCATACGATCCACAGGAGTGCTAGACGCATCTAATGGAACAAAGGCAGCTCCTGTGTAGATGACCGCCAGCATGCAGACAATGTAGAGCGCCGATTTCTGCACCACTATAGGCACAAAGGAACCGCGTTGAACCCCACAAAGCCGTAGGTAATTGCTGAGCCTCCGGGACAGCGCAAAGAGCTCCTTGTATGTGGGTTTGAGATCCCATGAATGTATTGCCTGAAGCCTGGCTCTTTGCTCCATGTTTTCCTTGAGCATGTGAGCGACTGTGGTATTGACGGGAGCAGGAACAGACTGGTTCCACGTGGAAATCGAGTTCAAGTCAAAGGGGCTAACCAAAGACAAATTCGCAAGGCTCATATCAGATGAGTGGTACAGTTGCTCCACCATGTGCTGGAAGAGGTACACAATCCGCTCAAGTCTCGGGGCAGAAACCGATGCTTTCCGGTAGGAGACGTCGATGTTTAGACCCCCTATTTCTTGCAGTTGACACTCAACCAAAATGGGGTATGTCTGGCTGTTATTTTGGAAGAATGCCTCTAAGTCCCGGGAGGAGGTGAAAAGGCCTTGCCTCATCGGCTGCACCTGTGGCTGAATGACCAGTAAACTGTTGAAATCGCAGCAGCGGGAGCTATCAGGTCCAAGCTTCTTGATTTTCTGGAGCCCAAAGTGCTCATGTGGAATGGAATCGATCATTGACTGATTGACATAAGAGAGGAACTCTTGAAGGGTCCAATTGGGATCCACTTGCAAACGGCAGGGGATTGTAGCCAGTGTTGGACCAACCATCTTGTCAATTCCATGGACAGGAACATTTCTTCCGGCGACGGATAATCCAAAGCGCACATCATTGCAGCCAGAATATGCACGTATAACCAAGGCCCATGCGGCTCGGATTATGATTGCCAGGGTTACCTCAGAGCTCCGGGTATTTTGCTTGGGAATTGGCATGCTGTGATGGTATGACTCAACGGAACTGTTCACACTGGGCGAGCTGGTTGTGTTTGCTTTCTGCAATGGGATGTCGGAAGATTGATCGCACTGTGAAAGTTGAGAAGTCCAAAATTGGCCGCTCAGTTCTGCATCGGACTTCCTCAGATGCCGAACGAAGTCCCTGAAGCGCGGCGTCGTATTCTGAGACAGAGGCAAGCCATGGTGGTAGACGTCATCTACTTGCTGTAGTATGAGAGAGAGACTCCAGCCATCGTAGAGTGAGTGGTGCATCGTCAAAATAAAGGTCCATCCTCCTATTTCGGAGTTATGATTAGTTGGGCATAGTGCGACTCGAAGTAGCGACGTGCCCAGGCCAAATGAGTAGTCTGTTTCAAGAACCTGGTCGATGTCGTGGGGGTAATCCCATGGGAGCTCGTCATTTGTCACCACTTGCAGGGTGCCATGGGGTTCTAGGTAAACAATTCGAGTCCGAAGAATCTCATTCTCTCGAACCACTGTTTCGAAGGATGCTTTGAACCGATCTAGGTCAACATTGGCAGGAAGATCGTAGACAGCACGGGAGCCGTAACTGGACTGGGTATCACTGCCTTCAACGGCCAGCATTCCTTCCTGTAGGGGCGTGCATGGGTAGACGTCATGCACCGTTTCTTTCGAAATATCCCAGATCTGAACCAAATCGGAGAGAAGATTGGGCGAAGGCGTCAAGAGTCCGAATGGCTCCACGTCTTCGGTGCCCGTTCCTGATCCATTCCTGTTGCCCAGGGCATCGACTTCGGCTGCCATATGACGTAGCTCAGGGTGCTGAAAGATGCCCGCAACGGTCAGCGGCATCCCGTGGTCACGAAGAGCGGCTGCAAGCTTGATGGCAGTGATAGAGTCTCCCCCAAGCCGCAAAAAGCTGTCATGGGCACCAATGCTGCTAGTTTCAACGGCCAAAACTTCTGCCCAGAGTCGCTGGAGCTCAAACTCTGTTTCGGATTCTAGCGGCTGCTTCTGCCCACTCTCTAGTGAATATGCCAACAAATCTTCCGAGCTCATGGATGTGAGGATTTGTTGCAGCTTCCGTCTGTCCGCTTTGCCGGCCAATGTTCGAGGCATTGACCGGAGTGGAATGTAGCGCGACGGGATCATGTAGGCCGGGAGAGTTTTGGAAAGGTTCAAGATGATGTGAGATGTGAGCTCACGAAGTTGGCTCTCGATGGGAGGCGTGAGGGCCACAAGTGCACCGCCATCGCTTTCGAATGTATCATCCAAGCACAAGAAGGCAACGAGTACTTTTCTTTCAAGATTATCGGCCAAGACGGTGGTCACCTCCACGGCCATGTCGATTGATCTTGGCAGAAGAGCCTTCTTTAAATGGTCTTCAATTTCTCCGATCTCGATTCGTTGCCCATAGATCTTGATCTGCGTGTCCTTGCGTCCAATGTAGAGAAGGTTTCCTACCTCACCGTATCTCACGAGATCGCCCGTTTTGTAGAACCTCCGGAGACTGTTCTTGCCTGGGGTTCGGGCCCATTTCGGATTGGTAATGAATGATGCGTTGGTTTTTGCTGCATCGCCAAGGTAACCACGTGCCAACAAAGGGCCCTCGACCAGCAGTTCTCCCACAAGACCAAGGGGTGTGAGTTGGTCATGGTCTTCTGGATTGACAATCCACGTTAGGGCAGCAACCCCATGTCCAATATCTATGGGGTCTGAAGAGAGGGTGACGGTCCCACTACAGGTGGCCGTAATGCTGGTCTCTGTGGGGCCATAGGCATTCCTCAACTCGAGAGCGAGGGCCCATTTGGATATATGAGTGGGCGTCATTCTTTTCTCCCCAAGACGAAGATACTTGAGCCCTGGGACAGACTGGGGAGATAAAGTGTTCGCAAAGGATGGCGTGATGTGTGCTGTATTGGCACCCGATCTGTTTATGAAGCCGGCGATATCATTCACGCGATCATCCTCGGAAGGAATGCACACGCATCCACCGAAAAAGAGAGTGGTGATAATATCTTCTAAGCTAGTGTCGAAGCTAAAAGATGCAAATTGAAGAACTCGACTCTTATCTGAACGAAGTAGAGCTTCTTGACGAGGACCAATCACTCCAGAGCAAAATTGATCGTGCTGGATGACAACTCCTTTGGGCTTCCCGGTACTACCGGACGTGAATATGACATAGACGACATTGTTTGGCTTGACACTTTCACCTAGGTTTAAGTCACCGCCGTCGATTGTCGACACTGAAAGGTTTGAGTGAGCTGCCCTTCTGGAGAAGTTGCTTTTGGGAGTCGATATGTCAAGTGTACTGGGCGTGTCCGGGTTTGCTGAATCAGTCGGAAGTGAAGGCGGCGTGCGTGGCCATGATTCTTGGTGTGAGCTCGCGCTTTCTGTCATCTGGTCTCGCGATGGGGGTCGTATGATACCATCGTAGAACGGCGAGAATTCAGAAGAGTATTCGAGTTGCTTTATATCTGAGATTTCACTGCTGGGGTTGCTTTGGAGGCTCTGGAAGAATCTCTCCGAAACCTCAAGTTTGATTGTCGTTGAGATCGGGACAGTGGATGTGGTTGAGGATACCAGGGCAAGGTCTGCGTTGCACTGAGAAATTATGTCGTTCATTCTGTCCAACGGATGGGAGACGTCGAGAGGGACGAATCCGCCACCTGCCTTCATGACACCGAACATTGCAACCACAGCCCAGACGGATTTCTCAAAAAGTAGTGGTACTAGCTTTTCGGGTCCAATGTGATGCTCTTCCCGTAAGATCAGAGCCAACTGGGCAGAGTACAGGTGAAGCTCTCTGTACGTAAGAGAGCCATCCCATGCATGCACAGCCTCGGAATCTGGATGCAAGAAAGTCTGTTCTGCAACCACATCATGTACGAGGCGAGTCTGCTCCTTGGGGGGTTTTTCATTCCAAGTTTTGATCTGTTGACGATCTCGACTCGTGATCATCTCGACCTCAGCCATCCTTTTGGTGCTGTCAGTGGACCGGAAACACTGGGAAACGGCCTCAAAGTGGAGCACAAGGCGCTCAATTTGCAGCTGTGACATGACCGACGGATTGAAAATGACTTCTACATCCACTTGCGTTTCAGAAAATGTGCAAGAAAGCACCAGAGGATATGTGTGGAAATTTGGGTTTGCTGCAGCCTCATGGATCTGCTGTCCGAGGATGCCATCCTCTTCATCCGAATCGGTCTTCTCGTCCATTGGCTGGATTACTAGAAGGTTTTGGAAGTTGCACGCCTCCAAAGAACCTTCTCCTAGTTTTCTGATATTTTGAAGACCAACATGCTCATGGGGCATCATGTCAGTGGCTTGTGCCTGCATAGCCTGAAGGAAGGCTACCACATGCTGTTGGCAATCGATATGAACACGGACAGGCACAGTGGTCAATGTGGGTCCCCCTATCTTGGTGATTCCCTCCACCGGAACTGTTCTTCCGCTCAAAATGGCTCCAAAGGTTATGTCGTCGGACTCTGAGTACTTGCTGACAAGGAAGGCCCAGGCAGCCCGAAGGATTGTCGCTGTAGTGAAGCGTCGGTCGTGATGGTTGTCGAGTTTGATCTGGTGATATACCTTTGACGCTTGATGCTGCTTTACCTCTGGTGCAACATCCTTGATTGGGAAGTCCACTTGTCGGAAACCTTCGAGTTCTGACTTCCAGTAGTCCTCTGAGCCTAGAGGTGTTCGGGTCTGAAGGTATGCTATAAAACGAGGGAAAGGAACTGTTGACCATTGTACCGCAGCCTCCTCATTTTGATATGCATGCATCGTCCGTTTCAAAATTGTTGGCAGAAGCCAGCCATCATACATAGCGTGATGCACCGTCCAGACAAAGAACCTAGCTTTGGTTGGCGTGGTAACAATAGCACATCGTGACAGTGCTGAACCATATGTCATAGAGGCTTTCTCATCTTCTTTCAGGAACGATTGTAGATCGCAATATTGCGAATTTTCCCATGGTACAGCGTCCATTTCGGGGCTGTCTGCCTTTATGACGACCTGGAGAGAGCCAAAATGGCGTGAAAGTATGATTCGTGTCCTCAAGAGCGGATAGCGTGAGGCAACCAGGTTCCACGCTGACTTGAGGCGATTAGTTGACGTTGTGGCAGGGATCGTATAAATCAACCGCGCGACATAGGCATTGTCTTGCCTCATAGACAATGCCATCAGTCCCTCTTGCATAGCTGAACAAGGATAAACGTCCTCGATCGCTTCTCTTGAAACATGGCAAGTGGTAGCGATCTCCTCCTCCAGTGCCTCGTCCGGCCAGGTACCCTGAAGCAAGGAGAAAGGCAAAGGATCCGTTTCGAACAATGTCATCGGAGCATGGCCCGCACTCAAATTCATTCTCTCGGCGAGCCTTTCTGCCATCTCGTGCAGTATGGAATACCGGAAGATATCAGCGACATTAAGTGCACTCCCTTGCTTACTCGCGACGGCGCAGAGCTTCATTGCGAATATGGAATCACCTCCAAGTCGGAAGAAATCATCATATATCCCGATTCGGTGTATTGGAAGCTTGAGTACCCTTGACCAAAGCTCTTGAATTATTTTCTGTTCTCGAGTCTCGGGCTGATGATGGCTTGACGCTGTACCCAGGGAGTAATCCAGGTACTGAGACTCCGACATATGCTCAATTGCTCTTGTTAGAGTGGCCCGGAACTTCTTTCCAGATGTGCTTGTGGGAATTTTGTCAACCGGGACATAAAGGCTGGGTCGCATATATATTGGGAGAGAAGATGCCAATTTGGCCTCAACATCTAACATTTGCGCTCGCGCACTGTCCGACAGTGGTAGGATATTAAATTCCGTCCCAATCTGCCAGGATTGTGGAGAGGTCGAGAAGAACGCGGCGATGAGGCTTTTTCCCGAGGCACTGGTGCTCGTTGCCAAACAGGAGGCAACATCACCTCTCCACGGTGAATGTAAGAGGAGACATGAATCGATCTCATCTAGTTCAATGCGCTGGCCGTGAAGCTTGATTTGGCCATCTCGGCGCCCAAGGCATATCAAGGACCCATCGGGCGCATAGTGCACAAGGTCGCCCGTTTTGTAGAATCGACGGGGAGGTGAGTCTGATTTCTTAGCCCATGATGGATCTGTGATGAAACTGGCATCCGTGAGATCTTGCCTGCCGTGGTATCCCCTAGCAAGTATTGGCCCTTCAATCAACAACTCTCCCACACCACCAATGGGGACCAGTTGGTCGTGATTGTGACTGCTCACAACCCAGGTCAATGCTCCCACCCCAAATCCGATGTTGCTCGCATGGGAAATGCTTGAATTAGGTTGATACGGAGCAGCCACGACGCTTGTCACGGAGCACTCAGCGGGCCCGTATGAGTTTATAAGCGTGACTGCCTCGCCCCAATGCGTGACAAGGTCTGCAGTAACCTGCTCTCCGCCAAGAAGCAAAACTTTCAATGATGGAACCTCTTCGGGTTGCAGTAGCTTGGCCACCGAGGGAGTCAACTCCGCGGAATTCACGTTCATTCTCTTGATAGCCCCTGCCAAATCACTAAGACGCTCCTGCTCTGACGGTATGCATACGCATCCACCAACCATCAGGGTGGTCAGGATTTCTTCAAGACAGGTGTCGAAAGCAAAAGAGGCGAACTGCAGGACCCGGCTCTCGGAGGATCGCATAATCGCCTGCGACCGAGCTGCTACACCAGAACAGAATGAGCGATGATCTGTGACAATTCCTTTCGGCTCCCCAGTTGTACCCGAGGTGAACACAATATAAGCGCTGTCGGCTGGTGAACTGGGAGTGGCTTGAAGACCAGCCGGATTGGGCCTCTCCGCCACCAGTTGTTGATATCTGGTATTCGAAATTTCCACCACGCTCAGCTCAGATTCGGACCACTGCTCTTGCATACTATGGCCACTTGGGACAACGATTATTCGGGCGTCCACCTGACGACATATCTCCAAGCGGCGCGAAATGGGATGTGTCGGGTCCAACGGAACAATTGCACCACCGGCCTTGAGAATGGCAATCATCGCAACGATAGCCCAGACGGACTTCTCAAAACAGAAAGGCACAGAAACTTCGGGTCGCACCCCCATGCTCTTTAGGTACTCTGAGAATGTGTCCGAAATAGCATCCAGTTCGTCGTAAGTTAGCTCACCATCCCATGAGCACAAGGCTTGATTCTGCGGGACTTCCTGGGATTGTGCAGATATCACTCCATGAATACAATTTTCCATAATCCGTGGAATTTTGTTGTTCCATTTCTCAATTTCAACGAGATCAGAGTCACTGATCAACCTCAATTCCTTGAGTGGTGAACGGGGTGCAAAGATGGTAGCGTGGAAGATGTGGCCGAAAGACGTAGCGAGTCTTTGGATAGAGTCACTAGAGGCCTTGTCTGTCCAGTAATCAAAACGCACCGTCACTGTACTTGGAGCAATGTATGCTGTCACCGTCAAATCGTACTATACCGGCATATATTAGTCTCTCATTAGACAAAGCATTACTTTTGCGTGGCTTCACAGAAATATCTAGAAAGTTGAACACTTACCTCAGTTGGATCATAGACCTCAATACTCCTCAAACGGGTCTTAGACTCTGAGCCAAGCTCTGGGCTGGTTTGTCTAAGGATAGAGACCAGGGTATTGAACAGAGGTACCGTAGACATGCCGAGGCCATGCATAACATCGCCCATGGAGACGTGTTGATGAGGAATACTTGCAATAAAGTCATTCTTCTGTGTTGCCATCAACTCGAGAGGGGTTTGTTCCTTTTTGATAGCAAGTCGGCAAGTGACTAGGTTGACAAACGCTCCAACAATATCCTCAATTCCACCCAATGGTGCCGCCCGGGCTGAGTTTATATACCCAAAGCAAATTTCTTCTTGGTCAGTGTATGCTCCAAGAAGAATTGCCCAAGTGAGTTGAAGGAGATCTGCAACTGTCATGCTTTGTCTTCTCAGTACATCACGCGTTGTCTGCTGCAACGGAATATCAATGCTGCATGATTGGAGCGCAGGGGGAGATGGTGGTTGAGCCAGCACCGACATTTTTAGGTGGCAGACGTCCGCATCTTTGAGGTACTTCATCCAATATCTCATGCCTGCATCTCTATCCTGGTTGCGGAGATACTTGATGTAGTCGCCATAAATCGTCTTCGATAGTGGCACCGGGAAAGGATTTGATGCATCACATGCCTGGACTAGATCCCGGAATATAAGCTCCATCGACATTCCATCCGTTATAGCATGGCTCATTTCAAGTTTGCAAATGAAGACACCGTCTCTTAAGGGCGCAATTCGAAGCCTGTGTGGAGGCTTTAATGGAGCGAAGCTTTCGTCTGGGCAGTTGAGCAACTCTAATTTACTGGCATGCTGGGTCACCTGTACCAACGGATGCCGTAGAATAACCTGAACAAAGGGTTGTGCGTGATCAGGGATCTCCAAGAAAATAACCCGCAGTGCATCATGGCGCTCGATCACCTTTCTCCACGCCAAGGTGATTTTTTGAATATTCGGCGTTGATCTTTGATCCCCACCACTCGTGATCTCGAATGTGTGTGTTGTCTGATAAAGGGCCTGGTTCCTGGACTGACTCAAAAGAATGCCTTCCTGGATGGGATAGCATGGGTGTATGACTTGAATATCCTGAATAGGAATGCCACTGATACTGGAGATACTCTCGACAGTGAGACTGTGTGGTTCGGGGGCTTCAGCTGCTTCAGCGCAGATCTCGACTTGCGGCTCGCGCTGTTCATGCGGAAGGGAAACTGCCAGAGAACTTTCTGGTCCGCTGCAGGGCAGGTCTTCCAACTTGATGCCTCTTAGAATATCTCTCACATCCAGCCGAATGCCTTTTTCTCGACAGACACTGACGAGTCGGATCGCCGTAAGTGAGTCGCCACCAAGGCTAACAAATGAGGACTCCATTGAGATTTCTGAGACGTCGAGATGTAGGATGGCACTACACTCTGCTTGCATGACTTGCTGCCATTGATTCAACTGCTTTTGACTTGCAGGGGAGTAAGTGGGTGAAGGCGGCTCCTCGGTCTGGGCCGCGGGTTTTCCCATTCTTTCCACGTAGTCACGGATCTGTCTCCTATTCATTTTGCCATTATTGTTCAATGGTGGCTTCGACATGAGAAGCCAGTCTGTGGGCCACATGAATGGGGGAAGCTCCTTCTCCGTACATATGCGCACTTTTTTAAGATGGCGTTGTAGTGTGTCCGGATCAATGATGACAATGGATTCATCATGCGAAGGGGGGAGTATTGCTTGCTCCATTGCAACAGCAGCAACAAGTCGACCGGAATAGGGGCCTTCGGACGGGAACAGCACCACGGCCTCAACTACAAGGTGATGTTGGCTGATATTGAACTCGATGTCTGCTGGCTCGATTCTCTGGCCATGGTATTTAATCTGCGAGTCCTTCCGACCCACGAAAATGAGCTTTCCATCATCGTCATACTTGACAATGTCACCTGTCTTATAGAAACGAGATGGTAGCCGAGACTGCTGTCGGTCAAACCACATGGGCTGACGGAGGAAGACGCTTGATGTGAGGTCCGGGCGGTTAAGATAACCCCTAGAAACCGTGGGTCCTTCAATCACCAATTCCCCGGGACAGCCTAGTGGTGCTAGCTGATTGTAATCATCTGGGTGGACAATCCAGTGGTGACAACCAAGGGCATGTCCAATATTGGAATTAGGATGTTGGTTGTTTTCAACCTGCAGAACAGAGGTAAAAACTCCCGTTTCGCTGGGCCCATACCCTGTCTGAAATCGAACTCGCGGTGCCCATTGAAGGGTTATGTGCTTTGGAAGAGCCTCACCACCGATGGCTACTGCCTTAAGGCATGGAACCTTGTCTGGGTTCAAAAGTCCTAGCACGGAAGGTGTTGTGCACAACCAGTTTGCCTTGAAGTCGCAAATGGATCGCTCCAAATTGTTCACACGGTCATATTCCGAGGGAATACAGAGGCAAGCACCGTGGAACATCGCAAGGAACATATCACCAGCACTAACATCGAAGCCATAACTGGAATATTGAAAAATGCGCGAGTCGGATGAGACGTTATAATTTTTTCCTATCGCGAATATAGAGGTACACATCGCTGAGTGCGGGACATCGATTCCCTTGGGAGAACCTGTGCTTCCCGAAGTATATAGAACAAATGCCCGATTGACAGAGGTGGCAGTCTCTGTATGCACCGCACGGTCCCCCAAGTCAGGGCGTTCCAAAAGGGATCTCAGTGCTTCTTCGTCCACGCAGATGACGCGAGGCACCAGGCTTTCACAAAGCGACATGTGCGCTTCATCGGCCAGCATGATGCTTATTCCGCCGTCGGTGATGATAGACTTTAGTCTGCTGACAGGCTGCTGAGTGTCTAATGTAAGGCACGCACCACCAGCCTTCTGGATGGCTAGTATTGAGACTGGAACCTGCTTGGATTTATCAAGGCATAAGGCGACGATGACTTCTGGTCCGACTCCAATTTGTCGTAGTGCGTGTGCAAGTCTATTAGACTGCTCATCGAGGCTCTTGTAGGTGTGTTTACCATCCCATGCATCGATGGCAATGCGATCTGGGGATCGAGCCGCAACCTCTTCGAAGACATGGTGAATACATCGGTTTATCGAAGTAATAGGCCGATCATTCCATTTCCAAATCTGGTCTTTGTCGTGGGGGCTTAGAACTTCAATGTCGCGGATCTTCTGTGTTGGGAATGCGATCGCTAGTTGTCGAGCAACATGTAGAAACTGATGAAGGAAACATGTCACGCGCTTGCGAGAAAAGATTGACTCATCAAAATGCGCCACAACATGGAGATTTTGTTGACCATGGCATTCCAGGAGGAGTGGATAGGGATATTTTCGCGTTTGCGGGCAGAACAAGTTCATCGTTTGCTCACCGCACTGAAAGACCTTTTTGACGGGTCCTCGGATATATAACAGGCTGGAAAATGGTTCTCCTGGTGTTTTACCATCGACACCAATCTTTCCGGAGTCATTTTGGCTATCGATGATATTTTGCATTTGTGAAACAAGTCCCATCGTGGTCTCCTCCCGATTGAATTCCGCGCGTACTGGCGCCAAAAACAACTCTGGGCCGGTAAATTCACCAGTCGCGCCAGCAGGGATTTCTTCATTGCGGTGTGACTGAATGGTGCCAAAGGTCACGTCCGCTGATTGTGCGTACAGGCTGAGGACAATAGCCCATGCCGAATATAAAATATTCGAGGCTTGGGCATTCGATGTGTCCAGCCCCCCAATCAGTGCCTCTTCCTCCACAATTGACGACGCGTAGACCTGGTTTGGAACCCAGTCAATTCCCCCAGTCAGAGGATCCCATGCTGTTGTTATCTGATTAAAGGGGTAGACTGCTCCTTTTGTTGCTTCATCCTTTCCAAGTGGTTGCTGAGCGAAGGCTTTCAAAGGCACACATTCGATTTTGTTCATTTCGTCCTGGTCGGAGGCCTGATACTCCGAACATAGTTGATTCAAGAGCACGGTCAAAGTATGATCATCGTGGACAGATTGATGAATAGTGAGAACAAAGAATCGGTCGGTAGATCCCTTCTGCTGTCCAATGAGGCCGGATCGAGAAAGTGGCAAACCGTACCCCATGGGCAGTTCGAGATCTTTGCTCAGATATACTGTCAGAGAGTTATCAGAGGCCCATAGAGAGCCTTCATCCATGACAACTTGCATAGCTCCCATGCTGGTCATAAATATCCTGGTGCGAAGAATTTCGCAGGACGCAACAACCCGATTCCAGGCATGTTGAAAGCGTGGGAGCTCAATTTTGGGAGGAAGATCCAAGACATATTGCAAAATACAAAGGGAGCGGTTGGACGAGTAGTTCATCAACAAGCCCTGCAATGGATTGCATGGGTAGCATTTTTGGATGCGCGAGGATAGAAATGTCTCATCTGTCTTCAACTCTGCTATCACTGCTGCCACCTCTGCAGAAGCTTGTTGGGTCGACTCGGAACCCATTGTGCCTGAAGGATTTCAACAATGCTAGCACTTCTTTACGATGATATCCGTACCATAGCCATCATTTAAAGCCCCCTCCTTGGCTTACGGGAAATGACTTGCCAATTGTCAGATATATTTCAGTATCGCAAACATACATACCTACATAAAATGTACGATTTTGATTGCATATATTACCAGAAAACTCTCATTATTCTGGCGTAGATGTATGGCCTTTACGATTATCAATATTTATTATGAATTACCAAACTTCCTATCTATATCAGGCTGTTATGCTCGCCCCGCACCTGCCTGTATTACTTTCTAGATCTGTATATGCAGTACAAGCTGCAATGATATTACCAAGTTTTGGATATTAAAAATAATCCTCTCTACCCCCGACGGCACTCCGTGCCCAGTCAATCCTTCGTCTCTCACTTTACCAAAAAAATAGAAAATGCAGGCATTCCCTGATAGGGCTATTGTTGTCCTCGCGCATACCGTCGCCAAGTCGTACAAACTAGGTCCTTTTGCCTCTCCATCTAGAGCACATTATCAAATGTACATTGAAGGATTTCGGAAGTACACTGTTACATGCCATGTCCGGTAATAAGGGTGGGTCTACTTGTTCTCTCGGGGGAGCTATCGTATAGTGACCGAAATTCAATCAATTGCACAACTAAAATCAATATTCGGCAATTGTATGGAGGGAACCCGTGCTCTATGCATCATACGCCGTTTATACTGTATTAGGAACGGCATGGAATCTTATGGGATGGTGAGCTTCCAAATTTTCTTTTCCTGGCCAGCGTGCGAAAGTAGCGTTGAGAATGTGTATATAAACTATCAGGTCGCAAAATAATCAGAGTCCAAACCTGACTTCCAGAACGTGTGCCGCAGCCTTTATTTTTGGTTCTATCTCTATCACCTTCTGTCTTAGGTGGCTTTGCATTTTGCAGTATCAATCTTCAAAAGATGTTCGAATACAACCACGGCAGTGTCCTCTGGGAGAGATTCTTCATGGGGACCGATAATAGCACTGCAGCTGCGATAGTTGCCATGACCGGAATGATAGCCTATGTTGTGTTTGTTGTACTCGCCACGGATGTGGCCCAGAAGAAACAAAGCATGGAAACGGTCATTACCCATTCTCATTTCCTTTATTCCTGCAACAGGCCCCAAGCGTCGCACTATTGTGCTAATCTAAGCTTTCTTAGAGCCCCGCAAAGCCCAATAAGCATCAGGGACGCAGTCACACCCGAAGCCCTCACGAGAGTGATATAGTTTCGCCACTGAATGACTTTGATTACCGCACGGTGAATCCAATTGACTACCGGCCTTTCAAGACCATGCCGCATGTTTCAATGGGTGGGTCTCATCTCCTCTAGCAAAATCCAAGTGCATTTTATCTGACAATGAGGATTCCCATCCGATGCAGGAATCAAGAAAATGCCCAAGAATGAGTGGATCCGAATGGACCGAGGTTACGTCGACCGCATCGAAGAACGCAAGCAGGTCATGCAGAGCAACCCCAAGGAAGCATTTGGTAGCAACGCAATTGTTGACCCAGCAATTGCAGAGCTATATCAGGAAATCATGGATTTTCTGCCCCGGCGATTCCCCACCATGTTTGACTTGTGTGGAGATTCCTTGTACAACAAGGTCACCGGCCAGTCGTATTCGGTCAATCTCACCGAGCTGGACCCTATGACTATGCTCCGTAACTTGGGCGAGAACGTTGAAGAAGACTTCTACATCATGTGTCCCGATTCTGACAATGAGCTGAGACTACAGGGTTACATCGCATGCTTTCCCGGTGGATTTCTGAGCCCATCCCGGGTTGGCATGTCGATGCGTGAGATACACCAGCCCGTCCCTGGCTATGAAGCTCGTATTGGTAAAGGAGCGGACCGCTTCCTTGCTCGGCTTGAAGGAGGTGCCTTTGTTGGAAGAATGAACGTAAGACTGAAACTAGTGCATCCCTTTGGCTTCTACATACAGCTAGTTTGCCTATTACATGGGCCTTTCTCGCCTTGATGTTAACGCCGACTGACATGGCACAGTGGAGCCTCCAGACGGATGGCCGGGATCTCTTCCGCGTGGACGGCAATAACTTCTATCCAGAACAAGGCCATCAATTACCCACAGAGCAGCTGCCTGTCAACCTCGACGATTGCTATCTCCGGGTGGAGCATCAAACACTGACACGACTGACGAAATCGCGTGCTGTCATCTTTTGCGTTCGCTCATACATGACTACGCTACGAGAGGTGAGAGTGGAGGGAAATGGGCCCGCACTAGCCAATGCCATCGAGAGCATGCCGGAGAAACTGGGTGATTACAAGATGCGGCCTATGTGGAGTGAGGCCATTTACCCATACCTTCGTTCGCAATAGACCACCTAATTGGTGGCTTGTCTCCCTTCTAAGAGGGCGGAAATCACGGAAGGAGGGGAGAGAAAATATGGCACGCAGTTAGGCGTACTATGGGGTGATTGTGCATATCAACCAAGAACTTTGTTTCACACAAAACTAGAATTTGATAGCGAAGTCTGCCTTTCAGCTACTTCATACTAGCTCCTTCGCCTAGTAGATGAATCTTTAAGTCACAGCTACACGTTCTCCTAGTCTTTCCTTGACGGAAATCACCGAGACTGCCCGTATTTGGGTCCAATAAGTGATCTCTGCTAATTCAACACGATATTTGACTCTACACAGCCCCTCCGGGGGCGATAATATGGCCATTGAGATCACATCTGGAGGTCTTGAGACCACTGATATGGACTTCACCCCACCTGCAGTCCTCGGCCTACTCTTCCCTTTTAACTCTAGTTTACTTCATGTGACATAAGCAAATATGTATACAAGTGGACCCATGAGAAAACAAGCAGAACGCGTGGCTTTCGCGGCTTATACCGACAGACATACTAGTATTATATTGGTCATGCAGCATAGGTGGACTTCTTACCCGAATTTACGACGCCCCAAGACGCCACAGTCAGATTAAGATACTTCGGGTCTTCGTCGTAGTATTTCATATACCACTAACATTTACAAGAGAAATACAGACCCACCCGGTTAAAGTCCCTAGTTATGTGGAGAATATACTGGAGGGAGCCATGTGTATATGTACCATTTCAATTGTTTGAATGTGCTGCACAAGGTGGCAGAGAATATAATTTACCTTCCTCCAGAGTCTGACTGCCCTCAACGCACATGCCAAATGCACCTCAATCATGACGAACTTGAGATCTTAGATCGGAAACAAGCAACATGGTGGAAAAATTAAGGCGATAACTTAGCATGTGTAAGTGAGGGGTGCTGCATCGGCTGCCCCTCAACTGAAGGATACAGAAAAGGAAAGTCATGGGAGCATATGCAGGGCCGCCAGCACGTGGAGAACCGGGGTTGGATGGCTTTTGCTGTGCCGCATATGCAAGGCCAGCAACACGTAGAGAAGCAGATCAGAGGATTTGTGCGGTCTCTCCGATAAGTCCAAGATGTATCGATATGTATTTGAAGGATTTACCATATGTCGCTGATAATACTAGCGGATTACGTAGTCTTCATATCATGATAAACGCACTAATATATTATCGTCCGCCATTTTGCATTACTGTGAGGCTAACCATAGTCAGATTAGGGTGTGGCCCGCGGGCGGATCTGCGTTGCAGTGCTTAAACGAAGTGTGATCAATACCGCTAAGCTTTGAGGCTTTCGAGGGCACAGACCCTCTCGCTTATGGCTGCCTACATACAAACGGAGTTAGTAACTCTACTAGGTACATAGTTATGCATTCCATTCAAAAGAATATTTACTCTATTGGTACCTCGGTCGTATAGTTGAGTTTCCGTCCCCACCTTATCTTTAACCTTGGAAGTTTTAGTGGGGGAGCGGGTAGGATCATTGGCGCTCCGTGGCGACATAGAGGGGTTAGGAGGGGCAAATCGGCCTCAAATCGGACCCCGGGCCACTGACTACAATTGACGCAGACATCTCAACTTCACCTTCCTCTCATAGGCAATATCACATTCAAAACATGATTGGAAAGAGGGTTGGAAAGATGATTGGAAAAACGCCGGAGGACATACAAACATAGACAGTCAACGTAAGAGACAGAGATATGACAAAGAAGTTTAAAACTACATATCTACCTCCGAGATCCCTTTACGGAATAGTTACACCTATTATCTGTCGCAATGGCTCACACGTTGCACAGTGAAACATATCATCGTTCCATTTCCAGATATTGACTAACTATAGAAATGCATTGCGTATAACTATGCAGAAAGTAAGACCTGCCCGGCCTGGCCGTCTGACATGCATGTTCTAGTTTATAGACGGCTTGAATTGATCGCTTTCCTGCTGATTTGATTTGTCCTGCCCACCAACGAATGCTTGACAGCACTCTTTACCCCACTTTCAGATTGAGAGGCCTGCATTTTGAGAATGACCTGGTCGGTGGTGGCAAGGTCGCAGAACTCGTCCTTCATTGTAGCAAGATGAATTTCATGGACAGCTTCGGCCTCGTAATTTCTCCCCTCAAAGTCCACGTTGAAGGTGGCAGTGGCATCCTGCACAAGGATAATCTCGGCCTGGGGCTCGCTGCCATCCTTTACTATGCATCCATAGCCATGGTTGACCACCCGTAAGTTAGATGCGGCCCGGAGTGTCGTGCTCACACAATGCGCCGTCATCAGTCCTATGACTACTAGACGTTGCAAGTCGAGTTTCTGCAGGACCTCTGCGAGATCTGTCTCGACAAATGGCGAGTTGGTGGTCTTTGAAAAGACACGCTCCCCATTGATAGGTTGTGCATATGGCATGAAGTCGGAACCGGGCTTGGATGGGTGCAAAGGAGAGCCGGGGAAGGTAGAATGATGACAGACATGTAGGACATGGGCACCTGGAGTGGCACGGAAAGTCGCCAACAGAGCAGCTACGTTCTGTTCAAACTTCGGTGTTGAGCGTTGTGTTCCCCAGTGTGTCGGGTGCGAGAAGCCCTGCTGGATGTCGATGAGCAAAAGTGCGGAGCGAGGGGAGGCCATATTGTCGGACTGTTGTTCAAGGTGAAAGAAGGAAAAGATGATGAAGATGTACACAATTATGGCTGTCGGCCGAGGAAGAAGAGGTCAAATATCCCCCTCACCATGCTACCAGTCTGATACTCATGCATGACAAAATTCAGTATCTCGAGCCATGTCAGTGCGTATACCGTGCGGGTTTCCTTCAATTGAGCTTTGATCCTGCCGACCGGGGGCCGACGGGCATCGCTGTTGTCAAATCCTCAATGGCATGTCGTAAATCCTTTGGTGGGACTCGAAGTAGAGTTTTTCTTCTGGTATATTGGGATTCTGGTTGCATACTGTAAAACCTTGGAAATGTTTGTAAGATTCAAGGTGGAACAGGTGGAATACGGGCCGCTACCCCGTAGATCAGATCAGCCGTTGACGAGCATTGTTATTGGCTTCCAGGCGCCAAACGCCCCACCTGCATCTTTTGGCGCTAACTGCATGTGAACGATACCGCCATACCTAGGTAGTCATAGGCAGTAATAGATGACAGCTGAGTATCTGATGCTCTGGCCCGCTTCAAATTTCTGTCGCATCGAGCTCTGTCCGTATACCCGGTATGGATGCATGAATGGGACTAATGTACAATTTAACGCCTCATACACGCATGCCCTATCTGGAATTTGAGTCTTCTAAGCAGACAGTCCTGATGCAACCCTGTCCCCGCATGTTGATCTAGAGCTTTTGGTCTCTAGTTGACCGTTTCATCCTTTGTCACTTATCTCAGGTGCGTGAGTCAATACAGCTATGTCGGTATCTAGCTAGTCTCCCACTTTGTGTTGTTGGTGTGTCTTTCTAAAAAAGAAAAAAAGTCAAGAAAACCACCTGCCGCGTTTGTAAGCATCTGTCTACCGGACTCTTAGAGAAATTCTCTACTTCAATTCTTCTCAACCTCAAAACTAACTCCTTGACCTACGTTTCCCAGTCAGAGTTGCTACCGCCATGTCGTCGCATTCATGCTCTTTTGCCTCGGACAATGTCTGGGGTCCAGCAGTGCAGCCTTGTCGCCGTTTATTTGACTTCACTTTGCTTTTCGAGCAGTCGATTTTCTCAATTCTGCCCTCGTCCATTTTCCTTCTACTCGCCTTCGGCAGGTACTACCAACTATGGCAGCAACCTAACCTCGTGACTGGATGGATTTTATTGGGGATAAAATTGGTGAGTAGCAAGACCTATCGTGAGATTGGAAAGGCATAACAGAAAGCACAATTGGCTAACTGCAAGGCAAATCTTTTTTTGCCTGCCTTTGAAGACATCAGCGATAATCTCTGCCTCCCTCCAGCTTGCTCTGTTGATTCTATATTGCTTCGCGCCCGGGAACCGCACAAATGTTTCGATTGCTGCTACCGCATTGAACGTAGTAGTAACGCTTACCTTGGCACCTCTCACCTATGCAGAGCATAGAAGGACCACACGCCCATCATTCCTGATCAATGGCTACTTCCTATTGGTGCTCCTACTTGATGGCACTCAGGTACGATCTCTATGGCTAGCCAATGTAAAGGGAAGTATCGCGGGGGTCTTTACGGCCACTTTCGTGATGAAAGGAATACATATTACTGCAGAATCTTTCCCCAAAACAAGATGGTTAGCTCAGGGGGGTGGTTCCAAGAGCAGTCCTGAGGACTTTGCTGGGATAATTTCCAAAACTTTCTTCCTCTGGATCAACAGCCTTATCAAGATGGGCTATGTGCGTGAACTCGGTTCGCGAGATCTCTTCCCTATGCCAGCAGGGTTCTCTTCGGTGACCCTGGAACAGGACTTGTGGACGGTTTGGGAAAAAGGTATGTTTAATCCTTCGTATTCTCTTGAATTCCGCCGCTGGGTATTATGTCTAATATTTTTGCTTTTTTCAGCGTCCAAGACTGGAAAGAATGCTCTTTTATTGTCCACAATCAGCGCCTTGAAGATCCGTCTTTTAAGCCCAATCCTCCCAAGACTATGTCTTATCGCCTTGACACTCGTTCAACCTCTACTTTTGATTCAGATGGTCAACTACATCAAGGCACCCGATACACAAGACGAGCGGAATATCGGCTACGGCCTTCTTGGTGCTTATGCAATTGTTTATATAGGAGTTGCTGTAAGATACCAATTCTCTTATATAGCAACCCCTGACATCGGATTTCTAACTTGCTCCCAGATGACTACCGCATGGTACTGGCATCAAACCTATCGATTCATTACTTGTGTTCGAGGAGCATTGGTGGCGGTCATTTACCGCAAAACCCTCGATCTTGACATCTCGGGCTTAAACAAGTCTTCCGCCTTGACCATCATGAATGCTGATGTCGAGAGAATCGTAGGTGGTCTACGGATGATGAACGAAATCTGGGCGAATTTCATCCAGGTTGCCTTCGCAGCCTGGCTGCTGGAACGACAAGTCGGCGTCGCTGTTGTTCCTTCGCTTGGTATTGCATCTGGTAATGTCGCAGAAATTCAGCATTTGATAGTTTTGGGAAAGTCTACTAACTCAAAATCAAGTATGTGCTGTCCTTACTATGAAATTTGGGGCATCTGCTGGTCGCCAGCAGGAGGTTTGGATGGAGATGATTGAAAAACGGGTTGGTACGCTGCTGATCTTGAAGTGTGTATTCTGAGCTCAATGAAATGCTCATGTTCCATAGGGATAACCTCAAGCACCCTTTCTGCTATGAAGGGTTTGAAGATGTCTGGCCTGTCTGACATATTGATGAATCTGTTACAACAGTCGAGGGAGAAGGAGCTTAACGCAGCAGCAGGGTTCCGGTGGTGGGAAATTGGCACAATGATGATGGGTTAGTTATAAACCGACAATCTTCGACCCAATGAAACCCCTAACGATGGTTTAGGCTTTACCCCCGTGATGATTTCACCTGTTCTCACCTTCGCAGTTTTCATTGCGGTTGATCACACACGCCACATCACACTGGATGCCGGTCGGATGTTCTCATCCCTGTCGCTGCTTACACTGATCTCACAGCCATTGAGCATGCTATTCCAGTCAGCGCCAGAATTGGCCTCAATGATTGCTTGCTTCCAACGCATCCAGAAATTTCTACTCACAGAGCCGAGACCGGATACGAGGAGAATTGTATCCTCCCCGACCACCATTCCAGCGCTTGAGGAAAGCTCCGCGGGCGAAAAGAATGGCCTTCCAGCAGCCGACTATTCATCCAGCACTGCCATTTCTATGAATGGTGCGACTTTCACTTGGCCCGGCAATACACGCCCGGTGCTTCAAAATATCAGCATTTCCATTCCACGGCAAAAGCTGACCATGATCTTTGGTCCCGTTGGTTGTGGCAAAACCACTTTACTTAACGCACTGCTCGGTGAGATCTCGGTCTCGGAAGGCGAGGTTATGGCAGCGACTGCCGATTTTGCATACTGTGATCAAACAGCCTGGATCATGGATGGAACTCTGAAGGACAATATTGTAGCATTTTCGGACTTTGATGAAAAGTGGTACCAGACTGTCCTACATGCCTGTGCTCTTGACGAGGATCTGCTCCATTTCCGTGATGGAAATGACACAAAGTTAGGCGACCAGGGAGTGAATCTGAGTGGTGGTCAGAAGCAGCGCGTGGTATGTCACTTCATATCCGGCTCCCCCCCCCCGTTTTTCCTCATTTCCTTCTTTTTCTTTCCTTCTCCTGTTATGATGATACAATGTGACATAAAATTCTCTAACTAAGCGTCTACCAGTCACTCGCACGAGCTATTTTTGCAAGACGCGAAGTCAACATTGTGGATGATGTTCTCAGTGGTCTTGACGCTACCACTGAAGCCAAGATTCTCCAGCGCTTGCTAGGACCACATGGGCTCTTACGGCAGAATCCCAGCACTACAATCTTGGCAACCCATTCTGGTGAGATGGCTCATGTCCTTTTCCCTTCTATTAAGGCCAATTGACTGACCAACGGGGTTCAACGCTCAGTACACCATGCTTCGTATGCCGATCACATAATTTGCATCGGATCTGATGGTCAAATCGTGGAACAGGGAGCTTTCTCTGATCTTTCTCAACACGACAGCTACCTAACGCGTACTAGTCCATCCGAGGCTCATAGCTCTGCCACAGAAATTGAAAAGCATGAAGTGTCGCCAACCACAGATGACAATTCAGAGACCGATGAAAAGCTAAAAGTTGCTGTGTCCGAGACAGGGTCAAGTTCGACGGCATCGGAGCCAAAGAAGACCACAAATGTGATCGTATATTATATGCTATCCATCGGGAAATTCTCATCTGTGGCTTATGTGATAATTGCCGTTGCTTATGCTTTCCTCTTCTGTTTCCCATGTAAGGCCAGATCCCTTGAGATTTTTGTTTTTTTATGATGCTAACGAACATGTATAGATGTTTGGGCGAAGTGGTGGACTGATTCAAATGAGACACACCCTGGATATCATCAAGCCATATACATGGGGATCTATGCACTCTTTCAGGTTTCTTGTCTCCTCGTTCTAGGAGTTCTGGGATGGTAGGTTTATTTCTCATCTTAGACTGTTCACCAGTTTGCTCTGCCCGCTAACCTATTCTTTCGCAGGCATGCGGTCATCAACGTTGTTTCATCTGCCGGGCTATCCCTTCATTGGACTATTCTACAAACAACATTCCGGTAAGTCTACAATGGGCTCTTTCAAACACAATTCAAAACTGATAGTTGGGATAGGGCACCAATGTCTTACTTTCAGGCGACAAGTCTCGGCTCTATCATCAACAGGTCGGTTAATCTGTCATCGGTCCAAGTATCTTTAGGATTCTAATTTCCTCGGGACAAATAGGTTCAGCCAGGACATGCAGCTTATTGACTCGGAGCTACCCATGTCCCTTTTGAATATATTCTGCAGTAAGTGCAACCTGTTCCCTCAATTCATGATCATGTCACTAAATTTACGACAAGGTGGCCTTATCATGCTTGGTCAAATACTCCTGATCATGACTTCATCGTACTGGGTGGCAATCTCATACCCTGTCATATTCGTGGTCATGTTCGCGCTCCAGAAGGTGTACCTGCGCACATCACGACAGCTTCGGAAGATGGATTTAGAGAGCAAAGCGCCTTTATAGTAAGTGCAAAGCCTAAATCCTTGACTTGTCAATTGCACCCAAGATCAATTCTAATTTGGCTCTGCATTAGTGCGCAGTTCATGGAGTCTATCGAAGGACTAGCTACTGTCCGCGCCTTTGGGTGGCAAGCAAACTTCATTCGCCAGAACCACCAAAACTTGACGAAATCGCAAATACCGTTCTATCTTTTGTTCTGTGTCCAGCGATGGCTAGCATTGGTTATGGACTGTTTGGCTGCAGGATTTGTTCTCCTTCTGATCGGCCTTATTCTTGGGTTGAAAGATAAGATCAGCGCTGGCTTCGCAGGCGTTGCTCTCTCCAACGTGATGAGCTTGAGCGGCATGCTGACCGATATTATCATGGTATGGACCGAGTTTGAGACCTCCCTGACGTCGATTGAGAGAGTCAGAGACTTCGAAGCGGAGACCCCGGTCGAGGCACTCTCTACGGAGACCATGACCCCTCCTAGCAATTGGCCGGATCGGGGCCATGTCGAATTCAAGAATCTCGCTGCCACGTACAAGTAAGATAAAACTCCCTTGCTAATTTCTTATATCAGCACTTCCAAGTCGGCGTTTTCTTGTCCTGTACTCACACTTCTACTTCCAGAAACGGTACCGTCACGGCCCTTCGCAACATTACCTTGGATATCAAGCCAGGCGAGAAGATCGGAGTATGCGGTCGGACCGGAAGGTTAGTGAGCCCTGTTTTTGTGTGAACATTTAATCGACTCAGAATATCAAGACTAACTCCGGCTCTCAATGCTAGCGGTAAATCCTCGTTGATGATGGCATTATTCAAAATGGTCGATTTGGCTGAAGGGAGTATTGTCATTGACGACATCGACACGTCGACTATCCCGGCCAATACTGTACGCACGGCAATGAATGCAATCCCGCAAGAACCATGCTTCTTACCAGGATCTGTCCGAGAGAACATGGACCCTCATGGGGTGTCAGACGATGAGAGTATCCTCCGCGCGCTCTCCTCTGTTCAACTGTCAGACATAATCCAAGAGAAAGGAGGTCTCGACGCGGAGATGGAGCAGGTCAATTTGTCTCATGGACAAAAGCAGTTGTTTTGCTTGGGCAGAGCGACACTCAAGCAATGCAAGATAGTGGTGCTTGACGAAGCCACAAGCAAGTAAGTCGCACCTCCCTTCCTCTTGACCCCCACTTCTTGGAGGTCATGATGTACTAACGGCTGACTGTTCTAAAACAGCATTGATGTCACTACGGACCGTCTAATCCAGAAGGTTATTCGAGAAAACTTCAAGGAGTGCACGGTGATCACTATTGCCCATCGACTTGATACCATCTTAGATAGTGATCGGATTCTTCTGCTACACTATGGAGAGATTGTCGAATTCGACACGCCTTCCAGCCTTCTTGGTCGGGGCTCGAGATTCAAGGCTTTCTATGATGCGGATGGCAGCCAATAAGTATATGAGAACAGTTCGGTAGTTCAGCATTACACTTGGGTGAATAAAGCAACCATTTGGGCGACCTAAAATGACATTGTGTCCCGTCATGACTTAGAGAGAGATTCAGAGGTCTGGTCAACTATCGTCTCATTCCATGGATGGTCCTGACCCCGTCTCCTCCGGTTCAATGCTTTCCTCGATTATTGTGAACCTTCAATTAATCGTGTTAAGCACCCAATGCACCTTCCCTGAACCAATAAATCTTGAAAATAGGTAGGTACCGTTTGCACGGCATCCCTATACGGAAGGTACAAAAAGGGCAATATGGGGAAGTTGCGTTGGGCGCTTAACACGATTAGAACACGGACCATTTCAGCCTCACTGTGGATGTATGATGTCGCCAATTCGGGAAACGGCGGACCAATGGGATTTAACGCTTAACAAGACTCTTCTTTTGTACATTATCGTAATATCATATTAGCCCTTTTCCTTATAAAATACTATGTGATGCCCTCAATAACAGTTTAGTTAGAACAATTTTGTACTAGCTCGTGTATGAGATATGTACTATAGGAAACCAGGAAGGATGCAAGGCCTGACAAACAAGGACATCTAAAATAAAGCAAGTCAGTCAAGGAAGAGTAGTAGTAGTCAAGTCAGGGTTAGTATATTTTGTTTAGAAATATCCCATCCATCCTTTTTTTTAATGGTACCTATAGGTAGTAAATGTATATTTTTAACCCGTGTGGCCAGATAGGCCAACAGTATGTATCTACATATAGGCTACCATAGGCTCTAGACAACGATAGCAAAGTCTACCACGAACCCATTTTCCGGGTATTTGGTGCACCTCATGTTAAAACTGTTGGGGAAAAATTATACCTTGACGTTGGATTCGGCTTTTCGTCATACTCGGGCTTGAGCCTTGGGGGCCAGATCAGTGGATCGGTCCCAAATCAGCGGCGAATTTGCGACGCACTCTCAATTTCTGATGATGATTCAAGCTTCAATTATTGATAAAGATAGAAAATATTTCAACTAATAACGGGTCTTAGAATGGCGAATCTCCTAAAGATTTTCTGCTGATTTTAGGATTGGGCCCAGGGTTCGGAGGAATCCCGCCCTAACAATCTATGACATGCGTTGCCTGACATTCCCAACGGAACGGTTCAACACTTTCTTGCTGGGAGCAACACAACTGACGACTGACTCGTTAGTATGAGATACCTAGAAAGTTCTTTATCCTATATAATGTTCTTAGATTCAGGCATCGCAATTTAAAACATTTTCCACCAGCCATCAATTCCATCCCCAGAATCTCATAAACACTTGCAAGAAACCTAAAATTTTCAAATCTACGACGACTATGGCCAAAACTGAGCCAAGTGGTGGAAGGCAGCATATCAGCGAAAAGCCCGTCACACTCAGTAACTGGTACCAGCATGTCAACTGGGTCAACACAACCCTCATCCTGATCGTACCCGTCGGTGGCGTCGTCGCTGCATTCTATACACAGCTGAGGGCAATCACTGCTGCTTGGGCAATTCTCTACTACTTCTGGACTGGACTGGGCATCACTGCCGGCTACCATCGTCTATGGGCGCACAGATCGTACGAAGCGTAAGTCTGCCACTACCCCACCCCTTGGTTCGAAGCTTCGAATGAAGCACTAACTGACATCTGATATCTCCAGTGGCCTTCCAATCAGAATATTCCTCGCATGTGTCGGCGGTGGCGCCGTCCAAGGTTCAATCCGGTGGTGGAGCAGTAAACACAGGGCACACCACCGATGGACCGACACAGTCAAGGACCCATACAGTGTCATGAAGGGGCTCTGGTATTCGCATTTTATGTGGATGGTTCTAAATCAAAACCCGAAAAACCGTGGCAGGACCGACATCTCCGACTTAAATGAGGACCCGGTCGTCGTCTGGCAGCACAAGCACTATGGATCTGTCATCTTGGTTTTCGGGATTTTGTTCCCTATGCTCGTTGCTGGCCTGGGATGGGGTGATTGGAAGGGTGGTATTGTATATGCTGGAATTCTTCGGTTCTCGTTCGTCCAGCAAGCCACCTTCTGCGTCAATTCTCTCGCCCATTGGTTGGGTGAGCAGGTCAGTCATTGTCCATCTCCTGTTCTTGTTATATTCCTGTCCACTCTGACACGCGTTAGCCATTCGATGACAGGAACTCACCTCGCGACCACGTCGTTACCGCCCTGATCACTCTCGGCGAAGGCTACCACAACTTCCACCACGAGGTAAGAAGGCTCTTCCCCTGTATTTACTTGGCACCCACTAAACCCTGACCAGTTTCCCTCCGACTACCGCAACGCCATCGAATGGTGGCAGTATGATCCCACGAAGTGGTCAATCTGGGTGTGGAAGCAGCTCGGTCTGGCTACTAACCTCAAGGAGTTCCGAGCAAACGAAATCGAGAAAGGCCGAGTGCAACAACTACAGAAGAAGCTCGACCAGAAGCGCTCTAAGCTTGATTGGGGTGTTCCTCTGGATCAGCTGCCTGTTGTGGACTGGGACGATTTCATTGCAGAAACTCAGAGTGGCAAAGCTCTAGTTGCCATTGCTGGTGTTGTTCATGATGTGAGTAACTTTGTCGCGGAGCACCCTGGTGGTAAAACCCTCATTTCATCAGCCATTGGGAAGGATGCCACTGCCATGTTTAACGGTGGTGTCTACACTCACTCCAATGCCGCTCACAACCTCCTTTCCTCGATGCGAGTTGGGGTTATTCGCGGCGGTGGTGAAGTTGAGATTTGGCGTCACCGAAACAACCAAAAGGGCGTTTATGCTTGAGCTTTCGGGGAGTAATTAGAGATCAATTTGTCAAGTTTCAAGTTTCACGAGAATATGAACATTTTTACCTAAGAAGCAAACCTGGAGATGTGTGCTGAACCAATCACGGCCAATGGGTTTCTTTATGTAGCCATGGATAAATACACTGAATGGCAGCAGGCGCAGCTGAGCAGCTGAGCAACAAGAATTTTGAGAATGTCAATATTATGATCAATGAGTTCGTAGGCTTTCCGTTGATTATTAGCCTCATCTTCAGTGACTCCTGGTCCAAATTTGATAACGGTATCATTTGAAGTCTTAACAACAAGATTCCCTTCTTGGATCCCGCCAACAATTCGATCAGGGGCAGCTTCGAAGAAAAGACTTATCAATTCACCATCCGATAAGGTAGTAGAGTCCATTTCTCATAAAAGAAAGATGAAATGATCATCTAATGTTCAAAGCAGCGGAATTTGTGGCTGAAAGGGGGGCTTCTGTGACTCGGGCCGGATCGTGTCAACGCCGAGCGTGTGTGGGCGCCAATGAGCTGAGAGGGTCAGTGCGGCGGTCGCGCGAAAAAGAATTGCTTTATCAAATCAGTTGACCAAGGTGTCTCGCATGGTCTTTGTACCGTGGCGAGCCATGCTGTCATATAGACAAAGCGAGCGAGGACGACGATATATTTGATACTTTTGCGATGTAAGATTATTGTGGTTTTACCGAGCGCGAAGTAACCTAACATCCCCAACACGCGAACGCGAAGCGGCGATTCGGAAGGCACGGGTTGAATCACCACCAAGGAGACGTGGAAGCTCATTGAGAAACCGAAAGACATCATCCACCATTAGACCACATTAATCGAATCTACCCAACATGACATGACCTACAGGAGGTCAAGCATAACCAATGGGATCCAAGATCAGAACAATAAGGTCCACGAGGAGGTTCGAGCTTTGCGAGCACAACCAACTTGAAGCGCCCCACCCAGATTATGGGCAAGCTTTCTATAGAGCGTGTTATACAAAGTAGAGATCGAGAAATGGCTTGAGCTACTTAGTTGTCTCGTTTAGGAATTTGCTGCCAAGACATTTTTTTCTCTTCCTTCACTCCCTTGCTCCCTTCCCTCACTCTCTCCCCTTATCTCTCTTCCTCACTGTACTGGGGAGTGTGTCGGATGACTGCTAATGTGCTTGTTCAGTGTAATTATTCATTTTTATTCATTATTCTTATCCCATGCGCTGACTCTGACTTTGATTTTATTCTTCAGTTCTCGTCACCCTGAGCCCCTGCTTGTTCTTACGAGGACAATGAGAGACACGGGTATCAGTGCCCCAATCGCCAAAGATCCATCAACGAAGATAGAAGGCAGTGGCTATGCTTATCGCACATCAAAATCAAATGAAGACAGCCGAAATTTGGACGTCGTTTTACGAAACGGGCTAGCCGGAGGTGTCGCAGGCTGTGCTGTGAGCTTTACCACCTGAGCTACCAATAGTAGATTGCTGATATCAGAGTAATGTAGGCCAAAACTGTTGTCGCCCCATTGGAGAGGGTCAGGATCCTCTTTCAAACTTCCCACTCTCATTTTGTGCAGTATTCGACCCGCTGGGATGGTTTAATCAAGGCTGCCAGACACATTCGAATGTCATATGGCACATCCGCGCTTTTCAAAGGTCACTCAGCAAGCTTGGTCCGCGTCTTCCCGTATGCCGGTATCAACTTTCTCGCATACGAACAGTTCCGAGCAGCAATCATCACATCTCCCGAGAAAGAAGCACCATGGCGTCGATTTTTGTGCGGAAGTATGGCCGGTGCGACCTCTACCTTGGTCACATATCCTCTTGAGTTGATCCGTACACGTCTTGCCTTCGAAACCGTCCAAAAAAACCCGTCATCCTGGCTTGGTATATCTCGGAAAATCTACTTCGAAGGAGGAGGCACCGGGGGCTTGTCAAATCTCTATCGAGGAATTGCCCCGACTATGCTAGGCATACTTCCGTATGCTGGCACGTCATTCCTCACCCACGATCTACTCAGGGACTGGCTTCGCACGCCTGCCTTTGCACCCTACACTCTAGAGGCGCAATCTTCCACTCGACTGACCGCGGTTGCGCAGCTTTCCTGTGGAGCAGTCGCTGGCATAGTCGCTCAAACGATTTCTTACCCGATTGATATCATTCGGCGACGAATCCAAGTCGGAAGTGTGATTGGTACTAAGTCAGGAATTTTGGAGACAGCCCAATGTATTTTTCTGGAGAGAGGAGTGAGAGGCTTTTATGTTGGGCTCACTATTGGCTATGTCAAAATGGCTCCTATGGTAGCGACAAGTTTCTATGTTTACGATCGGATGAAGCGATTTTTGGGCCTTATTGAGTAGCCGCTTTCTTGTTTCTCTTTTTCCTTGACTCCATTAGACGTTGATAGTGCTGGTGGTTTAACCTTGAAAGGCTCTTTCCACGGTTACGTAGGTAGGAACTAACCCAAGATGGAAAGGTCCACCCATGGACTGTCCATGGGCCCCTGGCCCCGGGGCAATATGTGGCTGACTAAGGAGTCGGGGCGGTAAACAAAGAAGCAATTGACTCCACCGGAGTTTTGCCGTTCGCATGGACCCGGTCGAAGTAACATTTGTTCCGTGCCGTCAGTGGCAGAACGCCTCTTGAGCTTGACTGGACTCACGGCCCTTAACTTACATCCCTCGATATCACCCCGAACAGGGGCTCGGATCTTCCCCCTCATTATATAGCGTCAGCTCTGTCCAACAGTCCAATGGTTGAGCCGTACGTCGATCACACCACCTGCATTCGGATAAATCCTGGTCTCACCAGAACCTTTACCCCGGTTTCCGTCCATTGCCCCCGCCCCCTAGCGTCAAAGCCATGCGGAGGTAGTTTAGCGCAAATTGGGGAATGTTTATTGCGATCCGAACGGAGCTGCTCATAAAATGCCTGTACCCCTCGGTTGGCTCCGCTCATTAATTTGCCCTGCCCGGATCACCCTTCGTTTTCTCCTCTTCTTCTGTATCTTGTTTCTCTCAGTTACAACTCTCCTGGGAATCAAAATGCATTTCACGTCATATGTGACAGCCGCCCTGTATGGGCTGCCTGCCCTGGCCAATGCTGTGCCGTCGCCATCTCACTCCCAGACCGCGTCTCCCTCGCCGTCTGCTACTGGCTCAAATGCCGATCACTTCGAGAGCTATACGATCAAGGCAGAAAACATCACTGCCAAGCTGATTCCGTATGGTGCGCGTCTCACCTCCTTGCTAGTTCCAGATCGTGACGGCAACGTCCAAGATGTGGTCGTTGGCTATGATGAACCCAAGGAATATCTGCATGATAGTGAGACAAATCGCACGTTCTTCGGCGCGGTTGTGGGTCGCTATGCCAACCGTATCAAGAACGGTACCTTCACCATTGATGATAAGGATTACCACGTTCCTGAGAATGAAAACCATGGCGTGGACACCCTCCACGGTGGCTTCGTCGGATATGATACGCGCAACTGGACAGTCACTTCGCACAGCGAGTCCTCCATCACCTTCACATTGCTCGATCAAGGCTTTGAGAACTTCCCAGGAGACGTCATTACCCATGCTACTTTCAGCGTGTCTACCGAGAAGACTCAAGCCAACCCCAAGGGACTTCCCCAGTTGACCACGAAGTTGGTGGCCCTCTCTCTTACAGAGAAGACCCCCATCATGCTCTCCAACCACATCTACTGGAACCTGAACGCGTTCAAAGAATCCAACGTGTTGAAGGACACCACCTTGCAGCTTCCCCTCTCGCAACGGTTCATCGGTGGAGACAGCATCTTAATCCCGAACGGCACCATCCACGACGTTGCAAACACCTACCAAGGAGCTCTGGACTTCACCAGCCCCAAACTCATTGGCAAGGACATCGAGAAGACATACGACCTCTGCGGCGCCGGCTGCACAGGCTACGACACATGCTTCCTCGTCGACCGGCCCTCAACATACGCGTCGAACTCCATGGCCACAGTCCTGAGCGCCTCATCCAGCTCCACCGGTATCAGCGTCGACGTCGCTACCAACCAGGCCGCGGTGCAGATCTACACCTGCAGCGGGCAGAACGGCTCCATCGCCACTAAGAAGTCGCAGGCGGACCGCAACAAGGCTGATGGCGGTGACTCTGGTGCCACTCACGTTAACAAGTATGGATGCTTCGTTATCGAGACCGAGGACTGGATCGATGGTATCAATAACCCCGAGTGGGGACGTGTTCCCTACCAGGTCTTTGGTCCTGATGATGGGCCCGCCGTTAACTGGGCTACCTACCAGTTTGGCACTATCTAGATTTCATAATTCTACAGTACAGCTACCTACTTGCATTGAATTAATATCATCTCTGTGTGGACCTTTGGTTACGCGCAGCGCTTAATTTGGTATTCATTACCTCGATCTTACGAATGAGAGCCTCCTGTGGCCAATTCAATCAAACAGCGTACTTGAAAACAGATAAAATAGAACATTGGATTTGGCTATACATGCAAACTCGCTCAACGGCCTCCAACACGACCTGTGCAGCAGACAATAGACGTCTACAACTTCGACAAAATACTATCCCCATTATCCCCACTCCCCTTAACAATCTCATCCTCCCAATAATTCGGATTGAACGTAATCCGGTTGAGCGGATTCAACCGATGGGCGCGATTAAATAGATCTTCGTACACACGGCCATCATATCGGCCCAGCGCACTATAATCAAGTCAGTCACACTTATTCCAGCCTCAAATCATCTAAACGATTTGAAAGCCACTCACCTGTCCAATAAGTAATCAGGAATCATCCATGAATCAACCAGTTTCACGGCATGTGGTCGGATACGCGCCATTAGGTCTTGAACTCGACTGGCTAGGGCATTCAGATCTGCTTGGGAGACAGCGTTGGAGCGGAAGACTGGTTTTTATGAGTTTGTGGGAATTAATGATAGTTTTGTCGCTGGTGACTTACATTCGAAGCTTTCGTTCTCCATGCTGTATAATGCGAACAGGCGGAAGCAGTCCCATAACACGGTTTTGATGGGTGCTGAGAGGGTTTTGTCGTTTGAGAGGGCATCGAAGAAGGTCGCCACGATGATTGATTCGGATTGTGCTGGTTTTTTGTTCTAGGTCAGTGTGTCACGATATCCCGTTTCAAGATTTGGCTTACCCCGGCTTAGTTTGTGAAGCTGGATGAGAAGACTGTTCCAGTTCTGTTTTTTTATGACTCTTTGTTCGTATGCGTCGTATGCCTGCTGGTAATTAGTTTCAAGTTGTTCGGTAGTATGAGGTTTGTAGGACTTACCATGGCAGTAGCTCGAAGCTCAAAGCTCTTAACAATGTCCAAATCATTATTCAGGATATCGTATGTCTGCTTTTCTGATCCCGGACGGCTCTTGTTACGAATATATTCTTTGAATTGAGCATCAGTCTCATCAACCCCGGCAGTATCAGGCGACTTGACAGCAGCAGTCATCTTCTTGATCACATACGCCGCAACCTGTTGCGTAATCATCCAATTATCACCCTCAACAGTTGGTTTGGAGAGGTAATCATTGTTGGCCTGGATCAGACCGCTCCCACCACCAAACCCATGGCCACCCATGGCACGTCGACATGTCTCAATACCATCCGCAGCGAGGATAGTGCACAGACTCTTCAACCCGGAAGACATGCTGTGCATATGAGCCAAGGAATTAAAATCTCCCTTCTCGACATCCTGTCGTGCATTTTTGTAAACTGCCTGCATGGCAAGACCTGTGTAGTGAAGTGCAAATGTCGTGGCAAGGAGTGGCAGGATCCGAATTTGGACAGTCGGATAATCCAGAACGGACATCTCGGGTCCCTTTTTGTCGCCGTCTCGGTCTTGGAACTGACGTCGTACGCTGCTGTACCGCACTGCAACGGTGACTGCCCGTGCGAGAACTAGTCTAGCGCGGTGGACCATATTAGACCGCACATAGGTCAGTGTTCCATATACCAGAGCAGGTTGCTCTGGCTTGGTATAAATTCCTGTGTTGGGATCGACATTTGAATATCGTGATAGCATAGCAGAGTGCGGAATCCTAGCATATCATTAGTGAAGGGACTCGTACTTTATGGACGAGGAACAAACCTGAACTGATCAAACAACATATACGCATTGTCCATAGTGATATAGCCATACTTCGGACCAATATCTCCCACAACAATCCCATTCAACGGTTGATGTGTCTTCATATCCCGCACCTGCACAATGAACGGATGAGGACCATGCGAAACGTATTTATCCGGCGAGCTGGGATCCGGGAGAAACAATTGCGCGACCACAATAGCGTGGTTGGCTAAACGGCCCAAACTGCCATTCCACCATTTGCTAGCCGTAAGAGTCGGACTATGTAGCACGAACTGCTTGGTCCGGTTATCCCAACGCGCCTCAAGCTCCAAGCCACGGACATTGCTCCCGTGTCCCAGTTCTGTCTGTGCATATGCACCAATGATCTTCCAGGACTCGGTCAGGGGCAGCCAGTACGCCTGCTGTTCCTCGCTGGCCTGTTCGCGGATGGTCGTGATAAACATCTCCATGTGCAAAAAGTAAGGCGATACGTCGTCGACCAGGTACTCGGCCATTTGGTACTCGAGGTAGCTCCATTTATGCGTGTCTCTCATTCGGCGTAGTAGTTTTGCGCGTGCAACTCCTAGCTTGAACCTTTCCGGTCTGGAGAGGTTTTGTTGCTGGTCTTTGGAGAAAAGTGGCTCTTGTTGTATGATGGGCAGGATCCGAGCTTGTCGTTCCAAAAATCCATCCGATGCCAATAAATGATGTCCCAGTTCTTCAGTGGCGATGTTGGATTGCTGACGCTCGCAGGCTAGTGTCGTTGGTCCATCTGGTTGGCTTGGGCAAAGGTTATCCGTAAAGTCAGGCATTTTGAATCCTTTGACTCTTCAAGTTCTGTATCTCAGTCACAGTTCCATGATCCTCGACTTTATTCATAGATCAAATACCCGTACCGAATTGCCTTGGCTAAATCCATAGTATCCTCAAAATCACCGAGTCCCGAATGCCGGCACTTCTACCCCGCAGGGTAAATGTAAACGGCCAAGTAGCAAGTTGCCGAATAAACAGAGTATAGCGATGAATTATTGGCTAGAAGGTTCAGCGGGGGAATGATGTGTTGCCACAATGTGTATAGTCAAATATAATGGGATAAGACAGTCAACTATCCCAACTCAGCAGTACACAAGCTCAAACAAAATGGGAGACCGCACTCTATTCATACCACCACATGTGGGAGACAACGTGTTGCCAAATCTTCCCTTTTTCCACAGACTATTGCGTTATGCGCAACGTAAGCCTTCGCCCATTGTGGTTCGCGACTTGGTTGCCGACATGGAAAAGACATACCATCATCTTGTGTCGGATGTGTTGGCCTTTCGCAAAGTTTTGGAAAGCTCACTCAGCCATGAAGCTCGACGTGATTTGATTGCGGACAAGGAGGTATACATCGGGTTGCTTGCACCGGGGGGGTATGAATACACCGTCGGCTTCATTGCAATCCTCGCAATCGGCGCAGCAGTCGTGCCTATGGGTAAGTTTCCATATCCTAGAAGAACTCACATAGCTAATAAGCAGCAGCTGCCGCATTGCCAGCAGAAGAAGCTTCGTACTTCTTATTGAAAGCGCGATGTGTAGCTCTGGTAGCCAGCACAACCAGCGAAAGAGTCGCACACTCCGTGGTTCACTATATGAGAGAAAGCAAAGGCGTGCACATCCCCTGCATATCCCCAATTGGATCTCATTTCCGCCCCACGCTTCTCTCGGCAGATGAAGCCACCATCTCATCTGGCCCGGTTCCAGATATGAACGCCGCAGCACTGGTAATCTTCACTTCCGGCACCACAGGGCCCCCAAGGGCGCTGTGCAGCGTCGCAGTTATATCTCCGGGAATGGGGAGGCCGACGCAGACTATTACCAAATCACAGACAAGGACACTGTCCTCCATGTCCTTCCGGTGCATCATGCCTCGGGTGTTGGGTTGACTTTCCTCCCGTTCCTTACCGCCGGTGCTTGTATTGAGTTCCGCAGTGGCAGCTTCGATACGGCGTGGACGTGGGAGCGCTGGCGACAGGGAGGTCTTACCTTTTTCTCTGGAGTTCCAACCATATACATGCGTATGATGCGGTACTATGAAGAGAACATTGCGCACCAAGCTCCTGAGATACGTGACCAGTATATCGCTGGTGCGCGTCAGATCAGAGCAATGCTGTGTGGTACTTCGGCACTTCCAGGGCCTGTACAAGAGTTCTGGCATCAAATCAGGGACAAACCAATTCTCACTCGATATGGTGCGACAGAGTTTGGCGCAGTCATCAAGACTGAACTTGATTCCGATGGAACGCCACGAAATAGTGTTGGTTGTGTTGCTGAGGCAGTCTCACTCAAGCTTACCGATGAAGGTCAGATATTAGTGAAGTGCCCTTATATGTTTTCCAAGTGAGTCAAATGTCCTTTCGAGAGGTGCCGGTGTCCCATCCTCATACGTCTTCTTAACAGGTATCTCTTCGACGAGAAAGCAACAGCGGATGCACACGACGCTGAGGGGTACTTCAAAACTGGAGATATTGCTCGCCGCGAAGGAAAGTATTATTTCATCCTAGGCCGTGCCTCGATCGATATCATCAAATCCGGTGGCTATAAGATCTCCGCATTGGATATCGAGCGCGAGATCCTGGGTCTGGACTATGCTTCGGAGGTCATGGTTGTAGGCGTTGAAGATGAGGAGTTTGGTCAACGGGTTGCTGCTACTGTCAGCCTCAAACAAGATCAAAAAACAACACGTAAGAGCCTTACAATCGCCGAGCTGCGGGAAGATCTGCGGAGTAGGATGGCTGGGTATAAGATGCCAACTATTCTTCGTGTGGTCCAAGGGGAGTTGCCCAAGTCGGGTACAGGGAAGGTGCAGAAGAAGATATTGGGACCGCAGTTCTTTCCGCCTAACTATCGAGAGCTGCCTGAGGTGCAAGTTTGGAGTAGGGAGAATAAAGCCAAGCTATAGGATCAAACTATTGAAAGAAGTCCTAGTTCCTGATGAAATACTAAATATTTGCATACATACATATACTTGATATCAATGTCCCTCTCTATCAAATCTTGACCTTAGCAGGCGCCGAAGTCACCCGACTATGAACATAACTTATACGCTGAAACTTCTTAATAGCATCCCCCCAAAGCTCCTGACGAAGCAAAGCATACACCCTGGACAGCATTAGCAGATACTCTTCCTGTCAGAAACTCATGTACAGATCAAACCTACCCCATCTTCGCTTTAGGCGCCCACTTCTTCCCCAATTCCAAAGCAACATTCAGCATCTCCTCCGGCTCCGCAACAGCATCCACAATCCCGTCCTGCAGTGCTTCAGGCCCAGTCCACTTATGCGCCTCAAGCAACATCTTGCGCGCAACCTGCGGACGCAGCTTGAGACGAGGCAACGAGCCGATCCCGTCGAAGTGCAGGCCCAGGTTCACGGGGGGCATGGAGATAAACCCGCGGCGGGAGTTCATGACTCGATAGTCATGTGCCAGGGCGAGTGGACAGGCGCCGCCGAAGGTGTGCCCGGTTAACAGGGCGATTGTTGGAAAGGGGAAGTCGAGGATCGTGTGGATGAGCTGGATGGTTGTTAGTGTGGTCTCACACATGGCATGCCAGCGTCTCTGTTCAAAGCCGGGATGTTCTCACTGGATAGAAGCCATCTGTATTGGCAAATGGGTTGTTATCGGATTCATCCAGCTCGAGTCCCTGGGGGTGTTCTGTTAGTCCTTCTGATGTTGTTCTGTATCGGGGACATCAATGTACAGTGCACCAGAATTTAGCATCATTGCCCCGCGTGATTACTGCCCCTTCTGAGTCGGATCCCAGAATTCTTTCTACGGTGCGATAGGCCCGGATCATCTCCTGGCAATACGATGAGTTCAACCGGTTCTCCGGGGGTTTCTGCATGGTCACAACGAATACATTCCCATGTCTCTCGAGGGAGAGGTTGCGGAAGGTTGGGATCTCTGTCATGATGACAATCGCACGAAAGTCAAGTAAATATTGATATCGTATATTTGAACTGCTTCGTTAAGCCGTTTAATGTTTATTATCTTGTGTACGATGTATGTTCGTAGATCCCCCGCATTTTCACATCCCCATGTTTACGTTGCCGAGATTCACCGACTGCCGAAATCAAAAGCTACTGGAGAATCTTCGCATATATTCGTGAGGTACCATATTCTCTATAAATGCTATGGAATCTAGGGGTATATGGGTGCATATATACATAGTCAAACTACCAGGCAATCTCGCCATTCCATTCCAAATCCTTGAACAACCAATAGCCCATTCCCTGGTATTGATTAAAAAAGTCATCTGGAATATCTTGCGACATATCTCCCATAGTGAGGCCTTCATTGCGGTCCAAAATCGTCGTGAGTGGCCTGTACTCATCCGAAGATATAGCATCCGGTGCCCGGGACTCGGCCCAATTTCCTAGCACCTCTGGGGTCCCGGCAACCACCAGGCGATTTGTGCTGCCATCATGCCGCGCAGCTAGTCCGAGGTCCATAAAATATGACCAAGCCCAGGATAGGTCCGGCCCAAATCCCTCAAAAAATGGTTGGTGTTCTCTAGAGAGCGTCATCGACGGCATTTCGTCTATTGTCGACGTGTTCCGCTGCTTTTCGGCAATGCTCTTCAACGCTCTTAGGCTGCCTTTCGCAGATGACCAGCGTTTTGCGAGCTCCTCAAGGGCCAGGTAGATGGATTCCAGGCTACCCGCTGCCTTCTCCCGGTGTGATGGTACGTTGTTGCACGAGAGAAGCCCGATTCCGGCAGCCAAAAGGTGGAATGTGAATACCGGGCTTAGGAATTGGATCTCATCTCGAGCGAGGAAGTCTTCGAACATCCCTGCCACGAAAGACGATGCTAAAAGCACTCCTAGTGAAGCAGACTCTCCGGGGTTGGGTCGACACATGATTGCGAGGCAGGTAAAGTATGGGATGTGGAGCTGACGTGCTTCGAAGTTGTATCGGGCCAATGTTCTTTTCGGTGATGCTGCATCTTCTGAGGTACTTTGGCTGCAAAACAAGCGCAGTGAGGGTGAAAGATCGCGTGTCCATCGATATAACCGATTCTCAAGATTCTGTCGAGCCTCACGTGTGAGGGTCTTGCGACGACAGTACTCGGTGAGATGGCCCAGAATAGAACTGATCTCGACATATGCGATGAACAGAGTAGCATTTGAGCTTGAATCATGGAAATCCTCGGGACAAGGTGGTGCCACTTCACAATCCGCCAGATCCACTGCTAGTGGCCGGCCCTGTCCTGCAGAAATACAACAATCTCTAGCCTGTCTGATGTCAGCGCTTTTCTGCGCTAGCGAAGAAGCACATCCTTGACTTACATATAGAGTCCACCACAGCCTACGTCTCAGGGCAGCATCTCTTTTATTCGTTGGCTCCTTGTGCAATCCAATCTGGTGAGCTAACCCAACTCCCACATATCGCCAAAATCCACTAGTATTGGTGGACACATGCTCAGGACCTTCTGGGTTATACCAATGCAAAATGCACACTGCTGCGACAACAGTGACTGGATTTCTCTCGTATCCAGACCAGAACAAGGCTTTTGCGCGACGATAAAACTGATGCAAAGATGCATACGCAGTCACAGCCGGTGCAGATGTGACTCGGCTCGCAGCGACAAAGATAGACTGGAGAAGCAGCATTGACGGCTTCTGAGAACCACTTTCTTCTAGCCAACTCCGCTCGATTATCGGCATCCATGGCGAACACCGTTCCATGAATGTGTTAATCAATCCTTCTCGGATGGCTCGTGGTGGGAGGTCGAATGCACCTTGCAGTCTGAGCAGCTGGATGTCATCTTCAGTTGGTCCATCTGCGTCTCCTTCTGGGTAAGATCTAGCCTGTTCTTCGTTGATTGCCACTGCGTCGTCAAAGTAGCGGGATCGTGCCATGAAGCTTAAAGTCGAAGCGGTCGAGTATGGGTTGGAATCTGGTGTAATCGGCGGATGGTCTGCAGTACTAGCTCTACCTTGACTTGTGTCGCGGCACTGATTCCGATCCTGGTCATATTCAGAGCTTGTACATAGAGATCTGGCTGAGCCGATAGGACTAAAGGTGGTCGTCGGCTCTTCCCAGTTCGCCCGTCTCTTTCTAACCGCGTCGGTCTCATTGACGCTGCAGTCACCATCGTTACTATGGGCTCGTTTTCTCTTGCGCTCTCGTCGACTGCGCGGCAGTTAGTATGTTTAATTCAATGTCAGAAATCAATTTTTCTTACGAACAGGGCCACTGGTGCCGTTGGCAGTTCACACATACATCGGGATTTCCGGCGAAGATACAGCGAACCTAAAGAGATCAGTATGTCTCAGATTCTGTTATTCCTTTTTTTGCATACCTTCTTTTTATTACAGGCAACACATGCCGTAGGTGCGCGTAATGGCGGAGGACTAAAATCGTTCATTTTTCTGTGACTGTCAGTTTCATGCGTAGAGAAGTCGTGGACAATCCAGCGCCGCGGGCTCTTCCCCGCGAAAGCCGGGGCATAACCGAACCGACGGCTATCCTATCTCGGAAGTTCCATAATAGAAAAATTGGAGGCAAATTGTAGAAAAAATAATTGGAAAATAGGGAAACGGCTTGGAAATCGAATGGGGTATCTATTGTTTTGAAAAATGTACATAGTGTTTATGCCCAGCCTGCAAGCGTCCAACTCGACCGATCACCGCCAGATCTCAAGCCCGATCGACGATCAGGAACAGGATGGTCGATGTCTCGTGTGGCTCCAGCGAGTCCGTGCTGTAAGAACTTTTCTCGTTCAATCTCTACCATCCCCCGGATCTTCAGACTAGTTGTCAGGCTTGCACCCGCCCATGGACCGAGAGATTCAACTTCGCGCAAGACTCCTTGAATAGGGACTGGGATATCTTTGTTTTGTCGGCGGAGCTTTTGCTCCACGAAATCGATCTCAGGCACTTCCTTCGATGGATCGGCTGGTTCGTCATTGGTAGATGGTGCTTCCCCATCGCTCCTGGGGGTTTCAGGTTGGTTGGGAGCTTTTTGGGCTGAAAGTCTCAGCCCCTCCAATCTCTGTCGTTGTCGCTCGAGTGCTTTGCCTCGAATTGGACTCCATCCATGACGATCAATCAAAAGTGAGACCTCTTTCAGGACCCGCTGCCGCAGCCCAGGAATTCGAGAACCGCCGCCCACAAAGACAATGCGGGACATGCATGTTCCTCGTGCATCGGGGTACAGTGAGAGAAGGGAGTTGTAGACAAGCAAAGGCAAGGATTTTTCTTCGTCATCCAATTCATGTTCTGCGACACCTGGTGCGAATAAAACCTTCTCGGTGGGTTCGGCAAGACGTGCAAACGGCACGTCCATATATTCTTCCTCGGGGTTTGCGGGCGAAGGAATCGACAATTTCCGGTCGGCTTCATCGGGGCTTGTACCTTCTTCTGTCTGCGATTTGCACCAGGCAAACCGACTGACCACTTCTTCACAGTACGCGAATCCAACAGAGATCTTATCCGCAATCTCCGTATCCTGGTTCCCGTCAGAAGCCAACCCGGTAAGAAGCAGCCCCATTTCCTGCATCAAATGCTTCATAGACCGTGTTGTTCTCTTCGTAGTCATCTCTCGGTATTCGTAGATCGCCGTTGCCGTGGTCTCGGCCCAGCCAAGGTCAACCACCAACGCTGACCGCAATCCTGCTGCCGTGGCCGACATGGTCGCACTGGACAGAAGCGTAACACTAGGGAAGCGCCAACGACTAAAAAGCGTCGACAGCAACGACGACAGCAAGGGATGTGGCATAAGAGATGGCAGGACAAGAACCAGGCGAGATGTGCCTGCGTCCGTCAATAGGAACTGGTTGTATGTCTCCCGAAACGCGCGCTCGATCTTATCCTCGACCAGCCCCAGATCAACCTCTCGTGACTCTGGCCGCCACAATTCATATGCCCGTGTCCACTCTTCGACATCGACGGGTTGCGGTAGCCGTGCAGCACCGGTGCTGCCCTGGATCCATCCTCGATAGTCTCCCGCTCTCCTAGAGTCTTCGGGTCCAAAACCAACCACACACACAGGCGCACTGCTTCCTTCGAATCCTGCGCGGAGCCATCGTGCGCCTATCTCAAATATGATCGCATCGTCTTCGCTTCGAAAGGAGGGACTCGGTGATGTGCTGCTGGTGAATGAGGGGTTTCCCGAACGCGGCTGTGGTGTATGAGGGGAAACAGGTCGTGCTGTCTGGCTATTGCGCAGACCGGAAGTTGCTGATGTGCGTTTACTAGCACCCATTAAGGGTGTATCACTCGCCATGTTGATTGAGCTCGGGCGCGTTGCTCTCCTTTCTGGGAGCAACAGGAGTCCGCGGGGTTCGTAGCGACAAATATTCGATTCACCGGCGCACAGATCGGAGTTTCAACGCCATCGGATTGAATTCAAAGTCCAAAAGAAAAAGTAAGATCTATAAGCTTGCCCAGGTGGTTCATTGGGGGAAGCTTGTTGGTAGGCAACGGATCTACATCGGGCCGTCTGTATTTACTTGACAACCTCCTCTCTCCGCAGAAACCAATACATAAGATACATCTTTTAACTCCACATGGGCCCTTTAACTCCTTTTTCCTATTGCTTATAGTCGGCATGGGTATTCCTGGGTAAGTCAAGTGAAATCATTTTTTTGTTTTTTTTTTGCTGCATGGTAGAAAACATAATATCCCTGAGCACTGAGAGCGTTGTTTACTCGTCGATGAGAAGCAGAACTTCGTACCTCCACTCCAATTCGTCGACCAAAACGCTAACTTTCTCAAGGCTCATCAATGCCATTGGCCCAGGAGAGCGTATCTCTCTGGCCAAGCTGGCAGTGACGCACCTGGAGCGGACAGCAAGGCCGATCCGCATTGCAGTCGACATTTCGATCTGGCTCTTTCAAGTCCAAGCAGGGCGGGGCGGAAGAAACCCAGAATTACGCACACTATTTTATCGGTTATTGAAATTACTTGCGTTGCCAGTTCATCCCCTTTTTGTCTATGATGGACGGCAAAAGCCCGCTTTCAAGAGAGGCAAAGCAGTCTCAACCCGCAGTTATGGCAATGCGCCAATAATCAAGCGCTCCAAGGACCTCATCGAGCGATTCAGATTTCCGTGGCATGAGGCACCCGGCGAGGCAGAAGCTGAATGTGCACGGTTACAGCAGGCAGGCATTGTAGACGCTGTCATGAGCAATGACGTCGATGCATTGATGTTCGGATCGTCTTTGACCATTATGAACTTCTCAAAAGAGAGCGGAAGCGGCAGCTCTTCTGCAACTCATGTCACATGCTATGCAATGGGACAGGATGGGCATCCGTCAAACATACCCCTTGATCAACCGGGAATGATTCTATTCGCTATGCTCAGTGGAGGAGACTATCTACCATCTGGCGTTCCGAAATGTGGCAGTAAACTCGCTGCGGAGATTGCCAAGGCTGGATTCGGCGAGGATCTTCTGCAGGAGCTTGCCTCGCAAGCAGACGTGGATACAGGATTGAGCGAGTGGAGAGAAAGACTCCAATATGAACTCGAGGAGAACGAGAGCGGCTATTTTACGAGAAAACACCCAGCAGTTCGAATTCCGGACATTTTTCCGGACCGACAAATTCTCGAGTACTATGCCCAGCCCAAAGTTTCCAGCGATGAAGAAATGGCCTTTTTGAGAAATCGTCTCGCACAGGCTTGGGACAAAGATATCGACCCCCTGGCAATCCGAACATTTGCCGCAGACCACTTTGAATGGAATTATCGATCCGGGGCAAGGAAATTGATCAGGCTGCTGGCCGAGCCTCTTATCTCGTACAGACTCCGTCTCCAGAGACCAGTTCTAGGCGTGTCGCCTGGGTTTTCATTTGTGCCCGATGGCCCACCTGGTCTGCAAAAGGTGTATCGAACCCGGTCAAGCTTTGGCACTGATGCAGTGCCAGAACTCCAGTTAGATATGCTGCCCGCAGATGTTGTTGGGCTGGATCTCCTTGCCGAAGAACCAAACCCGCCATTTCCAACCCAAACTGGTGTACAGGAAGGCGAGGAAGAGGACGACCCGGAGGGAGTTGCTGGATCGCCACCTCCGACACCATCGAAGTCTCGGGTTACGAAACGATTTGATCCGTTCTCCCTCGAAAAGGTCTGGGTATTCGAGACTGTCGCAAAACTAGGTGTCCCTGGAGTCATCAAAAATTGGGAGAAGGAACAGGCCGAAAAAGCCAGGAAAGCCGAAGAAGCGGCGGCGAAGAAGAAGACCAGTACTCGACGCACCGGTCCCAAGAAAAAGGGACCGATTGATGCTGGAATGAAAAGAGGGAGTATCTTGAAATACGGAACCCTGACGAAAGAAAAGTCCGAATTGTCAACAACTAAACAAACGCACTTGTTAGAAGCCGCTACGTCGACCCAGAATCCTCTTTCCCGGCTTGTTTCTGGGTCTTCTTCCCCAATAATTGTGGACCAGGCAGACGATCATTTCTCCTCTCCGAGCATGTATATTCAGCAGAGACCCTCACTGACGATGCACTACGTTTCTCAGGAGATCGATGGTCTCCTGGATTCATTCTCTTCAATGTGTAACTTGTCTCCTTCTGCCAATATCAAGCGTCACCCCGCGTCAGATCAGTCCCGCATCAGAGCAAGGCGCACTGCTTTGGGGGCTGGTCGGGTTGATATTGAAGAATCGGACGTACTAGACATGAACACCGATTATTCTCCGTCTCGACCGGCAGGGCGCATGGGGCTCAAAATCAGCTACTCGGTCTCCGACATTTGTGAATCTGAGACTTTCGAGGAGGACTTTCCAGCCAGAACACTGATAGCACTGTCTTCTCCGGCCGGGAAGACTCTATCTAAGTCAAAGAAGATTCCCAAGGTACAGTGTGGGGAAAAGGCCGAGGTTGAACACATCGAAAAAGCCATCGAGTCTCTTTCTTTGTCCTCGAAAATCGACGAGGGTCAGCACGAAAACACCGCAACTCGCTCGTTATGCCAACCCTCAACGAAGAGGGCACCGCAAGCACCAAAAGTTCGGACTCGTTCCTCTAAGGTCGAAGATGTCAAACCAGCCCGATCATGCAGTCAACCAAACCCCAAGCCCGAACTCGAGCCGGAGCATACATTACCATTGAGCTTGAAAACATGCGAAAACAATAAGGCGGACGACATAAATAAGTCTCCCAAGAAGTCTTCAAAGAGGACGACAATTACAACTTCGAAGCGCGAGACCTCGGGGCACTTGGAAAACATTATATTGCACGACGGCTTTTGGTCGATCGACCAATCTCCGCCTGAACAAGATCCGTGCGAAGGCCTGAGCACAGCGCGCAGACAGACTCAACCTGCTAAGAAGAAAAGAATCCCACGCGTCAGCATTCTTGACCTCGTTTGATTAATGCCTTTTATATACCCTTTGTCTCGTTTTGGCTCGTTTTGGCGGATTGGCGTTTATATCAATTTGATTTTTCCGGGGTCTAGGGTTTTTGGAAACAAGCATGTGTGGTGCAACAGGATTTTTCTCCTACGGCGTTGGATGGACATGTCGAATACCTTTTGTCAAGAATCAGTCAGGCTGGTGTCTCATGGATTGCTGGATGTCATGTACATGTGTTGCAGGCTTTTTGTAAATAAGAAGACCATGTGCGTATATCTGAAAAACGTACAAAAGCCATGTCCAGAAAGTAACCATGCAGAACACACACCCAAAGAGTATAAATATATAAAACGAAGAGAAGAGAGAAGTACCGGAATGTGCATAGCTTCAGCCAGTCCCTATCTAAACAAAAATCCAATTCTTGATGCAGCACAATGCCCGAAAGTAGAGAAGCAAAAGAGAAATATGTCCGAACATTAAACGTCAAACCAGATATAGTAATAGAAAATGAGAAGGGAATATGTATTGTGCAAGCGCCGACAAATCAGAAGTATATTATTTATCCATCTACCCAAAGACCTTGAGGAAACCCCATAGGCCAACTCCACTCAACACGGGGATCGTCAGGTTATCATCCCAGCCCCACATATCAATGAACTCGCTGCCGGCGGCAACAACGCCAGAGACGACACTCATGACACCCAAAGCCAAAGGGCCGGTGATGACCGCCGAGTCACTGTGCACCCAGCCCAGAAGGCCGCGAACGCAGTTCGGGAGCAGATTCAAGCGTCCCGTGAACATAAAAGCGTTTTCTGGGTCATTGGGGAAAGCGCCAAAGTAAGGCACAAACCAGCCCCAGAAAGTAGCGGCGGTGACAACACCCATGAGCCAAGCCGCCATAGTACCAGCCAAGCTCTTTCCAGGACGCAGACGGGGGGTGTGGCGGCCGTACAAACGACCGAATGTCGAGGCGGCGGTGTCACACCAGCTAAGGAGTAGTACGCTCATGACACCGACGTCCTTGGGGAAGAATCGGAGAGCAACGTACGCCCCGAGGAGATACCAGATCACGCCGTTGTAGCCGGTGACCTCTGTTTCGCGCATGAGGGCACCCATGCAGCGAATATATACTTTGTTGACCTTCTCGAAGCGGTGGCGGATCAGGTCCGTTGCTGCAATCGGCACCAGGGCGGTGAAGAGGACTGGTGTGATTTGCAGAGACTGCACGCCTCGGCTATATAATGACAGAGTCAAAAACCCGATTGACACGTGCAAAAGCTTGCGCGGGATTTCATGGCGGTGAATGAAGCTGCGGTAGCGTGCGTGGAGGGGGATCAGTCCGAGGGGAGATGGTGATCTTGACAAGTCGCGCAGGGCATCGGGAATGCTTGACGGGGATAGATGAGTGTTCAATGCAGTACCGTTTACGGAGCGCGGCGGCGAGGCGGGTATCATAGGGTTTGATCGGCGGTTGCGCCGAGCCGATGGTGTGGTTGGGGATCTTGATGTTCGCGCTGAGCCAGAACTTTCGGCTGAACCATCTGGCTGATGCCGGCGACGTGCTGCAGACCGTGTTACCGGTTTGAGGTATCCATCGGGTGTCTCTGACGGGTCCGATATAGAGGGGGTCGGCGATATCACGCGAGGTGTCGCCGGTACGGGATTTGGCGAGGGCATGTCGGGTGCCCTCAATTTGAAATCAGGAAGCGATGTGGCTCGGACGACACCAGAGGGTGGCCGCTTGCATATATCTGCGTTGTCGCAAGCGAATATGCCACGGAGTATCAATGGGCTTGCTAACAAAGCAATGATGGCGGTTTAAGAGCACGTGACGGTGTCTTATCGTTAATTATGGGCGAATAGGCTGGAGACACGAGGCAGGAACCCAGTACATGATGCGATCACCAAGCACTTGTTATATTAAATAAAAGTAAAGTAAATCAAGCAACTCTAAGTCGAGGAAAAAAGGCAGATCACGATCTCAGTTTCCGCCTACAGCCGCAGTCACGTGTCTGGTATCTAATCGATAACGGATATTTTTTTTTCTTTGCGATGGCGACTTCGGGATTCGTGAAGCAATTTGACGAATCGGTCTCTGTTGGAATTAATAAATGCCTCCCAAATCGTCTTCAAGAGCGTGGGATGCTCTCACGCCCCCGCTGTCAGAATGGTCCCTCGATGCTGTGGGCTCAATGGGCTTCACGCGCATGACTCCAGTCCAAGCCTCGGCCATCCCTCTGTTTATGCAACATAAAGATGTGGTGGTGGAAGCTGTCACTGGAAGTGGAAAGACATTGTCATTCTTGATTCCAATTGTGGAAAAGCTTCTTCGCCTTGATCAGCCTCTCAAGAAGCATCATGTTGGAGCCATTGTCATTTCTCCGACAAGGTGCGTAATGCGCAATTCCAGTCTGCGGAGTTCATTGCTAATATTGATATATCAGAGAATTGGCCTCGCAAATTCATCAAGTTCTTCTCTCGCTTTTGGAGTTCCACCCAGCGTCGTCGGCAGCGATCAAACCCGTCGAAGATGGAGCTCCTCGTCCGAAAACCTCTTCATCGACATTGAGGGTTGTCCCACAACTTCTCCTGGGCGGCGGAACATCTCCGGCAGAGGATCTGAAATTATTCCTCAAAAACTCGCCCAATGTATTGGTTTCCACACCCGGAAGATTGTTGGAGCTGCTTTCATCTCCTCACGTTCACTGCCCTCAGGCATCTTTCGAAATGCTTGTCCTGGACGAGGCCGACAGACTTCTGGATCTTGGATTCAAGGACGACCTGCAAAAGATCTTGGGCCGTCTGCCTAAGCAGCGACGGACAGGATTGTTCAGTGCCAGTATCAGTGAGGCTGTTGATCAGATCGTTCGACTTGGTCTACGAAATCCCGTCAAAATTGCCGTCAAGGTCCGAGGAGGAGCTGGCGTCGAAGAAAAGCGCACTCCAGCAAGGTATGTCTTTCGATCCGTTTTTCCAAATTAAAAAAAGACCAATCTAACCGCTGAATAGTCTGCAAATGACCTACTTGACAACACCTCCGCTTCACAAATACGCCATTCTGAAGCACATCCTTTCCACAGTCCAGCCCACACCTCAAAAAACCATTTTCTTCGTATCAACATGCTCCAGTGTCGACTATCTCGCCACAATACTACCCATAATCCTAGGAGACGAGTTCGTGCTAGTCCCACTGCATGGGAAACACCAAGCCAACGTCCGCCAAAAGAACTTCAACCGCTTCACCACCTCCACAACCCCCTCCATCCTCCTCACCACCGATGTCGCCGCTCGCGGTCTCGACATCCCCTCCGTCGATCTGGTGGTCCAGATCGACCCACCCTCCGACCCCAAAACCTTCATTCACAGATGCGGTCGTGCCGGTCGTGCCGGCCGCCGAGGTCTCAGCATCGTCCTCATTCACCCGGGCCGCGAGGAGGACTACGTCTCGTTCCTGGAAATCCGCAAAACCCCCGTGGCGCCATACAACCTACCCGAGTTCACGGACGAACAGGCCACAGCCGCGACAGACAAAGTGCGCAAAGCCGTGTTGAAAGACCGCGCCATGCACGACAAGGGCCAGAAGGCATTCGTCAGCTGGTTGCGCAGTTACAGCAAGCACCAAGCAAGCAGTATCTTCCGAGTTGCGGATTTGGACTGGGAAGCTCTTGGCAAGGCATGGGGGCTCCTCAAGCTGCCGAAGATGCCTGAAGCACGCTCCTTTGAAGGAGATCGGACGTTAGGCATGAAACTTGAGTGGCACACCTACGCGTACAAGGACAAGCAGCAAGAAAAGCGTCGCAAGGAGGCTATGGCGGAGGCTGCTAATGGACAAGGTCCTGAGCAGGGATCTAACAAGCGTCGTGCTACGGAGAGTGTGGCTTGGAGTCAGAAGACCGAGGAACGGGATAAGAAGTTCAAGAAGAAGGAGTTCAAGAGGTCGCGGAAGGAGCAGGAGAGATGGGAGCAATTGCCAGAGGATCAGAAGCAGAAGGCTCTTGAAACGGAGCGCATGCTGGAGGAGATTCGTGCTAAGAACGAGCAGCAGCGGTTATTGAACCAAGCCAGCAAGGCGGAGGAAGCAAAGGGCGATGGTGAGTTCCAAGGCTTTGACTAGGTTGGAAAATAGCATAACTACATAACTATGTACATATACACCGTCCAGATTAGAAAGTGGTAGGGTGTCTTTTTGCTGGAGCTCCGCCATTGCCATTCCATGGGATAAATTGAAATCAATTTCATCTTAATCAGCATACATTTTCATGAGGCTTAGGGTTTCTGCGGGACTTGATTTCATTTACATTCATAGTTGATAATGACTTCCACGACGCGGAATCCTTTCGGCTGTCGTAAATGGGGGCATGATTGTGGATTAAGGGTAGATCAGGCTACTTATCAAATCTCTAACATTATACCTGTATGACCGAAATGGCCTTCGGCGCTCTTCTATTTTGCACCAACATTTGTACGACACGTATATATAAAATGACACGTAAAGTAGTGGTAACCTGTATAATGGTAGTGGTAGCCTGTAAAATGCTTCGGCAATCGATTATAAACTATGCACTAGACCGGGAGCGGATTTGTATTACCGGTGTTGGGGGTGGCAATGAATTAAGTCTCCACGTTATAGACGAGATAATGGACGACGAGGGTACTTTTGCAGCAGTCTACGAAGGATAGCATCCTTATCATCCTTCGCTATCTATGTCGGTTCCGCACCTGGGCAGACTCTATCCATGGATATTTGATAATATAGAAGTGACACTTATTTTAAAATAGTGTTCATTTCTCAAAACATCCCAAGATGATGTCAAACTCTAGGTGTAACACTTCAAGACCAAAACTTCAAGACCATTAAGTATAAGCAATGGCAGGCGTTTTAGAAAACGACTAAGTTCCTTCTCGAATTGTTGCAAGGCAAAAGAGGTGCAATATGATTTCCAGCTAATGCTTGGAGCGTCTTCTCATCATAAGTTTCGTCTCAATATTGTTTAATATGCGTAATAAGCCGCATTCAGCTGGGAATGCATAAATGAGAGCTGTGGCTCATTTTATGAAGCTCATGACAGAATACACCCATATATTCGCCCGGATAGTCGGGAGACCTGTCGTGTTGCCTATCTAATCCACTTAGCATTGGCGATTCAAACAATTCGAATTGACAAATTCACCTTATCTAGTGCCGCCTTGACCAGTCTTGTCCATAAAGCTAAGAATGATAAGATGCAGCCGCTAGCTTCCCGTTGCTCGTTAGCCACTAGAAATTAAACAAATACATTCCAAACGTCATGGTTAACATTCCGAGATCTCTCGGCACTTGATGAGGAACGGTTGGAGTGCATTATCAGAGGATTTAAGCTCATATCGAGCCTTCGCGCAACGTCGTCCCCCAGAGGCTAGATAAGCCTCTTTCAACGACCTGTGAGAGCTGTTATGCAATCTCTACCAGCTTACATAAGATTTGAAGCATGGAATTAAAGAAATTCTCCTTTAGAGTTCTTCAAATCGTTCGTGAAGGCATTCACGGCACCAGGCGACGTTTTGCAGGCACCAAGGGTTTTCCATCAAGCTTCTCATAAAGCAGACATGGTGCAACTTTCGGCCGACCCGAAAGAAAAAAAGAACTCGTCAGAAATGCCAATAGTCTTGGAATACGGAGCAAATTGTTTCTCCGATGCATTGTTGGCTAGATCAGCCACGGGGTAATTGCATTCCACTAGATCAGCCACGGGGGTATGTTGTAATTGCATTCCTGCTTAACGAAATCTCCACTGCAGTTATATGAATACGAGACCCACTGTTTAGTGGCAAATTTTATCTCGAGTCTATGTTGTATACTTTGCATTGCATGATAGTATTGCGTTTTTGCCATTGGACATGACAACTTGCAGTTCTTGGATCTATACCATGGTTATGACACATAAGTGGGTTTAGCTACAGTAAGCTCAATATGTTGCCAGCCACCTTGGTGGGGACAGGCTATCAATTAGGAAAATGATATTCGTCGAACGTGAAGGCGTTTTGGGGTCGCTCCTGTATGGAGAAGGCCAAATTCACCGGGTTGAGCGGATATTGCGGATTAAGAGCCAAGCCCCACAGGCTGAAATTAATTTATGCATGTTTCTGACGAACATCATTGCCGCTAAGCTGAAAAAAGTAGACGGGAAGCCTCAAGGCTTACAGGCTTCCTGTCAATGGGCGATTCGGCCCCACAGGTGTTTCGTACCTAGGTACCGCTGACGGAAGATCTACACATATAAACTGTAATCTGATCAAAGGGACACTGGATGAAGAAACCCCTCACTTAAATTCAGCTTGTTTGTCTTATAATAGTCCCCCATGTCGAATTGAGAAGTGTTGCCAAAAAGCAGTGAAAAAGTTTCCCCCGAATCAGAATCGCCCTTGTGACCTGCATCCCAAGTCATATCGTTTTCATCATCCAAAATTTCTGCAAACATGTCCGACATCTCGAAGTTTGAGGAGCTGCACAAGCATCTCTTTGAAGAGGGAGTCAAAGTGCGAAGAGAAGTCCTTGGAGATGAATATGTCAATAATGCGTTGCAAAATGCCACACCCTTCACGATGCCCGGGCAGCAGCTCATCACGGAATGGGCATGGGGTACCGTCTGGAAACGCCCGGGACTAGACCGAAAGCAGCGCAGCCTTCTGAGTAAGTCAAACTTCAGAATGATTCCGTGAGGCATTGATAGCGAGAGCCTAAAGTTGCTAATATCTACTGGGGATGTTCTTAGATATTGGAATCATCATTGCTCAGAAAGCATGGCTCGAGCTGGTTTTGCACACCCGTGGTGCTATAAACAACGGTCTTACAGAGATAGAAATCAGAGAGGCTGTTCTACAGGCAACAGTATACTGTGGCACCCCCGCCGGTGTCGAGGCAATGATGGTGACGGAAAAAACCATAAATGAGATGATAGAGAAAGGCGAATATAAGCGTCCGGAGGTGTGATTTGGTATGGATGAAGAAATCTCATTTCATTGTTTTAGGATAGAAATGACGAATAGCTTGGAATCTTCGTATAATGCTTGTGCTTGGTTCTGATTTAATCCTTCCATACGAAGAACACACCAACCATTTGAATACGTGACATTCGTACAATTCGTACAATTCGTACAAACAGAAAAAGAAAATCACTAAGTCTCAATGCCACTCAGGCTCCAGTCTAGCTGCATCCATTGCCAAAAAGAACCTGAACTTCTATGGTGCTTGCGTGCTCTAGGCTTTTGCGATTATACAATGTAGAGGCCGGTTGCCACCAACCCGTCATGACTACACAACTTACTCTATCAATTAGCCTATCGGAATTAGTAGCTACATGTCTCAGGGGAAGGGAGCTGGGATCGTCGATTCGCTTATACCTCGTTGTTCGGAGGATGAGAAATTCCGAGTACGTTCTGTTCAACAATTCGTCGCCAAACTCTTGTAGAATACCGAATTGCGTTTGCAGCTCGCACCACCGGAAGTTTTTCAGTGTTTCATAGATCCTTTGATCTGCACTGCTGATGCTCGCACTGTCATAGCTCGTATGCATGGTCATTATATGCATGCAAGGTCATCGGTTAGTAGCCTGATATAGTATTCTTCAAGCGGGATCATTCCATTTCTGCCCTAGCGCAAAAGAATACGGGCCGAAAGCAAAATCCGGCATCGGGTTTCGTGGCGCTGTTACCCCGAAGGTAGATTGAAAGAGTGTGGGTCCTGATCTAAACATCGAGATCTTCAATTCTCCAACCCTCACGGCGTCCATTTACCTAAGTTAGGCGGGATTTTCAAAACGTTTCATCATCAGAAGAGCCTATTTGTTGCTCATGTTGCGGATTATTGGTCCGTAGTGCTGCACGTGTGAATCACGGATGACATCGTTCCATAATATGGCGTGTCAATTGCGAGTCCAACGATGTCACCTCAGCGAAAACCTCAGTTGAGGGAGAGATGTGAAGATAGAATATAAAAAGGACGTTGGATTCCTCTGCATTATTCCCAACAACCTTCCAAGCGCCTCTTCTGAACATCCTCAGCTATACGAAGAGTATAAACACTACGGTTGGAAACCTTACTTCTGCTGTCTTCGTTTAAAAGTTCTACCTCGACATATTTATTCTACCTAAAACCAAAACCACAATGCCTTCCGCCATTCGACCTACTGAGATGGACGTCCATGTTGCCATTGTCGGTGCCGGACCTCGAGGAACTAGCGCTCTGGAGCGTATATGTGCCTCAGCACCGGACTTCCTTGCCCCAGGAGCACGAATGACGGTTCATATCGTTGATCCGTCACCTCCAGGTGCGGGTCGTGTCTGGCGTACAGAGCAGTCGAATGATGTTCTGATGAACACCGTCACATCCCAGGTGACCCTCTTCACTGATGATAGCATTGTCTGCTCAGGCCCAATCCGTCCAGGTCCAAGTCTCTACAACTGGGCTGCCGACAGGATCCCTGGCCTTGGGCCTGATGATTACGGAACCCGTGCTCAGTACGGACAATATCTTGAATGGATCTTTCAAGAGACTGTGCGACAAGCACCACCCCAGGTGCAAATCGAGGTTCATCCCACTTTTGCTGTCCGCTTGGAGGATACGTCCTATGGCCAGCAAACGCTCAAGCTGTCGAATGGCCGCACCCTTTCTAGCCTTGCAGCTGTCATTCTTGCACAGGGTCACGTCCCGCTACTTCTGGACATTGAACAACGGAAGCTCAATGCTTATGCAGACCTAAACGGTCTTCGTCATATTACGCCCTCAAACCCATCAGATGTTGATCTTTCTGTTATTGCTCCTGGAGAGCAGGTTTTCCTGCGTGGTCTTGGTCTCAACTTCTTCGACTACATGGCTTTGTTAACAACATCCCGGGGTGGTAGGTTCTCAGAGACTCCCAACGGTTTGAAATATCACCCATCGGGCAATGAGCCTCGGATGTTTGCGGGATCTCGTCGTGGAATTCCATACCACTCCCGTGGTGATAACGGCAAAGGGGCATATGGCCGCCACATGCCCCTCGTCTTCACCGAAGAAATCATCAATGCTTTCCGTAAGCATTCTGATGCCGGAAAAGCGCCTGACTTCCTCCAGGATATCTGGCCTCTTGTGTCCAAAGAAGTGGAAGCCGTTTATTACTCGACTCTACTGAAGCTCGATGAGCCGGAAAAGACCGACTTCCAGAAGAGGTTCCTGACAACTGAGCCAAACAGCCCCGAGGAAGCGCAAGTTCTTCACGAGCTTGGTATTTCGGAAGAGACGCGGTGGTCCTGGGACCGTATCCAACGTCCACAGGGCGACCGGATTTTCAACACCACCACTGAGTGGCGTGAATGGTTGATCGACTACCTTCGCGAAGATGCCAAAGAGGCCGCACTTGGAAATCTGAACGGTCCACTAAAGGCAGCCTTGGATGTGATGCGCGATCTGCGAAACGAACTGCGACTCATCGTGGATCACAATGGGTTGACCGGTATCTCTCACCGGACGCACCTGGATCGCTGGTACACACCCCTAAACGCCTACGTGTCAATTGGACCTCCTCGCAAACGTATTGAGCAAATGGTTGCGCTCATGGAGGCGGGAGTTTTAGATGTCCTGGGTCCCCATCCCAAGGTAAAGGCCCAGGACGAGGCTTGGCTAGTCCACTCGCCAGAGGTGCCAGGGGAGCCAATCCGGGTTACTACATTGATCGAAGCCCGCTTGCCAGAGCCAACACTCCGCAACACGGGGGATGAGCTTCTTTCCCATTTGTTCAAATCTGGTCAATGCCGCGCTCACACAATTGACGGATACGAGACTGGTGGTCTTGATGTGACGGGAAGTCCATACCATCTCATCGACACCCATGGCCGTGTGCACCCAAAGCGATTTGCTGTCGGTGTTCCAACTGAAGGAGTCCACTGGGTGACCGCTGCTGGTGCCAGACCAGGTGTGAACTCAGTCACACTTTGTGACACTGATGCCGTTGCCCGCGCTGCTCTTAGTGCAGCAGCTATCGAGGCGAAGTTCACTCGGGCTCAGGTTGATGTGAAGACATTTCCACATGTTGAGGTTGCCGAGCTCCGTGTCCATGCTTGAAGTATATGAGTGTGTCCATCATGTGCGAAGAAAAATAGATTGGCATGTATTGGTCAAAGGAACGAAGAAAGCGAGGATATCAGGAATATGCTGGAATGGAAAGGGAGGATGTAAATCGCCACAAATTTTGCGTTTGATTTTTCATGTGTTTGCGTTTGATGTTTATATGTTTGCAGCTCAAAATAAAGGTTTGATTCTTAAGAGATAACGTGATTTGAAGAATACTAGATGGCTCTATAAGCCCCAGCTTCCTCTGCACTTGGGCTGCTCTAAATTCTAGCTCGCCATCCGTTTATACTACAAACTACAATCGCCATACATCGACGATGATATGGAACCTGCAGGTAGTCAGATCTCGAGCCACCTAGAAGTCAAAAGCTGGTTCAGACATTTTATTCGTTAGACACTCATACCGGAGGTGTGTTATGGATCTATCATTTATTTGATTTGACACTAATATAGCCCTACCCCTTCCCTTGTTGTGTCAATTGTCAAGAGCGGCGAAGTTTACCACGCCGTTCGTGTTGTATGTGGTCAGTCTCTGCCTTCCTCGCCGGATTGGATGGGCCTGCTGATTTCCAGCCCCACGTTTCTCTTGATTCTTGCCTGCTCTAAATCCACCAAGAACTCAAATCCATAGGGGAATTGAACAGACATGTGTCTTCAAGCTTGCATGTTTCTCCATATGGTTAGATTGACTTTCAGTGGTCCAGCTATGTTTGACTAATGCAGGGACTGTTAGGCCCTTCCGAAAAAGGAATTTGCAAACTCGGCGGGTCTCGGGGGATTTTCGGATGATTCAATGTTTGAGATCAAGGTTTGGATCTACAGAATGCTTAGGCGTGTTTTAACTTTCACTCCCTCTACCTTCATCGCTTCACTTCACAAAGATCATTAGCGTGACCACAGTTCATACTTATAGAGCACGACTTGGCCTCTATCTGTGATTTCAGTAGCTACTGATTTCGAAGAGAACAATCGCGGTCCAAGGTCCACTTCCCTGTAACCAATATTGTATGGTCTAGTCTATCAAACTACCATCCCTCTCAGCGCCCATCAATCACAATTAACCAATCCTTGTAAAGGCTAACTATTCCCCAACAATATTTGTACTAGCGCATCTTGGCATTTTTTGGAGGCGTATACGGCTTACATTAGATAATATAATTTACTAATTGCTGACATAGAGTTACTGGCGGATAGAAAATGATCTGCAAGCCATACATACTGTATGGCCCTATTTGTTTCAGTGGGAGAGCCCAAGATAGATGCTAGAAAAGCCCACACTTAGCCCTTGCTTCACCCTTCTCGCTTTAGCCCTACCATGGCATTAAAGATTCCTTCTCTTCCCAGTATGCTGACTGATTAAAACTGCTGACGTAAAATATCAGTTGGTAAGAGTTCAATCGTTTAGAACAAATTGACTTTGATATTCCCAAGTCAGCTAAGCGAGATGCATTATACTCTTAGCGCGGTGAATATACGCCAACTTGAACAAACCACCATCCTTGCCGGATCTCACCACGACCCACGTTTGGGCGGCCCATCATGGGCTGTCTACGTTACATACCGGGATTACGGATAATTATATAAAGAAATCTCGATGGTACAACAAGTGGGGGGGAGTGCAAATGACAAGCCGCCCAAACGTGGGCTGTGGCGAGGCCTAATCCTTGCCTTCGATGAGCCAATATGAGGCCTGGAAGATCAGGAAATCACTCGCCACGCTGACAGTAGCCTTAGCCTAACCATTTAATAAGGTTGATCTCCTCTTATTGCATGTACAAAATCCTGAGCATCAAAAACTCAGTACTGACCAAAAATTGGTGCCTCTCGCCGTCCCACGCATGTTATGTCCATAATGGAAGAGCTATTGGCACTCGAACGACGGAGGGAGAGGAATAGGGTAGCACAACGAAGACATCGTACGGTGCGCACTATACATTCTCCAAGTCCGTCCAGCTAACATGGCATAGGTGAAAATGCAAAAACAAGTACCAAAGGAACGCGGCCACAGGTGGAAAGAAGCGGATTCAGCAACCCAAAATCGCTACCTCAACAGAGAATCTACCCGGGGCAGGCAGCAAACCGAAGTAGCATATATTCAAGGAGCAGTGATCAGGACGGCCTGCCCTGCTCAGCTGATGTCGGGTCCGGCCTACAATACAGCGTGGACTCCAAGTCAGCACAGAACCTATTTTCCGACGCACAGTTTTCACCCCACGCCTCAGAATACAGTCATATTGGCCCGACATGGCCTGAAACCCTCCAATCAGGCCCCTCCCCTTTTACCATGGATACAGTATTCTCTACCAGCTCGAGCAAAGGTAAGTGGCATATCCGCAACGCTCTTGCCCATATCCAACCTAACGCTGCGTCATAGCCATGGTCGGTCCCAGTCTCTGTGCTAACTGCCACGCTTACGGCAAACCACACGATTCGAGCGCAACGATTACCTCGTCTGCGAACACGACAACCTGGCCGGTAGGCCAAGATAGAGATCAGGACCCGGCCCGCGTTACTGGAGTAGGGTCCAGAATCTGGACGACTCCCCTCCATATCTCTGTCACCCAGGGTCATCTCTGGGCTGTGCGCCTCCTTCTTGATCGAGGCGCCGACCCTAACGCCATTGACGGAGCCGGCTCCACCGTGCTTCATACGGCCGTCCAGAGCGGTCACCACACCATCGTGCGTGAGCTGCTTCGACATCATGCGGATCCAAGTTCCATGGACTTGATAGGGTGGCTACCATTGCATTATGCTGCAGAAGCGGGCGATGAAAACTGCATGCGGGCTTTGCTGAAGGCAGGTGGGGAATAGAAATTGAAGGGTGACAAGCATTACTTTCGGTTGAGGCTAAGTCATTCGAAAGTTTGACGCTGCCCGGTGTCTATTTTGCTGCTAGATCCATTGTGAATTAGTGTCATAGATCTTTGATATGAAACAGAGTCAGAGTGAAATATGTAGGCTTTTGGAAAACCAACTGGTTTCTATAAGGAAATTAGCATCACAGACAAAGAAGTGTTCGTGGACTATAAAAGATGCTGTTTATTGTCGAGTTATGACGTAAGATTCGGTAGCATTACACTCTTCGCTGTTCTAAATCAGTGCTAGGATGTTATCTAATGAAGCCAAATGTATCCTCAATGCCAGTGGTCAAGGGATACGAAGAGTGTAATTGACAGCCAGTCTCGCAAGAATATGTCCCATGAAGAGAGTACCGAAGCTGTGCATCGATCATAGGATCGACGTAAATGGTGAAATCAATATTTCCGCCCTGGGGACAGCTCAATCGAAATTATCAGAGGGTTCCCGTAGCGGTACAGTGGTCACGTCCTCAACATGAAGCCTGATAATGTAAATGATTCTATAGGGGATGTCACTAATAACGGAATTCACGTTTTCTCTAAGCATGCGACGTGGGGACACGGGGATAAACATGGCCAGATTATATCTACTACAATTCTAAGAATCCGTTATTTCTGCTTACAGCACTAAAGGCTTCGTTTCTTCGCTACTGAATCCCTGTCGTGCCTTCACATGACAGAATGTCTTACTGCTGATCTATCTCCTAATCGGACGTCTTCAGAATTGTCCCACAAAAGTGCTTCTCATTTCCTATAGAATAGATTACCTACAGATTTATTCATTTTGATTGGAAGAACCACTATATGGCCCCATACCGTGGGATTAACAGAAAGTGACTCATGTCTCTCTACATTTCTTTCAATCATTTAACAGATAAATCGGTTGAAACTACAACGAAAAAGAGCATTTCGAAGGTTTAATACACCACAAGTACAACATGACGTTAACATGACTAAGCGGAATACGAGACTGCAGCGCAGGTTACTAGGTAGTTATACCGCATGGTATGAACATCGGTTGCAAACGTGCCCACACGGCCGGAGGGCCACCATGAAGATCAGGGCACGGCCCGCGCAAGTGGAGTCGGGTCCAGAATCTAGACCCCCCCTATTTCTGTCACTCGAGGCCATTATTCGGCGTGCGCCTCCTTCTCGACGCAATATGCTGCAGAGGTGGGCGATGAAAACTGCGTGTGGGGCTTGCTGCAGGCAGGTGGGGACTCGGGCGTAGAACTTGAAGCTTTAGACGTATGTTGTACATTAATAGGAAATATCTTTAGTATTTCCCTAAATAGGAAATCGGTGACTGCTCATAAGTTTTTACACCCAGCCCCACACCCCTTTGATTATATAATATTCTGCCGTTCAAAAAGGCATGTTTAATTAACCAAATAAAATCTGCAAACACAATTCCTGTCTATGTATAATAACTCAAACAAGGCTAGATATAAATTTGAGAGAATTTATCAAAATATACCAGAAACACGACATGAAAGCGAGATAAATAAAATCCCCTAGTAGGCGGTACAAACATTTGAGGAAGGCGGTAAATACGTGGGGGTAAGTAGGGTGTGAAAACTTATGAACAGTCACTATACTTATTCGAAAATTTCATATTTCGAGGTATTTTTTCGCATTCCATCAATGTTACTAGCATCCGCTGTGGATTAGCTGTGGAGCAGCATGGCGAACTGAGAGTGTTGGAGCACATGTTTAGTCCTGTACCTCATCCGTTTGACTGTGCCTATGACACAGGAGCCCTCTTTTTGTCCAATAGAGGGAAGTCGGACTTTAGTAACTTCCCATGGTATTCGTATAGTAATCGGAAGAAACTTGGAAGTACGGTGACGTAACATAACAGTAGATCTTCGTGTTATAGGCATTCAGGGAAAAGAGAAACGACGATCATGCTTACAACATAGTGAGCAGGAGCATGATCCACCCTGAGTTGGCCAAATATCCAATGTATATCTCGTCTTACGCACTGCAAACTGGTCGTGACTAGGTTAGAAGGGTTCTAGGTTATACTCGCCTTATGCTTCTCAGGTTTCTAACATTAACGATCTGTTCTCTTAACCGTACTATTGCCTAATAGGCCTTACTATAGACTAGGTCCTTTCGAGGTATCGAGGAATAGTGCTAGATAGAGTGCCGAATAGATCTATACTAAAGAATTAGTCTATTTATGAGTGTTATTAAGTTATACTAATCAAGTAAAGAGTCACTAAGGTTCTAAGGTATATATAAGTAATAATATATAATTAAAGACGAAGAACTAAACTAAGTATGTAAGGGAGTGTCCTTACATATTCAATAGAACAAGAGCGGCCTTGTCAAGTATTTTTTAGTAGTATTTTTAGATGTCATTTTTATAGACATCTTCTCCCCGTGCAGCCCAACTCCCAGGCCGTGCATTGAGCCGAGTATATAAATACCATGTCTTTATGTTGTAATTCTCTGCTACTCCTCTACTCTACCTCATCTTTACAATTAATTTGTGTTGGAAGCTAAGCATTCCATTCAAATACTACGTAACAACGCTAATATTCACTCATGACAATGCGCTAAAGAGCAGCAAAAATGACAAATCGCGAAAAGACAAAAAGACATAAACTCTTAGGCCCCAGCCTGGTTCCATCAGAGATCCAAGGCGGGCCAAAGAAACCCTAGCTCCGGCCAGAAAGGCGGGCCAGGAAATCCCTGAAGTAATTCATTCCATCTTTTTTTTTTTTTTTTTTTAAGCAGCACGCCGAGCAACAAGCTTGCTCATGAAGGCCTGGTGTTGTTCATCCACATATTCTTCTTTGCTGTCCCCGTTGCAGTAACGTAAATGAGCGCGATCCTGGTACTTTTCCAGGTTAGGGTCGTAGAAGTCAAAGCACTCAACCCAAGTTTCGGTCTCTGGCCAGATGATATGGTTCAAATCGCCGGTAGGGCAGGCGGTGGCCAGGGAGGTTTTTCTCATCTTGCGGCGACGGATTGTTTTCTCTTCAATGAACGAGTTGCAGCTGCTCGAGAAGCGATGGGCAGCTCGAAGACGACTGGGGGTCTTCGGCTTGTACTGCTCTGCGAGCTGACGGGCCTTGCGGAGTTCATCGCCGGAATCTTCAATGGGCTGTGATGCGCCTTGGTGTTTGAAGTTTTCCAGGTGGGTATTGTCAGAGCGCACACGCTTGGAGACATGCTCCTCTTCCGGTGCATCGCTGACTGTAGCTCGTTTGGTCGTAGTATCTTGGCGCACACGCTTGGAGACATGCTCCTCTTCCGGTGCATCGCTGACTGTAGCTGGTTTGGTCGTAGTATCTTGGCGCACACGCTTGGAGACATGCTCCTCTTCAGCTGCATCGCTTACTGTAGCTTGTTTGCTCGGAGTATCTTTGTGTCCCTGCTCGCCTGTGGGCAAGTCCTCATCGTCATCATCGTAGATGAAGTAATCTGGGTCAAACCCATAACTACATCCTGGAGGGTGTGGAATGACATCGGGTGACGGGTCTCGCTTGCGCTTCTTCGATTCGTTCTCGTTGGGTGCACGAAGTTCCTCTGGTGAAGTTGGAGGGGGTTGGGGGTCCTCGGGATTCGACTTCCTCGCACGCATACGCGCGAGCAGTTCTGGGTCGAAACCCTGTGGGTCCAAATCGTAGGAGTATTTCTTTCTTTTGCCGACTTGTGGGGCGCGTGCGCTGGCTGTCAGACGCGAGTTTCCGCTTTGCGGGTCTGCAACGCGCGGGCGCGGAGTGGGAGATTCGAAATTTCTTGGCCACATAACCAAGGAGGGAGGGGGAGCTGAGGAGGGTGTTGCGACGGATGATTCATTTCCCATTTGACGTTGAGATTCAGCCACTAGAAATCACCATGTTAGCCACTAGAAATATATACCATGATATAAGGGGCACATACCTTGTGGGACCTCTGCATTTTGGGGGGCATTGCCTCGTCCCCAAATACCAGTCACTGAGTTGAATATCCATTGTCGCCAACCAGGTCGGTTTTGGTTTTGATTTTGATTGGGCGGGAGTGCAGAAGGCAATGAATCGAACGGAACAACACGGTTACCACGGGGCGCGGTCTCTTCGTTTGCATGAGTGGCCAGAGTGGTCGAATTGCCAGATCTCGCATCTTCTCCCTGCTGGGCCAAAAGCTGGGGGAAACGGTAAATGGTGCGATCGATTCGTCCATCCCTTTCCGCCTCGCGTCGCCGGGCGCGATCCGCATAGGTCCTGCGAGAGCTGCCACGAGGACGGTTTTCGAAGCCGGGTGGAGTTTGAAGGGTTAACTTGTGACGTTTCGACGGGGATGGGTTGTCTTCGGACGATCGGTTCCGTTTCCTAGTGGGTTCTTCCATGGGGGTCAGCACGGCTTCATCCGGGGCATTGAAGTTGGGAGGTCTGCGAGGCCAGCCCCTCCAGGGAGATGGTGGGGACCAGGGGAGTGACCAGGGGATTCGGCTAAGCTTGTCATAAACTCTTCCAGGCGGCCAGGCATAGTGTGTCACGGGTGTCTGCGGAGGGGAGGGGGTTGGCTCAGGCTCTCTTTGCAGGAGCTCGCTGGCACTACCATATCGGTAGGCCGTAATGATTCGTCCTCTAAAGGTGCGTGGGGGGGGGGCATGGTGCGCTTGGGGGTAACGTACGGGTGTCCGGTTGCTCCACGGACTGAATGAGCGCAACGGGGTCTTCCTGGGCCCCGGCCCCAGGCTCCTCGGTGGGAGCGGTGGCCTTCTTGCCCTTTGCGGCGGCCTTCTAGAAACATGAGTTAGTCATGAACAATTGTGATGTCTGGTTTCTGAACTGACCTTCTTCCGGCCAGCTCGCTTGGCTGGCTTCCGCTTTGGAGCGGGCCTCTCTTCATCAGACTGTGCCAGAGTCACAGTCTCGGCGTCCGCCCCCGCCTGTGCCGAAGCACTCCGCGTCTGGCGGCGGCGGCGGGGGACGTACTCCGAGATTGGCGGAAGAACGTGGTTCGACCGGAGTCTCATCTTGGCGAAACGCGCACGCAAGATGAGGAGGAGGGGGTTGTGGCGAGGGGGTTTTGGTGGTGAGGGGCAAGTGAGGGAAGTCTTATTGAAATGCAACGGATCAGTCAGAGATATCCAAAGGCTACGTAAATACATATGTAGATACTAACCGATTTTGGTAGAGTCAATCACCAAAGACTCTGGCGCGATATCCAAAGGCAATGCTTTGGATGGTAATGTTGTGGGTGATGGAGAGGAGAAGAGGAGAGAAGAAGAAGAAAAGCAGAGATGTAAACAACACGGTTGCTGGACGCGACCAAATTGGATCAATAGGGAAGGAGCCGTTGCCTTTGGGCCAAGCCCATTGTCACTTTTTCAAATTCGGAAGGCGCGACCCGGCAGAATGTCTTTGGCGGTGTGATACCTATCGTACCTTTTTATCCATAGAGACCTATAGCTCCCTCAATAATAGAGGCTGTCGCAAGGGACAATATTGTTCCAATTATTGACACTATTCTCTGATTCCACGCAGTGTATTTTTCAATAAGCTATTTTCATCTCAACATTGTATAAAATATTTCTAGTTACTTCCAGACTTGATGCATTAACTAGACTTGTCTCTTCTCGTCTTGTCTTGTCTCGTCGTCTTAGATCGGATCCAATTTCCCCTCCTCTTAAATAAGCCCAAAATAGCCTATTCTATCGCTATAGTCCTTTGCTCATAGATGTTGTCATCATCACAATCTAGCGATTTAAGCCAGCCTAATCGAGAGATTGCCATCTCACCTGGAAAACACTAGTGATGATTTAGGGGAAACTTACTACATTCCAGAGCTTATGCTACGATGGCAAGTTAACTACCCCAAATTATTTTAACGAGAAAATAGATGTAGGAAAAGAAACAATGCTATTTGTACAGATGCTCTGCAGATGAAACATAGAAATGAGGACATAGACCAACAAGTACCCCTCGCTAGCTCCTAGATAGATGATACAAGGTAACTCGCTGATACTTTTTTCAAAGCCAGCTAATCACAAAAGAAGGGAATGGTGTAGAGATACAAAAGACCTCTTATTAAAACAATGCCCTTCATAGGGCAATCTCTCCCTTCCACGCAGCGTCAGATAATCCCAATGTCCCCATCAGGTTCTGCCACCGGGGACCTCCACGTTCCTTCTTGCGGACATATTGCAGCAGCTTCTGGCGCTTGTGGACTAGTATCTGCAGGTTACGCTTGTTGTGTTTGTCCTTGTTGGTGGTCTCGAGGTGTCGGGAGAGGTTCATGATTTTCACGGTCAGGATAGCGGCTTGCACCTCCGCAGAGCCGGTATCGGGTCCAACGCGCGGTGCACGTTCCGGATGAACAGGGGCAGATCCATGGGCAATAGCCGAAGGCTTTGGTGGGAGATTTGAGTCTGTGTAGTGTCGCCCAAATGTTTCGATGCACTTTGTAATGTTGAGGCGCACACGGTCCTTGGTGTTTCCATTGTTCAGGTTCACAATCCGGTTGATTGCTTCTTGAGCATTCTTATGCTCTTGGTTATGCAAATTCAATGCCTCCTTCTCAGCTTGGGGATCGAGTGTGTTGCGATCGGGATTTTTAAGCGGTGCGGTCAAATCCTTGGAGAAGTTGAGCGCGGCATCCAGCTCATTCGACTTCAGGTAGTAGTTGAGATCCTCGGTCAAAGATGATGGGATATGCGAGTTGGTTTGGATTGCTGTCATCTCTAGGATAAATGGTGTCGGCTGGCTCTTGACAGGGTCCCCAATCGAGGATTCCCGTTCCTCCGCAAGGACTTGCTGGCGAGAGACATTGGCTGCCTTGCGCTGGCGCGCCTGGGCCATCAAGAATGGGTCATGTTTCCTCCGAATTTGAGCTTTGCTGGACACGGCTCTGATAGTAGTGTTGGTCGAATTGGACAACGGGCTATATCCGTAGGTTGATCCTAAACAAGGCTTAGTTAGCGACCCAGGTGATTGAACATTTGACATCACTGATTTCGACTAGCATACCGGTCAATGCCTTCAAAGAGGACTGGACGGAGATGCGCGGAGGCATGGTGGGCGTAACTGGCGAGTAGATGGCTCTATTGTAACAATCAACTTCTCTTTTCCATCAACCTTTCGTCGGGAAATCTTGCGGCCGGAGGTCTAATTACGCTAATCCTAGTCAGGACATTAGCTGCCCCAGGCACCAAGAGTCACGTGGATAAAGAGCCAAGACCAGTATTACATAACCAATCACCCCCAGCCCTGGAGCCCTAGCCCTAGCGCACGCAAGCGAAATTCTCCCGAATCGCGAGAGTGCAACAATTTTGCGGCTTGGCTTTGATCTTTTTTCCTCCATCACCACGACAAGAGCCAGACGATTGATCCTCCAACTCATCAATCCATCAATCGCCCAACATGGCCCCTTCCCAGCTCCCCCCGGTTTTCAACCCTACCGCGCAGGACATTGAGATGCTCCTTGCCGCTCAGTGCCACCTTGGTTCCAAGAACCTTCAGGTGCACATGGAGCCTTACCTCTGGAAGCTCCGCGCCGACGGTGTCAATGTCCTGAACATTGGCAAGACCTGGTATGCGCAAAAGCAAAAAGCCTTCTGACTGTAGTATAGTGTCTAATATATATCTTTCACTGAAATAGGGAGAAGATCGTCCTGGCCGCCCGTATCATCGCCGCCATTGACAACCCCGCCGATGTCTGTGTCATCTCCGCTCGTCCCTACGGCCAGCGTGCTGTCCTGAAGTTCGCCTCCCACACCGGTGCCACCGCCATTGCCGGTCGTTTCACCCCCGGTAACTTCACCAACTACATCACCCGCTCTTTCAAGGAGCCCCGTCTCATCATCGTGACCGACCCTCGCACTGATGCCCAGGCCATCAAGGAGGCCTCTTACGTCAACATCCCCGTCATTGCCCTTTGCGACACTGACTCCCCCACCGACTTCGTCGATGTTGCCATCCCCACCAACAACAAGGGTCGTCACGCCATCGGTCTCGTCTGGTGGATGCTCGCCCGTGAGGTCCTCCGTCTCCGCGGTACCCTCGCTACCCGCGAGACCGAGTGGGATACCGTTGTCGATCTCTACTTCTACCGCGACCCCGAGGCCGAAGAGAACAAGGAGATCGCTGATGAGACCAAGGTCCCCGGTGCTGAGGAGATCGGTGCTGGTGCCGTCGAGTCCGGCTTCGCTGGTGAGAACTGGGATGCCTCCGCCCCCGGCGCTGGTAACCCCGGCACTGCCTTCGCTGCTGCCTCCGCTGCCACCGCTACTGCTGGTGCCACCAGCTGGGATGCCGAGGGTGCCGACTGGGCTGCCAGCTCTGCTCCCCCCACCACCGAGTGGGCTGAGGCTCAGCCCGCCGCTGGTGAGGCCAAGTGGTAAATTGCTTCGCGGTGACGAGGATAGTTGTTGAGAGGGGGGAAGTTTGATCACAATAAAAGTTTGGCGATCCGGGATGATTGTTGACGATTTTCTGGGTCCCTCGAGGCTCTTGTTTTCTCTTATGCACCATCTACTCCATTCACAACAATGGATTACAATCTCCCGCAAATTCCCTTGACATGTCTATCCTAGTCTCTGTGTGCAATTCACAAAAAAAACCAAAAGAAACTGAAAAACAGCAGAAGAAAACGAGCTTCACCGGGAACCTTTCAATCTTTTGCCTCAGTGGTCTCATCTTACCAGCACTTTTTTTATTTCCATGTTTTTGCATCGGGGAGGAATTGCCATGCCAATCATTGACTGGCGCTTATGAGGGAAAGAGATCCAGTTGCTTTAATTTACGAAGCTTCTGGGGGAAAGCCCTGTGCTGTCAATTCACAAGGTGGACTTAATCGTTACCTTGGTTTCTCCCTGTGTGTATTCTAGTAATCTGAAAAGGTTGTGCTTGGTATCATATCCAGTAGGTTTTGTAGTGTATGTGCCTGGCTGTAGACTTGATCGTGTCATTAAAATGTGCACCTGCTAAGGCACCGTGCCATCCACACAAGGTCGGAGTCAAGGTCGGAGTACTCCAGAGCTGCCTGGTCTAATTACAGGTCCCTTCAATGTTCCCTATCAACTACGTTAGTACGTTTTAATAACGCGTCTAAAGGTTCACACTCGAGGCATCTTCTCACGCCAAATAAATTTTGGGTGTGATAGGGAAACCAATAGTAACAGCCGGGCAATGGATATAAAAATACTTTCTTTCTCGGGTGCCTTCAAAAGATCTCTATCGTCTCATCGCTGGGGTAAATTAGAGCGTGGACATAGCCCTGGAGGTGCCTATCATGGGCATTGATGACTGGTTTATACGTGTATGGGTATGGGAAACAGGATAGAACATTGACAACGAAAGAATCAAAGAATAACGCAAGTAGTGCCCTCACTCTGGCCACCTTTTTCAGTCGTCGTCATTGCCGCCAATCTAGCGAGATCCTCAAACGTCTCTGCAAGCAGCTCGCCTGTGACAGCCGAACACTCGGCGTATCTATCGCAACGAAGTTCCTGCGCAATACGATAGGCCTAATTAACCCAGTTAGTGAATTCAACGCGTGAAACCCAGCTCATAGTCACTCACCTCTTGTGGATAGATGATCCCCTCGCCTTCTCTCCGTAGGTCTCTTTTCAGGCCTAGCAACATCACTGGAAGGCGCTCACCATGACCGTACTGGAAATAACGAGTAATGTCATTTCGCCACTAAGGAATAACATTGAGTTTCAGCACGAATTCACAATTAGTCCGAATATATATACGAGACATACCTCTTTCAGTCCAGCAAGTGTATCCCGGTTGGAGATATCAAAGGCTATAACAACCACGTCAGGCCGAAGATTTGTCCAATGCTGGTTTGGGTTGGATGTGTCGTAAAGCTCTAAAGTGAATGTCTTCTTTGAGAACCGGATGTCGTAAATGAAAGGCTGATCACCATCTCGTAATAGTTCAAGGGTATTTGGATCAGTATTGGAGGGCCCTGATGGGGACGGTCTTCCACTCTTGAGGCGACTGAAATATGTTAGCATGTCCACATGCAACGTTATATATATAGATCGTTCAAACTGGCTTCCAGGGCCGCAGTTCGTGGGACAACCAAATACTCACGCTAAGAATGTTGATTTTCCACATCCTGCATCTCCGAGTAGAAGTAAGGAGACTGATTTGTTACTATCCGGGTGAGGATCTGCCTCAGCCATGCTGGAATGGTTGTTGATTCGATTTATGTCCAACTGTCCAGGTATTGACCAAGTTGGACCGTTCAGCCGGTCAATCAACAAGTATATTGCAAAAGCTTGTCTTTGCTGTGACTACAGGACAGTCTATATGAGTAATTCCGCTACTTTCTCATTTCAGAGAACAGTAGGTGTGTTTTAGGTTGGGGAGGCGATGAACTTTGGGTGATAAGGTTCAATGCTTGGCGTATCCAACGTGGTTGTAGATTTATATATGTTTCTGCAGCGCTAACCTCACATCATTTATACTATGTAATTGTTTAAAATTCATATTGCCTGATTTTCTATAAAAAGAATCCCCTATCGTATGCGTATTATTTGCAATTAAATCCTCCTAATACAGTGCTATACAATAAATACATGCAATTGTGACTATATAGTGTATGTAATTACACCCGCATGAAAAAGTTCAATACAAAAAATACACCAAACAGCGCCTCCGCGGAACATTTTCAAATTTGATCCCCGCCGGTTAAACATCCACACCAATCCAATCTCAGCCTTAGTCGCTTGACGTGGTATGTGGAAACAGTCTGCGAGACTCTTTCCACCGAGTTGCAACCTACAACAAGTTCTCAGGCAAGCCCGATACTTGTGCCAATCTCGCACTCCCACACCCCAAATTATGGCGGTCACCAACAACCAGGGCCAACCCGACTACTCAGCATGGAGTAACTCCAGCCTGATCGCGCGCATCACAGAGTTAGAGCGCCAGCTTCACTCTCAGACAACAGAGTTCACAGCGCCGACAGAAGAGCCGTTGCAGGCACCCCGCTCTTCTGCGCCCATCGCTACCGACGTCCAGGAACCTGCGATTCCTCTCCCTGAGACCTTTAATCCTTCTAAGAAGCGACCACACTCTCCTCCAGATAGCGACACTACTCCAGTGCCTGCGCCGACGCGGTTTATCAAGACCCCGAAACCTCCAAAACCCGATCGCATTTTCGACCCCTCCAAATACTCGACGCGGTTCATTGCGCTCAAGTTCGCATATCTGGGACAGGCATACAATGGACTCGAACATACAAACGGCAATACCACACCTCTGCCTACCGTTGAAGAGATTTTGTGGAAGGCATTGCGGCGTACACGGCTCATCTCTCCCGAGACTACCTCTGATCTTGAGCCGAAGGACGGAAAAGAGCGCGTTCCCATGCGCCCCTACCACCTTTACTGGGATGGATGCGATTACTCTAAAGCAGGCCGTACAGATAAGGGCGTGAGCGCTTTTGGGCAGGTTATTGGGGTGCGGGTCCGCAGTCAACGGCCCATGCCCAAGCCCCCCGTTGAGGGCGAGGATGCGATGCTCGTTGACTCGGAATCTACTGAAAAGGAGTGGGATGATGTAGCCGATGAGATGAACTATATCAATGTTCTAAACAGGGTGCTTCCGGAAGACATTAGGGTTCTGGCGTGGTGTCCTAACCCGCCGCCTGGTTTCGATGCCCGCTTCTCCTGCCGTGAACGTCAGTACAAGTACTTCTTCACCAACCCCGCGTTCGCTCCGACTCCTGGGCCCATTGGGTTCCAGAACCGTGCACAGAACGGCAAGGGCCCGCGTGCTGAGTTCCGCGAAGGCTGGCTCGACATTGAGGCTATGCGCGAGGCAGCTAAGCATTTCGAGGGTCTGCATGACTTCCGGAATTTCTGCAAGTTGGACACCAACAAGCAGATTGATAATTTCGAACGCATTATCCATCACTCTAGTATCGAAGCCGTCAATCCCAAGGTCAACCCCGTTGGCTATGTTGGCCAACCTGGATTCCAGGCCAAAGAGGGTTGTGTGCCTGAACCGGATTTGACGACTCCCGACACGGTTTCTCAAAGCATTCCTCAGGTATACACGTTCAACCTTCATGGTTCTGCCTTCTTGTGGCACCAGGTGCGACACATGGTTGCAATTCTGTTCCTAGTCGGACAGGGATTCGAGTCCCCATCTATCGTCCCTGAACTGCTGGACATTGTCAAGAACCCGCGAAAGCCGACTTATGCGATGGCTGAAGATGCCCCGCTGGTCCTTTGGGACTGCATTTTCCCCGACATCAAGTCTGGCAGTCGCCTGGATGCCTTGAACTGGGTCTATGCTGGTGATACCCCTGCACACGGCAAGGGAAGCGCCAAGGGTGATAGCAAGTTCGGGATGCGGGGCACCGTTGAAAGTTTGTGGACTGTCTGGAGAAAGCGCAAGATAGATGAGATTCTAGCGGGTGCTCTGCTAGACTTGACTGTCAGCCAGGGTAACCAGAACGTGGAAGACATTGACAACCAGTGGCAAAACGCGGTATATTCCAAGAGAGCAAGCAGAGGTGCCAAGATCTGGTGTGGTGGAAACGATACTGTTGTTGGTGGGAAATATACCCGTGTCGACGAGAAGTCCAAGATGCAGACCGTGGAAGTTCAAAATGCCAAAGGACTTCTCACAAAGCAGCGAAGACTAGCAAATACCGAGGCTGCAAGGGCGGCACTGGAATGAATCCCGTTGTATATACTTGCTGATAGAGCATCGAAACTAGGGGTTAAGCAAGATAGGCTTTTGCACAAACAAAAATTTCTTGAGGCAGAGGTTGTGGGTATATCATGACTTCGCGTCATAAAGACACCGCCGAGAACCTCTCCAAACCTGCTCTAAGATCTCTCGCTTGGGCAACATGTGCTAGTCACAAAATTAGCTTTGAGTACATAACGCTGAGGATGTCACATACCGGGAATACCACCAGGGCATCGGGCTCGCCTTCAACAATGACCGCCAAATAGAAACGGACTTCGAAGCCCTTGAAGGCTTCGTGAATCACAATGTCCTGGATTTGCGTGGTAGGAATGAATCTCGTTGAGGCAGTAGAAAGATACGTCGAGGACGATGTCGAGGTCTGGATTCCGAAGCCTCGAATAACCAAGAGCGATTCCTCTGTCAAACAATCAGCCATGGACAGACCTAATAAGGGCAACTATTCCTTCTCAACTTACCGATATAACCTCTTCTAAAAACACCGTATATCACTACTGCACCAACCACAACAATTGCGAGCGGGTTGTATGAATCTACCAAGTGACACAGTTTGGATCCGAGCGGGCTCGACCACACAGCTGGCCAGTTTATCACCCTCCCATCTTCTTGGAAGAAGAAATTTCGGACGCGCGCGATGCCGACACCGATCACACAGAAAAATAAAACCGTACGTAGCAGTACTTGGAGACCGAATAAGATTTTGGCGGGGGAACTCGATCGCTGGGGCGCATTCGATACCGTGAAGGAGACTGTCGTCGGAGAGGGACGCTGAACTTCTAATCGGCCTCGCATTTTGGCTATGGAGGAGTCAGGTAAAAATAAAACAACAGAGCCAGAATCAATTGACAATTTGCATTGCAGCCTGTTTACTCAAGAGGTAGATCAAAAGTCTGGAGAGATCCAAACGGACTTTAGACAGGAGAGCTCTTAATGTGAATAAACACGCTAATCTTATATGGGACTAGCTTACTCCACTGGCAGCTGCATCTCATCACGTGCCTCACAGCTTCGTTTGGATTACATCTGGGCTTGTCAGGCACCCACGCAACTTCATATTTCCTCCATCCACAGTCATGGGTGACCGATCACGAAGCAGGTCTCCTCGTGCGAGAGAAAATGCCGATAGAGAGCGCCCCAGAAAGACCGGAGGGTTTCGGTGGAAGGACAAAAGCCGCACCGACGATTCCCGCGGCGATGATCGCAGATTAGAACGAGGATACCGAGACCGACCACGATCACCACGACGTGACCGAGAGGGCGACCGCTATGGAGATAGACCAAGGGATGGTGACCGCGACCGGGGCCAACCGCGTGACGATCGAGATGCGCCGCGCGAAGACCGGGAAAAGAAACCGAAGAAAGAAAAGAAGGAGAAGAGGCCGGTCGCTCCGCAATCCTCAGAACCCATGATTGTGGTCCATGTCAATGATCGCCTGGGAACTAAAGCCGCGATCCCCTGTCTTGCTTCAGATCCGATCAGTATGTCTTCCTTTTTTACTGTTGACCCCCACCAGTGTACTAATGTTCTTTGCAGAGCTATTCAAGGCCCAAGTGGCAGCTCGAATCGGCCGTGAACCCCACGAAATCCTTCTTAAACGCCAAGGCGAACGCCCTTTTAAAGATCAACTTACACTGGAGGATTATGGAGTGAGCAACGGAGTTCAACTTGACTTGTGAGCCTCAAACCCAGCTTTCTGATACCGGGACTGTGACACTAACTCTATTATAGGGAGGTTGGAACGGGCGAATGACGGGTTCCCGGAGCAGACTGCGCTCGGTGGGAGAGTTATCCCAACCTTGGAAGCTCTTTTATGTTTTTTCTTTTCTTAGTACATACTATCTCGGGGACCGGAGCATAGGAGTTACGCATGAATATGTTTCTTTTTTTTCTTTTTCGAGATTTCCAAAGCGATTGGTGATTTGAGCAGAATCATGTATATCTACCGGAACAAATGGAAAATTCGCAGTAAACCTGCTGACCATTTACTGCGTTCCTGTCCAGAAGCAACCGTTTTCTGCGGGGCCTCGTCACGACATGCGCTTTACCCAATGCGGGTAATTTGCCACCTGAGGCATCAGCCGCAGGTCCGCTCCACTCCAAAGAGGCTTTTTTCACATCGCGGGACTCACATCGTCGGTTTTTTTTTTTGGTTTTATGTCTTTGTCCCTCGAAGTCTCGATTCTTCCTCCGCCATGAGGTAGCATTTGTCCTCTTCAATTTCAAGAATCTCTATACTTTTCTTTTTCTCTTTATTTTTTACTCCCTTGACTGCTCACCGAGATCGCCCCCCAGATTTTCCTCCCCCTCCACTCAATCCCTCCAAACCTGATTTCCTTCAGATCGAGCGCCCTTCTCCTTGATCCTTCCTACTTCCAATCCCGGCGATATATCCACAAACAACAACACTATGGTTCGCAATCTTGTCGTCATCGGAGGTAACTCCCACCCTCAGTTGACTCAGAGCATTTGCGGTGTCCTTGGCATTCCTCCCGCGGAGGTTCTGCTCTCAAAATTCGCCGTGGGTGAGACTCGAGTTGAAATCCAAGAGTCCGTCCGTGAAAAGGATGTCTATATCATTCAATCCGGCGGCGGAAAAGTCAACGACCACCTGCTAGAGCTTCTCATCACCATTTCCGCCTGCAAGACTGCCTCTGCCCGCCGAGTCACCGCCGTCCTCCCTCTTTTCCCTTACTCTCGTCAGAGTGACATTCCTTATGACAAGGCCGGCGCTCCCCTCGTCAAGGCATCTGTGGGGGGTAAATCCGGCAATGGCTACACATTCGAGAGCACCCCTGTGACTCCGGCTCCTGGTGGAAAAACCGAAGGCCTGGGCTTGATGAATGGAATGGAAAGCCTCCAGAAGAGTCTTGCCAAGGCTCAGATTGAGGACAGCACTGGCAGCCCTGTGAAGCGGCGGGTCAACGGTCTGCCCCGCAGCGACACAACAGATTCCCTCAAGTCTATGAGCAACGGCACCGACGACGCAGCGAGCAGCACCTCCAAGATCAATACCTTCCAGCCGCGTCCCGGTTACAAACAGTGGGTTGCACAGGCCGGCACCCTGGTGGCAGATTTGCTTACCTGCGCCGGCGCCGATCACATCATCACCATGGATTTGCACGACCCGCAGTACCAGGGATTCTTTGATATCCCCGTCGATAACCTTTACGGCCGACCTCTTCTGAAGAGCTACATTCAGCGCAACATCCCAAATTACAAGCAGGCTGTCATTGTCAGCCCCGATGCTGGAGGTGCCAAGCGCGCTACGGCAATTGCTGACCAAATGGGCATGGAGTTTGCCCTGATCCACAAGGTAGGCTTATCGAGCGTTTGGATTTCCCTGTAATTCACTAACAATCTCGTAGGAGCGCCGCCCCACCAAAATCACTGACCGCCAGAATGCTACCATGATGTTGGTTGGCGATGTCCGTGATCGGATAACCATTCTGATTGATGATCTGGCGGATACCTCCAATACGATTACTCGCGCTGCCAAGTTGCTCAAGAAGGAAGGCGCATCTCAGGTATATGCCCTTCTCACTCATGGTATCCTGAGTGGTGACGCTATCGAGCGCATCAACGCCAGTGCCCTTGACAAGGTCGTTGTGACCAACAGCGTGGATCAAGTTGAACACTTGCGCCGGTGCCCAAAGCTCGAGGTTCTGGAAGTCGGCCACGTTTTCGGCGAGGTGAGTCCCATACGTCCGGTTAATTCCGCATAATATACTGACCTATACTCAGGCCATCCGCCGTGTGCACCACGGTGAAAGTATCAGCGTTCTCTTCCAGTATGACTGATCGCTGTCTAAATTTTTTTTCATTTTCTCCGATATCCTAAATTTTCGATGTTTGCTCTACGACACCCTCAACCTCAATTCCCCTTACCATAGATCCAGACTCGCAGTAGACTCGGTACGCTGGATTTGATCTGGTATTTCTGTGATTTCTATTTCGTTTTCTGTCGCTTGCTCTCATCTGGCTTTGGCTGGCTTTTTTTCCTTTTCCTGTCATACTATCTACCTCTGCCACACCCCTTGCCATCTGCACATATGAGCAATGAATGTTGAATCGAAGTTGCAAATTTCTTTTTCAACATGCATGTAATCGCCAGTCTTGGACTAGACTATCAATGTGGCTGATCTGTGTACTTCATGGAGACGTAATACTTTCCAATATTGAAGCTCATGCATGTCGGTCTGTGCTTGATTGATCACGATTCTCGGTCCTTGCATATTATACCGGATAATTTCTGGCGCTCGAACCCTTTCCCTTTCTATTTTGGTGCTCACCTATTGCATTCAGAATACAAGATTTCCATGGACCCCTAAACAGCCGAAAAGTGCAGTCACCCACTCTCTTTTACGAGACATTTGGAAGGGCAACATGGAGTCACTACTACCAGACAGTATTGATATCCCGAGTCGTGTCATATATTGGTCACGGAAAAAAAAGAAACTAACCAATAAGTATATGTCACTGTGAACTGTCACTGGTAGACTATTACCATTGAAGGACGCGCGCATTTTAAATCAACACTAACTACTGAGCGATTGGTGGAATTTGAGTAGCTACAATGGAGCATACACAAGAACTCATATCCGGGAGATTGATTGATTTGCTTGGGCTCAAGTCATATGACAAGAAAGCTACATTCGTTCTCAAATCTCATCATAAACGCACTGAAAGCATATATCTTTATTCCTAAATTCACAATATGCACCATGTATTGCCGTTGGCAGGAAAACTAAATTCGAGTTCATCATCATGAGGATCACCGCCAACCGAGACTTCCCGAACAGAATTCGGTATGATCCATTGCGCTCATATTCCGAGGGTAGCAGAGCAAGCGGAAGGACATTGACAAGGAATGTCCCAGTTAATAGATTGAAAGGTCGCGGCGCTCTCCACGGGGTCCGGGCGAACCTCGTCCACCACGGTCACCTCCTCGGCCACCTTCCGGCCGCGACCTTGACCTTGTCCTCTGGGGGCCAGGGCCCCACAGGTACGGCCAGTATTTCCTGGGCCACTGGCCCAGCCACGGAAATAGGTTAGGCCCATTCGGCCATGGTTGGCCATGATCTCTGTGCCAAATAAACCTAAGCCTGGCAGGTTAAGATGCGGGGTCGTGGTCCAGGCTTGCAGTTGTCCGGGTGCATGCCTCCGCCAATTTCTTTATGTCTTCGATGACCTTCAGCGCCATCAGTGTAGTGACCCCCGTGCTACCCTTGGTGCTATTTTTTCTGCACGTCGATTGATCGCAATGCAGTCGCGGATATGTTTGTTCATTGTGAGAACAAACCTGCATCCTATCTATATAGTTGCGGTTAGTGACGCTTTCTACCCCTTCCTTTTGTAGTTCACTCACTTCTTTTCCGCAGCTCTGCCCCCATCTCCCTCCACCGTTATAGTGTCGGCGGCATGGTGCGAAATGTGGAACATGTAGATCTGATTCCACTGGCCACATGTCCCGGTCGTAGTACCCGCGTTTTCGGCTTAATGCCCAGAGGCTCTCCATGCATATATCGGATATACCTCGTGCCTATAAGGAAAGACGGTAGGAGAAGAATAACGACTGTTTTGCCCAACTTTGTGTTGAGGTTTTCCTGGTACTCAGCACTGCCATGTTTGAGGTTTAGGAACGGATCAAGACCAAGTCCGGGGTAAAGTATTTTGACCGTGGTTACGGATCCCTATGATTTGGGATATCCGCCTTCAAAATCTATAGACCTCACTCGTCTTCCGCACTTTGAGATGATCTCTTCTCCGTGGGGCTCGAGTCAAGTCGTCGAAGATTTCGTGTTCTGGGCATGTTGTAGCTTGGCTCGTGTGGGCATGCTAGCCTCGAGATTTGCCTCAAAGTTCGACCATTGATGCAGCGGGCCAACAAGCTGATATCGTGCATTGCAGAGGATTTGCTCGCGCTGGGTGGGGGCTACAAGAAGGTCAGGAAGGCAACTTTGGACTGCCTCGCGTGGAAAGATCGGGTGTGGTCGCGCGGCCATTATGGCGATTTGATACTGAAAATGGCTTCTTGTCGGTATACAACTTCACGCGAAAGACTCTTGGGTGACACTCACAGCCGAGAGATGACGATTTGGACAAGAGTGGAGAAAAATGCAAAGTAGAAAGGGCAGAGGATGAGTCTAGGCTCTTCTAACCAATCTTGAAATTCAGCTCCTTTGCTTCGGTACCCAGGAACTTGAGCTTTTGTGGGATCATCAGGCAACTTATAACGCCGTACTGGCACAAGAAGAGATCGAAATCTGTTCAAAAGCTGGCAAAGGTGGTGATGGCCAACATTTATCCCACTTCGCACACTGATGCACAGCAGTATGAGACGGAGATTTCTATCTCCATGAGTTAGATACTCTGGGACCCATCAGAATAACCCGATTAGCCCTCCATGAGAAGCCTGTGAAGCCTGCGTTCACTGTTACCGGCTTGGTGGCTCCGTCTTTCGACAAGGTGTTCTTCTTCGCCTTGATCACCGGGAAACGTTGTCTCGCTATCGATATATATAGCCTGGGATCAGGCTAGCACACGGAAGAATGGATCCCTTGTGAAGAGGAGACCCCACTAGAGGCTGTCTCAGCATCTGTTTTAGACATGTGTCTATGGGAGAACCATACCTTGACAAGACATCCTAGATAGGAACACGTCCGTCATGTCAGCAAATCAGTACCGAAACGGGATCGACACAACAATGACTCACCTGCGCCACCCGCCGAACCGTCAGATGGTGGGTACCACAGTGATTATTTTCACATGCTGTCGAATCCGGCGATCAGGTCACCAATTGCACCCACAACCCTAATCACGAGTTCGGGGTCACAAACAAGCTCGACACCCTCATCATCATTAGCGCCCAAATGGATACCGTACGACCCGTTGTTGTTGAACCAGGAGAGCCGAGCACAGGAGAGACAGGCAGGCGACTCTTGTCGATGGCCTTGGATACTGGCAGGGATCTAAAAGGACAGCTGAGATAAGCACAATATACCACAGAAGAAATGACAAGTCACGGGAGTAGAGGATCGACCTCACAAGTCTCCCTATTAGTTCTTATATCTTGTGGCATGTTGAACAACGTATTTTCTAAAAATATGAAGGTAATAGATGATAGACGAGGGGTGGGTTCCCGGGTAGGCATGTAGAGACCTACGCACTGTTTGCATGGGCAGTCAGGAACCTTGTAATATAAGTACCACCAAAGTCGTCGAAGGAGATCCCGCTGATAGTCGTCTATGCACACAGGCTTGAGCTGCCAAGGGCGCTACTCAACTCGACCATGCGGTCATTTTCAATCGCTTCGTGATCTTCATCGCTCAAGCCGTGCAAAGTCAGGCTTCCAACTTCCATAGTAAGCATATAAAGCATCTTTCTGAAAACCATGTTGTCGATGTTGGTGACTTGGTCTATGTTGATTGTTGAAGTTAATGAAAGAGAGGTTGGTTAAGGAGGTATGGTTGGAGGTAAACACTTGGAAGTAGAGAGGTTCGTAGAGAGATGGCAATTATATATAATACGTACGGATTGTTCCAGAAGATGGCAGGTTCTGTTAGCAAGTAAAACATGCAGGAATCCTTGCATATGTTCTTTATATGCTCTGGTTAGCGGCTTCCAGTGGCCCGCGGCACAGTCATTCCCCCATCACTTTCTCTACATCTATCATGATTTATCTTGAAAATTTCTGCCGGATCAATTCTGTCATAGGCATTTTGTCTTTGACCTCATTTTCGAGGGTAGCCGGAGTAGAACGTCCCTCGCCACGAAATGTTACAGCGATTTGGGCGTTGCCGCAGCGGATTCCCGACGGGCCGTGCCATGCCCCGGAAAATCTAATCGCGACCTTGTCAGGGTACCAACACAACCTTGGAAGAAATGTATATAACCGTGGAAGTTAATTACACATTCACTTCAAAATAAATACAACGCCATCTCATAATTACATTCAGTACAATAATGTCCAAAAGCTAGCAGTGCGTATCAACACCGGCTTCAAGGTCTTTGATCATCTGCCAAAGATTTACCCTTCTATCACTCTCCCAGTCTTGATACTGGATGTTTTTAAGGACCCCTGCCAGCAGCAAATGATCATCGCTTGTGATCGAGACTCCATTTTCTGGTGCAAGCATGCGCTCCGCCACTTTCTGGTAAGCCAGTCTGTGGGCGCGGTGCTTGATAGTATTTCTCATTTCAAAATATAACCATCTCCGACAACCCGCAAGGAACTTGATTCTCTCAAATGGGGACAGTCTTTCCAGGTCATCCCTAGAATCCCCAGCAGGACCCCCTCTCGTGAACACCCGCTGTTCAATCTCGCTAGCCGTCAGTTCGTAAGCCTTGTTCTGCACCAGAGTCGCCAACTCAACAGCGCGTATGGGATGTTTCACCCTCAACATTTCACGCGTGCTCTGATGCTGCAGCTCACGTCTCCCCATGAGGTAATCTGCAACGTATTCGGCCAAAGTATTGGTGAGGGATACATAAGTATGCACCTTCTCTGCCCTTTGCACCGCCTCCATCTCAGACGTGAAGAGGACGGTGAGAAGCTCGCTGAAGACAACTCCATCCGAGTACCGAGGGGTAGGGTCCGCGGTCTGCATTTTCGGGCTGCGGATCAAGGCCGTCAGCTCGGATGGGAGCTTGATGAGATGCGTGAAGTATTTCGAGCCGTATAGACTTGGGGATACCGACGCGGCGGAAAGATGGGCGAAATCGTGGAGGTCCCAAATAGCAGAGAAATTATCTAGCATGCGGACACTATCTCCCTCAAAATCCTGTGCCCTGACTGCAATGTGGCTTACGCCAATTGCTGATATGGCCGTTGGAGGGATGAGTCTTCTCTGGTAGTCCACAGTGAAGGTTGAACTGTTGACCAGTCGATGGACGCCGTAGTTGATAGCACGAATGACATTGTAGTTGCAAGAGAGAAAGATGTTGATTTTGGTGAAAAGATGATGGTTGGATTCTACCGCTGGCAGGAATTCTTCACGGCACTCCCAGCGAGCGGCTAGATATAAAACCCCATATTTGTGGACCGAGATTGCGGCTTTCCAAAGCAATTCGTGCTGGGTAATTGAGGAGAGGAGTGATTGATTGTCCGTTCTCTCCGAAAGGAGTCTGCATCCCTCCAAAATGTATTGGAAAAGAGCACGCTTGATGGCTTTCACGTGAAATCGAATTGTCTCCCCATCCTGGAAATGGGGATACGCAGGAATCTGGCCATCTAACCACCATGTTGAGGGATCATAGACGGGAGGTAAGTCTTCCAATGGGTGCAGGGGTGTCTCCAAGGAGACATAGCTGGGTGGTGGCTTCCTGTTTAGGGGTCCCTGCCCACATGCCTCGTTGTGAATCGATTCGGCGGGTAGGGTCGTGGGTTTGAGATATCCATGTAGAAAATTTTGCAAGATCCAGGTAATTGAATACATTGTCATAATGTAGATATGTCAAGAGCTTTACCACTGGACTGAATTACTGACGATATCCGTTGCTTCTACTTTTATATTAGATTTGGGGGCAAAATTACAATACTATTTCATCCTTCTTCAGACCTAAAATCTCACGCGAGATTCAGCCTGCTAGAATGGTTTCAGATGCATGGACATATATCTTTTCGAGGTTATAGTAGCATTCTTCCCATGTTGTCCTGCAGCTAGGTATTAGCATGCCTGTAAGATTGCACCGAAAGGGTAAAATTAGCCTAGATCACTCGTTAGTCCGTGTAGATCTCCCCGTTTCCCTTTCGAAGAGCAATATGCTACTATAAGGATTAAATACAATATAGTGTGAATGGATTCCTTTTTGTACTCAGTTAATTCTTGTTCTTTTTTTAAAGAGAATGATCTAAGTATCATATGGCAGATAGAGGATATCGGTTTCCAAAGAAGCCATTTATGGAGGAGGCGTAACCATCAGCCCGTTGTTGTTAGGAGACGAATATGTTCGATTCTGCAACAGGATTTATTAGCTCGAGGTAGCCCGTTTAGGAGGCAACCGCCCGCCTATACAACTATCCTTTGATTTTCATTCATAAGGTCTGTTAGGTAAAATCAGAGATCGTCAGTCTTATCTTTTATACCTCGCTAAACTATAACTATAGACTTAAAAAGGCTGGACCCTAGGTCTGGATGTCTTTCAGCTCGCCTAATTTGGACTAGATTGGGGCCGCGCGATGTAACTCTAGTCCTGCCGTGCTTTTTTGGTGTCTTTTATCGGGGAACTATGAGATCTCTCATACCTACATGTATATGTGTAGTCTAGCAGATGCTGAATTTGTTGTCAAGAGTAATGTAATAATAATACTCAGAAAAAAAGAGCACGTGTACGCAGTACAACCCCAGGCAAATGGATGATCGCTGAATCCTGGCAACTTTAGGGCGGCAGAAGGATGCTGATCCCGACATAGTTTCAAGCCTCTTTTACTTGGAGTGGTAGGAGAGAAATCGTGTCTCACTCCAGGGCTACGGAGTATAGATGGACTCCGTACTCCGTAATTAATGTCAAACTATATCTTTCCTTGGCAAAAGGAGTCATTCCAAGGTTTGTTTTTCGAAACCTTCCAAGGTTGGAAAGAAGTCGTGCTTATTTTTTTCTCGCCCTTACTTTTTAGTACATTAATCAAAATATTCGTTGCTGCAACAATACTGCAGGAGGTGAAAACTCGTCGGAATTCCTATTAATCTCATCACTTTGTTGTATTGACATGACTCAAGGAATATTGTTATCGGGGTCACATGTTACAGCCCTAGAGGCCCCGGGGACCTAGATAGGAAATTTTTTTAGCTTTGAGATAGTTTTCTCCAAATTCCATTTTTTATCGTCTTTTTCCTCCCTTCTGCTTGAGACGTTGTCTCTCAGGATTTTTTCTATACATGCCAACCATGGAATCAAAAACAACGGTGGCTGTCTCTGGCAGTGAGGAGGAACCAGTCGGACAATTGGATCAAGGGCTTCGGGCTTGGACAGTCGTCTTTGGAGCATGGTGTGGTCTATTTTGCGCTTTTGGCTGGGTGAATGGTGAGATTCCTCTCTATTTCTTGTATTCCTCATGCCGACCGATAACCTGATACGCTTTACCCCAGCCATGGGCATTTTCCAAGAGTACTACCAGAACAATCAATTACATTCATATTCAGCGTCCAGTATCTCCTGGATTTTATCTCTGGAGCCATTCGTACTCTTTGCGGCTGGAATTGTCATCGGAAGAGTGAATCTAGTCCCATCAACCCTAGGAGATATACATATTAATCTTCTTTCTTTCAGGTATTCGATAATTATGGCCCAAAGTGGCTGCTTCTTATTGGAACATGTCTTCACGTCTTTGGTATTATGATGACCTCCATATCGACGGAGTACTATCAATTCCTGCTAGCCCAGGGAATCTGTAGCCCTCTTGGTGCAAGTTTTGTCTTCTCGTCCTCCCTCTCCTGTACCGCAACATGGTTCGAGAAACGACGTGCCTTGGCCTTTGGAATCGTTTCCAGCGGTTCGTCACTGGGTGGAGTTGTATTCCCAACCATGTTGTCTCGGATCTTGCCTAGTATCGGGTTTGGATGGTCCCTGCGTATCTCTGGATTCATCATCCTCGCACTCTTGGTAATTGCCAACCTGACTGTCCGATCGAGAATACGAAATGTCCCGCGGCCAGTGAAGTTGAGTGATTACACGAGCCCGTTCTCGGAGGTACCCTTTATCTTGCTTATGCTGGCATCCTGCTGTGGATTCTTCGCCATGTTTGTGCCCATCAGTTATATCGTTGTAGAGGCCCAAGAGGACGGAGTCAACCCCGACCTAGCTGGGTACTTGTTGACTATACTTAATGCTGCCAGGTGAGTATTACTGTCTATCTTGGTTTGATGAGGAGTCCATGATTGAGCTAACCTATTTTGCAGTCTCCCAGGCCGCATCATACCAGGCTACATAGGGGACAAACTGGGCCGATTCAACGTCATGATTGCCATGTGCTCCTTATCCGCCATCGTTATCCTAGCCCTCTGGCTTCCAGGTACTCTTCTCTCCCCAGGCAGTGCAGCCATCTATATTATCTTCAGCATGTTGTATGGGTTTGCATCGGGTGCATTTGTGGGCATGGTACCCGCCCTGCTGGGCCAGATCTCGCCCGACGTGACCAAGATCGGTGTTCGTCAGGGAGTTCTATTTACTTGCATCAGTATTGCATCCCTCACGGGAAGTCCCATTGCGGGAGCAATCTTGAGCCGACAAAATGGGACCTATTGGGGATTACAGGTCTTTTCGGGTGCAATGATGGTAGCAAGTGTATTCTTCTTCATTGCGGCGAGAGCGGTACTTGCTGGACTGTCTATCGCAAAAAAGGTTTAAATACAAACGGAAATAGAATTGGAGCCCTTTATACATAGCTATCACAGAGCTGAGCCATGACAACATCCAAGTTGGTCAAGCCTTTAGGCTGGTGAGTTGTCCAACGGATGGAGACTTTGTTATAAACCTTCAGCATTTCATCAGCAAGGCAATTCGAACGCAAAAGAAATAGGAACGCCCAAAGCGACATACATTTATCCATTCGGGATGGTGACGAAGCCTAGTCGCCGTATCTGCAACCTGTTTCATAAAGGTCTTGATTTGTTTCCTAGTCAGCGACACTTTCGAAAATCAATGGGCAACAAACTCACCCATGCATCTTTAAACCCGGAGAACTGAATCTCCCGTTCAATCGCCAATCCATCCTCCGTCAATTTCCACAATCCCCCATTCTCAACCAGTAAGTTTTGCACCCCCGACAAAACACTCTGCACCTCCTCTCCCTGCGCAACAACAGGCTTTCCCGTCTTCTCTTCCTTACTCCACACTCCGCCGTAGATCTTATCACCTATATCCCCGTTTGTATACGGAACCAGATACCCCCTCTCATCGCACTTTTCAGCCCGTCTTCCAACAACCACATACTCCACCACCGGACAACGGGCCACCCTCTCCAACGCCTCGGGAGCTGCATAGGTACACAATACTACAACCGACCTTGGCTGCTTTCCACTCATCTCCCACAGTTCCTCGCAAAGCTTGACTACTGTATCACCGGTAGCAATGATCGTATCGAGGATCACGATCTTCCCGTCGTCAGACTCCCGCGGGAACGGTCGTCGGCCTAGCCAGTCCACTACCACATCCTGGGTGCCCTTTGTCTTACTGCAGCGGGCTAGAATGCACGAGGTAGCGGGGAGGAGGGGCTGTGCGGCCACGAACATGGGCAAGGCTCCGCGGAGAATGGGGATCATTGTTGTGGGGGATTGGGTGAGGGTTTGGTCGTGGGATTTGGCCGCGGAAATGATCTCGTGCGTTAAGGCGTGGATTGTGTCTTGCATGATCTTGGGGGTGGAGGATAGAGAACAGAAGGTCATCATTAGACTGGTGAGGGTTGGGGTTTCAGGGAGTTCGATGATGGGAGCTGAGACAGCCATCTTTTCTTCTGCGTTCGTCATATCAAAAACGAGGAGATTTAGAATGTTTAGTGTAAATGATTATATTAACATTGTGCCTGAGAAGGTGATTGTTAGCATATATAGGTACTTGGCTTCATGTGGGCATGCAGATCTCACAATTAGCAGAGACAGTCGTAGAGACTAGACTGTTTGGTATTACTTCTCTTACTAGCATAACTAGGGCTTACTGCACTGGACTGGCGAGAAGTTATTATTATTATTATTATTATTATCAACCCGTCTGTAGTTCGTATCTACACTATCTCAATGTAACATCAAATTAGCTGCATAAGCCACGTAATTATGTACGCTACTGCAAGCTTCCTGACTACAGGAATCTAATTCATTTCTCCAGGGGTCTTTTTCCAAGGATTCAGTGGGGGGTAATTGTGGCAGTTACCCTGTAGGCTTTATCTACTCGAGCCCCTCTACATTTATGTCTAACTTCATACTACAACCATCCCAGCTTTGAAAAAAAGCACCCTCGTCAAAATGATAGCCCTCGCGATCTTCGACTTTGACGGCACTCTCTTCGATACACATGAATCCATCTCCCAAACGATAAAACTCACCTTCGACGCCCTGCTACCCACCCACGCCCCTCCCCAATCCGAAATCCACCGTCTGATCGCCAGCGGCGCCGGCCTAGCAGACACCTTCAAAGCCCTACACCCCTCCCCCGCCGAATTCACTCCGGCCGCCGAGAACGAGTGTATTGAAAAATACCGCGCTCTCTATGCCACCCACGGCCAACTACTCATCAATGCCTTCCCCGGCGCCAAGGATCTCTTGACTGAACTCAATGCCCACAAGATCCCGATCGCCATCGTCAGTAACAAAGGCGTAGCCGCTGTGAAAACAGCCCTGGAGCGGAATGGCCTAGATGGTTACGTGCCTGAGGATTTGATCATCGGCGATAAGACTCCCGGGGCAAAGCGCAAGCCCGATCCTGCTAGCTTCGTCGATGTTCTGGTTCCCGTCTTGAGGGAGAAATATGGGGTGGAGGAGGTTGATTTGGAGAATGTGCTGGTGGTGGGTGATACGGTGGCGGATGTGCAGTTCGCAAGAAATATTAAGAGCAAGGTCTGCTGGTGTCGGTATGGGTACGGAGATCAGGAGGCTTGTCAGGAATTGAAGCCGGATTTTGTGGTTGATTCTTTAGGGGAGGTTGTGGGCATTGTGAAGGCTTAAGGCCCGTGATTGATATACACTTTTATACGTATAGAATTGGTGATCCCAAGGTTGGCTGGGTAGGTCCACGGTCTTATTGTTCATGGATGTACAGTAGGCTGAGTGTACATAATTGAACACCACCTGGGCAGCCCTGGAGGGCTGCAGCAATGACTAAAAAATAGCCAGTGAGCGATTATGCACGTGATTTGAGTCTCCGTGCTGACATCTACTCAGTGAGCCACCTAGGGCCCATAAAAGCAGCTCAAATAGGAAAGCCCCGTACTTTGTACTTCTTTGTACATAGTAAATATCTGGTGTATTTTGTCCTTCTATGCCACAAGCATAAGACCAAGCACATGCCAAACGCCTCATACGAAAGAGAGAAAAAAAAAAAGCAACATAGCCGAAATCAAAGATGACCGGATTGTCCCGATCAAGGGAAAAGAGGTCGATGCGCTCACATTAAAGAACAAACTGGGTACTCGATACAACGAAAAGCGGCTGGCAACCAAAGCAAAATACCAGCCAGGAAGATAGGTAAGTACAAAGAGGTGGGAAAACAGAAAATCATAGAGGGCCCGAGTCGAGCTTAGAAAACGGAGATGAAGTTTCCGATTCTCTCCTTCTGGTTCTGAGCAATGCATTCCGAGATCCAGGTAACGTTCCGAATTTCCTAGGCGATATTAGTTTCATACTCGAAAATCCAGAGAGATTGGCTCTGAGAGGCTTACCTGCTCCTTCAGCTTCATCCAGGCGTACACCACAGCCGGAGTGAATTGACGAGTGAAAACCAGCTTTGACAGATCCATCTCCTTTTGGTAGAAAAGATCCTCTAAACTCTTCCCATCTGCTGGACCTCCGCCCATACCACCAAGACCGCCGCCGCCTTGGCTCAGGCCCACGGCATCAAAGAATGCCTTGTAATCGGCCACAGCACTTACAGCCAAGGCCACACCCTCGACATCCTCTGCGCGGGAAAGCATGAGACTTCCCTCCGGGTAGAGCTTGCCAAACTCCGGGTACAATTTCCTCCGCTCGAGCTTGGACAGCTCGGTGCCAAAGGAGTTGAGAGTAATATTGATAGAGCGGCGGTCCGCCTCGAACTGCAGAATCTCCGCCATGACGTCCTGTGTCGGTGTCCCGCTGAAGTCTGGGTGAGTGTTGATGAAGTTGTAGAAATCCTCCAAGTAGTTCTTGTAGAGGGTGTTGCGAACGATCTCGATGTTCAACTCGTCCAGGTCCTGGTGGCTCAAACTACCCTTGAAGTAGGCGGCCAGCGGGGTCTCGATCAGTACCGAGTTGTACAGTTCCTCGATATTTGTTGCGACGCACAGCACAGGAAGAGTCTCGAACCATCCTAGAGGGTGGCATCGCTCCAAAAGTTCTCGGGTGTCTCGTTCATGCAGAGTGCCTGTGATCAACAGGGCAATGTTGTCGATCATGTATCCGTATGTCATGTATTCGAGGAACTTAGCAGATGAGCCTGTCGCCTGTGCGATCAGGTACTTGAACTCAGACACCAGTTTATCGGTCATCCGGCTCGCCAGATCGGAGGTGGAGGGGTTGGGGGAAAGAGAGGCAAGGAAATCGCCATATGAGGGAGCAAGCTGGAGCTTGACGTCTATTGGATGGGATTGTCAGAATCAATATGCAATAGTAGAACCTACAACAAAGTCAGTGGGAAATTAGAGCATACCGTCAATTGTCTCGCATTGAGTGAGGTTGGAATAGTTCTGGCCGCTCAACAGGCTGTTCCGATAGCCGCGAACAATGCCCTCGACATATCTAAGAGAGTCAACAACAGTCTACTCGGACCAAGCAAAGACATAGACCACATACCCGCCGTTAACATTAAAGAATAGGCCCTCCATGGTGAATGTGGAGAAGATGATTGGAGAGACACAGCTGTAGCTCCATCCGTCCTCTGAACACACATGGGGCTTAGTCATGCACCTAGCCACACGGCTAAGCCACTCGTGGCACCCGCTTTTCAACTTTTTTTCTTCCGTGCAAATTTAGATTCAATTTCTCCATCGACACCGGTGGCCGACACGCCCTACGCTAATTATTTTTTCCACCATTTCTTCAGTTCGGTTTATCACTCGCTTTGTCTAGTTTATTCTTTTCTGTTATTTTTCGATCCTAAACGCCGTGGCCGCGCACCATGACGCTTTTCATCCTTACTGAGACCAGCGCGGGCTATGCCCTGCTGAAGGCCAAGGACAAGAAGCTCCTCAAGCGTGATGATATCGCCGAGGAGGCTTCCACTGCAGAGGGTGTCTCCAACCTGTACGTGAATTGTGTCTTCCAATCCTGCCGAATAAAAAAATTGAGTGGGAATGAACCGACTCGCTGAAACGGCGCAAAATTTTTGTTATCGACGACAATATCACTAACAGAACCTCTAGTCTCAAGCTCAAGAGCTTCCAGAAGTTCGACAGTGCTGCCTCAGCTCTGGAGGAGGCTGCCTCCATCATGGAGGGCAAGGTCACCCCCCGCCTGGCCTCGCTTCTTGATGGAATCAAGGATGAGAAGAAGGTGTCCCTCGCCGTTGCCGATACCAAGCTCGGTAGGTCAATCTAGTGAAATCTCTTCCCACAGTATGTATGCTGACTGTGGTTGTGAATAGGAAACTCCATCAGCAAGCTTCCCGGTCTTGACATCCAATTGATTGCTGACTCCAGCACCAACGACATCTTCCGTGCCATCCGTGAGCACCTCACCACCCTCATTCCCGGTCTTGCCCCCAGTGACATGTCCACCATGTCCCTTGGTCTGTCCCACTCTCTCGCCCGTCACAAGCTCAAGTTCTCCCCCGACAAGATCGACACTATGATCGTCCAGGCCATTGGTCTTCTCGATGATCTTGACAAGGAGCTGAACACCTACGCTATGCGTGTCAAGGAATGGTACGGATGGCACTTCCCCGAGCTGGCTAAGATCCTCAACGACAACATTGCCTACGCCAAGCTCGTTCTGAAGATGGGTATGCGCTCCAACTGGGAGACCGCTGATCTTGCCGAGATCCTCCCCGAAGAGATCGAGGGTGCCGTCAAGGCTGCTGCCGACCGCTCCATGGGTACCGAGATCAGCCCCGAGGATTTGGAGAACATTCAGGCTCTCGCTGAGCAGGTCGTTGGTTTCTACGACTACCGCTCCCAGCTTGCTAGCTACCTCACTTCCCGCATGAACGCCATCGCACCCAACCTGACTGCCCTTGTCGGTGATCTCGTTGGTGCCCGTCTTATTGCCCACGCTGGCTCCCTTACCAGCTTGTCCAAGAGCCCCGCCAGTACCATCCAGATTCTGGGTGCCGAGAAGGCCCTTTTCCGTGCCCTCAAGACTAAGCACGATACTCCCAAGTACGGTCTGATCTACCACGCTTCTTTGATCGGCCAGGCCACCGGCCGCAACAAGGGTAAGATGGCCCGTATCCTCGCCGCCAAGGCCTCTCTGGGTATCCGTGTCGACTCCCTCGCCGAGTGGGCTGACGATGTCACTGAGGAGGAGAAGGCTGCTCTCGGTACCGAGGCCCGCTTCAACCTCGAGCGCAAGCTTGCTGGTATGGAGGGCAAGCCCATTAAGCCCCGTGGTGTGGCCATTGCCCCCAACGGTGTTCAGGCCGAGAAGTTCGACCTGAAGGAAGCCCGCAAGTACAACCCCGATGCCGATGCCCTGGCCTCCGAGGAGCCTGCCACTGTCCAGAAGTCTAAGAAGGAGAAGAAGAAGCTTGTTGAGGAGGTTGAGGATGAGGAGATGGCCGATGCTGACTCTGATGAGGAGGCTGAGGATTCTGATGAGTCCGAGGATGAGGCCCCCAAGAAGAAGTCCAAGAAGAGCGACATTGAGGAATTGGCTGCTAAGGCTGGTCTCAGCGTTAAGCGATACGAGCGGAAGCTCGAGCGTGGCGAGATCACCTTCGATAAGGCAGGCAACCCCACTTCAGTCAGCAAGAAGGACTTGAAGAAGTCCAAGAAGGATGCCAAGAAGGCCAACAAGGACGATGGCAAGAAGCGCAAGCGTTCTGAAGACGACGATGAGAAGAAGAAGAAGAAGAAGTCCAAGGGAGAGTAAGCGTATGTTTTCAAAAGTTTGTGCAATGTGACCGGATGGCTTTCCTGGGATCTGTATGATATCACACTTTTTTATTTCTGTTCTTTTTTTTGTTGCAATCTTCCTGTTGCTCGCATGTTTTGGGGCATTTTATGGTTGATCTACCGGTCTTTCACTGGCGCAGAGGGTGCTCGTTAGGAACAAGGCAGTACAGTTTTAGCTGGAATAATCTGTTCATACTTCATACTAGATTGTAAAGTTGTAGACTCATGTATCGTAAATTGTAGTCTTAACCAACTCCGTTCCAGTCTCATCTCCGTTGCTTCGCCTCTATATACTTCGATTTAGCCTAGATATGCAGGTAGATAAAGACACCGCCCAGTTTCTGCCGGCAGTTCAAACAATTTTCCTTTCTTCAGTCCAGTCACCCATTTGCTCCAGTCTATCTTGCCACATTCAACACACAAAATGAGGGTAAGATCTATTCTAGTTGAAGCTCTGGATTACTGCTAACAGAATAATCTAGATTATTGACCCTCAAACCGCCGTCCTGACCAATGTCGAGGTCCTGGCCTATCTGACCTCCAATCCACCCCGCCGACCACCGCCAAATTCGGGGAACTGGGCACCAAGCCCAGATCTGAGGGATCATAATACAGTGGTTAAAGAGGTGAGCAACCCTATAATGTCCTTGTCATCTATTCACGGGGCATTGTGGCCTAGCGCAACTGCACCACGGATCCCAGCGTGGAACGGAGTCGACCAGACCCCAAGCTCCCAGACCAGACCCCAAGAGACCAACGATAGTAAAAACAACCGACTAACTCTCCCAGATTCACAACTATGCAAGCCGTCTCTCCCCCCACCTCCTACGATACCCCCGCTACACAGCCCGCCCTTCCTCCTCCCAGTCGAAATCACAATCGCAAGCCGCAATGACCGGCACACTGCGAACCTCAAATTCAACAAATACAGAGCCAGATGTCAATTCCCTGCCGCCACCAATAACCTCCACAGAACCAACCCCCATGGACATCGCCCTCCGGGACCTAGTAGTCCGTCTACAGCCGTACGGACTGACCAAAGCCGAGGTCGTCATGATTCTGAATCTCGGGGTGGGATTGAGCGGTAATCCTGCTACTGAGGAAGCCGCGGAGGAAGCTGCTAATGGGGAGGATGCAATGGAAGTGGATGGGGAGGCGGAGGGTGAAGCAGGCGAGGAGGATGATTACACTGCGGTGGTTTTGATGGATAGTGTTATTGAAGAGCGGGAGCTCAGACTGTCTGATGAAGATGTTAAGGCTATTTTAGCTATCATTAAGGAAACTCTTACGGCGGATTATGAGAATGTGAAAGGGTGAGAAGTTGGAAGATGTTTTTATCAGAGATGTTTGATATTAAGAATTAAAAAGAAACCAGTCTGATACTTCATCCCTCCATGGCAGATTCACAATGGGAAAGGCCAAATTGCTTTCACTTCCTCCGGAGTTTTCTCGCCGTCATTTGATGAATGTACATGTCCTGCAATTGCTTGTTCGGCTTTCTTTTGTTCTCGAAATCCAAATGTGGTGATATCCAGCCTTCCGCATCGGTATCCAGACATTCCCGAGCAAGGGCCTGGACTTGGTGCCAATCTTGATAATCGGCGAATTGGCACTCATGAGCCTCGACCTCTTCTTCGGTGAAGGATAATGGGCAATCTCTAGTGAATCCCAAATTCGACCAGCTCTGGAATATCTCTATGAGACATTCACGAAGTGGGACAACGCCCACCGAGGAGATCTCACCACAACGGATGAACAGCTCTCGAAAAACTCGCGGCACATTCATGGCGGTATACGCCGGTCTGTTCTCGAGATATGTGGCGACCTCGTAAGCCTTGGCTAGCTTATCTTGCTCCCACTCGCTCAATGCACGCCTTTTTTCTTCCTCGTTTAATTGATCGGAGTCGTCCGGCAGCTTCGGGTGTACAATTCCTTTCACGTATTCATCCTCCTGCCAAGGCTTCAGGAATACTGGCCATCGAGCTTGGAGGAAGGCTGGCAAGACTAGCACTCCTTGCAAATCAATGAACGATACTATCCGCGCGTGTTCCTCGGGCGAGACGTAAATGTTTCCCATATGTAAATCTGTGTGCCAGAGTGTTGGCTGAGGGGACTTCGAAAGGATGCTATTGGCATCCAAAAGTATCATGAGGCGTATCGTAGTTTCTAGAAGTTCGGTATGCTCCTCAACACTTCCGCGGTAGAAATGTGCATGGTTCGTAAGATGTCCGTTGGAGATTCGAGACAACTCTATTCTTGCGATGGATATCCCTAGGGCTGAGATTGTATTCCCTGGGAGCACGTTCAGTTAGTGCGATTGTCAAATCTCAGAATAATATACTCACAGGGCCCGATATCATGCACACTTGGGATAGCAGTTTCAATTCCCTCTGTTTGGTATGTGCGGTCACAAGAGGGACCGATGCAGAAAGAACCCGTTGGATCAATATCCTGGTCAAGAGGTGTGCATTTCGAAATGTTCGTCTTTTTTTGAAGATAAAGTCCCCCAGATGCAGGAAATCGAATAGCCGACAGCTGAGCCTCCAGCCTTGCTAGGCTTCTGATGAGTCGCAGCTTTTCTATTTCCGGCATCTTTTCCCAAACCTCAAAAAGTTGGATCCCTGAGGCTTTCTCCATGATGATATACTCGGCTCCCATGGCGTTGGATCTGTCCGAGGACCAGGATAGTACCCGAGGAACGGGGATACTTGTGTGTTTCCTTACTATTGCTTATTAGTAGCTGAAGCCTTGCAACATTGTGATTTAGGAATCACGTACTTAATTCTGACACGCCTACCTCGCATTCTGTGGTCAAGACTGCAGGCCCAGCAATGCGACATGGGATTTTGGCGATGACTTCCATCCCGTTCTCCTTTTGCATCAGAAGGACTTTGCTAAAGCCGCCTTCCATATTCTCAATGGCCGTGATTCGAGATGAGTGGCCACCAGCAGTGGCAGCAGCAGTGCAAAGCGCGTCCAGGTCGAATTTCACATATCGTCGGTCAAGTTGGTTCTTTTCGTCAACAAGGAAACGCCCATTGGTATAGGCGAAAAGCTCTTCGCGACCGATTGATCTGCTTTTGGAATTTAGTAAGAGGGACCAATCTCAGCTTTGACGGCCTTACCTCGACAGGTTATGGAAATATAGGCTCTTTGTGGTTTCTGTATGTGCTTGAAGCTCCGAAGAAAGGAGAGCATGGCAGGGTCTTCGCGAGTCAGATGTCACGATGGATGTCAATTGATGCAAATGGAATAATGTCCTTTTTTCTAGGTGTATAGCCTGTAATCGGCAGAGTCGAGATGATTTTAACCACGTTACCTAAACCCCTGCATCAGCCACAGACCAATCAGAGTGCTCCGTGGAATAGATGTGCCAACACTGTGGTTTATTTGATATAGGATCAATCTTTTTCGTTTTACACTTCATCTCAGTATTCATCATGAAGCCTGAAATTATTCATCCCATTCCCAACCTCCTGTCGACCCATCGGCGTCATATCCAACAAATGATATGTCGATAGGATAATTTCCATCCCCCGGGATGTAGTATCATAGGTATGAAACACGCAATCATCATGTTTTTTGAAAACGCTCAGACCAAAATACCCATTCCCAGGCTTCCAAGTAATAATCTCACCCCTTTCTTCAGCTTCCTGCCACGCTTGATGAGTTTTGGCAGAGCTGTAAAAAGGAAACTTCCATCCCATCTGCTCTTTGTACTTACTGATCTCGGATAACGGCGCAGTCGCGACAGCCACAAACGAGGTGTCCCGGCTCCGCAGATGACTGAGATCGGGAATATGATCCATGCAAAAGGAACATCCTACACACCCGCGATGTTCACCCGGGCCGAGCATGAAGTGGTAGATTATCAGTTGCTTGCGGTTGTCAAAGAGGTCTCCCAGACTCTTTTCCCCGTCCGGAGTGTCGAATTTGAATTGGTCCGGGTTGGATACTTGGACCATAGGGAGTTCCCGACGCGAGGCAGCTAGTCTTTGCAATAACTGTGTGGCTGCTTTTTCTTGTTGGAGGAGATCCATTCGAGCTTGTTGATACTCCTCTGCGCTGACAATCTTTTTCTTCTTTGTTGTTAGTATAAAAATATAAAGGGGTTATCTCAAACATACCTCTTTCTCGTTGGAATCCATCATGTCTCAATTTTGGTCAATTTTGGTCAATTTGGTCAAGTTTGGTCAAGTTTGAGTGTTGACGTCGAGGACATTCTGACCTCGGGACCTCAGGAGGCAAAGATCGTTACTCAGCCGCGGGGCCCGCCTGAGGCAATTTCGGCAACCTTCCAGTCGTTTAGTGTACATCCATCAAGCATTCCCCAATTATTTTACACTACATCTGGTATCATACGTTCATCAAGTCTGGCTCAACTCAAAGTCGTATTTCACCACAGCGAATGCAGTACCGGCGAAAATATTTCTTAGGCCATCTAGTTGGTTGTTGCCGGTTCTTCTTGTTTTGATATACTGTTCTATAAACCATGTAGCGCTTTGGCTAGCACAACTAATCAGGCATTCTGGAACTATAGGTATATTTCGTTCGAAAATTGATGTCACGATGATCTAGCTGTAGAATGTAGCCCTGACATACAACCTTGGAAGACCTAAAATAAAATTAGAAACAAGAGCATATTTCTTGATGGCATTAGGAATAGTAGATAAAGTTAAAGCATGTCTCTGACAAAAATAACTTTAGCATTTGAAGCGGTGCCGAGCCAAGCAGTCATTATATGATCATACATACATACCTAGGTAGGCAATAACCATCACTTGTCGCCATACAGTATAGCCCAGCCAAAATTCCTAACATTCTCATGGAGGGAATCACATCCAAAAACATGCTCACAACCTCCTCTCTGGACGTCAAAAACGTCCAGCTTATCTGCAATCTGGAGAATGTTGTCGACCATGAACTCGAGACTGTGCCTCCTGTTACTATACCTCGACAACTCGAAAACTCGAAAACAAAGGGAACCGGATTATGCACGTAAATTGACTTGACATAATCCCAGTTGATTCGTCGATTCGCTCAGAGTTGGTGATGGACGCAGGGAAGGGAGTGCTGCCGCCGTCAACAAACATCACTTTTAAATGACGACACGCTTAGTTTCGATTGGCCTAGATCGAGCCTCGCCCAGTTTAGTAATCACCATGTGACAGTCACTTACTGCTGCAAACGGAAATATACAGCCAAAAAGGTATTCCTACGTGTCTAGATCGACACAATGAGCTACTTCTGTCGTGCCACTAGACGTTGAAGAAATACTGTACCTTCAATTACTTACGGTTAAAATGAACTCATTGCAAGGTCGGGTGATAACAGCAAGAACCTACGTTTGACTTAAAGCTAGGATCGATCCTTCTAGACCACGACAGGTGTAAGTATCATATCAGAAGATACGAGAAGAATGAATTCCTGGCACATTCCGCAAAAATCACAGTACGCTGTCAATTCTTTCTATAGAAAAATTACTCTTTCTCGCTCCTTCTTGGACACTCTGTTCAACAAGTTACCCCAATCCTTGGTCAAACAATATTAAGAAATACGTTATGGAGTTTGAAGGAACAATCGAGTCAGGTGTCTCCGGTATGGATAAGTGTTTTGAAACCCCAACGTTGCATATTAATTCAGAGTCCTGACTGTATTCTGGGAGTTGAGGATCGAGGCCGCAGAAACGCTCAAATCCCATTGTTCCGGACACACTGGGAACGGATTTGCAACCTACGAGCATTGCACGCAGTGGGCAGTGGCTGACAAGGCAAAAGAGTGCCCGCCGATTGACCGACTATATGCCGCAAAGCCTTGCAAATCAATCAAGAGCAATATTGGAGTCTGGTTCTTCCACTCGTCGTAAGACAAGAAGCTACTCAAAAAACAAACGAGCTGGGCGGGGAGGTATGATGCATGCTGCTGCCTATGCGCCTTCTGGGAACAAGTATTCCAGAACTTCCAGAGCTGCCCGTGCCACGTCAAACCAACAGAGGCAGAAGCTACTAAAATATCGGAGGCTTAAGCATCCCAAAGGATCTTCTAATGCGGCCAAGGAAGCAAGATCCAAAATGGCCCCGTCTGCGGCTGCATTACCCAGCATGAATACCGCTGTCGATCCACTAAAGGAGGTGGAAGACGATTGGAAGTCCGCCAACTCTGTAACGGATTCTTTGGAAAAATTACGTATAAATATCCCGAGAGGTACCGAAAAACCCCTTCCAAAGCTCCTTCTCCAGGCTGACGCAAAGGATTCCGACTCCTGGATATCCGTCAGCCTTGGAGGAATACATTATTTGGACGAGGCCGAAGAAAAATGCGCAGTCATTATCCAGATCCGCCATGACACAAGGCACGAAGACGTCCGGTGCCGGAAGATCAATTTTGACTTTGCAGTTGCAGGACTTGATGAATCTGATGATGATGAAAACTCCAAAGTTGTGATTAAGAATATAATACCCCGATATTCCGGTGGAACACCGAGATATACCAAATTGACATATTCACAAGACGTGGGCATTACAGAGCCCCATTCAGGTGCGAAAGCTGGCGCTTCGAGAAAAGTAGAACATGAAAGGCAAAAACAGTTTAAAGCCAAAGGTTTTTATCGCTGTCAACCGAACACAACACTTGCACGACTGGGCTATTTTATGCTCCTTGAGAACAAAGAAAGCGAGGCAGGAGTACCTCCAAGTTTTCAGGGAGTGATATTCTTAAATTCACGCAGACCTTTTCATTTCCTTGTCAAGCTATGTGCTGATATGCCGGGAAGTTGGCGTTATTACCTTCACCGACACAGAGGTGTAGTCGCAAGGTTTGAAATAAATCCTGAGGACTATTCACCTGTCAAAAGGCATAAGAAGGACTACACGGAATGGTTTGGTGGGATAGAGGGAGAGTGCAATGTATGGGAAGGATGGTGATCTTCTGCCGCTTCACACCATTATGAGAGAGTGGCGTAGCTAAAGATTCAGTTCAGTTAAGATTTGGCGAAAGAATCTGGGGATAAGGTTAGGAATCAGTTTTTCGAGTTGCTTTTTGCTTGGTTTTCTTGTGTCAAAATAATGACGTTGAATACTAGCTTTTGTCCAGTTCCACCACCGTCGGATACCCTTTTGCTTCGTATTTTATTATTTCATGTCTGGCCACCGTTCTTCGACGGAAGTGCCCTTTGCTTTATATTCAGCCACCCTCATTTGACGGAAGCGCTTTTATGCCCTTTGCTTTATATTCAGCCACCGTCGTTCGACGGAAGCGCTTTTAACTTGCATGTATTTAGCCTACGACGGTTGGCCCCTCGCTCGAGGACGACCGATTCTCTAGGAGTAGGCAGATATCACTATGTGACTAGGGTCATATGACCCCCACATAGACGGCCGTCGTCAGATAGAGATAATACATCATCTTATCTTCCCCTTAGCTTTCAGCGCTTATATCCGCTAGGGGAAAGAATCCGCGTGCATTTATAAAAGGTGAACGGATAGGTAGAGGAAGAGAGAGGAAGGCTTACTTCCAACTTGTTCATTCTGCTGCGTTCTATATACGCCAGCCTCACCAAAGGGCTTCTTCCAAAGTTCCATCTATTGTGGTATCATACAAAGCCAGTCCCGATAATGTACAGCTATTCCCAATAACTGTCGAAAGAATCCCCAACTTCGACATAAGAATAAATCTGAATTCATTTGTGAATCCGGCCACGCCATCATAGTAACGGCTTATCCAATCATGCCGGTCATGCAAAAAGACAAAAACCATCCAAACTCCAAAATTCGGATAATGTCCAGAACTTGATAAGCTTAGACCTCGGCGTGGAGATATAGCGGAGAGCAGGTGGCTTGGTGGGACGGTGAGCTGGACGGGATGTCTCAATAACCCGGCAGCCCATCGATCCGTTGAGAATGGTATAGTGAGGAACAGGGGGAGCATAACAACTCAAAGTCCAGCTTTAGTCGGATTTCTCTTCCTTCCCAGCAATGAGACTTCCATACTGGTTGTAAACCGGATCATCTGGGTCATCATTTTCCTTATCCCATGGTCCGAGGTCATCATCAAAGAGATCTCTTTCTTGACCATTGCAAACCTCAGAAAGAGTGATCCAGTTTGCGTGATCGGTCCAAACCCCACCTCGGCCTCCGCGCACCTCCAACCAGTTTTGCCCGCCCAGTAGCGATGACTGTGCAGCGTCGAACCCGTGTGAGTCGCGGACATATTTCCGCAGTAGGGCGCGTCCCCATGGGAAAAACCACATATTCTCCCACCAGGTGTTGCGGAGTTTGGGGTCGCCGTTGAGATGGGCGATTACCGGCACCGAGGCGGAGTGGGCATTCGTCATAAGCGAGATGTTGTGCCAGGTGCGTTCGCGCGGGTTCGGGAGTTTGTCAAGCGTGGCATTCCATACTGGTCGCTGGGTTGATTCTTTTGCGAAGCGGGACTGGATGAATGGGTTGGGGAGTGCTGCGATATCCTGCGGTAGGAGGAGACGGTGTTCGCGCGGGACGCCGTGTTCCATCTGTAAAGCGGACATCTTCGTGATGTTGCCGTACTTAACCCACTCGACATCCCTGCGGGACATGATCTGGTTGAAGAAGAGTTGTGACTCGAAGTCGACGCCAATACCGTACTCGTAACGGTGACCTGTCTCCAGCCGGAGGTTGATTCCGGTGATGTTTGCTGCATCCGAGATGCCCACCATCCGGTAGAGCAACTCTTTGAAGTCGTTGGCTGTTCGCCGCCGCTCCAGTTCTCTGGCCACCTCTTGTCTTCCGTACATCTGCGTCAGAGCCTGGTAATCTCCAGACTTGTTCGAGCGCAACTCAACTAGCCGCAGGACCTCATCGTAGATCAGACGCAGATCCGCAGCCTGACCAATGACCGCTCCGGGGTTCAGCCACCGGGGTCGGTTCAGAGATCCATCCGGGTAGACATCAGTCTTCCAGCCATACACATCAGGAGGTAGAGTTGATTCGGGAACAGATACACAACCGGGATCGTCCAGCAACCCGGGGAAGCACATCTTGCTTGCACCAAAAAGAACGCGCTGGGTGTATTTCTGTACCATCTCAGGCGCAGCCCCAGCCTTTTGGCCCTCCACTTCTGCGAACCCAAACTTGGCCCGCAGCTTTCGGTTGTTCGCCCTTATGATAGCCTGGAACCGCTCCACTAGGATCTTCGGCGGCAATTGGAAGAAGCTGTCTGCGCCATCCACCATAAGCACGAAGTCGCGGTCATGCACGGTTTTGCTGTCTCGGAGGTAATTGCGCACGCGCGTGATCCGGTCCACCATGCGCTCGGCCTCGGTCGCTCCGGGAGAGTCATGCCCGTAACCGATTAATGTCGGCGGTGGGTATCCAAGGATCATAGCCGACGTGAGCGTTCGGCAGACTCCGCGCGAGCCCTGCGAGGCTGGGACTAAGACATGCAAGCGCGGGTTGGGTTTGTCCAGATTGTGGGGGAGGGTATCGTTGACATTAATATCGGTGCGGGGAGGGAGGAGGACCTGGGCGTCTTCTGGGCGCTGGGGGAAAGGATGGCGAGAGGGAAACTTGGTCCAAAAGTCCGGATCGACTCGCTAGGCAGGTTGTCAGCTTCTTTGTTTTAGGCCTAGCAATCACAGCATGTCTGTGGAGTAGGAAGCGATCCTTACCGTTGAAGAAGACTGTAGCATAAGAAAGAAGAAGAACAATGCAATTACTGACAAGCCAATTGTTTTAACCCGGTTTGACCGTGACCGACGGTTGAAGACGTGCCACAGCATCGGAGTCGACTTGGCATCTTGAAAGTGTAGTGGCGCGTCCTCCGACGCCATCATGCAATAATAAAGTCGAATCAGATACTAGGTAAAGCAATATGGAACATTGTAAGATGTCAGGAACCAAAAGGAACCCGGGACATACGCAATCGCTTTGGAGGTGGAGAGAGAGAGAGGCTGCGATCGGCGCAACGTTTCCGGTGGCACCCCCGTCACTCCGTCACTTCGTCACCTCGTGGACCCCTTAGACCCCTAGACCCCTTACATTCAAGCTTCACATGTCTCAGCTCTATTGTCTTCCAGTTTGTTTAGCATCCAGATCATATTTAGAGTCTATGAGAATATGCGATTTTGCATCTGGATATCTATGGATGTCGCTTATACCATTATAAAGAACACATTCACCTGTATTAAACAACGATTAGTCTTTGAGAAATATATATCCTTACACCTACTACTCCATATATCGATCAATATTCCTAAAAAGGGCCTTGAAAATAGTATCTACGTAGCCTGTGAATAGACTATACATCTTTTTAGTTATGCTCAATCTCACATTGCGTAACCGGTCGAAGACATCAAAACTACGTACCTAGGTAGGGACCTGCCAAATCAACCTTGCTCCTACTGTTCTCTTTACAGGTGAGGAGCTGATGCGCTTCTTCGACTCAGTCATCGGTGAGAATCCATCCTCGCTCGTTACCGTCTGTCCAGCTAACCGTTCGTGTTAGACATAGTCAAGCCAGTTAGCGCTGGTAAGCCAGCTCCGAACGTTGACCTGGTTACGTCGGCTTTCAAAGTTTCTGAGCTATGGCGAGTTCACTTGGGACGAGAGCGATGGCTTTATGATTATTTGACACGATGGACGCCGACCATATACCTTTACCTGGATCGGCTTCGTCACCCTATCTCGAATAGTTAGAGCGTTCCTAGAGCACTACTACTACCTGGTAAAGGGGTGCCGGAGCTAGGACGTTGTCGCAGCCAAGTGGCTGGGAGGAGATGTGGCGCGTGCTAATGGATACGAGAATCTCAATACCTACGATATTGTCACATCGAGCTCAACGTTGATGACCGCCGACTTCCATAATATTCGAGCCATCATCACACTCGAGAGTACGAAAGGCCACAAAGACGCCCTCAACGAAGACTTCATTCGCTACCTGAAACCGCTGAAATGCCGTCGGGTTTTCAGGTGAAACTATGAGACAGTCCAAGCAGCCCAAATCCTCCATGGCCCGAGATCACTACTAGTATTTGCAGAAAATGAGAGATTGATTATGAATATGCAAAATACTATACAGCTAGGTCCAAGTCTCCATGTAGAGAACCAGCTCAACAGACATCCCAGAACCATGTACACCCCAATGTCTCACTCCAAGTAGATTTCCTCTCTCAAACGTTGTAAATTCCGGAACAGCCCACCAGCCGGTGCCCCACTGTCACTATCGCGCCGAGCCTCAGACCTAGACTTAGACTGTGTTCGCTGGTTCTGATCCTGCTGCTGATCCAAGGCGCGCCGTCGATCCTCCACGATATTCGCCAGGCTATCCACGAACCGATTACGGGCTTTTTCCTCGGCCGATGCATTCCACACAGTCGCCAGCGTCCGCAGAGCTTCAACGCGGCGGTTGGCAGCGTCCAGTCCGGCGTATCCTCCGCCCTCGCTGTCGAGTAGCTCGCTCACTTCTGTGCGTAGCTTCTTCATCATTTCTTGGCCCTTTTCTTCGCGGTCTTGGCCTTCGGGCCCGAGGTCTGGTCCTGAGACTGAGATGAAGGATGATGAGAACGAGATCTCGGATGGGGGTAACGGCCAGCTCATTGCGTCGCCGAAGGTCTGTACAACGTCTTCTAGGCGCGATCGCACTTGGTTCAGGGTGCGGAGATTTGTTATGTATTCTGGGTCTGTCGGGACGGCGGGTTTGTTCTTGGTGTCTGGGCTTGCTGCCGACTCGTCCTCGTTTGTTGGCGCATCCTCTTCTGCTTGTTCGGTCTTACGCCCGTCTTCTGGTGACGGGTCCGGGACGAACTTTGTTATGTCGTCGCGTAGGACTTCAGTTAGGGTTTCGGATAGCCCGATTGTCTCGCCTCGTAGGACTTCGACTTCGTAGGCTAGTCGTCCACCGCTTCGGAGGATTTCGTCGGTGAGTTGGGATAATGTGCTCGAGAGACGGATATTTTGGGCGCTAATCTGGGAGAGGAGGGACTGGACCTGCGCAGACAGCTCTGTCAGGGGCACAGAGCCGAGTGACCGAGAGGCATTGAGTTGTGATGATGCCACAGTCAGCGGTGATAGAGAGTCATTGAGGAAGTCGGCTGGGTCGAAGTTCGGGTCGGCGAAGTTAGGCGATGCAGTGGGTTGGTTTGGCGGCTTGACGCCAGCTCGAGTTGACGAGCTGTAGGTTTGTGATGTCATTTGCGTAAAGCTCTGATTGTGGAGCTTTGGCAATCTGTCTCGAGGTCAATTCACGCTTGAACAGAGAGCTGGCCTCCGCGGGGAGGGTCGATATCTCCACGCCCCACCGCCTTCTCCTTTCCTCATTAGGTATGGTGTTATGCCATTTTAGGTATAGTTCCTGGCCGCTTTTCGTTTTCAGATCTATACAGCATAAACAAAAGAGATCAACCAATAGTTACATGTATTTCTACATATCTTACTTTTTTGTTCCCTATTTTAATCCCCTATTCGTCTCACCGGCTCACTTGCTAGTTTGGCCCTAATATCCTGAGGGCCGGTTACCTTCTCATGTGCAACGCTCTGAATGTGATTCTCGAGCTCTTGAGGACGAGAAACCGGGCGAAGACTTATCGCCAATTCTCCCGCTTCATTCTCTCTCTCCATTTTTCTCTTTTTCCATCTCACAAAAGGAAAATAAACAATGACCAGGAACGCAATGGCCCCAAGAACGCTGCCAGGCCGAATTTTTTTTGGGCTGCTTGCTGAGCTGTTTACACTGGATTCGACAGTTTAAGGCATGATGCATGACTCGGCTTCTTCTCAACAGATACCAATGTACTCCGTACCTACCCCAGGGTGGGGTCGGGGGGATGGAGGGTGTAATCCCAGAGGTAAAAAGAAATAAGCCTAAATCTACGTGAAATAAGCATTATTAAAAGTTGGAAAGAGTGATCATAATGTATTATCTCTGCAGCTGAGCTATATTTACATCCGACAGAGGCCTTGTACCCTCAAACAAGCCCCGTCATGCAGGGGAGACCATATATACTGATATAAGACTCGACAAACCCAAGCCGAGACTTCATATCGCTGCTCATCGATCCCAGCATCCAAGTCCTCCAATGGAAATAGCATGCCCCTATTTATACAAAAGCCTTTAAGCCTCAATTTCATAGACTCGTATCTGCCAGGTATTGCAGGGACCGAGAGCCGAGCGAGGAGTGTGGGTATAATTCTGATTTTGCAACACAAGAAGCAAAGAAAATCTAAGCACCAAGTTCATGTACGAACTTCGGGCCTGGAACTCCCGCATGTAGTTCAGAAGGACCAGTCGTCCGCGTGTTCGCCACAATGCTAGACGCTCCCGCCTGCGAGCTCCCACCAAGCTCGCTTGGTGCTCCATGCTCTGGGTGTTGGTATGACGGGTTTGCAACGAATTGAGTGCTCCCACCAAGCTCGCTGGCTTCTGGGTGACTCCCTCCGAATGAAGATGATGTGTCAGGCAGATTCTTCTGTCCTTTGTTCTGGCGCCGGCGGAATAACCAAAATGCTAGAGCGGCGATTATAATGAGTCCTGCTGCGCCGACACCGACGCCAACGCCAATTCTTGCCCCTGTTGACAGACCGCTTGTCTCTGTCGCGCCTTCGTTCGAGAGAGCTGGGACAGAAGGAACTGTTGGTACTGCTGGGATGGTTGGGCCGGTCTGTGTTGAAGAGGTTGTGCTGGTCTGGCCTGATGACATTTTCGTGTCGGACGATTCAGTCGTAGTTGCGGAGACAAATAGGCTTTTGTCTGAAGCTTGCAGCTGGATTTGGATTGCTTGCGCCCACATCGTGACGGGGCCGGAGACCTGTGTGCTCTCCTGGTCGACCTGGCGGACGGTGACAATTGTAGATGATGAACTAGGGAAATTGCTTAGACATCCGGCGAATGTCGTTGTGGAGTCCCTTGGTTCCTCGTAGTAGGAGAAGTTACTAGTGCCTCGAAGTCAATATCCGAGCTGGAAACCAGAATGAGCTTTTTTTCTACTTACGAGGGACAGCATATGGCAGTGGTCGCCGGATTGTGAATCACTAAATCGGCCGAGGTGTATCCACCTGGACAATAGCCTGGGCTATAGGCGATAGTTGCTCGAACTCTTCCATATTGACTGTACCCGGAAGGGAAACACGCAGGATCGGCATTGTCGTTCACGACGGCATTTTGTATTAAGAGACCATTTGGGACATTGTTTGCAACCTGTGGCTCGAATGTCCACGATTTCGAGCATGAGGCGGGAGCAGTGAAGATACTTGACATGGGCATCGTCGTGATCGTCCCTGTCGATTCGGCCGTCGCCCTTGCGACCAATGTCGGTATAGTAGACGTCATTTTTGAAGCTGTATCTGTTAGGTAGCTCTATAGGGTCTTGCAGAAGGGCAAGGTGTATAGCGGTCGGAAAAGCGAAGTCAACATTCGGCCCCCAAATCGAAAGGGGACTTATTTTCACCGTTATGTATATTTGTAGCGCAATCTCCAAATTGATCTTAGCTCCTCTCGGTAGTGCTGATTCTATAACTTTCCTCATCCGAAGCTAGTTTCTCACTGAAGACCCTCACACAGCCCCAAACCTGGCCAAAAATTGCATTTATTGCTCTATTTTGGGGGGATTTGACTAAGATGAATCGCCTGGATATAGAATAATCACAATCATCAATAATCTTGCTAATCAATTAGAGTAAACTGTGGAAAATCCTCCATGGAAAATACCCAAGATCAGCATCGCAATATCCACTAACATGCTAGCGTCTTCACAGCACGTTTTTTTACCCAATCTAATAGCTACCCTGGAAAATACCGTGTCTTGGCTGCGGCTAAGACTCATCAGGAACACCATCTGCAGAAATCAGTGCTACGTCATTTAAAACAATCAGATGAAGTTAGAGTACGGAACACATAGTAAGGTACGGACATCTGGAGTATACAGCACACGAAACTGAATAGCAGCTTTCAATATTTTCAAAAACAATAACAATCTTAATTTGAGAATATTATTATTAGGCTTCCCAGGTGGATATTCACTAATTTAGAAACTTTTAGTCCGCACAGAACCCTTTTGACACAAGTCATTTTAAGTGGTTGTAAGGCGGACGTTCTCCGCAGCTGCTGAGTCGCGTTTTTGTAGCTTCATTATCGTTGCTGACTGGCCCTGGGTATATTAGGATGCTACAGATACAAAGGAAATAACTTAGAGCGAAGATTGCATTGCAGTATACTAAATAAGTAGGATCAAAGCACTCATAGAGACATTAAAACAGCTGCAATAATAGCAGCAAACGAAGGTGGGTATCGTCATGGATCCAATCACGTCCAGCCATAATACAGAGACAACAAAATTCCGGGAGAGCAGACGAATGAGCTGTTGAGGAACAACTTCAAAGGCTCCACTTTCCGGAAAGGGCAAGATAAATCACAAACTGAAGGGGGAAGGGTCATATCTTCAAGCAAGAAATTGACCAATTAAATAAGGGGGGAAGGAGACGACGGAGGCAAACCGTCAAGATCACATCTAGATGTCTTCGACAACGCGGGCGTTGACTGCATGCTGGAGTCCAGTATCGCCCTGAGAGGTAGCGCCGTACTTGCTAGGGCCTTCGCCAAAGTTTTCAGCAACATTAAGCTGCGTCTGCTCGGTCTGTCCTGGGGTAGACGATAATCCAGGCAGGAAAATCACCTTGCTATTCGCGGTCTTGGCCATAGCCTGCATCGCCTCGAGGTAGCGAATCTGCATAGCAGGAGCGGAGGACAGGATATCAGCAGCCTGGCGCATCAACTTGGCGGATTCGACCTCGGCGCGCGCGGCAATAACCTTGCTTTCACCGATACGCTTCGACTGCGCCGCCATCGAGAGCGAGTCTTGCAGGTCGTTGCTGAAGATTATGTCCTTGATCAGCATCGACTCGACCTTCACTCCCCACCCGGCTGCTACCTCCTCGATAATCTCCGACGTCGACTGGGCGATCTCCTCGCGGCGCTCGATCACGTCTTGCAGCACCCGTGCGCCGATCACGTGGCGCAATGTGGTCTGCGTACGCTCGATCAGGGCTTGTTTCACGTTCGAGATGCCGAACGCGGTCTTGTGAGGAGAGACCACTTGGTAGTAGATGACGGAGGTCAGGTTGAGGGTGACATTGTCCTTGGTCATGCAGACCTGACGGGGCACCTCGACGATTTGGATCTTGACATCGACCGTGGTGATGTGTTCGCTGAGCGGGTTGATCTTAACCAGACCAGGATCGACCGATCGCTCGAAGCTAGAATAATCATCGTCAGCAAGTGATATTCAGTGGACAGGGGCGAGAGGGGATCACTAACCGTCCAAATCGCGAAATCAAACCGACTGCACCCTGTTCGACGGGCTTGAAGGGGTTAGGGCAGCAGATGCAGCAGGGGATAGCTCCAAGGAATCCGATACATTCACCCAGGCTGTGGACTAAACGAGGTATTGTTAGGACGAGAGTCGCAGCGCGTATATGGATTGGCGCAACTCACTCATGCCAGCGTACCAGCCATGCGCATCGGGGTTATCATCATCATGGTCGATTTGGTGCGCGTATTTGGGCTGCAAATCGCTTATGTGAAATGGCTGGACATCGACCAGAGGTTGGTGTGTACCTCCACGGTGGGGGGCGGGAGCCTTGCTAGTGCCTGCTCCGTTTACAGACATGGTTGAAGTATTATGGTAGTTTTGAGGATCTTGGTATTTAGATGTTCGAAGGTTGAGATTTGATTTGGAAGAGATGAAGAAAGGGGGGGAAACCAAAAGGTTTTAAATGTTCGAAAGGTAAACAACAGAACTTCCCTGCACTTCTCCGCAGTGGAACTACCTCTTTAATGCCTCTTAAATGCCAGGACTGAATATCATTGGATAATTCTAAGCCTCTCTTCCCAAGGCTGAGTCTTTGGTCGGGCGCTGGTCCATGCAAATTGAGGGGCCGATTAGCCGCTAGGCTCGTCATGGCTGTTTGCGGCGCGAACTCACCGGAACAAGTTGATATGCATATGTATCAAGGTGGTAGTGGCTGCAACTTCAAGTGTGGGGACCATAAATTGTAGATGTAAGGTAATATTCCATTTGCATTCCTCGAATCTTGCGTCGCATTATTTCGTACATCGGTTGCACATTCCGATCGGGCATGTCTGGGCAACCCGAGCTCTCACGTGCAATATATGCAATATACCTATGACGATTCCAAATGTCTTCAAGAGGTCCACTAAAGCTCCGGGGCGCAAGGGGAGGCAGATTTCACATTGGCCATGCTGCGCAAATGCCATGGAAAGCCCTCATATTGCCCATCACATGAGCTGCCAGAACCCTGGATGCCTCTCGAAAACGAGAGCGAATACGTAAACATATTGGAGGTCCGAAGAACCAATAGGTCTTTGGCCCCATGTACTTTTGGCTTCGGGACCCAGGAGGCAGTGCCTAGAAAACTCTCATATCCGAGGGAGTCAGGGCAGTGCTGAGAGGCTCGGCTTGGTGGATACCGGGGCGGCTGGAGAGAGTGGGAACTTTGCTACGCCCTATAGCCTGCACTTGTAGTACAGATTTGCTCTTGATGCACTGTAGGCCAGTCCCTTACATCAAACTAGCATCATTGGTCTAGTGGTAGAATTCGTCGTTGCCATCGACGAGGCCCGTGTTCGATTCACGGATGATGCACTTTCTTTTTTCCCCTTTTCCCCTTTTAGAACTAGGGTTTTAATATCCTAGGTAGTTTATTATTTTTAACTAAATATATTAATAAGATATACCGTGTTGAAATAACCAGATAAGAAGGAAGGAATATTCAACAGTATATGGGTATAAAAAGTCTCGGAGTCTATAGTATAGAAAGTGTAGGCTTTTATAGAAGTGGGCCTCGCTACGCTTAGTTAAATGAGAGTATTCAGGCCTTCCTGCATCAAATTTGTTTCTCTATTTGCCCATCCCATTTTAGCGTAGACCCTGTCACTAGCGGCTGCCTACTCCATATTTAAATCCGAACTTAGACTCCAAAATTCCTGTTCACATCCAAATCCACTCAAATCTTCAGCCATGAGGGCCGAGGATCCTACTATAGACAGGTCATCGGACGACCTCAACGACCAAGCAATTCTGATCTGGACCAAGCTCCAAGTCACTAAAGATCAGGAGCTGGATACCGAATGGGCTGGGTATTTTCAGCCACTGATTCGGGCCCCAGGACATGAGCGGTCTGGGTGGGCAAGAGTTCAGGGGTGTCCAGAAACCATCCTTCTGGTAACAGGTGAGTCATATATCAAATGGATAAAGCTAGCCCGCTGATTCCTATATAAAGCATGGACGAGAATGTCGGATATGAAGCAATTCATAGGCTCGCCTTCCGCCCAGCTCTATCGTGAGAATCTCGATAGTAGAGGAATAAAATATGTGTCCTCTCGTGAGACATTTCATGATAGGAACGACTCCTTCTGGTTCGGCTCCTTGCTGGAATCATACGTTCAATTGTTATGGGTCTATTTTCCGACACCAGTGACCGAAGCCCACAAGGCCCAAATTTCGCAACTAAGTGGTATGCGCGAACAGGTCGTAGGAATGGATGGTCGGCCCTTCCGGGGCATCGTGCGACATCAAAACTGTCTTCCTTTAAAGATATGGGCCGCCCAAACAGAATTCATGCATGGCCAAGAAACTCAGTTAATGCTATTGCTACATTTCTGGGTGAATGCGGAGCAGGCCGAGTATAGAAATGCTGGGTTCGGCAACGGATCCCTAATGGAGAGATTCAGTGAGAGGCTGGAAAAAGTAGGGCCCCTGGAATGGAAGGAAGAGTTTTGTGATTTCAAGGCAACCACTTATGTTTGAATCTCTTTGTTTTTAGTTCGAAATTTGATCTAGTGGGAGAGTGGAAGTTTCATTGCTATTGGTAGCGACTACTATCAAACACCTCATACACTTAGCCTTACGACTCTCATGATCATACCATATTCTGCCGTATAGAGATCTACGAAACCAACGAGAAAGAAGTGAGAACTAAGTGTGGAACAATCTGAAGTTTAGAAGCGCTTTCTATACAGGCGTATGTAGGGCCTTAGGAAACCTTGAACAGTCACTGTATACCAGATTTGTCAATTTCGCTCCATAGACAATCCCCTCTCTCATTGTCTCCTTATATTGGCAAGAATTCGCCTGCGCCAGTGTGGAAACTCCATCGCTTGTGCGTGTTTTTGTCGTTGTTCCATGTGGTCTGCATGAAATACCAGTACCCTACGCTAAAGAAGGTAATTGTGTCGGGGTTTTGGCGCATGATATCCTGGTATATCTTCCCATACCAGATTTCTTCGCCTTCTTTTTCTTTCGGTGTCGCATCGGGCTTTTTGAGTGCATCTTTCATTTTCAACCACGAGTCTTCAAGCCATTAGTGGTAGCCCAGGCCAGGCTAGATGTCATATCAGGGGAACTTACAAGTGTAATCAAGGGTGGCACGCGTACCAACAGTGAGATGGAGAAGCTCATGGTAGAGAGTTGTGCTTCGTGGGATAATATCCATGATTGACAAGCCTGCTGAGGGTTTTCTGTCCCCAAGAACAACGGTACCCTGTTTGTTCTCGAAGGCAAAAGGGCACAACGTCAGCGTGGGGGGCTTGGTTTCGTCTTGCGTTCCTGCCAAAATGCCCCCTACGGTGCACATAGTCTTCCCTTCGTAGTCACTATCAAACACATATTCGAAAAAATCATGTGCCCAGTAAGGAACCATCTCATTGCGCACCCACTGGTGAGTTTGGGCGTCGAGATACCATAAGTGATCTTGGTAATTCTCCACATCCTCAATTGGAACAGGATTCGAAACTCCATCCGGACCATCACGCAATATAGTCTCTTTTTCATTTATGTCCATAGCCGCGTCCATTCTGGATTCCTTTATAAGCCATGTATCACCGCAGTAGAAATGTGGAGTGCCCGACTGGTGCGGCGTCCCATCCAGAAAGTTCTTTACTTTCTTGATGCTGCCTTAAATGATGTCAGCAAGGTAAGCTGGAAGGTTGTACCAGTGGCGAGAACTCACCCTTCACCACCTCGACCTTGGCGGTCTCTGTTATCTTCATGTGGAAGTAGCTCCAGAGATAACCCCGGGCAATTTTCCTTTTTTGGCTATCAGTGGGATTCTCGGCATCAGTGAATGCTTGGAGGCCAGCATCGACCATGGCTCTGGTTTCAGCTAGCCACCTTTCAAGTTGGTCCGGAAGATAAGCACAACCACAACCACTTGGTCCTCGGGTAGTGCTACACCCTCCGTCAGCAAAGGCAGCAAGGGCAGCGGTCACGGCTGCGCCCCGTTTTGCCACGGGGCATGTATGTTCTGCCCACCTGAATTCAGCAATACATCTGGCGGCGGCGGTAGCAGCGGCGGTACTGGCAGCGGCAGTGGATCTGATGGCGACCATGATAATGAATGCAGCACTAAAACAGCGCAAGTGTGTTCTACAGTCTGCGTTGCAGGCTCCGGGTGTGACTTCGATTGCTCTACCACGACCGGGTGCTCTGCAACCGCATCATCGACTAAAGTCGTCGGCACACCTGCGCCTGGCGTTGCGATCACCATGAATAGGCCATGCACAACACAGTACGATGACTCCGATAAGGTTCTTAGCAGCGCCATCTCTCGGGAATCAGTCCTCTCTTCCATGTTGGGGACTCTGACCGTCATCGAGGGGCTGGGACCAACGACAACCACTGCAACTGGGCCCGCCCCCACGAGCGGCGGCAACCCTGAGCGCATCACCCTTTATTACTACCACACTAACGTAGATGGGGAAGCTCAATGGGAGATCTATGAGGGTGCAGGTAGTGGTAGAGGATGTCCTGAGACACAAACTACCGACTTTGTGAAGAAAGACGGGTCCTTTGCCGGGATTCACAATGGAGACAGCGGCTTCAAAGCCTATGGGAAATCGTGTAGATACGAAGGAACGAATCTGCCTACGGGTGAGCATGGAGTAAAGGCTGGCAAATTTGTGTGTGATGGATATCGGGATGCTACTTGGTATACTGGCAACGGCGATGAGGGAACATGCCAATATGGTTACACAGGAGTGTTCTCAGTCATGTATTGCGAATGGTAGGATTAGGAAAAGGGTTAGAACTTTATAGAAAGCTCAAAGAATTGAATGATATTTGAATAATAAACCCATACTTGTACAAGCTTGGAATCCCGTTAGATGGTGAGAAATGCGTGAATAAAATGGTGAATTCATCCTGGTCATAATTTGGATGTTATTGACCAACAATTTGATATGAACGAGTGAGAATTCAAATGCAAAGTCAATGGCTGAAGCAAGGGCTTCAAGCGTCAGGACCACCTCGACCGACATATAAAGAGTTAACTAACAAAAGGTAAAATAAGTACATGCTTAACCATTTATCCTTATTTTGATCATATATTCAACTAAAGGTATGTAGGTACTAAGGATATATACCCAGAATAAATAATAGTATTCCATCGGACTATCAGCGAGGACCCTTAGGAAAGCAGCATTTATTATGCTGCACGCTCTACCCACAGGGACGAGGTGTTTAGCATCTAAATGGGGTAATTTGAGTATATCTACTCTCAGCGAGCTATTACACGGCAGGCTCGGAAATGGTCCTTTCTCTATAAAAAGGATGTACTATAACAGTTTGGATGCCCGAGAGCTATTGCGATCCGCCATACGAATGAGCGCTACGAAGAAGATGCAGGTCAACACACGAGGACAACGCCAATTCGAACTTGGTTGAAGTAAGCCATATGGGGCGCTGAATATTCCTCGGGCGAATAAAATTGTGACCCCCCTTTTGTCGACGCGATTTCGAAAATGACTGTACAGCAAGTTTTCAGACTATAAAAGAATTAAACGAGTTCCAAGGGAATCGGCTACCAGTGTAAATTAAACGAACTATGGATCTATCTATTTCCAACCATCCATTATAGTGATTGGGTAGTCAGCGTTTCACGTATCGCCAAGCCCTTTCTGCTTTAATTAGCTTGGTAGCTGCATGGCTACCCAATCAATTTGCGCTCAAAAAGGTGGCTTGCGGCTGAGATAAAGGGGTTCGGGAGGTATGGCCCGATATAAGTATCTATGTGCGATAGCGTGCTGCCTGCAGAACTGATTCTACTACGGAGTACTCCGTAGACACAAGTCAATTTACCTGCGTCTCGCCAGCACTCCTCACGTTATCTAATCGTATTGCGCTGCTAGTTCTCTTTGACATTCTTTGCTGGTGCTCGGTTGGCCATGGCAACTCCACGTCACTTCCAGCACTGGTATTATCAATGGGGCGAAGGCATGCAGCATAAGCTTCAGAATGAGGATGAATGCGCCGGCATGTTCAGAGCCTACCTAGAAGGGACAATGTCATGGTGTCACGACGAAGGTTGCTACGTAGGCAGCGTAGTTGACTGCCTTTTGGGTAATACGCTGGAGTCTTGGAAGGCTAATAGTACGTATCCCGTAGACGAAACCCTTTTTGCGCATGGTTTTCAAACCACTCCAAACTAACTATTATCTCATTTCCCAGTGGCATCAGCGGCAACAATTTTAGGTCTCTTGCCTACAATACTAGCTGTAGGAGGACGACCTAGCACTGTCGAGGTTGGCCTCTTATCATTGCGCCGACCGTTTTTGGCCTTTTTGCTGGGAGTCGGCACCCCTGGCATTACGTCCATACCAGCCTTCGAGTACAAGAGTCCAATCCAAATGCTGCAGAAGCAGTCGGACAGCATCAGCACGCCAAAACTGTCGAAACTTTTGGCTATTGCCATTGCTGCGGTTCAATATATCTTTGCCTGCGCTGCGATAGCCAATATTGCGCAAACAAGCTGGCAGCTTGGTGTTTCTACAGTCTGCAGCATGGCGTTTGACAACGCATGGCTTCCGCTTTTATGGACCTTTTCTACTCAGATATACTGACCGTGTTTACACCTAATATATAGTAGTTTAAGTTACTTTCTAGTCACACGGAGTAGGAGTGTATGTATTATTTAGCAAATAGCGTCTTTGTATTTCATACATCTGCAAAATACGGTTAGCTAGTGGTTATTGCCCCGGGTCTGGCCCCACTTAGACAGGTACTATGTATATAAGAAATCCTTTAAGATGGTATCTCCTAATAATTTAAGCCCCATATATGTACGACATTCATTTTAGGCTTGAAAGCGATTGCGCGTTATGTACTAGAAGCCGGAGCTTCCCCAGATGCTGTGCACTACGAGTAGTGGCTGCCGATGGCCCTAGCCTACATCCACGGGCACGAGGTTATTGTACGTCTACATTTCTCTCACCTTCCAACTAAGAAGTCACATCGAAAACGCAGAAGGCTTTCGGTCCGAGATATGGCCACACGAAGTTAACAACTTCGACAATATAAATAGTTTTTGTAAGGGTATGAATGATATTAATTACAGGACCAACGATATCTTTTCGGCCGAAGAGGTTTTTTTGTTCAGTCTAGCTCATATATCGGATTCACCTACCACTCGCAATTTGCATAATATTGGGGAGATTGGCCGCTCTGTGTCACTATGGCGAATTATTAGATAGGCTCAATACGTGCACGAGCAACCACGTAGCAAACTCTAAACCATTTTGCGTAGATAAATGGAGAACTATGGTAGAAGAAGCCTTTGCATTTGCATAACGGTGTAGGGAAACCTAACTAAATAGGGAAACCTAAACCAAGACAAGTGAAGCACCCTATCCAATCCAAAAGCCCAATTATTTCGCGACACATTCCCTAAGGATATGCGTGTGTAATTAGGGCATGCTAGCAAAGAAATATATCAGTGGACGATAATCATGGTGTGATTCTCAGCTGTTACATCGATAAAGTTTTGCCGATACTGAGTACCGTACCGTCACGCACATGGAGATATTTACTAGGTTTGATTAGCATATAGGTATTCTCAAGTCATCTCTCAAGCAAAAGCGGGTCAAGCACTTACATTTACGGCATGACTCGTGAGTTGATGTTTTCTCCCAACCCCACCATACAGCCACCTGACAGCAGCTGGTGCTGGGAGGTCCAAACCAATGTGCCACTCATCCAACATGACCACCCCGGGATCCACCAGGCGGAGCCCTTCAAATATTTTGGACACTTCGTCATGATTGCGGAAATATATCGGAATCGGTGTTTCGCTATAAATCTTTTGAACCCTAGCGATCTTCTCCTTTTCATTTCTATGGCCATCCAAGGTGTCATGAGTGACAGCAACGTAACTGTCTTCGCAGATTACAGAACGAATATCGCCCATAATAGACGAAATCTCGGGCTCCGTGAAGAAACATGCAACGCACATCATCAAAATGCCGATAGGTTTCGTGGAATCAATCAATCGATTAAAGTCCGGATGAGCGAATACTTCATGCGGATTTCGAATGTCGGCGCAGATGATAGCGGTCGATTTGTTGGGTGCTAGCAGCTTCTGTCCAAGCTCAAGGACTGCGGGGTCCATATCGACATAGAGGACTTTTGCATCCGGGTTGATTGACTGGGCGATTTCATGGGTGTTGCTGACGGTGGGAAGACCGGAGCCAATGTCGACGAATTGGGTAACTCCTTGGCTAGCCATATAGCGTACTGCGCGTCGGAGAAAAGACCGATTTTCAAGGCAAAGGTCGAAGCAGTCAGGCATCGCTTTAGCCACTTCGGCCACAGCATCACGATCAATGGCACGACTGCTGGTTCCACCTAGGTAGAAATCATACATGCGTGCCACACTAGGCTGCTCAACAGGGTGTTGTACCTCTGTGTCTTTCCCAGTGGGAGTATGGAGAGGTTCCCGATTTTCAGAAATAGCCATCGTCAAATATCGAGCTTGTGGATATTTTGAATTGTTCGCTATTATGGGGGGATTGTTGTTCTTTAAATGCTCTAATGTTCTAGCGGGTGCTGCGTTTGACACAAGGAAATTAGTGTCTGAAGACCATTGGCTAAAGATGTCTAGTGGTTATGATTTGGGGGCAAACTATAATTTTACTATAAACAAGACTCAAATGTGCTGAGGTATTTTGCCAAGTAATGTGGATGTCGAGTGGAGACATTCCCAGCTGAGTTTACCCGAACTACTGACCCCATCAGTTCAGCAAAGTCACGACGAGACCGGATTGGCAGCCTAGAGAAACTTAATTTCCTCTCTCATCGATGAGAAGTTTGAGGGAATTCGCTGATCGTCTACAAAAGTGACTTATTGCCTCTCCTTTTGTGAAAATGACGTCAACTGATCTCGACACAAATTAGGATCTGCGAGGGATATATCGCCTTAAACGCAAACACGAGATTGATCGTCCTTTGAATTATTAATGCAGCTGTGCAGAGCTTTTGCACAAAATAACTGTCATATATTAATGGACAGTTGGGCATTTTCGTCAGGGTTGAGTGGATAAGGTCGATATATCCGTATGTAGCAGATAAAACGTCATCATGTATAAGGGACTTAACTCTGGGCTGCGTTGACAAGGTCAAATATCCTGTGTGGACTAAACATATGGATATTTCTTTATAAGCGAAGTAAAAAAACCTGTTCGTATGTATCGTGCTATTAATTTGAGAAGCAGATTCTCAAATAAGTTGTTTACAAAGTTCTATACCGAAATAGAAATATCATCTGGACTATCGGCTAGGTTTTACATCAAGACTTGTTCACCGATAATCCTAAACAGAAGGTCAGAAATTACTTTAATGCACTATATCGTCATTGATACAATTACCTCCTTAACGGCAGAAGGGGAGGTTATAGGTCCCACCGACAGTAACTACATGCTCCACCGACTATGGAGCAGCGCTAAAAATGCTGCATAACTAGTCGGTGGAGTATGTAGTTTCACCATGTTATCGCTTGTTTTATAAAATACAGAGGAGCTCGGGTATTTACCTACACGCACACACAAATATAAAGGAATGAATTAAGTCTACTATATACCACTAGTAGTTAGCTACCGGTAAGAAACCGGCAGGGAACCGGTAGGCAATATAACTTAGTTTCATATAGTCTATCGTTCCTTGCTATTTAAATATACTAAGATATAGCTACATAGACCTTGCCAACTCCCATGGGACCAAAAATATTTTGGTCCCATATTCTGGTCCCATCTACCCCTATGGGACTAAAAAGATCCTGGTACTATTACCCTAGTAGTCCTATAGGGGTCCTATAGGAGTTATCGACTCCTATATGGTCCCACGCTAGTATAATTTTGCTAAGGATTTCCTATTTCGGCTGTATAAAACTGTAAAGTAATCAGATAAAATACTATTATATATAGGCGTATAAGTGTTCCTACTTTTAATATCTAATAATGTGGTTTTTTTATATATAATATAGTCTATAATAGAGTTAATAAATAACTTAAGTCTATATTAAAAAGTATCCTTCTTTAAAAAAAAAGACTTTATATACTAGATTATAGTTAGGCCTTGACAAATCCCGCAGCACCTGGGCAATTTTGGTGCTGCGATATGGTGCTGCCAGGTGCTGCGGGACTAAGCCGATTTTAGTGTTGCTGTCACGATCTGTATGTTATCACATGCCACAGAGATCGTTTGTTTGCTTTATTTCCTTTGTTCTTCGAAGTGCTACTATTCCTAATTGGGAAAGGGGTTTGTTTGCATTGTGGGATAGCTCTTCTATAAGATCCCTAGGATTTACCACTTGCTCTCTCTCTCCTTCTTCCCCATCTTTGCTTTTCTAGTTTGAATGCACTCTTTCTTGTTGATTGACCTGGCACGTAACAGTTGCTGTATGGTGCTGTAGCACCGTCGTAGCACCAAATTTAGTGCTACGGGTAGTATAATTCTGCCAAGGTTTACCTAAAATGGATGGATAAAATGCTGACTTATTTTGAAAATTACTATTTTTTACTTATATATTAGCATTAGTAGACACTTACTTATAGTCACTCGCTACTAAAATTCATATTAACTAATATTTAATAAATAGATTAAAAGCTTTAGGTACTATAAAAATGTAGACTAATAGTAAATTTAGTTTAAAATAGTATAAAATTGGTGTTTAAGCTTACGTAGAAGAGAATATGCTAGTATTATATAAGGATATATATATTGAAGAGGGGAACGCTCAAGGCAGTATGCTCTCTGGCATACGGGTCGATTCAGCACTCGTAGTTCAGCTTCATACCAACCAAAGCATACAAAGAGAACTGGGACGGCAGTCCAGGAAGTGAGTTCAGAGAGGTGTAGGAGTGTGTATTGTCAATCTGTAACTATCTGCTACTTTAAACCTCTGTACATCGATGCTTACATAACCAAACTGCAAAAAGAAAGGAAAGGCAGGCAAGGCTAATACGTAGTGAGGGAGGACTATGTCCCCCACTACATACCACCCCACCCAAAAATATCGACCGTCCCCGGTCGATCGCATCTGAAAAAGAAACGAAAAGAAACAATTCATCAAGGATCCGAGAAATCCACTTTGCCAGCCATAAAGAAATCATAAAGAAATCAACCACCCTAGTATCAGCTGGGGGAATGAGTATCGCCGCTATATTAAGATAAAACTAAGATAAAACTATCTTATATAATAAATAGTTTCTAGCTATATCGATAGAAACTAACAATAATAAGTTTCTATAGTAGATTAGAAACGTATTAGAGGAAGATATAATGAATTAGCTTATCGAGAAAGAGTTTACTATTCGTGAACGGGGCGCGGTGCAGGATGCAGGGATGTTCAAAAAGTTGTTCAGGCACGAGATACAGCTCTGTAGCCAACAAGCTCAGGCCAGCCTGACCTTCCGACGGGAATCTTGCGTCTTCATTTCTTTGTCTTTGCTCACTTCTCTTTTTGCTATGATGCATCTCGCATTTGGCACGGTCCTCCTTTCGAGTAGTCTATTTGTCGGGACTGGAGATGCTTTTATCATCGCTGCTAGATATTTTGCTTCTGCAGCAGTTTGTCGGCTTATCCTAATGTTCGAAATGAACGGCATGAGACAAACTGTTGAGCTTTGGTGCGAACACACTCGAAACAGCTGTCCTTATCAACCCAATCATTAACTCTAAAAAGCTCGTTATCACCAAGCACATGTTGCGCCTTGTTAAAGCGATACTAGGGGCCAAATGGTAGCTTGTGTTCAGGAAAGGGTTAGACCAGGACAGGTCAGAACAGGATATGATAGGACCTGGGAAGCAAAGGCCCTTGGACCAGACCAGTACCGCCGAAGCTGTATGTCTCGTTCTCTTCGCTTTCTTCGCCAAGAAATACTTGAAGTTCATCTTCTGCTCATACTCCTCCGGTGGCAAAGACAAGAATACCCTATGCTCCTCAATGGTGAGCTTCCTTGCACTATCCTGGAAATTCTCTTCCACCGAAAGCATTGCCAGCCTTCTCGCAGCTTCATGGATGCCAGCACTCCGACGAGTCTTAATGCCGATATTCGTAATCTGGGGGTCAGTCTTTTAGGCGGGGTCGGCCTAGATAGTGAATAATAGTACACCGGGCTCCTGGATGAATTTGGGCTTATCAAGAACCACTGTAAAATAGTCATGGGCAATTGGGCGGATAGAATAGTCACGCCAACCTAGAGGTAGTGCCAGAATAAGCATTCCTAAGCCCGCTATAAATTCATAGGAGGCACCGATATTAAATCCGGTAGGTTGCGCGGATATAAGGAAAGATAAGGAGGAGCTGGGAATCCGGAACTCGAAGTAAATTGTTTTAGAGACGAGGAGATAGGAGATAATACCCGCGGTGAATATACGTGCGGTGGTTTCTAGGAGAGCGGTTCTTCCATACTCGATATCTGTAAGGAATAGCTCGTAGATCACGTATTAGAGGTCGGATTCTTTGTCCGTAGAGTTATTCGTAACTATAACTACTTTGTTCTCGGGCCTCCGGTCTAGACGAAGTATATTGGAGTCCACGGATTAGATATCTTTCGTCGACTATTACTACTCTAAAATCTCCTAAATATATTAGGAGGTAGGCTTCTCCTAGGACGGTGTGGGCGGGGGCGGTTTATAGAGCCTATAATCAATTTGCGGTTAAGTATAAACCGAACCGGTTTTTCTTATCAAATCCTTTATATTAAAACTGAATCCGCTCTGATCAGCCGTGATATCTATAGTGATATCGAGAAACTCGGGACTAATATCAATCCCCCACTCTGCAAAAATTCGAAGTTCAGTTAGCGGACTACTAAGGCGTTTAATCATAGGGAGCTTCTTCACTATAGATGGAAGACTCCAATCGAAGCTAATCCACTAGGGACCCGTGCCGTAATAATTATCACAAAATGCTCCTTTAAGGTAGCTCTTAGATGTGAGAAGGAAACAGAATCCTAATATAAACTGATCCTTAAAGCTAAATCGCATTATGGGGATCAAAGGGGGCAGACTTTCATCGTCTTCGCCTTCCCGTTGTCAAGTATAAAGACGCTTCTGATAAGCAACTTCATGATGCTGATACTCTACGCAGGCTAGACCATCTGGTGGGTTGTATGAGTAGATCTCCAGAAAGGGGAACTTGTCGAATTCCGAGAAGAAATAATTGTATAGCTTGTTGACTCCTCTGGCTGGATGCCAGTCGTTCTGTATACTTGGAGTCGGTACGTCTCGATTTCCTCTAGCTCTGGGTGATAGAACTGCCTTCCATAGCAAGCCACCTTCCCCAGAATGACCGGGTTGCCTTGATGGTCGACATAGTCCCGTTGGATCTATCGGATGGGTTCTTCAGATGAATTCCGTGCAACCTGTGATGTTCTCGCCATGCTTGCAAGGTGCGAAGTTAGGTGAAGGATTGAAGTGGGATGTGGGGGCTGTAGGCAGTTTTTGGGGGGGGGGGGGGGGGGGGAGGATAGTTCCCGACGATCCTTAGCGGCATAGAAGGGGGCTTATCACACCTAAGCCCACTCACTATCACCGCGGAGCCTCTCGTGTGGAAGAGGTTGTCCACCTGTTCTTTCCTACATATGTACATACTGCAAGCTGGAGCCTTAGCTCTTTCCGTTTTGGCTCTGGTATTTCTGATAAAAAGATTCGACATCTCATTTGGTGACATCGACCATATGGTTTGCTTCGAATAACCTTTTAACAATAATTCGGCAACTCAACCTGCCCATCCACCATCTGAATCAACTCCTCATAATTCCAATAATCCGCCTTCCCGCCCTGTCCCTCGGTGGTAGCATTACTTGAAAACTTCGCAGTCCAATACGAACTGCCCCTGGTAAACTGCCCAAATGCCGAAATTCCAGCCTGAATATTCCGTCCTCGCAGCCCAAGGTCATTGTCCTTGGAAGCTTCAATCGCCCATTCTCCCACAAAGGTAGGAAACTTCCCATCACCAGCGCTTTCCTTTGCATCATTACAAAGAAAGTCCGGCAAATTCGCCGAAGTAGAGTTATCATACTGGAAATAATAATGATGTAAATCAAAAACTAGGTTCGTGCGAGCATCAAAATGTGGGCTCCAGTACGTCTCAGGCTTGAAACTCCCCTGAAACATAACAGGGATACGAGGGTTGACCTTCTGCGTCCGGTCAATAACAGCATGAATATACTTCAACAGCCAACTAGCCCCAGCCTCTGAGAGCGCCGCAGGAGTTCCAAACGTCGAGAAGTTCCTATTATCCACTGGCTCGTTAATCGGCTCGAGCGTGTAGGCCTGCGGATGACCCGAAGAGAACTGGATAAAGTTTAACACGGCATCCACAGCATCAAGCGAGTACTTCATAGCTGTGTCATTATTGTACCAGCCCCAATGACCGGTTGCTTCGCCGATATCAAGACCGTTTGTACCGCCAGGCAGAGAGTGGATATCGAGGAGGATGTGCATGTCATATTTTTCGATGGCATACGTGGCAATGCGGCGGACATGTTCTTTCTGGTTTCCCGAGTACAGCTGCGATCCGGGCACGCGCACCCAGGCGGCATACGTCGTTGGGATTCGGAGGACGGTTACCCCGGAGGCGGCGAGGGTGTCGATGTCCCGCGTCGTGATGAATGTTTCGTAGCGGTGTTCGAGGACGGGACCGCACTTTGGGCCCAGGTGGGCGCAGAGGCCCCATTCGTCGGTTGCACCACCAGAGTAGGTGCTCCACCAGTTTGTGTCGATTGTTGATTCTTGTTCGAGCCAGCCGCCGAGGTTTACGCCGTGGCCGTGGAAGGTGCGCCAGTTCATATAGCCATGGTGGCTTTTGTTGTTGTTGGGTGAGGGGGTGGAAGGAGGTTGGGTTGCTGGAGGTTGTTTGGAAGAGGGTGCTGAGAAGGAGAATTGAGGCTGGAGATGAGAGATGCATGGTCTTGGTTGGGATTTATCCAATCCGCTCTGGAAAATCCTTTCTGTGTTGTTTTGCAAAGATGGGATGGATCGTTATCCTTCTTATAAACAGGGGATATCCAACTTTGATTGAATCTGTGCCTTCCTTTCTTGCTGTTTCTTCTCCACTTTTGTTCAGGATATGCCGAATCCTTTCTCCGCATTTCGGAAATGAGATCAACACCTACGTCGGCGATGATTCGCTTGGGTCTTGTAGATCGTCAGGAGCACTGCCGAGCCATGGGGGTACATGGGGTGAACTAATGTCCGGCAAGCGAGGTAGTCGGAAAATCCGACTTTTGCTAGAGGTTATTAAAATCCCACTTGTGAGCATGGAAGGAGCGTGTCTTGTTACCATGTTTGTCCACCATGTATACTCTTTAGGCATACCTAGCTCGACATCTAGGTGGTATTGGACTGACATATGTAACTATCCTAATTAGAAATAAAGCATTTCTTAATTTGTCGCTAATGATATTTCTACTAACTAGCCGTTATCTTATCATAGGCGTTTCTGGGCTTTTAGCATACAAAGGACTCGTAGTGTGACCACAAAAGCAGGCTTCTTATTAGAACTGTTGGGTCTCCACACCCAGCTCTCGACATACATTCGACAGCTTCTCTTCCTCCCAAGATACAGCACTGTCTGGCAACACATAGTCAGAAATCTGCGTCCCGGCATTCTGCACCACCTCTTCAATTCCACGACCGTTAGTGAAGGACCAAACTCTTACGTATCGGCTAGCAAAGTCCAGTACAAAGGCGTCACCGGCCGTGATCACAAGCGTTTGGCCCTCCCGAGCTTCACTCCATGAATCCCCGCTTGACTTCAGTTTAACACGCAGAAGCCCTTCTTGAACGCAGAAGCAGTGGTCCACCGTGGGGAAGCTCAACCAGCGAGCCAGGGGTTTTGACTTGTACATCTTGGATGATTCAATACTGGCAATGGAGAACTTGCCACTGCACTGCGATGAGAGAATGAAGGGCCGGGACATAACACCCCCCAGCAGCCACCTCGGTCCTGTGTTTGCGCGAAGGAAGTAAGGCTCTCCCGGGGCTGGCATTATTTTCTCCGAATCCAGCCAGTCTGCAACTTCTGGTGGCTGATAATCGCGCTTAAAATGGACGTCGAAGCGGTCTTTGGCCACCATCATCTTTTCTCTTAGCATGGCGCTAAGATTGTGATCATCGTTTTCAGGAACGACGATGCCCCCATACGTCTCGCCGACGTATCGAAAGAAGTCGATCCAGTCACCGGGCGCCACCAAGCCCATAGTCTCCGTATGCGGCCCAAGCAAAACAGGATTGTGTATAACCCTCTACTACTTGTCAGCCGTCTGAACCTTTTTGACTCCTTGACAACACTCACTGGAGGAACATAGGCGAAGTCGCCAGGACCCATGATTCTGCATTTGTCGCCATTCCACAACTTTAGAAACCCTTTGGTCACAAGGAAGACATCATGAGCCTCCTCATGCCAGTGAAAGCCCGGGGCATCAGATAGGACTGCACCGCTGGAGAATACAGCAATTCTGTTATTGGTCTGTTTGGATGAAGCCAATATTCTGAATACACCTTTACTTCCAGGAATGCTAATTCGTTCTCCCTCTAACTGATCAATGATGTAGCTCGTTCTCCCTTCTGGAGGAATGGAATGAACAGGAACGACCATTTTGCAGGCGAATGTGAGAAACCTTGTTTTTAGTTTGAAGGGGTCAAGATTAGCCAGAAGCTCATATAATCTGCTAGAGCTGCAGCACGGGTATTGCTGCTCCTTTATCCATCTCATCCCTGAGTGCCGGGAAATGTTTACCCGGGCGATCTGGCCCACAGGGCACTGCCAAGGTGGCTTCGTAAAAGTCGGGGTCGGAAAAGCCGCACTGTTGTGACCCAACTACTTTCTGAACCGGAATCTCCGAGACTTAGCGGGAGCCTTCGGGCCACGCGATAGCTGGGACCGAGGTAAATAAATTAGCAAATCATACCCTCGTTGTCCCTCATAACAGGATCTTTGCTATTGTCTGGTAGCAAGTTGGGATTCACCATGAACAGCCCAACATGCTTCCAGGCCATCTACAAGCATGTTGGTCAACAGCAGATTGATGTAGACGTTTATCTGCCTTCATCTCAAAATGCCAAAAGTCCAGTTTGTACGTCAGCGCCCCTCTCAAAATTTATGGCCGTTATAGACCGGCGTGTGTACAACTAGGCATACTGATACCAACCAGTGATTAATATCCATGGCGGCGCGTTCATGCTCGGGTCATCCAAGATGGTCAATAAGGACCAAGTGCAAGATTGCCTCAACCGAGGATGGATTGTTCTAGCTCCCAACCATCGCTTGTGTCCTCAGGTTAATCTCTTAGAGGGACCTATTCAGGATTGTCGCGACCTCCTGGCTTGGGTGTATGATGGTGGACTGGAAAGAGCTATCAATGAGACTGCCCAGTCGTGTGTCATCCCAGACATCGATTGCGTCTTTGCTTTTGGCACGTCTTCAGGCGGCACTCTAGCCCTTTGCTTGGTGAGTTACCGAAATTCAGAGAGCCGGAATCACGCGCCAGAAACTATCTATAACTAGCTAACAATATCCGTTTTTGAAGGGATACGGAGTCCCCCGACCAGTGGCTGGTATATATGAAATGTACGGGCCATGTAACTTCTCGGACAGCTTCTGGACAACAAAGCTACCTCATCTCCACGTTCCTTCAGGGCTAACGGAGTCCTTCATGAATAAAGTATTTGAAGAATATCCGGTTCCTATTACTGGAGGCGTGTCTCTCGAAGGCCAGTCCACTGGTCCTCCCGACTTTAATGACCCACGCCAAGCATACGCTTTGACGCGACTTGCGAATGGTACGCTTTTAGATGCCATCTTCCCGTCGAAGGATTGGGATAAGGTCGATCCTGCTCGGAATATCAGCTCCTGTTTTCCACCAACCTTCATCGCCCATGGAACAGAGGATTCGAAGGTACCCATTGGGTTAAGTAGAGAGCTGTTCCGAATATTGAATGATCGTGGCGTTCACTGCGGCATAAGCGAGATTCCGGGGGAAGACCACACATTTGCTGCTAAGATGCAGGTTGGATCTCAAACGTGGGAGCTCCAGCGTCTTGGGTTTGACTTTTTAGAATCGCTGATGTAAATGTACTATAAGATACTTGAGATTCAGAGGCAAATTTTAATTGGCATATTATCCATATTATCGTTTCCAGTCGGCGCACAATCATGGTTTGTGCATCTCTCTTCGTTATTACGATAAGAATTGAGTTAGAGAAGCCAAAAAGCAACATAACACAGTATACCCACACTCTAGAAGCATAATGGCCAGTGCCATGCAATAAAATACGGCGCTAATCCGTACGGCTTGAACTATTTAATCTAATCCAACATGAACGGATCCTTCAGAACCGCCTTTTCCACTATCTCAAAAGCATCATAGCCATATAGCCATGGCTGAACTTGGGGACAAGTCCATTTGCTAGGGAAGGGCCCTTGAATCTGTGACTCGCCGAGCTGCGATAGGAAGATCTTGTCTCGCGCTTCCTGATCTGGACCGTCTGCCATGTGAAAGGAATCTCGCTATCGCACAGCTGGTCAGTAAACGTGTTTTCATGGCTATGGATCAAGTCTCAGAGCGGTTAATAATTACCTGCTTAAAGGTTTCCTTGACGATAGCGTCACCCCGGGCTTTGCGCAAGTCTTCATACATCTTCAAAGCTTTGGGTAACTGGTCTTTCGATCTCAAGTGACCCAGGATAAGACCTAAAACGGCACCATCCTCTACAGCAGAGTTGGCGCCCTGGGCTAGATACGGTAGCATTGGGTGACAGGCATCGCCACTGTAGAGGCCAAGGGCAGTATGAGTTAGAAGCATTGTATCATCAGGAGCCGAGTAGAAAAAATTGGTCTTACACGAAAACAAAGTTCGACTTCTCGTTGACCCAGGAAGGAAGTTCCTCCCCTAACATGAGCACGATGTGTTAGCTTCAGGTCCATCGCGATTTCGAGAAACGTGCAAACATACTATGCATCAACTTCCACTTGTCAACCCGGTCGACCACACTCAAAAATCTTCCAAGAATGGGGTCCCAATCCTTGAAAAGTGCCTGCATTTCTTCGACTGAGCCAGACTGTCGACTGACTCCTAGAGGAAGATCATCGGGGACAAGTAAAACGATGTTATACATCGTCCCATCGCGCAATGAATAGCCCACAGCATGTGCCCCAGGTCCGATCCAAAAGTGCACGGTCGGGTTCTTGACCCAAGACCTAAGCTCAGGGTCATCAAGCTGATGCAGGTCTAGCACGACTCGATACGCCAAATCCCCAGTCGATCGAGGCATATCGTCAGCTCCAAGAAAATTTGAGCGGCATCGTGACCATAATCCGTCTGCTGCGACGACGAGGTCTCCCCTCATTGTGAAGCCAGACTCGGTTGTCACGCTGGGCAAGTGGAAGTCAACACTAACAACCTTCTCCCCAAGCTTGAACCCAACGCCTAGCTCTTTGGCTTTCTCGTATAGCGCGAGCTGCAAATCAACCCGATGTAGATCGATGAACGGAGCACTGTACTGGCTACGGATCTTCTTATCGAAGTTTTCCTCTCTTGCAAGCACCTTACCGGAGTATCGGTGCACGATCAGAGCTCGAGGCTCGGCGGCACTGAGCCATAGTCTGTCAGGGAGCCCCCACCTCTGGAGGATGCGAGTACAATTGGGAGTCACTTGCAACCCTGCGCCGACCTTTGAAAGGACTGGAGGTAAGTTTTACATATCAATCAACGGGTTTTGATGGCTAACCTCGAGGAGTTCTTTGGCTGACTCAATTACCGTCACCCGGTGACCGGAGAGGGAGATTGACACCGCTGCAGCGAGACCTGCAAGGCCTGCCCCGACGACAATGATATCCAATTGAACGAATGTCTTCTGAAGGTGTGTAGAGTGAGGCTGCTAATAGGAGGTCAGAATGCAAACTCCTCGAGTTAATGGCTAAAGCAGCTGCAAACTAACCATTGCGATGAGCGGCTGTAGTACAAAGAGATTGAGAATCAGAATCGGAGGATTCGAAAAGCGGGAAACAACAAGAGGCCTTGGCTCTGTATCACAGAAGCATATTTCAGGGACTATAATGTTCTTCTCAAAGAACTGTGTTTTGGGAGGGCAGTCGGAAAAGCCGAGATGCAAACGCGTGGACCACTTCCCCAATCGCATGTTCTCCTTAGGCGTCAGAAGAGATCTTCGGCTACCTTTCGCGGCAGTTCAGTTGTCTCACAAATCCCCCGCACTCCCCGCACTAAGGGATCATGAGTAGAACTACACAAGTCCACCCTCTGTACTTTGAATGTGACCTCAAGTTGCTGTAGCTTTGATACGATATTATTCATCTTTCTGTCATGCAGGCTGCATAGGTTACTGCATAGGCTATATCTTTCTATCTTTGTGGCTGTCTGTTGCAGTTGACTGCCAAAACCTGACATATCAAAATGGAGGCTCCGAATAATCACCATTCGGCGAGGAATCTAGGCCAGCGCGCTTGGCGGCCTCGGACAGCTCGTGCTTGCAATTACTGTGGACAGAAAAAGTACAAATTCGATGAGTCGTACCCTTGCTCTTACTGCAAAAGTTGGTCTTTCTTGAGAAGAGCTAGGGATCAGCAATGGATGAAGAGACAACGATTGGTGTTGACACTAAGTTCGTATGCCGGCCTTGAGGCTCCCACAAAGAAATGACTAATCAGCTGGATATACCTAGGTAGGATATCACAACTTGAGGATACTTGTTTTCCGGTCTTTCCTTCTGAGGTCGACACCTCAAGATCGAGCATCAATTCCTGAGTCTCACGAAGGGGTCCAAAAATCATTAATAGCGAAGGTGTATGAGGTCGGTATTAGAACTAGGCTAGAAAATATCATGAAAGGTTATACATAGAAAAGTCTCTTGCACAAAGTATGCTTTTGTTCCCTTTTTCTGCCGTCTACCTAACAAACTGAGAACGGGGACAATATCTATGAAAACAGGCATCTAAAAAGACCAACTGAGAAGACCAACTGAGAAGACCAACTGAGAAGAATCTGAGAAGACCATAAAAAAAAGATCACAAAAAAGACATTTAAAAAGATCTAAAAAGACTACTAAAAAATACTTGACAAGGCCGCATAAGCGGCCGAATATTCTTGGAGTGTATAAAGAGGAATCCCTCATTCCTATACGGGATAATGTTGCGCCATACTTCACTCGCACGAGAAAGATAAAAACGTACACATGTTATCAATATCAATCCCCCTATCAATATCAAATACTATTGATCGGAATTCCCCAAAACCCCATTTATGTACAACCCCACAGTTACGTGCTGACGCCATCCGCCTCCAACTGCACGTCTTTTTTGCGCGTCTCACCTCACGGCAATGCGCGGGGCTAATAGATACTAACACATGCAGAGACAATAAAATATAATATATCACAGAGCTATTGTAGACTCCCAATCAATTCAATTCAATTCAATTCAATCCTCTCCTCTCAACCAGACAAACACACATCACCATGTCTTCCGAAAAGAAACAACTCATCATCAATGCCTTTGCAATGCAATCGCCGAGTCACCTAAACCCAGGTCTATTCCGGCACCCCACAGACCAAGGCGCAGACTACAAGAACATCAAGCACTGGATCGCCCTAGCCAAGAAGCTCGAAGATGCCAAATTCCACGCCATCTTCTTCGCAGACGTCCTAGGAGGCTACGATGTATACAGAGGCCCCTCAAACCTCACCCCAACAATCCCCGCCGCCGCCCAATTCCCGATCAACGACCCCCTCTACAGCATCCCCGCCATGGCAGCAGCCACAGAATCAATCGGCTTCGGCGTAACAGCCTCAACAACATATGACTCCCCCTATGCCCTCGCAAGACGCTTCTCAACAGTAGACCACCTCAGCAACGGCCGTATCGGCTGGAACATCGTTACCTCCTACCTTGACTCCGCGGCTCGCAACTTCGGTCTCGACACACAGGTCGAGCACGATGAGCGCTACCGCATCGCCGACGAGTACCTCGACGTCACCTACAAGCTGTGGGAGGCGTCTTGGAGAGACGATGCCGTGACCTGGAAACAGGGCTCTGAGAGCAAGACTCAGGCTTATGCGGATCCAAAGGCTGTTCGGGAAATCAATCACAAGGGGAAGTACTTCCAGGTCCCTGGTCCCCATCTCTGTGAACCGAGTCCCCAGCGCACGCCGTTTATCTTGCAGGCCGGTACTTCGACAGCGGGTAAGGCGTTTGCGGCGAAGCATGCCGAGGCTGTGTTCCTGCATGCGCAAAAGCCAGAGCTTGTTCGTCCTTCTGTCGATAGTATTCGCCAACAGGCTGCGGAGATTGGACGTAACCCGCAGGATATTAAGGTTATTGCGGGTGCGTTGGTGATCGTTGCTGAGACGGACGAGGAAGCGAATGCCAAGTTTGAGGAGCTGAAGACGTACGGCGATCGGGAGGGCGCGCTTGCTCTTTTCGGTGGTTGGACTGGATACGATCTGTCGACCTACTCTGATGATCAGGATTTCCGTTTCGTGGAACTTCCTGCTGTTCGCAGTATGGTAAACCACTGGGCTAGTACAGTGCCTGGCACTGAGGGCAAGAAGTGGGATAAGAAGACTATTGCTGAGTATTTGGTGCTCGGTGGTAATGGTGTTAAGATCATTGGCAGTGTGAAGACGGTGGCTGACGAGCTGGAGCGATGGGTGACTGTTGGTGATGTTGACGGGTTCAATTTCAGTTATGCTAGTCTTCCTGATACCTTTGATGATGTTATTCGTTTGCTTCTGCCGGAGTTACAGCGCCGTGGTCTGTTCTGGTCGGACTATGCTGTCAAGGGTGGAACTTTCCGGGAGAACATGTATGGAAAGCAGGGTCAGTCCAGACTCCCTGATGCGCACCCTGGTGCGAAATACTTCTGGAAAGAGGGTCAGGAGGTGCCTCCTTATTCATTGGAGGAGTCGAATTAGTAGCATATTTCCATTGGGACAAATTTTAAACCCCTTTGTTGCTATTGGCACATGTTATAGAATATCATATGGCTTCATCTTCTCATTATCAAATCTAAACCGAGCATAAATAGTCAAAAGGAATAAAAATAGTATTTCCCAACGCTAATTCATCTATAAAGGTATTTCTAAATAGAAATATAGTCTTGCATTGAAACGATCCAGTCTAACAAACTCCCATCCCAAATCAGACATCCCACCACCCCTCCATATGAGACTTCAAATCAATCTCCTCCGGCAATCTCAGATGAGGTGTCAGTTCCGCACCAGGCGTCAACTCCTTTGAAGTCCACCCATTACCAAAGTAAGCAAACCGATTCCCACTTTGATTAACATAGGTATACTCCCAATCCTCCCAGCGCGGATCTCGCCGAATATAATTAGAATGCGACGCACTACCGGGGAAGAGACCATGAATCCGAGACCCCGGCTTGCCACCGTTATACCACGAGCTACAGTTTGCTGACCACACAGTGCGCGGGTAGAACTGGTCGCAGTACTCGACGAAGTCGTCGGTCGCTTTCTTGGACGGGACAATGGACTTGATCCCCTGCGTGCGGATCTTGCGAAGCACTTTCGCGATGTATGTCACTTGGTTCTCGACGTTGTTGGGAACTGTCCCGCTGTGTCCCGAGGAGTATGGTCCGCCGAGCCAGAGGAGGTTTGGGAATCCGGGTGTTGCGAAGCCAAGGTATGAGTACGGGAATCCGAATTTGCCGTCTTGTTTCCAGGCTTTCTTTAGGTCGACTCCGTCGGCGATGATGGAGAATGGCGGTGCGTGGTCGACGTTGGCTCCTGTTGCGCAGATCGTGATATCCACTTCTCGCTCCACGCCGTCCTCGGTCACAATGCCTTTCTCGGTGAATCGCTTGATGCGCGTCTGGATGTAGTCGACGTTTTCTTTGGATAGGGCCTCTAGATATCCGGGTCCTGGTGTTGGGCGACGGCACGCCGGGGGAAGTCTGGTATGATCTTCTCTGCCAATTCTGGCTTGTCCGCAATACGCTGCAGCATCAGGGCTGTCCATTTCTCACGCAGTTCGTTGTTTTCGGGCGTGTCTTTGAAGATTGCTCCAAAGCGCTGGAAATATCCCTTTTCGACATCCCTTCGGTATTCCAGATACGCATTGGGATCTTTCCATGACTCTAGCTGTGACTCGGAGAACAAATTTGCCTCTAGTCGACGGATTCCCGCACTTCCGCTGCTGAATGAATCTGCGATCCAAGTTGGATTCCGAGCATAATGATCAACGTGGCTAGCAAATGGTTGAATGGATGGTAAGACCTGCAAGCCAGAAGCGCCATTTCCGATAAGAGCAATTCGCTTGCCTTTCAGATCGATGCTTGGATCCCAGTTAGAGGAATGAAACAGGTCTCCCTTGTAATTGTTGATTCCTTCATAGTCGGGTAGCTTCCAGGCATTGAAATGACCGATGGCGTTGATTACCACGTCTAACTCTTCTTCATAGATCTGTTGCATTGATGTGAGCATAGAACCTCAAGGATCAACACCAACCATTTGTTACCTTCGAGCCGTCTACATGCTCAACAGTGACATTCCATTTCCCTTTCTCTGGCTGCCATTCGGCTTTCTGCACTCTTTGTCCCGCGCGAAGGTACTGGTACACATTGTGCTTCCGTGCAACACCCTGCCAGTATTTTCTAATCTCATCTCCCTGGGCGAATTCTTCTGTCCATTGCGTATTCGGCGAGATGCTGGACTGGTATACATGCGCAGGGATATCGCAACGAACGCCGGGATATGTATTCTCAAACCTGTTTGATCCGAGTTAGCAACCCCCACGCCAATAAAGACAAGAACAGAATGGAGAATGTACCATGTGCCTCCCTAGATAATGTGATTAGCTTCGAAACAACCATCAATTGACATTAACATACCACATCGGCATTCTTATCATAGATTCGAAGATCAAGTCCCGGCAGTTTCGCAGGGAGCAACACGCCCGCAGTGATCCCTGCAAGACCTGCACCGATAATACCGACCTTGATGGGTCGCACCACATCAACCGGGTGCTCCTCCAGTTCAAATCGGATATTCTCAATCTTCTCTGATAATGCGTTGATATCACTATCCACCGTTACAGTGGTGGGTCCATCCAGGTCTGAAGGACCCTTAATCGATTCTGAGGCAGGTCTGATATTCGACAAGGGAAGAGCCACCTCGGGGGATTGCACAAGAGTCATGGCGACGGCTTTTTATTTTCTCTCTTCTCTTTGCAAGTCTTCAAAAAATCACAGCATAGATATGTACCGCCGTCGCACCGAGTTGGATATCCCGGCATTCTTGTAGACTTACCCCCCGCCTGCCTGCACGTCATGTGAAACGTTTTACACGCCACCTAATGCGAATTGTAATTCTGCGCATCGAATCTGATAATTGGCTTCATCTGGACGATTGGAGTCGGTTATGCGGCTATATTGTGATGTTCTCGGGATTGATTTGATGTCGCTAACACCATCGCGGTTCCTGATGACGTGCCGAGGGGATTATCGTGAACACCATCATCTCCACTCTCCACGCCATTGCGGAGTGCATTGGTTGGAGTAGATGTTGGGGTATCGTTTATTTGAAATTGGTATGTCGCCATTTGATATCTCGGCCGACTCGAGCTCTATGGGAATATTCCAACTGCCTATCTTGTAAATGCCAAGGCATTTAAGATGGTCTTCGAAGTTCTGGAATATATTTCACATTATTAGATAATGCCATAGCTATACCTAGGTAGTACCTATTAGCTGTTAAAATAGAGCAATATAACAATCATATCCCAGGTATAAATAATTCGTTTAAAAACATGTCTTTCGTGTACTGAGTAGAAATCATCAAATCTATAAAACAGTGCACGTGGAATACACCCAAGAACCCCGAAGTCATAATCAAGCAAATCTAGGCGATCTCGGCCTCAATAACCATCTCATACTGCTGAGGGTCCGGCCAAAACTTGACAATTTGCAACCCTGCATCGGTCAACAACTTCGTCCATACGTCTTGTGTTCGCTCCGAAGCCGACAACAGCGACATCATCTCCACGTCCATTGTAGCCTGACTGATACTCGCTCCTGTTGGCGGAAGAACAATATCATAAATAAAAAGCTTAGAGTAGCCCTTGATCATTGCGTCTTTGGTCTTCACGAGCAATTCCTTAGCCTTGTCATCTGGCCAATCGTGAAGAACCGCATGCATAAAGTATGCGCGACTCCCTGCGGCGTGGTTGTTAGTACATATACCCAACTCTCTGTACCGGGATTGTTCTTACCTTTCACTGGCTGAGGTAGGAAGAAATCATGAACCATGGCGGTAATCTTCTCATCGACTTGCGCATTGGCAATCACTTCTGGAAGATCCTGCAGCACTAATGATCCACAAGGAAGGTCTGGGTGTTTTGCAAGAACGTGGGAGATGTCAATGCCAGTGTTCCCACCGACATCAACCACGAATGGAGACCCATCGTCTAGCTTGGCACCCTCTAGCAGCTTTGTTGTATCGTAGACCTTAGTCCACGGAGTTTTCCATGCTGTCCAGGCCTCCATGTGGCCAGTGAAAGCTTCAAAGCAAGCGGGGCTTTTCTGCAATCGCCCGAAGAAGTTGAGACCGTCGGGGTCACTGTCCGAGTGGTTATTCGTATTGATGTCCGTGGGCTCTTTGTAGGATATCTTTGCTAGATAGGCTGGCAGGTTGTGGCCAGCAGAAAGGTATTGATTCGTTCTGAAATGACAAGATTTTAGTATGGGATTAGATCAGCATTAGAGGATACATTTATTCTTACGCTGCTTGAAGTGAGGCGCGGACCTTGGTGCTCTCGTCACCGATAGCGTTCGAGAACGGAGTTGGTTTGAATCTGTCTTCCGCTGTCTCCTCAACCACGTTGAAAGCAGCCAGTAAGCGGAACAATCGACCTGCATATTTTCATGAGTCTTTGGGCTAAAGTATGAATATTACGAGGAGAAAACTTACGTAGCAAGTTTGTATCAACAGTGGGGGTGGTAAATGCGACCAGTTCGTCGATAGACTTCTCACCTCCAACACCTGTCCAGGACTTCCAAAGGCCCAAGTCGATGCATGTTTGTAGAGCGGCAAAGACGACAGGCTGTTCGAAGCAGAAGCCCCAGGCACGCTCATATGGTGTTTCTACCCTGGCAAGTAGACGACGTGCTGCAGCGCGTACCTTTAGACGTTCGATTTCGTTGCCGCCAAACGCCTCAGGTTGAACATCGTCAAGGGAGCCAATGAATCTGTCGATTTCAGACGACAGTCGATCTGCTGCAGGAGCTTGGACGGGCTCTGCTCTGTTGTCGCCAAACCATTTAGGCTTAGCTGCATCAAGAGCTGCAATGACTTCTGTTTGAGATGGCATGTTGCACTTCTAATTTGGCCTGAAGTTGAACAATTGGAAAAACTGGTATTTGGCTCATAGGATAATAAGAAAAATTGTATCAATCAGACTGACGGTTCGAGGTACATTATAAGTGCGGCCTGAGCCTTTGGAAATACACCAAACGCCGCGACATGACCTCTAGGGGATTTCCCTAGCCAAGGTCAATTCCTATCGGAATTACCTAGTTAGGGTAGATGTGCAAAGCTAACTATGTTTCAGCTGGACTTGTCAGTACAAGAGTCTAAATCCCCGCTCTATTAGATTTGTGACAGCCTGCATTATCGGGGGTTTATCCACTCATTTAACCACATTTAGAAATGATCACTGCATTCTGTACCACTGCAAGGGATATTAGCCGGGGAAATGCTTCTAACTCTACAAGGTTTGCGCTAGACAGCGAATCTGCCAAAACCTAAAAGGATTGGACTTTTGTGTGGCCACTGGACACATCCCGTAGAATCAATATACTGCAAATGATGATCTCTCACTTCTTATTCCTAGATGATGTCAATTTGCGAGACTTAACCAAGAAGCCCAATTTATACAGGTTTGTTGAGCCAGCTCGGAAATTTGACAGTACAATGACCAATTAACAGCCCTGGAGTCGTCGATAATTAGATCATCCACGTCAAATCTCCAGGCCTCTGCAACCCGCCTATCTGGCCAAAGTTCAGAATCACATTCCCATTGCAAGGCAATCTCATCGTGGTTCCAGAACTCATGATTAAACTGTTCTGTCTCATCGACTCCAAATTTCAGGCTTTTAAACAGGGCATATGTTGCGCCACATAGCCCAGCGTAAAGAGAACCCGCTGGAAGTGTTCCTCAATCCTCACTTCTCGTCCACCCCATATCAGTGTATGGAAACAATGAAAATTTAGCACTTTGCAGTAGGGCTGCGATCTGGGTCAACAATTCCAGTAGTAGTGTGCTCGTCATTATGGTGGGGTCGAGAGAGAATCAAGAAAGTCAAGAACTTGTAATTGAGGACTTGGCATGACCACAGGGTCTCCATCAAATGTTATAGCTCATGACCCTGGATTAAATCCACGTATATATTAGATTGCTCCCCTTGCGCAAAAGAGTCATGTTCAAAGATCAAGATCCAATTAGGGATGCAAAGTAACATTTGAAAAGAGGGAAGGTGCAACTACCTTAGCACAGTGAGGTATGATACGTCGTCGTTGTTTGAAAGAGAGTCGTGAAGTGCTTAGGGAAGAAATAAAACAGTTTGACCCTGAGTAGAGCTTATCAAAAGTTATACCACTACAGCGACAATTAGACACTCCAATTATTATTATGATCTTGAGTAGCCGTAAAAAAGTAGCGAGTGCCCCCGGGGGCTTGGGCGGCACGGGTAGTGGCTTGATTTCCCCCGGCCCGTTTCTCGATGCCATTTTATACTTCATGTCCCACACCTGAAAAGCTCCGTGTTAAATAGATAGCTCATAAGATCGTCGTCTTCATCAATTACGGAGCTTGTGGCTCAATACCAATCCCAACCAGGATGGGTCTTTGATGAAATTTGACAGGGCTCAAAACTCAAAATCATAGTGTACCGTTGCGGCGGATCATTGGCAGGGAAGAAGACCTCACAGGGGCCAATGCTGAAGGACTGATATACCCTTGCTCTCAGTCGGCAACAGAAATTGATGTATTTCAACCTATAGCACATAAAAAAACTTCTTGTTGTCTGGACCAGCGTTATCTCTATTACTCAACGATCTTTCTATCTCACTCTGAACCCCCAGTTATCTTCAATATGGGTGTGTATGGAGGCTTAGGGCCCATGACCAATGCAGTTCTCTGGGTTGAGGCTGTTGTATTTGCCGTCTTTGTAGGGCTAAGGCTCTATACGCGAAAACACATTCTCAACTCCGTTGGTCTTGATGATTATCTAGTTTTGATTGCACTGGTGAGAACAACAAACCATAATACTACCTTCATCATGCAAGTTCTAACATGCTTCAGGTTCTGCAAATCCTTTACACTGCCTTTGTCACAGTAGCAAGCATTTACGGCCTCGGGCAACTATACGCTGATGTCGGTGATCCAGTCATCTATTTTACGGCTGTCAAGTATGAGCTATTCAGCCAGGTAGCTGGAATAATGGTCATTGGCGTAGGCAAAGCGGCTGTTGGTGTGTTCCTTCTTCGAACTGTGCGGAGTAAAAGTCAGGTCTGGTTTATCTGGGCTTGTCTTGCAATCACTGCTTTTATTACGCTTTTCGCCAGCATTACTGTTATAGTGCAGTGTATTCCAGTTGAGAGATCTTGGAACCCAACTACGCCAGGCTATTGTTGGCTCGATTTTTCCAAGGTTGGTTACACTGTTGGATGTGAGTGCCGGATTGCCCCACTTTGTAACATGAATGCTAATCCTGGGGTTTTGCAGCATGGTTTGTCGCCGCAGACTTCTCCTTTGCGATTCTCCCATGGTTCATTGTCTGGGATCTCAATATGAAACAGAAGGAAAAGATCACCGTTGCCTGTGGTCTCAGTCTTGGAGTATTGTGAGTCTGGGAATACTCCACCCCCTCGAATAGTAATCTGACGAGTATACTCCAGTGCTGGAGCATGTGGCATTATCCGCACAAAAGCCCTGGGAGGATTAAATGCATCGGAGTACATATGTACGTTCTCTGAATATTCTTTTCGTGGCGGTATAGCTGACCCGACTCTAGATGATACGGTACCAATGCTCATCTGGTCCGCCACCGAGAGCTGCGTCACGATCATGTGTTCGTCAATCCCCGTCCTCCGTCCCCTCTACATCCACGTCAAATATGGGAAAAATGGCAAGAGCAGCTCTTCAGGTGACAGCTCCTATAGACTGCCATTGTATGGCAGTGGTGGAAGGAGCACTTTTTCGAAATCCGGCCATGAATCTTCAGTCAACGAGCGGAGTACTACTCATCACACCACCGTCATGAAGGATAGAACAGAGAACGCTAGCAATGAGAATATTCTTCGGGGTGCTGCGGGCATCGAAAGGATAGATGAGATATCAGTGAGTTATCGGCTATTCGGGAAGGAAGCCTAGGGAAGGGTTCATGGATGAATTCTCGTTTCTCTCTTTCGGGGCATCATATAATGGCTTCTCGACCAAAGGCCATGCAATTTTAATGTGGAAATTTTGTTCTCTTGTATCCTCTACTACTTGTACTTTTTTTTTTTTTTTTTGGAATTTCGAAAGGTGCCGCATGTTTGTTTAATAAGACTGATGTATCGTAATGCCAAGTGCGCGTATGACTCAAAAGATAAACCCTACAATTTCTTCAACCACCACTAGTTATGCAACAAAATCTTCCCAATATACCATCCATTTCTTGAAGCCTAACTTCATATATTTTTGAACACAACTTCACATCCAATATCTAACCTTCTTCACATCCACCATGTCCTCTGCCCCGCCAACAAGTGGACTCCCACCCAAAACATGGACAAGAGACACCAACCGCGAATTCTTCATCTCAACCGAACCAAAGCTACTCTCTGTCAAAGCAGTCAATGCCGCATTCGACAGAGACTTCGTTTACTGGGTGCAAAAGCCCTTCCCAGATGAGGTGCTGTGGCAGATGCTCCACGGCTCCTTGAGTTTCGGTGTGTACAGGTGGACCCAACCTGCAGAATCTGTGAATGATTCTACCACCCCGTCTTCAAAGAACACTGAGCAGATTGGACTTGCTCGTATGGTCACAGATGGGTGTTCATTTGCTTATTTGTCGGATACATACGTTCTCCCCGAATACCAAGGCAGCGGACTTGGGAAATGGCTTGTGGATTGTGTCGCCGAGACCTTTTCCAAGGAGAATATGCCTTATCTACGTCGGATTATGTTGCTCACTGATGATGAGCGCATGCAGTCTTTCTACGCGAAGATGTTTGGTGTGAAAGTCGTTGGGCGTGAAGAAAGAAAGGACATGGGGAGGGATTTAGTGTTTATGTGTGCGAGACCAAATGCACCGCCATCATTAGATTGAAACGGCTATTCTAAATTTGATGCTTGGTACTTGGTATATGAGCAAGGAAGCGAGACTTGTGGCTCTGGTAGCTCATATTCATCCTTTCACTCTCTACCATGGAAGTTGCAAAGGGGTCGGCAGGTTCTTCCCAAGAACATCCTCTGCGGTGCCGATATCTCTGTTATGGATAAATTAGCCTGGTTTCTGATAATGGGCAATCGAACATCTTACCCCGGTCCTCCTGGAGCCCAGAATTCTCCGGTCTTGCTAAGATCAAATCCTTCAATGAAAGACTCGAGCGTTTTCGCTGCTTCATCCGGCGTCACGGCTGTTTTCCAAGAGGTATCAGGTTAGATCTAACACCTTGCCGAGGACTTTGTAGAAGGCCGATAAGAGTAGTGCACTGATCACTCACCTCCACCTGCATCCCAGTACTTATCGAATCCAACGCTCTTCGTCATCTCTGTCCGCATAAATCCAGGATGTACCAGGCCAACCGCAATCCCCTTCGGCTTCAAGTCCAGACTCAAAAGCTTCCCGACCATATTCAAAGCAGCCTTACTGGCATGGTGGCCAAAGTTACCCCCGCCTTCCTTCTCATGGCGCAACGTGATGCTGCCGCTCTCGCTGCTGAGGAGGATCACTTTACTCCCCTGGTCCAACAACCCCGCCTTGACGAGATTGTGCACCACAAAGACGGGTCCAATTGCAGAGGTCGTATACATTTGAACTTGCTTCTCCCAGTCTGGAGAATCGAATGTTTCAAAGCCAAAGTATCCGGCGGTAACAATGACTGTTGAGAGCTTTGTAGATGGAAGCTGCGAAACAAGCTTTTGGCCCACGTCTGGTTGGGAGATATCAATTCCTGTCAGCCAGGTGACTCCTGGGCTTGGCTCTGGATTGGAGGATCGGGAGGTTGCAAACACATGGGTGGCTGCCTTTACGGAGTATAGTGTCCGCAGAGAGGCACCCAGTCCTCGAGTGGCACCTAGGATGAGGACGTTGCTGCTCATTTTGTAAGTTGGGATAATATGTTCGAAGATATGAAGGTATGGGTTTAGGAAGGTCTTTATATATGCCCTGGGCACGCCATTGACTCAATGACGTAATTGCTGCCCAGGCCTATATGGGCTTAGAAGGGTGCTATCTGCCCGTCTACAGCCAGTTTGTTTAGTACGACGTAGCTTTTGCATATATTAAACTTTATTCGCATCAGATCATTGCGTACATTAAGGTGGAACTATGATTCTTTATAATCTTGGATGTTGCTTTTCCAAGACATTGTCGTCCTTTGGTCTACTTGGTCGTATTCAACACGAGGGCCAAGCCTGACATATCTCATTAGAGGTATCAGCATTTAATTTCCGCTTGGATGCTACAATGCTAGTCAATCTCTCAATACATTCCGATCGCAGCCCTGGAGTGGACCACGAGAGGCTTAGTCATGTGCTATTTATGGAACCTAGCTAAGATTACCCCCTTCAACCAACCTGTTTTATCTCCATGAGCCCCGGCAAAGTGCGCCTCTCGTAGGGAGCCAGTCAATTCATGTGTTGCAGGGCCCAAGAATGACTGGCTTTGCCAAATTCGCCCTCTCTGTTCAGAAAGTCCGGGCTGCGATCCACAACAGAAGAAAGGCGGGTGCCAAGGACCAGCGCGGATCGTCTTTAAGGTGAGATGTTTTGCGACAATCTGCAAAAACTCACTGACTCACTTCGCTATCAGAAAGGACCATGCAGATCTTCCACCGTCGTCTCCATGGGACCTCCCCGTCGAGATTCAAATCCGCATATTCGCATATTCCGGCATCACCGACTTCCATCCGCTGAGACTCGTCTGCAAGGCTTTTTGCCAACTGCTGACCAGGAATGAGCATGAGATTGTCCGGCAGTATCTCCGCTTACGTCGCCACGGTACTCTTCCATCCCCGATCGACGATGACCGCACCTATACTCGGAACCCAGGCGACGATGTCGTGCTGTTATCGGACCTATTCCCACCATCCAAAAGCGCCAGAGGCGGCCATCTCTATACATTCAAATACTTGCATGGGCTGAGACGAAGGCAAATGCTCTGCTCAAGGCTCTGCTACTACCTGGCAGATCGGATCCTCGATCGGTTCATCCAAACCGAACCGGCCGTCATGAAGGCCTCATTTCCTGCAAAGCGAAACGAGCGCAACGCTCTTGTCAAACGTGGCATAGCGAGCATATGGTTCCACCTTGCACCACTCATGTAAGAACAACGGGGAATTGCTTCATTGCAGCAAATCACTGATCTCTTCTCCACCAGGTACTATACACTCTATTTCCTCGAATCATACGCGTCCGCCCGGCGCGAGCACACGAACATGCTAGTACAAAAATACGAGGCAGGCCAGCTGCCTGTACCATTACCACTCGAGATACGCCAGAGGATGTACCGCGAGCTACAAACCCGGATCCTCCAAAGCCCTCCCTTCACCAACACAGCGGCGTTGGTTGCGACACACCATTGCATGCATTTGCTTGTTTCATATATACGCTTCGCCATGTCTCCGGATGGACAAGCTCAGATTGATGACTCGTGGATTAGCTCTTTACTCACATTGGCGCCGTTTGTGCGGATCGTCGAGTTTTTCTCCGCTGAGATTGGGGACGGTGGGAGCCAGCGAACACAACGCAAGGAGTTTATGTACAACTTCTATCAGGACACGACAATGTATGAGAAGGATCACATGAACTCGGTTGTTTTTGCGCGCGCGTCTGCGCAGAACTTGCATAGTTCGGTGCAAGATATCTGGTTTGCTGCTGCTGAGGCTGAGTTGAGAACCAGGCGAGCGATACCCCATGACGTAGAGCACGTCTGGGTCTGGAATGGTATTCCAATTGTTTTTGGGTGTCCGGATTGCCATCCCACGAGAGGATGGCAGGCATGATACATTGGGTTTAAGTGTTGGAGGCGCTTGGGTTCTAGCATATTATACCTGGATATACTGGAGTTGGATGGATGAAAATTTCAGCCAATTGCATTTGCATTCCATTTCATTGTTAATATTACTATCATTTCTCTCTTCTCAAACCAATAGAAGTGTACTGGCGGTTGTAGTCGAAGTGATTTATTTAGGGAACTGGTAGATGATGTTTGCTTGGTTTGCAACCAGCACGCGTCCCAGTGTACATCACCAAGTATTAACCTTCTTCGACGACGATTTGCTTCAATTGTAGCTTAAGAATTGGCCGAGTTTATTGCAAACTCTCACATTGATTGCCATGGAACAAGCAGACCAACGACAGTTGTTCAATACTTCTTGGACCATCCACCGTCTCTCTCCTCTCCATCATGGGAAGGACTGTGAAACCCTGCTAGACAACCAAGTCGCCTTGAAAACATATGCAACGCGTCTACGCGACTATCTCACAGGCGATGTCCTCGCTGGTATTCATACAAGCACTATTGCAGCAGACGACCACGCGCTCTCCAAGACAGGCGCCCTAAAAGATTGTCTATGGCAGCCAATCTCCCCTCAATCACTGCGCGACGAAGCGCCAAGCAGATCCCAGAATACCACATTTCCTGGAATTCTAGTAACACTAGAATACGAAAACATTGTCTACAAAGCAGCTTTGCTCGCAGACACAAAATCATCCCCAAATCAGCGCACAGGATCCACATCTCTCCCTCTCCTCCTAACCAGATTCCCAACTGCGCTGCGCCAAACATTCATCACTTTCTTATCTACCAATTTCGACACTTACTGCTCGCCCCTCCGACTACCGTCCAGCTTTCTCTGCGTGGGTCTAGAGACATACATCGATACCCTGCGCACTCAACGGCCAAGTACAAGCGACACAGTCGAAGACGTTATCAAAGAGTTACAGCTCACGCTCTCCTTTTCATCATCAATTGCACCAGCGCTGAGATCCCTCAATGTCAGCGTCGCGCGCTCTTCACTAGCGGGCTTCCTGCGCGATCGGCCTGGAAAGTCGGCGCCGAAGTCGCGCAGTCTTCAGCATAAACTGCGCAGCCCTTTCATCGCCAATCTTACTTCGTACCTGGAGACGCATCTTGCCATGAAGCTGGATCTGGATGGATCATCTTCAGATCAGGTTGCTAAGCAGCATGTGCGACTCTCGAAGGTTGCATGTGCTGCTTTCGTTTTGGGTGGTGAAGGACGTGTGAAGCTGGTTGTGGCTGCTGATAAGGATGCTGGGGATGTGGACGAGGGGGCTCAAGTTCGAGGCGACAAGAATGAACTCGCTTTGGAGGCAGGGGAATCGCTTCTACGGTCGGTGATCCGGAAGGCTGTTGTGGAGGATCATGCGGCTACATGAACCTCTAGATGTTTCTCTGTTCCAGTGTGGAACTAGGACACGTTACAATATCTTTGGAGCTCGGAACGAGCAAAATATCTGAGTGCAAACCTATCAGCATGCCCTGCCTTGATCCACGGAGCTCACAGCTTTGCTGTTGAGGCTGCTGGTGAGCTCCTCGCCAACACACGTTGCTGCGCAAGCAAATACAACTAAATTCAGCTGCTAGCGTCATGCTTTGACCCAGTGCCCCATCACTGTGGTATTGCAGATGCGGAAATTTCGGCTTTCATCGCCAAGATGGCACGCTCAGGAGACCTGATCGTGGTGCATAGTAAAGCAGCAGGATTTACTTCAGTTCTCATTGAACCAGAGCTCCTTGTTTGGGAAGACATAATTGATCATGTTCTCTGTCTCCTCGGTAGATGTTGCTTTATGACAAGAAGTCATATAGCACCATATTTTTGATTATTTTCAGATGACCGAAATGCAATATATACGTACAATATATACAAACCGTATCCAAACACGTCACCAATTTTAGCAAGATAGACACTATATCTCCTGCGTCTGATTCTCAGATTCCGCCAACTGCAGCGCCTCATCAACACTGGGCACGAAATGAGTCAATCCACCACACGTCTCAACAATACCACTCCGCTCAAACATGCGGAACACACTCCTATTCGGCAAACGGCAGAAGAACACTCTGACGCGTTGCTCCGCATACGCATGCACAATCTCCGAGAGAACCTGGGTACCAGACCCATCGATACTCGTAACGCCATGAACATCGAAAATGATATTCTTATTATGCTCCGGCGCGCGCATGCGCGGCAGAGAAGGGTGGGCATGGGTGGAGCCGTAGAGTTCCAGACGTCGCAGGCGGTTCTTGAGATCGCCTGTGTTGGCAAAGGTGAGGGGTTCCGGGATCTTGACGATCAGAGCGCCTTCGACTAGCTCCACGTTTTCTGGGTGGAGTTCGGCGTTGTCGAAACGCGCGGCTGTGCCGAGGACCTTGCCCAGGATCTGGATTCGGGGGCTGTCGCGTGTCGGATGAGGATTAATACTGACAGGCCCATTCCCATCGCCATGCCCAGTTCTAGGGAGTAGAATATTGTTGTTGTGAAAATGAGGAACATTAGGACGAGCTCTGACCAGCCCCGCAGGCGGAAGAAGAAGAGTAGGTCATGCGGGCATTCTTCCACTAGAGTGAAGGCTACCACGGAGATCATGGAGCACAAGACTGCTTTCTATTGGGGAATTAGCATCGTCAGCACTTGGAAAAAGCGCACCGGTATGGTCTAGGTTTGAGAGGGACGAACTGGGAGGTAGTAGAGATAAGGCAAAAGCACCATGACACATGTGAATGTGATGATGCTCAAAAAAACACTAGTCATAGGTGACCTTGCTCCTGTCTGTGAGCTAAGCTTGCTTCGCCCGTATCCGCCAAATGCAGGCAGAGCCGAGAAACAACCTCCAATGACATTGGCAACGCCTAGTGCAACCATCTCACGATTGGCACTCATATGCATTCCCGTGATTCCAGCAGAACTGCCTTCGCCCAGTCCCTTGGCTGCAACAGATGACTCAAAGAAGCCAAGTAACGCGATAATAAAGGCTTTGCTCAATGCTGTGCGCACATGTTTCATATTCGCAAGCTGTAAAGGCCAAGTGAAAGCGAATAGTCCTCCAGAGCCGACCTCTGTAGGTCCAAGAATTTCGAGCCCTTTAGCTTCCCAATCGAGGTGCCAAGCCAAAACCGCCGACAGGGCAACAACCAGAAACCGGTCTGGGAAATAAATCACTTGGGGGATACGAGGCACAAGCATCTTTTTCAAGGTTCTGCGGAGGATCAGTATGATGGATGTAAACCCGGGAGCGCGGTACGAACCTGAACAGCATGATGACAGAAAAGCTGATGATCGAAACGATAGCAGTTAGTCCATGGCATTCTTTAGCGTATCGAACGATGAAAATCAGTTTTTCAACGCTGGTGCCATGGCTGACACCGGTTTCTTTGGCATGCTCGGCCAGACCCAATTCTGGGATAAGCTGGTCTACAAAAATCACAAAGCCGATGGCAGTGATGAACCCTCTTAAGAATGGTCGACTAAGCACGTTGTCCAAAAACCCTAGACGGGTCAGTCCGGCAATCAGTATCATGGCACCGGACAGGGCAGTGGCCACTCCTACAATAAGAGCGATTTCTGTCGGGTCATCATCGCCTGAGTTTCCTTGCATGACACTTGCTTTGACAATAGCACCCGTTAGCAAGGAACCCGCGGCCTCTGGTCCAACTACCAAGAGAGGGCAGCTTCCTAGGATGGCATAGACCAAGGGGTGGATGACGAAAGAGTAGAGGCCGCTGATGGGTGGTGCGTGGGCAAGATTGGAGGCCAAAGAGAGGGCCATCGGGATGTAGATAGATGCCACGGTCAACGCAGCCATAAAATCTCCACGCAGGAATGACCAATGATATTGTCCAATCCAATTAAAGAACGGAATATAATAGGATATGTATCTGTTATTGATTCGTCAGCTACCAGTCCTAAGGCAGGCTACGAAAGTGCTCGTAGTGTATAAACAAGATAGGACCTACTGCTTATTCGTGTCGGTTATTGGAAAAGTGAAAGATGATTTCATCTGTGACGGAGTCTCTGAATCTGGGACCGACTCCGGGTGGTCTACTACACCTCTTGGGCGACCGGCCGCACCGTCCGCCACTTCATGTTCGTTATATCCAAATGCACCGCCCGGCCCTCCAATGTATGACCGTCTTCCTGTATCTTCTACCTGCGGCGAGAATGTGCCATGGCTGCAGCGCCTTTCGCCGCACGCAGGGTCGGCCTGGAGGTATGATTCCAAAAGTCGAGTTCTCGCATCCGGCTCGCTCGTAACCCCGGTGCTGGTTTGGCTGTCTTGTGCCGTGTAGTTGTCATGGCTTGAATTTGTCGAAATCCCAAGACCGGTTTGGGGCGACGAACGGAAAGCGTCGACAATGCGGTCTCGTAGAGTCCGGCGTCCGAGCCCGTCGGACTCCCCGGGAAGTAATGAACTTGTCTCAGACATGATGTTTTGGAAAGAGACGTCTGGTGAGGGTTAGGTCAAAGAGTTAGACATGCAGTAGTCCGCCATAAATGCTGGTCATAAAATTTAAAAGATTGAAGCAATTCAAAAATGGGACGACAATTGTTTTTGTCGGTTAGGCAAGGGCCAAGGGCGCGGCGCGCTAGGGGACTGATAAGCGGGGAACGCAGGTCTTATCGTGAATTCAACGCAGATCCTCGGAGAATGACAGTGCAATGAAGAGAAAAAGCATGGTCAGCATAATCGATGGAAACTCTCTGATTCGTAGAAAGTTCCGATGCCATCGAGTACTGGAGTGTATATACAAACAACATGCCCAGGTGCCTGTCTCGCCCGCGCGCCCTGATTTCGTTGACGTAATTGATTGATGTGTCAGCCAAGACCAAGCCTTGGAAGGCGGTGTGAAACGCAGTCACGTGCCATTTAGTCCCGTGACTGATCAGATCAATGTGGGTTTTGAAGTCCGCCACAAAGAGATAGATTGTGCCTCATTCGCGTCGCCTCTCCCCTCTGCGCTCCTGTATTTCTGAATTTACGATCACTCATATCCAGTTGGCCTACATCTCGATCGTCTCGATTTTGCCATCAAATCCGTCTCTTTCGCACCTAAGATTTCCCCGAGAAAAAAAAAACAGAACCCCGCCAAGATGTCTTTAACAAACTGTCGGTTCTATGAGGACAAGTACCCGGAGGTGGACAGCTTTGTCATGGTTAATGTCAAGCAGGTACGGATCAACTGAATCATGAACTGGGAGGCCAAAGCGACAGGGACTAATTTTTTGTGTGAACGAGCTAGATCGCCGAGATGGGCGCATACGTGAAGCTGCTCGAATATGACAACATCGACGGCATGATCCTCCTCTCAGAACTCTCTCGCAGACGTATTCGCAGTATCCAGAAGCTCATCCGTATTGGGCGCAACGAGGTCGTTATCGTGCTTCGTGTCGACAAGGAGAAAGGCAAGGATACATTATTCGCCTGGAAGAACTCGAGAACTAACTTGTCAACTTGAAGGTTACATTGATCTGTCGAAGCGACGTGTCTCTCCCGAGGATGTCATCAAGTGCGAGGAACGTTACAACAAGAGCAAGGCAGTGCACTCTATCATGCGCCACGTCGCAGAGGCGACCCAGACCCCCTCGAGACCCTATACGAGAACATCGGGTGGCCTTTGAACCAGAAATACGGCCACGCACACGATGCTTTCAAGATCTCCATTACGTAGGTTCTTGTTCTTTTTGTCTCATGATATGATCGAATTCCTCTGACAGTTGTTTTCCAGGAACCCCAACGTCTGGGATGAGATCACCTTCCCTAGCGATGCCGTCAAGAGCGAGCTGCAGCAATACATCAGCAGCAAGCTGACCCCCCACCCTACCAAGGTCCGTGCCGATATCGAGGTGACCTGCTTCGGTTACGATGGAATCGATGCCGTCAAGGATGCCCTCCGTACCGCTGAGGCCGACAACACCCCCGAGAACCAGATCAAGGTCAGACTGGTGGCTCCTCCCCTCTACGTCCTAGCCAGTCAATGTCTTGACAAGACCCTCGGCGTTAAGTTGCTTGAGGCGGCTATTGTGAAGATCGAAGAGCGTATCAAGGCGAACGGCGGTAGCTGCACCGTGAAAATGGCACCCAAGGCCGTCACTGAGCACGACGATGCGATCCTGCAAGAGCTTATGGAGAAGCGCGAGCGTGAGAACACCCAGGTCAGCGGAGATGAGGACTCCGAGAGTGATGAGGGTGTTCCCGAGTAAGTTACGGGTCATAACTTCGAGTCGAGGGGCATACAGCGGTCATCAGCGCTGGAATCCAAAGCTGGAATCACCGCTAGAGGAGAGTTGGGCAAAAATGGATAGAAAAAAGCTTGCACATATCGGAGAAAGGCTCAATGGCTCAGTGTGCTGATGGGCAGGATTGCAGTCAGAACTCGCCCTTTAGCCAGGGCAATCGCCTAAACTTCGGGTCTGGGGATGATTCATCCACGCCTGTGCATGCGCTGCATGCCAATTGCGGTCGAAATCCTCATGCCCACCGTCTGTCAAAGACGCTGGGTCCGCACAGGGTGCAAGTTCTAATGCACATAATGTTTGCGATGCAACCGAGACGTTCAATGCCAGTCATGCTTTTAAATGCAAATTGTACCCTTGTAGAGACTACATATGTACGTAAATATAGATATATAAATCCATTCCCCCTGTGAATTTAAATCCAATGCCCACTAAATGGAGGTGAGCTAAAGCTTATCTGCCGCCGATCATCATTGGTGCCCCCTCAAGCCAAAAACTCTCGGTGAGCCGAACTCTCCCTGTTCCTGTTCTTTTCAATCTTCTTGTTGTCATCCATTTTTGCATGTTCTACGCGATATGGTACATTGGAGAAATATCTTTACCGCCGATCCTGGCAGGACCCGGCACCGCATCGAGGTGGAACGTCGTCGACGTACGTCATTTCCAAATATGCGCTGTGGAACATTGCTAACAAGTCATAGTGCTACCTGCCTATGCTGCCGATGAGCCTCAGGCCTCTGATGCCTCAAAGGAAATTGCCAAGGTTGCTCTTCGGCTGAAATATCAGATCGAGCAGGTTGTCTCCTGCGAAGTGCAGGATCATGTCTTGACCGACCCAAACAGCCGCATCATCACGGACGATGTGGTTGCGACTGCCAAGGAAGCTGGTGGGGACGAATACAAAGCATGCGTTGTTTATTGTCTTCTGGTTTGTCTGCGATGGTTCAAGATTCAATCCTCCGTCGAGCTTTGGGATTCCGATCTCCATGAGCTTCGGGCTGTGGCTTGCGAGGTCATCGCCAAGCGCATGTAATGCCCCCTTTGACATTTCGGGTTTTCTGCCATTTACTTACTAACTTGAACAGTATCGAATCCGAGCAGAACCAAGATTACGTGCTGAAAGGGATTTTACTCAAGCGATACTCTATCTTCAGTGAAGGGGTAGAGACTGATCCCGCCAATGTCATTGAACGGGCGGTAGATCTCCATGCCTTGAGGATCATCAGCTCTGCCCCGTACCAGAGATGTATCCAGTACCTGTGGAGGGGTTGGATCTGTCAGGAAGAGGGCAACCCAACTAACTTTGTCGAATACAGCGAGAAGTCTAACACCGGATATTGGGTTCATTTCCATCCTGATCGGATGCGAACTCCTCTGTATCAGAATGTCTGCCAAATTTTGTTCTCCTTGATTTACCTTGCGGTTTATACGGCAGTAATCAATACCGTGAACCCAACCGGTGACGTGGATGTGGCCGAGGCTATTCTTTACGGTATGACTCTTGCGTTCATCTGCGACGAGGGGGTCAAGTTTTGGAAAGTTGGTTGGAATTACATCGAATTCTGGAATGCGTTCAACTCAACCCTCTACACCATCCTGGTGGTATCACTTGCTTTGCGCTTTGTTGCCTTGGCACACTCATCATCTACCCACGATGAACAAAGGAGGCTCTACAACGAGCTTAGCTACAACTTCCTGGCTTTTGCGGGCCCTATGTTCTGGATGCGCATGATGCTATATCTTGACTCGTTCCGCTTCTTCGGTGCTATGTTTGTGGTTCTTCGAGTCATGATGAAGGAGAGTTTGATATTCTTTGCTCTTCTATTTGTGGTTATGGCTGGTTTCTTCCAGGCCTTCGTCGGCATGGCCCAAGTGGATACCGATATCCCCGTCCACCGAAATATTCTCCAGGGAATGGTAAACAGTATCATGCAGAGTCCTGAGTTCGACACTTTTCAGGAGTTTGCATTTCCCTTTGGTATCATCCTCTACTATGTGTTCAACTTCATTGTTATGACAGGTAAGTTTGCGTTCGACTTGTTTGGAGTGATGCTAACAATTATCAGTTTTGTTGAATATTCTCATCGCCTTGTACAACAGCGCGTATGATGACATCTCTGGCAACGCCACGGACGAGTACATGGCCACGTTCGCACAGAAAACCATGCAGTTCGTCCGTGCCCCAGATGAAAATGTCTTCATCCCGCGTACGTATTTACTCAATTCCGATAGCACACAGGTGGCTAATTGCTTTGGATACTAGCATTCAACCTCGTCGAGATTGTGTTTCTGATAGCCCCATTCGAATGGTGGCTTCCGCGGGAGGCCTACGCCAAACTGAATGACTTTGTAATGGGTGTGATCTATTCGCCGCTGCTTATCTTTGCAGCCTGGGTTGAGACCCGTCAGGCGTACCGGATTCGATGGAATCGCCGCCATGGCGAAGAAGACGATGACTCTGCTCAGGAATGGGAGCATGTCGCTAAGGAGGTCAATTTTGACCTCGATGATACTTGGAAACAGCATGTAGTAGAGACCACGCCGGATATCAAGGTTGATAGTTGTACATATGAACTCAGGGAGCTGAAGGAGCAGGTTAGGATGTTGACGGAGACGGTGAAGGGATTGACTGAGGAGATGGCGAACAAAAAGGTGGATGGGGCAAGCTAGGAAGTGAAGCCCAAGGCATTGATGTTATATATATCGGCACGCTACAAACGATCAAGCAAACAACAACAGCGTGCCGTCTTACATCAGGAGATATACTATATAATATATCGAGGGTTGGTCCGTCATTGTGTCTTTGTAAACCTTGGAAGTATATAACTATGGTGTTTATCCACCCCTAACTCTATACCCAAACATGATTTTCCACATCGGAGAAAAAAAAAAAAAACTGCATCATATTAGCTAGCTAATAATGACCGAAAAAGAAAAGAACAAAAAAAGAAATCTCAGGTTTGGTTTTTAGGAATAGCCGAACGCGGGGGTCGAACCCGCAGCCTTAAGATTAAGAGTCTTACGCTCTACCGATTGAGCTAGCCCGGCTGGGCTGTTGTAAAGAGGAGCCAAAAAGTGCTACATAAGCCTGAAGGGATCGGGGGCAGGCTGACATAATGCTAGCGCGTCGAGCGGCGAACCCTCTGGAACCAAAATTGCAAGGTGGAAGGTGGCTTCATCTACAAATCTGGGCATTTCCGCGATTGGATCCTATCATTGCTCTCCGGCTTTGTATGAGTCTTTGATTTTCTGGTTGTTTGACTCTGACCGCGGTCACTAGATTGCCACCATGTGCGTTACGACAACCCCCCCCCCCGGGATTCTTTGCTGCAGCTAACAGTATACAGGGCAAAGCTCGTGGACGACCCTCAGATCCATACTGCCTCGTTGCATAACCCGATCCCTTGGCAATTGCACACATACGTTTGGCCTTTCATAATCATCTGGCCCGTGTTCTTCGCTTTCTACCTCTCCCCCGATCGTTATGATACCTACATTCAGGGACAGGAGTGGACCTTCGTGTTCGCGGGGTCTATCATCACAATCCAGTCGCTCTTCTGGCTGATGACCAAGTGGAACATTGATATTAACACCCTATTCACTACTACTCGAGCCAAGTCCATCGACACTGCCCGGCTTATCAAAGTGGTTCCCATCACTAACGCTGGCTCTGCCGAGATCTGCAAATTGATTACTGAGAACACCGGTCCGAAGAAGACCCTTTCGTTCCTCTTCCAGAAGCGCCGCTTCCTCTTTTACCCTGAGACTCGCACCTTCGCCCCCTTGTCGTATGTCCTTGACGCCGAACCAAAGCCGGCCCTCAAGACTTTCCAGCTGAACGAGGGCTTCACCACGAAGGCCGAGATTGACCGCATCTACCACCACTATGGCGATAACACCTTCGATATCCCCGTTCCCGGTTTCCTTGAGCTCTTCCAGGAGCACGCTGTCGCGCCGTTCTTCGTCTTCCAGATTTTCTGTGTTGGATTGTGGATGTTGGACGAATACTGGTACTACTCGCTCTTCACGCTCTTCATGCTTGTTATGTTTGAGAGCACCGTTGTGTGGCAGCGCCAGAGGACCTTGAGCGAGTTCCGTGGAATGAGCATCAAGCCTTATGATGTCTGGGTATACCGTGAACGGAAATGGCAGGAGATCACCAGTGATAAGCTTCTTCCCGGTGATCTCATGTCAGTGAACCGCACCAAAGAGGACAGCGGCGTTGCCTGCGATATTCTTCTGGTTGAAGGCAGTGTCATTGTGAACGAGGCTATGCTTTCTGGCGAGAGTACACCTCTTCTGAAAGATTCCGTCCAGCTCCGTCCCGGCGATGACTTGATTGAACCGGATGGATTGGATAAGCTCTCGTTTGTGCATGGAGGTACCAAGGTCCTCCAAGTTACTCACCCTAATCTGACTGCCGACTCGGGCTTGAGTAACCTGTCCAGCAACGTTACCATGCCCCCAGACAATGGTGCTTTGGGTGTGGTTGTTAAGACCGGTTTCGAAACCAGCCAGGGTAGCCTCGTCCGGACCATGATCTACTCGACTGAACGTGTCTCTGCCAACAACGTTGAAGCTCTGTTGTTCATCCTGTTTCTCCTGATTTTCGCAATTGCCGCTTCGTGGTACGTGTGGCAAGAGGGTGTGATCCGGGACCGCAAACGCTCCAAGCTTCTGCTCGACTGTGTCCTCATCATCACCAGTGTTGTTCCCCCCGAATTGCCTATGGAGCTGAGCTTGGCCGTCAACACTAGTCTTGCTGCTTTGAGCAAGTATGCCATTTTCTGCACTGAGCCTTTCCGTATCCCCTTCGCTGGTCGTGTTGACATCGCTTGCTTCGACAAGACCGGTACCTTGACTGGAGAGGACCTTGTCGTTGATGGTATTGCTGGACTCACTTTAGGTGAGGCTGACTCGAAGGTCGAAGCTGATGGTGCTCACACCGAATTGGCCAATCCCTCTGCTGCTGGACCCAACACCACTCTTGTTCTCGCTAGTGCTCACGCCTTGGTGAAGCTGGATGAGGGTGAGGTCGTTGGTGACCCCATGGAAAAGGCTACTTTGGAATGGCTTGGCTGGACTCTGGGCAAGAACGATACTCTGTCTTCCAAGGGCAACGCCCCTGTTGTCTCTGGTCGCAACGTCGAGTCTGTTCAAATCAAGAGAAGATTCCAATTCTCCTCGGCCTTGAAACGCCAGAGTACTATCGCGACCGTTACGACCAATGACCGCAAGACTTCCAAGAAGATCAAGTCCACCTTTGTGGGTGTCAAGGGTGCCCCCGAGACCATCAATACTATGCTGGTCAACACACCTCCCAACTACGAAGAAACCTACAAGCACTTCACCCGCAATGGTGCTCGTGTGCTTGCTCTTGCCTACAAGTACCTTTCATCTGAATCCGAGCTTTCCCAGGGCCGCGTGAACAACTACGTCCGCGAGGAAGTCGAATCCGAGCTGATATTTGCCGGTTTCCTTGTCCTGCAATGCCCCTTGAAGGATGATGCTATCAAGTCTGTCCGCATGCTGAATGAAAGCAGCCACCGTGTTGTCATGATCACTGGTGATAACCCGTTGACCGCTGTCCATGTCGCACGCCAGGTTGAGATTGTTGATCGTGAGGTTCTTATCCTTGATGCCCCTGAACATGACAATTCTGGAACCAGGGTTGTCTGGCGTACCATCGATGATAAGCTCAATATCGACGTCGACCCCACTAAGCCCCTCGACCCGGAGATCCTGAAGACTAAGGACATCTGTATCACTGGATATGCTCTGGCAAAGTTCAAGGACCAGAAGGCTCTCCCTGATCTGCTCCGTCACACCTGGGTTTATGCTCGTGTGTCTCCCAAGCAAAAGGAAGACATCCTTCTTGGCCTCAAGGACGCTGGATACACCACTCTGATGTGCGGTGATGGCACCAACGATGTTGGCGCTCTGAAGCAGGCTCACGTCGGTGTCGCGCTTCTGAACGGCTCGCAAGATGATCTCACTAGAATCGCTGAACACTATCGGACCACCAAGATGAAGGAGCTGTACGAGAAGCAGGTCGGCATGATGCAAAGATTCAACCAGCCCGCCCCTCCCGTCCCTGTTCAGATCGCTCACCTGTATCCCCCCGGTCCTTCCAACCCACACTACGAGAAAGCCATGGAGCGGGAGTCGCAGCGCAAGGGTGCTGCGATCACCGCTGCTAGCGGAGCCCCTGAAGCTATCCCAACTATCACATCTCCTGGCGCTCAGGCCTTGCAGCAATCGAACTTGACCCCCCAGCAGCAGAAACAGCAGAAGGCCCAGGCTGCCGCAGCTGGCCTTGCAGACAAGCTTACAGCTTCTATGATGGAACAGGAGCTGGATGACAGCGAGCCTCCCACTATCAAGTTAGGTGATGCATCAGTCGCTGCTCCCTTCACCAGCAAGTTGGCCAACGTTATTGCTATCCCGAATATTCTTCGTCAAGGTCGTTGCACCCTGGTTGCGACTATTCAGATGTACAAGATTCTTGCTTTGAACTGCTTGATCAGTGCCTACAGTCTGAGTGTCATCTACCTGGATGGTATTAAGTTTGGTGATGGACAGGTCACTATTAGCGGTATGCTGATGAGTGTCTGCTTCCTTTCTATTTCCCGCGCCAAGGTATGTCGTACTTCTCCATGTTGAAAAATGGTTTGCTAATGTTTTAATGTGTACAGTCTGTCGAGGGTCTGTCTAAGGAGCGCCCCCAGCCGAATATCTTCAACGTCTACATCATTGGATCTGTTCTTGGACAGTTTGCCATCCACATTGCGACTCTGATCTACCTTTCCAACTATGTCTATAAGCACGAGCCGTACGTTATGAGAACCCCCCTCTAGTTTATCTCACTTTATGTCTAACAAAATCTACAGGAGAGATTCCGATATTGATCTCGAGGGCGAGTTTGAGCCTTCCCTCCTGAACAGTGCCATCTACCTCCTTCAGCTGATCCAGCAAATCTCCACCTTCTCGATCAACTACCAAGGTCGTCCCTTCCGCGAGTCAATCCGTGAGAACAAGGGCATGTACTGGGGTCTCATCGCCGCATCGGGTGTTGCATTCTCCTGCGCCACCGAATTCATTCCCGAGCTAAATGAGAAGCTGCGCCTCGTCCCCTTCACCAATGACTTCAAGATGACTCTGACCGTGCTGATGATCTTCGACTACGGTGGCTGCTGGTTGATTGAGAACGTTCTCAAGCACCTGTTCAGTGACTTCCGTCCCAAGGACATTGCTCTTCGTCGTCCCGACCAGCTCAAGCGCGAGGCGGATCGTAAGTTGCAAGAGCAAGTCGATGCTGAGGCTGAGAAGGAGCTGCAAAGAAAGGTTTAGTCTGGTGGTTTGAAGATTTGTATCTGTATACATAGAAAGGAGGTTGTTGGATTTTAGAAATGTTCATGTGGTGCATGACATTTAATACACTTTTTGCTCTTATCGAAACAATCTGGCAAGTACAAATGTTTTTATTTTTGGTTATATAGCCCATTTGGCTTGGAACAAAAGGTGAGAAACCATGAGAACTGAAACGGGCGAGGTGCCGGGTGTGAAGCTTTGCAATCATACACGCCAATAATTCCTAGATCTTAAATGCGGCTCGCATTGAATTACTTCACCCTTGTCCATTTCGGGAGCTCTTCTGCGATTCCACGTCTTTCACTGGTCGGCCGGCCGGAGGTCTCATCTCCGGATTATCCCTGCAAGTGGAAACCACAGACTGACTCGCGCACGCAATGTCAGCAGGCTGAGCGTACAGGGGAACAAAGAACAGACAAACCTCACCCGGGAAGCTATGTTGTACATAAATCGTTGAGAAGGACATATAGGCACACAAAAGACTTCTTTTATAGAGGCATATCAATTAGCATTCAGCCTCGTATCCCACCATGTCGCTTACCTCACTCCGGAATCTGCGCACCCAGTGGTTCCCGCCCAAAGCGGCCTTCACTGAGAAAGAGCTGCCCTTGCAGAAGGGTCGGGTTTTCATCGTGACAGGCGGCAATGCCGGTGTCGGCTTTGAATTATGCAAGATCCTGTATGGCTCCGGTGCCACCATCTACATGGCATCAAGATCGCAAGTAAGTCTCCCAATCAGATTCGAGCCATGACCCCACCGGTGGGCTAATACGGTTCCCCAGGAGCGTGCCGAAAACGCGATTCAATCCATCATGAAGGTTCAACCTGCGCCGAAGTGGCCGGGCAAGATCAAGTTCCTCCATCTTGACCTCAACGACTTGGAATCAGTCAAGGGGGCGGCGACTACCTTCGCACAACAAGAATCAAGGCTCGATGTCCTCTGGAATAATGCGGGAACTGGAGCGAACCTGGTGGAAGCCGGCGCTAAAACAGCCCAGGGATTCGAGGCTATGGTGGGGATGCACTGTATCGCGACTTTGCTATTTACCGAGCTCCTACGACCGCAGCTACGGGCGGCCGCAGCAGCGCCCGATACACCTCGTGGATCTGTTAGGGTAGTGTGGACATCCAGCTTTTTGGCGGAGGGCGCCTCGCCGGCGAATGGGATTGATTTCACCGTGTTAGATAAGGGAACCAAAGATCGCACTCGCAACTATGCTGTCTCAAAGGTGGGAACCTGGATGCTGGGACGAGAGTTGGCACGACGATACGATCTCGACCAGGAGAACATTGTGAGCGTGGTGCAGAATCCAGGCAATCTAAATGCAGGCTCCTATGCAGGGACTCCGGCGGTTGCCATGTTTTTCATTAGCCCCTTGCTCCATGAGGCCAAGTTTGGGGCCTATACTGAGCTATACGCCGGTTTATCATCCGAGATAACCCTTGAGAAGAATGGCGCCTATATCATTCCCTGGGGAAGGATTCGACCGGATAAGGATTGTCCACGACGAGATATCGTCGCGGCGATGACTTCGGCCGAGGATGGGGGACTTGGATATCCAACACGGTTTTGGGAGTGGTGTGAGCAGCATGGAAGCCCTTTGTGTAAATCCCGAGTTTCACTGCTCCATAATTCAAGAGGTTCACCATACTTAGGTGATGCCGGGTCTATTACAACTAGAATATGAGGACCCCATGGTCGACGGGATTGATTTGGTAGAGATTGCTCGGGGCTGGCCCCAATGGCGGCGCATCAGATACCGGGCCACCCTCACCGGGTGAGCATAAGACGGAGTCGTGGAATCGCCGGTATGGTGATGCCACTGGTGCGGCTGATGAATGTTGTGGCAAGGGCTGTGATAGATGAGCCTTTTGCATGCCACTCTTTGGTCTGCTCGGCGGAGCCGGGAATGGACACGACGTCACCAACTGCACGGGTGAGAGTTCGCAGTTCGGGCTGATTCCCGTGCGATAGTGAGGCTGCACCGTGGGAAACCAGGGCGCTGGCAGCATCATTCCCACTAACCTGGTGACAACAGATGCGTTGGTCTAAGGGCATTTTTGACAATGCTGTACAAGACAGGGCAGGGAAAGAGGAGGGAAAGGAGACAGCCTCAGCCGCTCCCTATGGCTAGTTTCCCGTCAATCGGCAATGATGCCCGGGACTCCTCCGCTCGGATCACCAAGCGAAGGTTGGTGTAGTTTTGCAAATTAATTTTTTTGGAATGTAATTTGTAGGTGACTATATCTACGGTTTACTTTTGCATGAATATTTCTTCATAATTCATCATGTTGATGGAGTATTCAGTGAAATGTCTACAGGTTAACGGAACAGCTGTAAAAAACAGAGATGAATCATCAATTTTATCCAGCCGAAAGCAGTAAGGCGTTCAAAGTTTATGCAAATGCAGGTCGTTGAGGGTCGGAAGGTTGGAACCTCCCCTCTTGAAAGGAGGTTCGAGGGTCCAGGGTAGGGACCCATGCGGAGGGTCATAGCCAGGTCTATGCAATATTTCCCTCTCTCTTAGAAGACTGCATTCTTTTAAGTGATTCTGAAGTTTATAGGAAGTGATTAACCTACCACAGAAAGTCACAGGAAGAACGGATGATAAACCCGAACGGCAGGTCCTCGTCTAGGACCTTTAGCATCGAAATAGCTTGTGGTTGAAATTATCGTCGTTTTTTAGCTACTATAAGAGTTTGGATATATCAACAGCCTCAACGAGGTAGGCGCGGTTGAACTATATATAAGACCTGTAATTCTCATTCGGCATAGCTAGAATTCAAGCGCAGCAGGCCTTCTAGTCTAATTCACCTTGACGGCATACTCGCGACAACGACGATTCATTATGAAAGCTTGGTACAAGGCATTGCGAGCTTCACATAATGATACAGTCATCCGTCCCCTTGCAAGACGAACACGCATTAGATGTACTCTTTTTATATCGGTTGGTGCAATGAGGACAAGTATCTAGTGTATTACAGAACAAGCACGCGGTTAGCATAACTCACCGTCACAGACAACACTAGGAGGATAGGGTCATCCGCCAGCACGTGAGGACTTACGGTATTGACACCATCGCGAGATCTTCGTGTCATAGTGAACCCGCAGATAGCTGCAGCTACCAATTTTGCATTTCACGGCATTTGGATTTGCCATCATTCAGTATAGCTCCTGTTAACGTTACCCAGAGAGAAATAGAGGGTAGGATGAACGGTGGCGAAGAGGTCGAGAGACAGGAGGGTACGGAAAGGGGGAGGGCATCCTTATCATAGCATAGTAATATATACATAACTAGCTGCAGTGAGGCGTGTGGTTAGTCACACGACCACGTAGTTATCACGCCCCACACCTATTGTACAGAATCGAAATGCAACAACAGCCGATTACATCCAATCATTTTGTGTTCCACCCTAAAGGTAGCCACGTGTTTGACTAGAGGTTGACGCTACAAGATGATAATCATACCAAGCGCCCAACACACATTCTCTATGTTGGTGCGCCCCACTCAACGATAATTCCCACACAACGATAATTTTCCAGTTTGGCATCAACTTTGTTAGCATTTTATACCATACCACGATGTCGGAACAAATCTTCGTAGCATGGTGTTTAGTGACTGCCCTAGGGAAGGAGTAGGATTGTCGACACGAAAGAACAGGATGCTGTATCATCCCAGTGGTTACGCTTCTGGGTGATAGGCATTGCAAGCTGGATGTCGGATCGAGCGGTATCTCCGGTAAAAATGAAAGGGGCAGTGCGTCGGGCTGAAAGCAAATGCGCAGTAGTCGGTGGGGGCCAGAGTAAAAGAAAGGTGGCGGCGATGAGTGCAAGATAGAGGGGTAGGAAGAATGAAAAAGTGAGAGAGGGGGAGGAAGAACAGCGAAACCGGGGTCTTTTATGTCGGGAGCATTGAAGGGAGGTTACGTGACGGCGTATTGGGGCGCTAAACCCCAAAAGGCAAAACTAACCGGATATAGTAATTTACAGGTCCGCCGTTTATAGCCCTAATGACATGTATTCTGATCTTGATGAGACCCAGAGAGCAAGCTTTATTTCTTCGTCAGTGCAAGACCGAACTTGTCTTTCACATGATCCTCCGTTCTTATAATCACAATGTGACTGTCTTACCCTTTCCGATTGCCTGACGCTGAAAGAAATCCACCCTCACATGTGCAAAGGTAGAGAGGCATTAGTACTTACTGGTGATCCGATCATCTACAGACCCGTGAGTTCCTTCTAATTCAAGGCATCCGTAGACAGAGCTCAGTTCTTACTGCCAAGCTAGATATTTGTTCACTCCTATAAACTTTTATCATAGAACAATATGCACTCCGTATATGTAACGTCGGAATCGTCCGATCCACCTTTTTATAAGGTTCGGGTAGTGCCCGAAATGATCCACAAGCCCACCCCACACGGTTTCTCCATAAATCCTTGTCATATTGGGAACTATGCAGTCTACACGTATTCCTGGAAATGAAACTGGTGCGTGAGGGAGAGTACATGAACGAAGATAGATGAAGATCACCACAAGGTTTCAGTCAAGAATGAATGAACCGCATATTCAGCATAATAGGGTTGAAGGATCCGTACTAGGTAGTCAGTCCAATCATTCTGCCACCTTCCAGACATAGAGAGCTTTTGAAAATTCCCAGTATTCGGGATACCAGCGACTAAACTCCCAATCCAGAACCCCGTTGACAGATCCGTCGTTGGTCATGATATTCTGGAGACGTAGGTCTGGGTGAACACGATCTTGTGTTTGTTTTGGCACAGCATACCAGATAAGAAATTCTTGATTTGACGTTTTGGCGCCTTGGATTGATAGGCTTCTTCAGAGTCAAACGGTCCTGAAAATGTGTATTAGCACTCGTGCATATACCGGTGGAGTCACTATTAACCGTTGACGTGATAACTCTCTAAGATCGGATCGGTAACGGGGTCGGAATCAACCGAGCCTATGTAGTTCCCGTTGCTGAATTGCTGAAGTTCGCGGAGATATTCCTTGAGCTGGTTGGCGACATGGGCTTTTGTATCCTCGTCATAAGATTCCCAAGTTTTATCGAGACTCTGACCTTCCACAAAACTCATGAATATGTAAGTATCAAATAGACTACATCTCAATAGATTACTCTTTCACTTCACCGTGCGTCGTAAAAGCCAATGAATGTTCAAGAACGTTCAGGATACGGTACGAAACCCCCCTGGTGGAAGGAGAAGGTTGGGGGGGAGGGGGGGTTTGCTAATCTACGTGATATGCTACAGGAGCCTCTAAACTGCCTAATCTGGGTCAACACCAGACTCTAGCAAGACTTGGACAATCGTCTCGTGGCCATTGGATGCTGCCCATGATAGGGGACTTCTGCCATCTATATCTCTCGAGTCTGGGTCATCCTCCTTCCCTAGCAGGCGCTAGACCACTTCTTTGTGACCGTTTGATGCTGCCAACGATAGTGGAGTCTGACAATTCCTGTCCTTGCTATTCAAATTGCCGCCTTCCTTCAGCAAGAGCTGGACCATTTCGAGACGGCCATATTGTGCTGCCCATGACAATGGAGTTCTTCCAAATGAATCCTTAATATCGGCCTGATTTCCATGCTTCATCAACAGCTACGTCTCACGTTCCAACCCGAAAGATGACGTTAGATGGAATCCTAACCTGCTTAGGAACCTGCTGACTGTAATTAATGTGACCGAACCGCTTCTTCGCTAAAATGGCTTGCGCACACGCGTCTAATTTGGGCATATAATTAATAAGTTGCATGACCAATTCTTCATCGATTGCTTGCGCCCGGCTGTGATAGCCCCAATATTGAGCTGTATAGGAGTAAAGAGGGTACTGGTATAGCCTTGCTTCAAACTCATCATTAGTGGAGCAAGAGCCTATATGGAATGAATCGAATGACAAATAAGTCACATATATTGTTGCAATCACAGAATGTGTAGTAGGGAACCAGTGGGTCCAGGTTCGCTCAAAGTATGCCTGTGTTGTGTGATGAACCAATCTAATGATGTCGGTTTTTTCATCAATCGTTACCAGACCTGCGCATAATAAGACTATATCGACTATCTCTGGAAGGTTTTCCTCGACGAATTCAGACTGGCCAAGTTTAAATGTAAGAGCACTCTGTAGCTCTGCTGTGGTGAGCTGCCTTTTAGCACAGATGATCTATGATAATACGGACTAGCAGTCATCATCCGCGTTTGAAGTCTCTAACGGATCCAACATCAGCATGATCACGACTAGTCAGTTCAGCAGATGCTAATCCCCTATTAAAGGCCAAGCCTGTTACAAGAAGCAAAGAAACATTACCCACTAGAGCTATTTGAAGCTGTGCCCCGAAACGAATGCCCTGAAACGAATGCCCTGAAACGAACGAAGTGAGAAGGCTTACCTTCGCCCGCACGGATACCCTTGTTGTCAAACCTTTTTATGGGCACCCAGTTGAGGGAGGTTACTACTTATGCCAAGCCAGGGTACCCACACTAAAACCGGCCACGGTGACCTCCCTCAGCTCCTGTAATTGGGGGAGGTCACCGTGACCACTTTATTTCCTATAATTATTATACAACTGAAAGACTACACAAGATAAGAAGAATTTCACTGTCAGGCAATACATTTAACTTTGCAAACGCATTTCTCATAATGTTCAATGAAGCCAAATTTAGCACTAACGATCTTTCAACAAGTCTTCAAAACAGATGGGCAGTCGGTTGGTCCACATCCTACCATTACATTCCACTTGAGTAGCTTTATCGCTCTTTGTTGGTAACATGAACATTGGCCCCGTTGCGTGGAAAGTCCAGGTCTTAGGCGTTGTTGGTGTCGACCTGCTCCGGCTTCTGTCGCCGCCGGAAGAGCTTGAGCATATTGCTCGTGTTCAGCGCCACTAGCTTTTTCGTCGGCATCAGGAACAACTCGTCGATCTCCTCCAAGGTTTTGTCTTTGGTCTCGGGCATGAAGAACAGCTGGTAAAAGAAGCCCAGGAAGGCCAACCCGCCGAAAAACCCGATCGTCAGGCCGGTGTAGGTCATGGCTTTCTGCATCCCCTCGAAGTTGTATGTCACGATGAATGACCACAAATACAGGAATGCGGAACAGATTGCCATGCCTTGGCTGCGGGTGTTGAAACCAAAGCTCTCCGCTGGAACTACCCAGGTCAGGCACGAATAGGCACCGAAGAAACCCATGTATAGTATTAGACCGGAGAAAAACAGCCCCAGGGCAATTGACTTGTGCTCATTGAAGTAATCGACACCATTGTTTGTGTACAGATAGCCGACACCCACCAGCACCATGCCTACGATGAACATGAGGATGTTTTGTGCCCATACGCGTCGTCCGAACTTGTCCATGGTGAACACGGCAGGAATCGTTCCCAAGAACAGCGCGCCACCGCCCACCATCGACATCAGGACTGAGTCGCGGTCATTGAAATTCATCTTGGCCATCAAGTTTGACATGTTGTACATCACCGCATTGATGCCCGTCATCTGTCCGAAAAAGATCATGGCCGTGGCATAGACGAGCGCCCGTCGGTTGCGCGGCTCCCTGCAGACTTCCAGGTACCGCTGGTACCATTTCTCGCTGGCGGACCGCTCGACATCATGTTTGACCGTCAATTCCATCGCGACGTACTCGTCCAGGCCTCTCGGCTCCGCCATGTTGTGCAGCGTCTTCCACACCTGCCACGCGCGCCCGTACTTGCCCTTGGAAACCAACCAACGCGGTGATTCCGGCAGGAAGCACATGCCTACAAGGAGGATCGTCGAGAACAAGAGGGACGAGCCCAGCATCCAGCGCCAGCTGCCTGATTTGACCTCAAAGAATACGCCACCGGCCGCGTATCCAATGATCTCTCCGAATGCGATCATCAGCTGGTACACCGATACCAGATTACCACGGACCTCTGGTGGCACACACTCTGAGATATAGATACCGACACAGCCGCCTTCGATTCCTATGCCGATGCCCAGAATGAATCGGCCAGCAAATAGCATGCTCACAGTGCGGGAGCCGGCACAAAGTCCTCCTCCCAGTGTGTACCACAAACACGAGATGATAATTGAGTTGCGGCGACCAAAGTAGTAATTGAGCGGTGTCATCATGAGCGCGCCGGCCATTGCGCCTAGCGGCATCAGTGAAGAAATCAGCGAAATATCAGTCGCCAATTTCGGGTCGTCCAGGCTCGCCCACTCGCCTGACGCGATAAAATGCTTGCGGATACCAGGCAGCGCACCCGAGATCACCGACTGGTCCAATCCACTGAGCATGCCGCTAAAAGCTGCGAACACGCCCAGCACGATGACTAGCATGCGAGGGCTCTTTATGTGCACTGGTATCTGTGCGAAGGCTATCCGGTCGTGAAGTGATTCGTTGGCGAGGTACTGGTGGCTTTGCAGGTCGCGTGTCTCGATCTCGTGCTGGCGCTCCTCGGGCGAGAGTTCATCGCTGAACTCTTTGCCCATGGCTTCGGGCTTTTCCTCATATTTTTCGCTCATTTTGTGTCGAATCACGAAAAGAAGTGGGATCAGAAAGAGAGAAAGGAAAATAGGAGGACCCCAATGCGCTCTATATAAGGGCCGAAAAGTTTGCGGGATGTTGTACCGTTGTACCTCCCAATTCCCCGACCCCGACCCCGACCCCACACCCCACACCCCAGAGTACCAATGAATTCTTTTTTTTTTTTTTCAAAAAGGTTGTTTCATGTGTACCAGGTTTGTATTACTGTGGGGTTAGGTATGAGAACAGGGAATGCTGCGTTTAAGTTTAACATTGCTCATTAAAATAGCGGCCTTAACATCTACATGATACTTTCAATCCCAACTCAGACCATCGAGAAGGGTTTTTATCGATTACAGCGTGGGTGGAAGGCCACTGCTAGGTCTTCTGGAACTAGTAACAGAAGTAGGAACAGAATATACAGACCCCTTGTACCATTTGTCGGCATGGCCGGAACGCAGCATGCCCAATTCGATCGGGTAAAAGATCGACGACGCCACGAAAACCTTCGCGCCCCGTGGAAGGAACCGGGGTTGATTGGGGCCCCGGTTATTGTTTCCCCGAAGACTGCCCGGTCGGAACACAAATCCCGGGGAAATCGAAGGCTATAACGGCCGAGCGAGATACCGAAACAGAATCTGGACCGACCCGTCACAGGCCGAATATCGGTGTCAACCCCGCATTGAGCCAGGAAAGAAGCACTCGGGCCCGGTTTTTTAATTTCCTCAGCCCCATAATAACACGAGGGCTTGGTTAGGAAAAGCAGGAGGCGAAAGGCTAAAATGGCTTCTCCCTCTGACCAGTATGTTCCCTTTTGATTTGCACGTACTGTACACCTCCGCTTCATATATGATATTCCACTGTCAGGCATACCAGACTCTCGCTGAATATTGAAACTTCCAGGAAGAATTAACGTCGGCAATAATACACAAGATCGCAGCGTGATGCAGACGCTGTGACAATGGTTTCGCCGATGATATTCCGAGCCCCCACACTAGGGGAGGCGACTTGTGTGGCCTGAGATCATTAATGCCAGTGCAGGACGGGTTTCGTCCGTTGGTCATGGAGAATCCAATACCACGGTCATGCACTGTATGCAAAGCTTCGCGCTTATGCTGGATCTTAGCAGAAAAGAAAAAACACGGGTCAAAATCGCCTGTAGCGAGGCAATATTGACTTCACGAGAACTGAGTTAAACTTTGTAAGTAACCCCATCAAAATGGATAAGAGTTACTCCGTACTAAGTCCTGGCTAAAAAGCCTCGTGTTCTTGTAAAGTTTCAGGCTTAAAACTATCTCAACAAAAAGTTTGTCAGGACCTTCCTGGTCATCAAATCCACTAAACGTCAGCGGGCCCCATTCTCGTCTTCTCGTCCAAAGACAAGTACAAACTCGGGACTTTGTGATGACCAGTGGTCTTGGATTGTATGTTATTACAAATAGATACTCGCCAGGTCCGTTATGCTCATACATTGTACATTGTATATCAAACAAAATATACCCTTATATGTTTGTACGGAGTATGTCGTACCAAGTAGGTATATTGCCCCAAAAAGCACATGGTCGTCTCTGCATGGCACAAACTTTGT